TCTCAAAACATTTAAAATGAAATTGCTAACTGGTTTTTTTTCGTGATCAATGAAATATCAGTTTTTGGGAAGAAAATGACTCATCCGATTCGAAAGAAAACGGAAAAATCGAAAAAAAAACGGAATATTTAGGCGACTTTGAATTTTTCAAACTTTATCGAAAAAGTCTTAAAAAATCGTATAAAATTCATCTTTTTCTGATTTTTTTCCCGGTTTCAAAATTGATTTTTTTCTTGCCTTTCTATGAAGAATCAAAACGTTAGTATGGATTAATACGTCCCGTAAAAAAATTTATAAAAAAATGGAAATAAATCTTTCCTTTTTCAATTTTTTTAATCAATAATCAAAATCTGAATTTGAAAAATTGATTTCAAGTCCTTTTTTTATTAAGAAAATGTTTAGTTGAGTGTTCACTAGAGGGAACTTGATCAACTTCAAATATTCTTAACTCTCAAAATTTTACGAAACGGGACACATAAATGGTTCGAAAATTCTTGCTGTGGTTTTTCAAGGAGCATAGACAAAATTAATCGAAGTCTCGAATCGAAAAGACTTTTTTCAGCCTTTTTTTTGATTTCCTCCAAGAGTTCTGCAACTTGGAACACCAACAGCAAGTAATTTTCAGCAAATCGTACCAATAAATACAGAAATGAAAGAAATAAAAAAATTTTTAAAAAGCAGGAAAATAAAAAAAAAGGAAGAAAAGAGAATTATTCTCGATACGTCCCTTTTTTTCGCGCTCAACACATTTGATCTTAATGTTGATCTACGCAGTAACATTGACACCGATCAAAAAAAAGCATATGTTAGCTGGAATCATATGTTTCAAAAAGCTTACAATTATTCCAATAAACCTTCGAAAACAATTTGAAAACGTTTTGAATCAAGATTTTCTACGAATTCTCAGCGAAAAATATTGCGGTGATTAACCCGGAAATGTATGATAACTAATAGAAAGTATATTATTGCAGGCACAAAAAGCGTAAAAGTCAGTTAGTAGGAAAAAAATTATATCGAAAAAAAGATAAATGTAAAAAAATTAGAAGTACTTTTTTTCAATTTTTTTCCGTGTTAGTTGAACTGAAAAAAACTTCTTTCAAGACGAAAAAAATAATAATTATCAGACAAAAATTTAATAATTCGTACTTGATTCGAAAAAAATTGAACTTTGTACTTGCCCTGACTGCACAACGAAATATGATACTTTCGAGTAGTTCACGAATTTCTTGACGAACTAATAAATAATGAATCCTGAGAAACATAAAACCAAGAAAAACTTTTTTTAAAACATTGATAAAATGTTTTTTTATTAAAAATTAGCGTAAAAACCACCGCAGGAGACAAACGAGTGCAGTGGAGCGCCAATGCACCGAGATTTTTTTCATCCCGGTTTTATTTTTTTTTCGAAAATCCCGGTTTTTTCATAAATTTGTTTTATGATTGTGATATTTATCTTCTTCATTTCATTCTCCAATGAAGCATTCCGAGTGAAATTCATCAAATATTGAGTTCCAATTAATCTGTTTTTAATAAGCTCTTTACTGAATTAAAATGGTTTCTTTTTTTCTTTTTTTGAATGTTTAATTTCTCCTTTCTTGATGATTTCAGGTAACTGAATGGAAAAAAAACAATTTTCTCTAAAAATAACACCAAACGATGAGTAATTCACCTATTCTGTCTCAAAACAATCGAAATTCCAATCGTTCCTGAAGTCTTCCATCGGGTTGATTATTCAGCCGGCTTGTCATCTCTGATAAAACCGATGATTGACACACTTTTGGCCGGTTGCCATCTCGTTGAAATGGGTATTTGGACGTGGGTGTCAGGTTCGCCTCAAAAGCAAATATTCGGGTGAAAATGGGGGCGTGTCCTGGCCAAAGAACATCTTGTGAAATTTCCGAACGCTTTTAAGCCCTGCGTGGTTGGGTTTTGCTTATTTTGCACGGTACTGATGTTTTGAAACTGTTGAAGTTCTATTTGAAGAGCCAGAAAACTTTCAGCCTTACTTTTCGTTTCAGTTCATCATTATTCTATTTTTTCCTGAGTGTTATCTTTGCTCATTTCGATGATATTGGTGTTTCAAAATGGTTGGAATCAAATTTAAAGGCTAAAAAAACTAAAAATCCAAGTCCTTCACCGGTCTTTTTGAGTTAGCTTTCAAAAATTAGGTCAATTTATCCAAAAAATTTTTTTTTATTTTCTAAAAGTCTTCGAAAAGAAACTTTTCGCCAAAAACCAATCAAATCGGGACAAGGGCTCTTCAACCCCGATTTATAACCTTGAAAATTGTCTCCAGTCGAAAAAGACTCTGAGGAACGCTTGGAAACTTCCGATGACTCATCCATTCCATTTTTTAGTAATTGCAGGAGTTTTGAGCCTGATTTTTTTCGAAAATAATGAGTCATGCTCTTTATCGAGGCTATAAAAAGGAACAGTTGACTTTTCGGCCTTTTATCAGTCACGAGTCCTTCCTGTTTTTCTTGATTTTTGAAAAGAATGTCAAAAAGGGGTAATTGCTCTATCGAATCTTTCCTGATGCCGTTTTAAAAGTGATTCCCCGAAACTCAAAATAGCCGTCGGATGAAACAAAAACTCAATTTTGGAGAGTCAGACATAATTTTGTAGTCCACGGAAATTAATTTGAACACGGCCAAAAATTCCAACCCAAGTCTAACCTATCCTTATCACCTCAAATTTCACAACTTTACTCATACCCAAAAAATATATTTACATTTTTCCTCGTCGCTATCAACCAAAGTCAAACAATTCCGTCCTCGCCTTCATTTTTTTGCCTTTTCCCTCATAAATAGCAAAATGCTCTTTCCATTTCAATTTTTTGAAGCTTTTCAGAAATTCATAACCTGGTTTTTTCGGCGTTGAATAGGTGGTTGAGCCGTTCTCAGTTGAGAATGATGAAATTTCTTTTTTCAAGAAGGCGAAGATCGTTTAATTTTTAGGGTATGGAGCTCGGCAAGTTTTGAAATTTCATAGAAAAAGCCAAGGTTCTATGAAAATATTTACCTAACCCCAAAATTTTTGAATATCTCGTTCATTTCCTCAAAGGAATAATTGTCTTTTTCACTAGAAGAAAAAAAACTCTCAAAAATTTTCGAAACAGAAACTAGAAGTGCTTTAAAGGCGCAGGTGCCATAGAAATCACTTCAAGACCAAAAAACTGTTTCAGCTTCTGCGCCTATAAAAATCTTCTGTACCAGAAAAAAAATCTCAAAATCCTCAAAATGCACAATTTTCTAGTTTTTGAAGAACCTTCACAGTAAACACGAACAATCGAAATCTATTAAAATGGGCCATTTTGGAGCTTTGAGCCCTCATTTTTCGAAAACTAGGAATTTTTGCAGGAGGAGACTTTCAGGGTCTTTTTCTGGTACATCGTGCAACGTTCTGACAAATTTTTAAAGAATTTCTAACAAAAAAAAAGTGAAATGACCTCCTTATTGAGAAAAAAAACTCGGAAAGTTTTTCGAAATGTTTCAACACTCTCTAGATTTTTTCAAACTCCTGAATTTTCGTTTTGCAATCTTTGAGCTTCATCTGATCCCCCGAACCTTCCCAAGCCTCTACAATATAGGATCAATCATTACTGATACTATCAGCCGATTAATCTCACCTAATACCCGCCTCACAATCAACACAAAAAGGTTTGTCAGCCTCGTTTCCGTCTGTTTGCCTTTTTTCGCTCAAAAGAGCAGAAAAATGGCCAGGAAAACGTGGCTGATTCAGCCGACATTTTCAAACTCGTTTCGTGAAGCACGTTTGTTTGTACATAACTAAACTGTTTTTCGGAACTTTTTTAACAGTTTTAAATGTAATTTATGGTAGTCCGTAAAAGAACCCTCGACCAGAGATAGATAAACTGTACTCTAATTATTGAAATAAGTGCTTCTAATTTCAATATTTGAAGAAATAAAACTTGGAAAAAAAAATCTATAAAAAATCTGATTTTTAAAGCTCCTCATCACACTGCTAGATGAACCTATCCGTTTTTGAATGAAAAATAGAGTATGGTTCAAATTTTGCTCGCAACTGGAAAAACATAAGCAAAGTCGGAAAAGGTGGAAAGAGGCTCCATAAAAATGTTCCTTTAGGTTGACGAAGGCTCCTTTTTTGCTGCCTTTTGCGCCGTTTTCTCGGCCCTTATGGACCATTTTTGCTGCCTCTCTCTTCTTCCACCATTTCTTAAGCCTTTAAAATCCCAGAAAATTGGAAGGCTCGATGAAGGGGACTTTTGATGCTTTTTTGCGGCCTTTTTGCGGCCTTTCTGAGACCTTTTTTGAGCCCCTCTTTTGGAGCTGTTCGAATAAAATGAAAAAATTCGGACTTTGCCCGAGAATAATGGTACAGGCCCATTTGAAAAAGGCCCATTTGATTATTTTTTCTGTTATGCGCCTCAAGCTGCTCATTTTTCAAAACGAAGCTTCTTTTTTTTTGTTGTTGAGACCAACCATACTCATTTCCTAACGTTTTTTATGAATTTCTCGAAATTTTTTAAAATTCCTTTTTATAAAATTCGTTTAAAATGGACTGCTTATCCCGTTTTTCCTATTTTTTGAAACGCTGTTTTTTTTCTTCTTCTGTTAAGCCCATGTGAAATTTAAATCATTTTAACTTCTTCCAGTTTTTTCTTCAAGGTTTTCTTGAATACTTCCTTTTTTCGTAAACTTCGCGTAAAATACGTGTAGTCTGTGGGCCACGACTTGAAATTTCACGGAACGACATGCCGGTATTCCGCTGCGTGCGTTCGCGAAGCGTCTTAAGAGTATAGGTCACGATTTCAATTTATTGTTATTGCTGTGGGAGCACATGAAAGTAGAGTTCCTTAAAAAAAGAAAAAAAAAAAAGATTTTTAAGCGCGACCAAGGTCCGCAAAGGCGCGCAGCGGCACAACGGAATGTCGTTTGGGGAAATTCCAAGTCGTGGTACACAGGCTATACGAACCGTTTTTTTCTGTTTTCTCTACCTTCTGATCATTCCCAGAAACAATGCCGAACTGCCCGAACTGCTCGAAGCCGGTGTACTTCGCCGAACGAGTTTCGTCTCTCGGCAAAGACTGGCACAGGCCCTGCCTCAAGTGCAACAACAAGACTTGCGGGAAGACTCTCGCCGCCGGGAGTCATTCTGAAGTGGGAAATATTTTTCATAATAATCTCAAAAACGCCGTGGCCGCATATAGAATGGCTTGCCGCGGTGCGGTTGCGTCGCGTGTACCTCAATAATTTCGGAGTGCTCGGAAAAATGGATTTATTGATTTATTGAGTTCTCGAAAAGTTTTAAAAGAGTAAAAAGAATTTAAAAATAGGACATATTCCTCTAGAAACTCGGTTTTTTTTTGGAAAATGTTTATAACAGGCTTTTCTTGAACAATTTTTCAAGTTCGCTTTCTTTTTTGAGCTCATTTTTTTTGAGAAATCTTTAAAAACTAACGCTAGGAAAATATTGAAATTTTCTAAAACCGTTATGAGTTTTTTTTTTCCAACTTTTTAAAGTCACAATTCAAAGAAAACCCAATTTCAGCACGAAAGCAAGCCCTATTGTAACCGTTGCTACGGAGCCATTTTCGGGCCCAAGGGATATGGTCATGGAGGAACGGAATCGCACACGTTCCTTGGTGGAAGCACCGGAAAGTAACTTTCGCTCTGCTGATAATATTTCGTTGATTACGGTAGCTGCTCATTCTGCAAACACGCTGACGCTTTATTTTTTAAGATTTTTGATATTTTTTGGAGGATTTTTTGTGTAAAGAGTTCAGTTAATGATTTTAGAACTCTTAAATTTGGAAAATTGTTTTTTGAAAGCAATTGCGCTCTAATGAACGTTTTATTATTTTTTTATTTTTTTATCAATTGAAATTTGGATGTTAGAAATCGCAAAACCTGCCATTCCATTGTACATTTTGCACGCAAATTAGTAAAATATTCTTTTTCAAAATTTTTCCAGTATTTGGTAATTTAATACAACCTCAAAAGACTCAAACTTCACTGAAAAAAAAATTACTTTATTTGTAAAAAGACAAGAAAAAAATTACATTAAAAGCTAACATGCAATAAACAAATACAAATCCATATCACATGGAAAAATCAAACTGAATCAAGTAAAGAAAATAAAAATTGTCTACCAGATGTGAACCCTTGGGGATTACGGTAGCGTTGTTTTGAAAACGAAAAAAAGGCACGATTTACAAAGTCAAAGTCAAGAAAATAGGGTTAGCGTCCGACCCGGATGGAAAGCAAAAAAATTGAAGACGATTTTGATGGTTTTTTGGTTTGAGCAACGACTTTGGCTAGATGATTGAGCAAACTACACAGAAACGGGAAGGCAAGGGACCAAGAAACTGGGAAAAAAGGGAGGGATCAGTAGATATTCGGGTCGTCGTACCAATGACGCCTTTGGTCGGTCAGTCCGGGAGTGTAGCTGTAGCGGTTCAGGGCTGTCGATGGGTCTCGCGACGAAGAACCTGACCGAATTCTCCATTTTTATTTTTTTATGAAATGATGTCAGAGGTTTCAGAATTGGTGTGTTTTTCGTTCGAAATTATTTGAAATAAGTAAAATTGAAACTTGAGGGACACAGAATAAAAATTTCGGTTCTACAAATAGATAAGCGTCGTTGTAAGATGTTCTGGAAAGGTTCAAAGACTTTTGTGATTTCAAACCTGGATACTTTCTGTACTGTGCGACGTAAGGTTCCCTGGGACTGGAAGAAGCGGCAGTGGCGGACGAAGGATAGGCGCTGGTTCTGAATACATATTCTGATGTCCGAAAAAAATCAATGACATTTTGAACCAAGGCTAAGTTGCTCTACTGTACTATCTCTAAATTTACTGTGAAAAATCGCCATGGCCGAGGCTTGGGCGTCCGGGTTTTCGGCCTAACTTTTCGCTAACTAGGGAACGTTTTTTACCCCCCTGGTTAAACTTTCGCTGGAACTTTGCTGAAGTGTAGGACTCCCTGATTCTAGAACAAAAAGAAAATTTCTCGCAATAGATCTCGTTTTCGAGTTAGGACACTTCAAAAGCCCGAAATAGCGCTTTTTTGGCAGAATTTGCGTATTTTGCGGACTTTGAAGCTCCATAACTCGGAAACAAGATCTATTACGTTTCCTGTTAAGAAGCATGCGCAGGCTCGTGCCTGGCCCGGTTTAAAAAAAAAATTCAAAAAAACCCCACAAAAATTTTTTTCTCGAAAAAAATTTTTTTGTATTTTTCATGTTTCTATTGAACTTTAAGAGAAAAAAACGATCACAATTGGGAATTTTTTTCATATTTCGTGTGTCTGGTATGTATTTGACTTGGAGAAAGTTTCCGCTTTTTCGGCCGTTTTTACTTGAGGACTCGCTAAAGCCGGGCCGGGTCGGGCCTCAGCTGACGGGCCGGCCCTCATACAACCCTGGCCGGGCCCTTTTTCTATTTCAAGCGGGGAAGTATTAAATTCACGGAAATTGAACAAAAAAGGCTTCCAAAGCTTTTTTTAACAAAATGAGAAGAGGGAAAAAATTGAAGACTGAACTTTTTGCACCTTTTTGGAATCATTGAACGCTATAGACTTTTTTTTGAGGAATTATTTTTGTCCGAATATTGGAATATTTGTTCTTCATGCTTACCCTTCAAAAATGAGCTCATTCGGAGCCACTGAATTTTTCGACTTTTGAGGGTCCATAGCTTTTTTCACCTAGCTCCTCGGCAGTTTTTGAGACCGGATTTGAGATCAGCATGAAAAACTACATCTAGAAAACTTGGTGAGAGAGAGAATATTTCCTGGTTAGCCGAAAATTGCTTTACAACTTAAATTTTCCTCTCTGTTTGTAAGAAAAAACAGAAAATTCTCTTCTTGCCAGTTCAACTTCACACTGTCAACCCAACTTTCCTGGATTTTCGAGAAAAATATACCGATTAGCGCTGTAGTAGTCAGCATGGCTAGACGGGGCATCGGACTTTCGGAACAAAGATTTGATTCTTTCGATCGGCGAGCTGGGACGCTTCGTGTATTGGCTATCATCGTAGCTGAAGACCATTCAAGATGATTTTCCTTCATTTTGGAGCTCTTACCCATTGGTTATGAGCTTCCCATCGGCGCCAAGTCGGACTTCGCTCGTCTTTCGACGATTGAACGACAAAAGCGATCTCTTCTTCTTGTCTGAAAAGAGTAGAGATCGAGAAAGTTTTGGAAGTTAAAGAGCGAGCTTTTTTTTTCTCTGAACGCTCTCTTGTTCTCCGGTGATCTCTCGCTCTCAAAGGCTCCAAAGTAGACTCAAAAACGAGAAAGAAAAGTGACCAGCGCTCGCCGAAGGAGTTTCTCGTGACGACGCTCCGATTGACGGCGCCCGATTGGTCGTCGTCAAAGATCCGCCCAACTGAAATAAAATCCGAATTTTCCAGACACCCAGAACTCTCACTGAGAAGGTGAGGTACAAAAAGCAGTTTGTGAAAAAAATATTTGAAATTAATAGGGAAAAAAATCAAAAAAATTTGCGGTTGATCCAAAGTTAGAATGATAGAAAAAAATGTCATGCATATTTTTAAAAAAATCTGAAAAAAAGAAAAAAATGTGCAAAAAAACCTGAAAATAAGTGTTAATAGATAATATTCCTTTGCATTTTTCAAAAAAATTAAATAAAAATGAAATATTGAAAGTACTGCAGTTAGTCGACCCATGATTTTTGAAACTCCCTGATCCCAATTTTAGCATTTTTCGTTCTATGAAACTACAAGCGTTATTTCCGGACACTGTGGTTCCAAAAATAGTTACCGTCACATGATAAAAATTTCCAACAAATCGAGGCAAACATTGAAAATTTGGAAAGAAGCTTTAAATTTTAATAAAAAAACACTTGAAACAGTTTTTTATGTTCATTAGAGCGCAATTACATTCAAAAAAATATTTTTATTCTCGTGTCCTAAAATCATTTAATGTAAACTTTTACATGAAAAAGCCTTCAAAAAGTCGTGAAAATTTTCAACACTAAAGCGTCAGCGTGTTTGCACAATGAGCAGCTACCGTAGTTTCAAAAAGTGTTATCAGCAAAACAAAAGTTTCTCCGAGGCGAAAAAAAACATTAAAACTTTTGTCATAATTCTGATTGTGACCGTGATAGAAAAAGCAGAAAATCAACTGAAAACAGTTCAGAAAAGTGTTTTTATAACATCATGCCGCAATTTTCCCAAAAAAGTGTATACTATAAATTTTTTTTCCCTCTCATTTTTCAACTCAAAGTTATTTTACGTCAAAAATCTGTGTTCCAAGGAAGCTTCAAACAACAAAAAACTGTTTAAAATCAGTTGAAAGGCTTTCGCGCTCCATGGCTAAGTTTGAAACAAAAATAATTCTTCTTGGTCCTCGGTAACGCATAATAGATTTACTGGGCATTTCTAGTGACCACTTTAGGGGCTTCGGAACTCCTAAGTGATCCCTAGGAATGCTCAGAAACGTCCGCAGGCCTTACGTAGCTATTTTTTATAACCTTTCAAAAAAAAGTTAACATCCCTAAAGTGATCATTCCAGGACCCTGCACAACTTCTAAAAAAAAATTTAAAGTTATGAGAAAAAAAAATTAGAGATCAGCGCCAAAGGAGAGTCTACATTGAATGATGAATTTCCCGTTTCTCTGGCGTCTCTTGTGATCGCCGTTGAACCCTCACTTTCATTGAGGCATTTTTTAAAGAGCTAAACTCAAATATCGACATGCAACTTTCAAAAAAAGGTTAATTATCGTGGGAATTCAGATTGTTGGCACGCGTTGCTGACCTGCCGCTGCGGGGAGACGCTTTTCTCGAAGGAAAGGTGCCGTTTGAGCCGGTCGATGACCTGTAGAATGCTTCGTGACAGGGAGAAATCAATGAATGAAAGGAACATAGAATTGGATGGAACTGTTGGCCGCGCTCCTTTCTGCCGTTTACGCGTGCAACATGCGTAGAAGTCGAAAGGACATTTTCTGACAGGACACCGCAAAAAACTACGTTTTGGGAGTGGAAATCAATGTGATTGGATGGACGAGACCGACTGTTGGAATCTCAGAAAAATGAATAATTTTTTAAATTTTCCATAAGAGGGTCAATCTCGTCCATTTCTATGGTCTGTTCCTAAAAGATAGGATTTATTACCGATCGAACTGGACCAGCTGAAGAGCTTCCAACAGCACCGGTTGAAGATTCTCGCGGATCCAAGTCAGAGCTCTGGAAATCTCTTCTCAATGTTTTGGTATTTACTGAGAAAGGCCACTATAGGGATTTGACGTTTTAATGGCCTCTATAGGGGTCAAATTAGTGGCCACTTAAGGGGTTAAAAGTTAGTAGCCCCTATAGAGGTCTAAGTGCTACTTCTAGACCACTAAAAATCCTAGTGGCCACTTTAGGGGTCAATGGATCAGCATAACTGGTCCAATCTGTTTGTTTCAGAATTGTCAGAGTTACTGGAAGGAACACTGGATGAAAAACTACTGAAATGGTCACTAAAACAGAAAATAGTGGCCACTTTAGTGTCCTCTCCAAGTAGTCCTTGGCGAGCCTCTTTAGTGGCCACCCTGGAGTTTTCCCATTCCAGTGCCAAACGAACCTGCTTATTCTTCAGAATTCCCCTCGGCTGGCCTCTTTCGTCGAACGAAACACTGGAACGGCCGTTCGAAGAATCGTGATAATTCACGTAGGAATAATCGGGAGCATCCGGGGTCATCAACCGCGATCGGTTCACTGGAAAATCATCTATTTTCATGAATATTCGATTTCTGAAGTATATATAGATTTTAGAGGTTGAAACAGAAACATAAAGATAGGAAGAGGGTGAGAATAGATATAGGAGAGAGAGAGTGAAAAAAAGTGTTTTTGAAAGAAAAGTCGGAAAAAAGAAGTGCTCGTGCTAGAAATATCTATCATACCGTTGGACCGTTCTTCAGTCGCTGCTGTTGATTTTTGCTCCCCTTCAAAATTACTTCGTTTCAAGAGGTAAATCTCATTCCAAAGCAAGAATTGAGCGAAAAAAAGATAAACAGAGATTTTCTAAAGGCTTCTTTGAAAACAGAAACGAGATTCAATTTGATGGCAAAACTTGAAAATCTCGAAAAAATATTGAGAAAAGCTAAATTCACGTACTTTTTCCCTACTCGATTGTCCCTGTAAATGGAAATTTTTTTTCAAATACCGTGAGAAAATTTTTTCAGACTTTGAGAAACTGATCGGAACTTTCTACTTTATATTTTTATTATAAAAAGAAACTGCTCACGGATAATGAAATTATAGAAAATGATGCAAAATGTTTACAACTATTAATCTTTTATCTAAGGCTGACAATATTGCGTTTTGAAAATTTTCAAATTTTTTAATGCGTGAGAAATGCGAGAGAAATGCGATGTCGCATCAAGAAAAATGCAAGAACGATGCGGTTCCTTTGCGATGTCGCCATTGTACCGCCATAATCTTCCGCAAGAATGAGTATCCAAATGAAAAGCGAGATCACAGGCGATGCATTGACGATATCGCAAAACGTGCTGCTTTGTAGCGGGGCCCGGTCTTTGGCGCGATATCGCATTTTTCTCGCCGCAAGTTTTTATTTTGAGAAAACTGTTTTAAAAGTGCATGAGAAACACCAGAGAAATGCTTGTTCGGGGCGGCGACAACGCGGTTCATTTGCGACATCGTCATACCGCCCGCGACATCGCTCTTATCTCGCGCGGAACTAGACAGTTATTTTCGGTGAACCATTCATTTTTGCTAATAAAAAGAGTATACAGAACGTATATGAAGTAAAAACGGACCACTGAAGTCGAGATCGACCTTGTTGCGGTCCATCGAACGACTTCTGTTATAAGCTCTTCTGTCAGCCTCGTTCAAGGCAGAAACGACGCGGCGAGTTGACGGCCGGAATCTTTAAAAATGCGATCACCGTTTTGAGAGGTTTATTCAATTTCCTACCGACTTGCGCCGCCAGACGGCTGCTCTGTAGTGACCGCTGAGATCCCGTAATGATCATTTCCAGGAGTGGCTGGAAAAAAAGAAAATAATAAACAGTCAATTTTTCAAAAGATGAAATTATTGGAAACTAACATGAACGCTCTCAAAAACCTAATTATCTTGTAATTGTTTTTTTTTTCAAGTTGAGAAATCCTCACTGGCTCGATTATCGTTGTCGAATCTCCTGTAGGTGGAATAACTTTCGACTCCAGGCCTCATGACGTCATCGGTCCTTCTGTAGCCGAGAGTTACCGGCCGATCCGAATAATAGGAAGACGGGCGGTACGAGGTCGCTGCCGTTCTGGAAATTAATAAAACTTGCGATATACTTAAAAGGAAAAAATTATAACATATTGGAGGGAGAAAAAAAAATTGAAAATCAGCTAAACGTGAAACCGTTTAGATAAATTATAAACATTTAATTATCGAGAACCACTAAGAAGTAGCAAGAAAATTAAATAGTTGTGATAACATCCCCCGTTTTTTTGTATAACTGTTCAGAAAATTAGAAAAAAAGGTTTTTTTGCCGTTTGTCGTGGGTTGCTTTGTTTTTGGCCGCAAGCACCACGTGCACACCAAACATTTTTCCTTACGCGCAAAGTTCACGTCAATTTTTTTTTTTGACAATGACGTGTTTTATTTAAAATCTTTTTTATATTCCTCACTATAAAAAATCTTCGAGGAAATTCGGCAAACGTTTTTTTTTCTTTCTTTTTTGTCAATTTCCGTATTTTCTCCTATTCAATTTGTTTGGAATATTCTCACGGCGTTGTGTGCAAGGTATTCCTTTCTGCATCCCGTTCAGCTCTCGTTTTGTAGACCTCAAAACGACGTGGTTCACTCGCCCAGTTGTTACTCTGAAATGTATATTTCTGAGCCTATTAATATTTTTTTGATAATCTTAAAAGCATAGGTCATGTTAGAATTAAATACCGCTCATTTTTTCTACCTTTATTTGAAAGGTTCAAGGCAAAATATAATGAAAACTAACTCTAAATCAGGTTCTTACACAGTGTTAGCTTTTTTCTTTATATTAATGTGACTAGAAATATTTTTAAGCATCCTAAAAGTATGAATTTTCGCTTGGCGGTCGCTTAAGTGGCCTCTCAGCTATATCATTATCATTTGTTGAAAACTTCCCATCCAGGTAAACAAATCTTGATGAAATAGACAACATAAAAATATGAAATGAAACGTATTTTCCATTTGAATCTTTTCCACAAACACATCACGACAGCAAACTCGTCCTTCGAAGATTATCACAGATTTTCACGATATGTCATTTAAAATATGTTCATTTTTATCAGAGCCTCGTTTTTGGTAGCGATCGGAGAAGCTTAAAATTATCAATAAACTCAGTAAATTGGAGGAAAAATGAATTCAACGAACATCGTGGTCGAATTTTCGTCCATAGCTTGGACTGGCGTTTGGCGCCGGAATGTAGGTACGATCGTAGGGATTTCTGAAAAAATGAAATAATTTTGAGGGGGAATGATTTTACGCAGAAAAGTACTGACAGGTATCTTTTCAGTTTTTCAATTTTTTTTTCTAATGGAAACCCTATTTTTCTGTTTCAAAGTGAAATTTTGAATTTTAGAAAAGTTGTACTGATTATTGTTCGTTATTTTCTTACAGGTCTAAGTCAATCAAAACTTGAAATCATCAACAACCTAGATTTAAAAAAAAACAACAATTTCTAAACTTGAGAACTTTGAATCCACTGCGCTTAAATGTCAAAACCCTAAAGGGGGCACTAAAAATTAAAAAAGGCCACTTTTGCTAGCATAAGTGCCCCCCAAAGGGGGAGGGGAAGGGGCGCCCAAAGGGGAATTTTCTAGGGACCCTAAGGTTGCCTCTATAGGGACCATTCTAGGGTTCTCAAGAACGGATAAATTCATTAATTTTTTTAAAAAAATCAATAAAAACTCAACAATCCATTTTTCTCTGTTTTTCAAAACAACCGCTATCATCTTTTAAACGACTTGAATTTTGAAATTTCCTTTTTCCAAGCCTTTTTCCGATTCAAACCATCCAACAAAGGCCTCCGACCTGTATTTCATGTCGACACGATCAGAAACGAGGGAATAAATAAAAAACAGCTCAGGAACCACTAAAAAACGAGCCGAGAAGGGACAAAAAGTGTTCGTGTACGGTGGAGCGAAACGGACAAAAGGCAGAGAAAAAAGGAAGGCCGAAAAGCAAATTACGCCGGGTTTTGGACGGTGTGACAACATTTTTGTGTGTAATTTTGGGACAAACGAGGAACACTGAACACTTTGCTTGACCAGTGAGATCGAAATAACAAAAGGAAAATATGAGGAGAATGATAATTGAAGAAAGGATTTACCTGTGCTCGAATGGGTCATAGGAGGTGGATTTGCCCCGCTCTTCTCGGCTCACAGCAGCCGACTGAAAACGGTTTCACTTGATTAAAAGCGGAAAAATATTACTTTATCGATTACGTTTGATTTAAATTTCTTGAGGAGTTATAGAGAATATAACCTGACTCATAACAGGCTGTATTTCACTTCCGTGCCCCCTATTTATTCAGGTGGCTTTCTAAGCCGCGGAAATCCATAATATTATTCGAGTTTTTTAAAGTACATTTAGTAGGAAATTCATTGCCTATCTTTTTGCCTAGCTCCAAACGTTAGACAAAATCGCGGAGAATCGTAGAAATCGCTTTACAAAAAATTCGAGAAAGATTAATCGATCTGATTTCTAGTTCAAATGCTACCAATTGATGAATTATACATGCTCACCCAATTTCGAGCCTACCGGACTTCTCTGCATCAAGACAGATATAAAAAGATTTTTATTTTGCTTTTATCATTATAGTGTGGCGCATTAATGTTCAAAAAAATAATAAATGTATTTAAAAAAATCGATTTATTATCATTAAATTTCTGGAAAGTAGATACCATCCCTAATCATGCAACATTTTGGACCTTGTCTAAACCCAAAAAATTCTTTTTTTTAGCTCTTGAAACAGAAAAATGCATTTTCCTACATGAAAAAGAGAAAGATTTTTATGAAAACTAGAAATTAGGAAAAAGTTTTTAAAAAAACTCAAAATAGTCTGAAAAATGATAAAAAAAATTGAACGCTCAGAAGACGGAAAAGCGGTGATTTTTTGAATTAATTTTTTGAGAACCTCTAAATTTTTTAAATAAGTTAAAAATCTACGATAATAGGAAAAAATTACCCAATCCAAGTTGTAAATGAGCATGGAATTAGGCGGGGCACGGCCCAGACGAAATGTTTCCGTGCCGCAAAAGGCGAAACGCCCACACGCGACAAAAACACCGTCATTAGGCCACGCCCACTTTTTTTTCAGCCTTTCTTTTTTCTTCTCACGAAACGCCCAAACATGAGGAACACAGCTGATTCCTCCTATCAGATTAGGAATGGAAAGCTTTTGGTGGAATGAAGATAGGGATGATTTTTAATGCAAATAAGGGTGAGGTATTCAATTTTATCTCTTTTTAAATTTAAAATGTGAAGCGAACGGCTTTAAAAACAATTTTATAAGAATCGCAAAGGTTTATGGAGCATTATGATAAAAAAATAGTTATTGATTTTGAGATTTAAAAATTTTTTTCAAACTTTTGCCGTTTCAAAACTCAATTTTTTTCAAAACTTATTGTTGAAAAAAAGCATTAAATAGCGTACAATTTGCCCTCTGAATCAGAAAAAAATTTTTCGTGAAAAAAAATAAAAAAATAAAGATAGATTTTTTTGAAATTTTTCGAAGATTGTATGGAAATTTTTGAAAAAAATCCTGCCAAAAGAATTATTTTTTTCTAAATTTATTTCGTAGCTAGCTTTGCGATTGAAGTTTTGATTTTTAAATTTTTCGAATAAAATTTGAAATTATATTCAATTCAACGCAGACTTGAGACAAAAAAAGGACCTATTGGGACCTCTAAACCTCTACTTTTTTTCACACTATTTCTCTAATTATCTTACAAGGCAGATCTTTCAACTTCAAGGTTGGGATTTTCTTAAAGGCCAGAACACTACTTGATGTACCGAAAGAAGATTCTGAAAGTACCAACCCGCCCAACTTCCTAGTTTTCAAAAAAGGACACCTAGAATCCGGGAAAATAGGCCATTTTGAAGCTTTGAGCCCTCATTTCTCGGAAATTAGGAAGTTTTGAGAGTTTAGACCTTCAGAATCTTCTTTTGGTACATCAAGGAGTGTTTCAACTATTTTCAAAAGAATTCTTAACTGTAAAGTTAAACGAACTTCCTTGTCAAGTCAAAGGTGAATGAACCCTAAATGAGCCAATAACTTTCAAGCTTAGAAAGATATAAACTTTGGCGCATTTCACGCAGTCATTTCCACACAACGGTATCAAGTTTGACGATGTCGCTCGTAATCATTAATTTGATTATAATGCCGAAGACGGCGGTTTTTCTTCAAACAGGTGCGTCGTTATTTCGCCTTCCATAATGCCCCCCACACGTCAAACTATACAGTTTTGGTAGGGAAACACCTTCTCGTTTCTCGCTTTCTGATTCATTTGTAATCGTGGGCAAAGACCGGTAGTGAAGATAATTAGATAATTTTCATTGTTGTGATAACTGACAGGGGAGGTCATTTAACTTTGCGGTTGGAAATTCCCTGAAAAATCGGCCAGAATACTCCTTGATGTATAGTCTGTGTGCCACGAGTTGAAATTTCATGGAACGACACTCCGCTGCGTGGCCGTGAATGCGTCTTCGCCTTTGCGAATCTCGGTCGCGCTTTCAATTTTTTTAAAATTCCCATTTTCACTATTTTTATTTATATTTTTAAAAAAATAATAAAAAAACATAATTATTATGATGAACATCTAGAATAAAGAAAAAAAAAATGAAAACGCGACCGAGTTTCGAAAAGGCGAGATGCTTCGCGACAGCGCGCACAAGAACCACAAGAACAGCGGAGTCTCGTTCCATGAAATTTCAAGTCGTGGCACATCGACTATACCAGAAGAGGATCCTGAAAGTATCAACCTGCACAAGCCCCCAGTTTTCGAGAAACAATGGCTTAAAGCCCCAAAATAACCCATTTTTATGGGTTTTTAGGGGGGTTTTTTTTTGACTTAGACGTCTTTTCCCAAAACCGAGGAAGTTGTGCAGGTTGAGGCTTTCAGAGTCCTCTTCTGGTACACTAAGGATTGTTCTGGCTATTTTTTTTATGAAAATCCCAAGCGCCAAGTAAAATGACCTCTCTTGTGAGTATTTTATTTGATAGGAACTCTTCGAGTAATTTGGCCGAATAGTTCATTCATCACTTGGTTGGCTACGGAGGCGCTTTGAAACCGAAAACTTTTACTTCAAAAATATTCCTTCTGAAATTTGAAAGAAAACTTTAATTTTTTGCAGACCAATGGAAGAACAATCCGGCATTCACTCAAATTGATGAAATAAAATTTTAAAGCTTTATTATTAGGATCAGAAACAGTGAAAACACTTTCGAAAATCTATTTCAATCTATTTTCCTTTCTTTTTTATTTTTGAAAAATGCGTAATTTCATGGATTTGTTGTCATTAGATAATGGTGGGGAAACCAGAAAAATTATAATTTTGCATTTTCATCAACTTTGAACTCTCTTTCTTCTTTAAAAAGCTTACAGTATAAACTCTTCTGAAAGCTGGTAAATTCCATTAATATTTTTCAATTTAAATATTGAAAATGTACAAATTTAGTCTTATTCGACTCTGTTTAAAGTCTATTTTCTTACAGAAACTCTAAAAATCTCACATATTTAGTTGGAGACGAAGGCCTGTCGTGAACCCGATAGCTGTCGTCATGATACCGGGGACGAACGTAGCCGAGGAGAGAAGAGCCGTGAGCAGCTCCTGAAGGAAATATTCTTAGGAAAGTTCCATAACCTATTGAAAAAGAAAATCACCCATAAACTCATGAAACACTTCGAGAAACATCAAAACATATTTCGGATTGTCAAAATTGATTCAAAAGTTGACTGGAAAGTTAAAAAAAAGTTCAGAAGTGTGTAGCCCCCCTCCCTGACACACTCCTACAGTGATACTGTGGTACTGTAGCTGGGATTACTGTAAAAAAATATTCCTGTAGGTTTGGTGGTGTGAGGGGGACTTCAGTAAAATTCAAACAAAAAAACGTATAGATTCATTTTTTTCTATAAAAGTTAAATTTGTACATTTTTTTATATGCTCTTTAACTCATTTCAATATTTTTTTCATGAAATCTCTTGGAAAATCGATAAAAAAAATTCAAGTTTTACCAGTATGATGAGCGTAGAATGGATCAATCGGTGAGAAGGCTCGATCTGAAAAAAATTCGAAATTCCATCTCTACTCGAATTTCCACACAAACCTTCATAAGTGTGCTCCACCGACGGTCTCTCAAGAGCCCTGAAATGAAAAAAGAAGGATAAAACTTGAAAATCCTTCATAAAATAAATCAAAAAATCAAAAAATTTGGTCAGTTACAACTAGTAAGAACTCCCAAAAGCTGGTAAAGCACAGGATGGGCGAAAAAAAAAGCGACTGAACTAAAAAAAGCATAAAATACGCATAACAGAGAATTAAAAAAAATCGAGGAATGGTGCGGAAAAATTCGTGATTGACCGCGACGCAGCCGCCGACGCGTTTAAATTTTTTCTTATCATTAAAAAAAAAAAAAATATCCTTGATTGTTTTAAAATACGGTCAGAAAATCTGATTTTTTTAACGTTTTTTCTTCACAACTAACTTCAAAAGAAACTAATGCCCCTTGAAAAAAAAAACTCTAAATGTCTCGTTTAATACTGTGGTCGCATTTGGAATGGCTAGCGGAAAATCTTAAGCCAGGCCATTTTCAAAAAAAAAACCATACAACCAACTTGAACTAAATTTAAGGCTATCTAGAGAATTCCAAGCATATTTTCGGGAAGTTACATCGCGTTGCGGTCGCGTCGCGGCTGGCCACGCCCCTTTCTACACCGATTCCCAACTGCGACACCAAAGGCACACTACCGCAAGACTTCGTCGGCAGTCCCGATGGTCCGATTCCGATGACGTCGTTCTCGATTCTTCCTTCGGATGTAGGCGGCCGCGCTTTCCCAGGACTCCTTGCCCTCGTGGTCCGGACCGTCGTCCTCTTCATGAAGGCTGCTTTTTGGGCCAACCGGCTCCTTGGTTGGCGTCTTTCTGGTGCCGCTGTAAGCACAAGCGAAGCGTTAGGGCAATCACGCAAATCGCAAAAAGGGGGACGGAAAATGGAGACTGTGACGGTTGGAAAAGGCATGCAGGATTCTTGAAAACCTAACTGAGTAAATTTACACTATGTTTTCATTTTCCTACTAAAATCCGATTTCGAAAATGTTTCTAATTGAAATAAATTTTGATCGCACAAAGAGTGGATCTAGGCTCAAAGAGAGACACAAAAAATATGCGGCCGACTACAAAACGACTTGGAGAACCCTAAGGTTGATGAAGCCTTTGATGTTCTAACTACAGCCGCAGCGCAGCCGCAACGCGTTGAGCCATTCTACCTAGTGAACTTCAAACGTCGTACCAATAAGCAATTGAGAGCTAAATCTCTTTGACCTTTGTTCCTTTCTCGAAACTGGATAGTAATTACTGGGAAAAATTTTTATGGCCACTAAAGGGGTTGAAAATTAGTGGCCACTATAGAGGTCTAAGTGCTTCTACTAGACCACTAAACATTTTAGTGGCCACTTTAGGGGTCAATGGATCAACATAACTGGTCCAAACTGTTTGTTTTGAAATTATCAGGGTTACTGGAAGGAATACTGGATGAAAAACTACGGAAGTGGCCACTAAATAGAGAACTTCTATAGTGGCCACTAAAACTTAAAATAGTGGGCACTATAGAGGTGGGTTTAGTGGCCACTTTGAAGCCCTCTTCAAGTAGTCCTTGGCGAGCCTCTAGAGTGGTGTCTTTGGAATGGCTTGAAGCGTTGCGGTTGCTCCAAATCGCACCCGACTTGAAAGGGTTTGCGCGCAGAACTATTCAAAGATGAGATTTCTAAATATTTTAATCTTATGAAGTTTTCAAAAAAGCTTAAAACTTAATTTTAACTATAATTTAGTCTGTAAAAGAGAATAATCCTAACTTTTCTTGGTTATAAGCCACATCATCCAAAAAAATAAGCCACAACAACGTCAAACCGCTATCACTAACAGCAATCAAAACGTTCTTTTTTCTATACTAAAAAAAAACTAACGAATTGATGCGTCGGTAGAGGTCCGACGCCATATATGCATTTGGGCGGAACAACGGATTCGTTTCCGAGGTTCTGAAGGAGTAAAGGAGGATAGGAAAGTCGATAGAAGTCGGGAAAAGTAAAGTTAGAAAGCTATGAGGTAAAAAGTTTTCTCGCGAAAAGGGGGGCTAAAAATGATAAACGGTTAGCTAGAGAGCACTTTGGCCTGCGGAGACGCCAGAGAAGCAGAGCTCTATCTTTCTCTGGCGTCTCTTCAAGCGTCTCTGATCTCTCGCCTACTATTCTTTTCAAATCAATTTTTCAGTTCTTCTATAAAAACAATCGACATTGGAGGTTGGTTTAATGTGAGGTTTGGAATTTTTTTGAAATTTTCTTTTCTATAAATCTTTTAATTTCACGTAAGGGGATCGTCGTAAACTGCGCCGATTTTTCAGAAATTTTTTTTTCCCATATTTCCCGTTTTTTCACAAAATCAGGCCAAAAACTCAAACCTCACCGATTTTTCGAAAACCAATATATCCTAGGGTAGTGTTGAAAAGTTTATATAGCATTCCAAACCTCCAACTAAATATATCCCCCCCTTTCCCCCCTATGAGAGCTTAACTCTTGAATCAAAGATCTTGATCAGTTTTTCCACACATTTCGCACCAAATCCGGACAAACCTCCTCTCAGACAAGGCCAAATCAACGCTTCGGGGCTCTTCTTTGGCCTGAGCCTCTGTCGGCGTATCCGATCCGTTCTGCTTGCTCACTGGCCGGTGGTACGGCTTCGGCTCCGTCGTTGCTCCGGAATTCGTGCCCGACGTCGGTTTCATCCGAAGTTCCGCGACCGTCACGAGGTACTTGGCCGAGGTGCCAGGCTTGATTGTTTCTGGAAAGTTTGAAAGTTGAATGAAATATTTTGAAGCGATTTCCGCTGTTTTTTTCAAAATTGAAACGGACAAAGTTGTCGTTCGATTTCAAAACGCCCAAATTACCATATTCCATTATTTTTCCATGCAACACTGATCCCAATGGTGTATTGTTTTAAAGCTTTTCATGAAAAGAAAATTTAGTTAGAAATCCGTGGCTATCTTATTTTCAATCTACTCCTGGAGGTTTTTATATCAAGCACATAATAAAACTGCCAATCCGAGCGATTTCAATCGCAACTCTGCCGTTTCAAACTGAGGGGAATTATTCCAGTCTCACGAATATTTTATTTCACTGTTCTGAGTGACGTTGTCAATCATTTAATCACCAACTTATCAAAAAATAAATAAAATTGCGACAGGATGTGCAATTCTTTTATTCGAAGAATCAGACAAGGCCAAAAAGTTAGAGCTTAGACAGACGGGCATCTTTAGAATAATCCATTTAAAGAGTTCGATTCACGCGGTGCAGTTGCGATTAGAGCAAATTATGAATTTTCCTAACGGAGTCTCAATATTCATCTTTATCTAAATATAACGCCCTTAGGAAAAGCCAAAAGAGTTAGAGCGTAGGCAGACGGACATCTTTAAAATAAGCCAGTTCTAGAATTTGATTCATTTATTCATTTACATTCAAACATTGGTTCACTCGGTTTGGTTATGCATTTTGCAAGCTATGAACTTTTAAAGCTAATCTGCTTATTTCTGCGATTCAAGCATTTTCAAAACCCGGAAACATCAGACAAAGCTGAAAAAGTTAGTGCAGACAAAGACACCTGTAGAGGAAGCCAATCCGTTGGCTGACGTCACGGGTGACGTCATCGGCAGGAAGTTGGGCCGCTGGACGTGGACTGGAGTCGGTTGCTGCTTCATGATTACGTTTCCTGAACGACGACAAAAGGCGTTAGTGCAAAACAGCCCAGAAAAGACATTCCTGATGAAGATTAACGACAAATAACACAGTGGCTAATAAATCGTCCCATTGGGTCTTTAGAGGGGGACGACACGATTTACGACCCGTCACTTGTAACACCTTCGTCTAAGGAGTTTGAATCAAAACAATTTGGTTAGGGACTTATAGAATCTGATGGAGCAAAGATGAACTAAATTTTTTTCATTTTTTTTTTTTTGATTTTTTAAAAAAATGATACCTGCAAATAAGTTATTTTTCTTGTGCAAAAATATCAAGTTAAAAAAACATAGAAACGTCGTAAAAACAGTTAAAAACGACCATTCCACAAAAATATCAGTGGAGCGCACATGTGTTGAAAAATGAGCTTTTCCATTTTTTTTTTTCATTTTTTCATTTTTTTTCATTTTTCAAGCGCTACTGTGGATACTATTTAAGCTTATGGATTCACTCTCTTTTTAAAATTTTCAAATTCTGAGACGCATTGAATGAAATTTTCCCTCCACCAATCTCACCTCCATCATCTCTCCTAACGGAGCTGATGATAGCCCCACGAGGTCGGACATTCTCGATCTCGGCGTCGCTTTCCTCCTCGGACTCCTCGTCTTCCTCCTGAACATTAATATCTCCTTATTTTAATGCACCATTTTGAGACGTAGGGTCATTTCAAAACCGAGTATTGAGAAAAAATCGAAATTCGCGTCGAGTTTAAATCAACCTTTTCTACGTTTTTTTTTTGGCGCTTATGTTGTTCCTGCTGTGAGGGGACATCAGGAAAAAGGAAATTTTTATTGATAAGTTCCTTTTGAAGATTCTTGTGGCAGGACGAAAATTCTTCGCACAAAATCACGTTTTTCAGATTTTTCTTACGTTGGTTAGTGCATACAAAAAAAATAACGGTTAAATCGAGTTTGAAAACTCATTAACTACTCCATAGCGCTACTCCAGATACTCATTTTCCCCTTTTCCAACCTCATCCTCTTCTTCTTCTTCGGACTGCTCGCCGTCGGACTTGACGCTGATCGGTGGTGGCGTCCTTGGCGGAACCGATCCGACGTAACTAAAAATAGGTTTCATTGAAAGTTCGCGTTTCTAACAAGAGAAGTGCGACAGGGGCTTAAAGTCTGATGAAAATTTATTGATCTGCTTTAGAGCTTTTTGATTAAAGTCCCCTCGAAAGTTGATGTATAAATCGTTTCTTTTTTTTGGAGGGATGGTGTTAAATTGATCAATAGATACTAAATCTCATCTGCAAACTTTGAAGCGTCACATTTTCGAAACAAAATGTTTTATTCGTAAAATCTCAACTGATCTTTAATTGGTAGGTTTACCCTTCTATGAAGGTTCATTAAATTCTCTTCCACCGCTTTTGGCATTCCCTTATAAGTATATTTTCTTACATATTCCTGGGCTTCTCGCCCTCCTTGGGTTGAGCCAGGAGATCTGCTTTGACCTTCTCGAGCTTCTTTTTCCGCCGGAGCTGCTCCATTTCGATGGCGCGCTTGTCAAGCTTGTTGCTGGGGTACTGCATGATCATCTCCTTGGCCTGAAAGAAAAAGTCATTTCGAGGGAATAATGGCTTGAAAACGACAAATAGAGGTGATTTCAGAAAGACAAGGACAGCGAAACAAGGGAAAATGACTGGAAATCCCAATTTCCCCACAAATTCTGTAAACGAACTTCATTATATTGTTTATCCATTCTAAATGTTTCTGTGCTTTTCTGATTTCAAATTTTTTTGCAAAGAAAACATAATTATCTGATCGAAATTCATAATTCTAGAGAACTTTCTCAAAGTAGCACGAAAGTTCGATTTTTAGAAGAATAAGGGCTCAAAATTCAAGCGCCAGAGCGGTCCCTAGAGGGGACAGAAAAAAAAGCTTCCTAAGAGGGCTAAAATTTAGGAAATCCCTATAGGAGTTTAGGGTTTCTGAAGCTCAAATGGTCCATACAGTTTTCTTTTGATATTATTTTTTTTCATGATTTGAAAGGAAAAAGTCCCTAAAGTGGTCATTTGTGCAAGATTTAGTGCCCCTTATAAGAGGAGGTAGGGTCCATAAATGGCAACTTTCAAGAGCCTTCAAAGTGAGATGGTCCCTACAGTGGTCTTTACCCCTTAAGGGACCACTTGGTGTTCCGAAGTAAGTTTTTCCCGACTAAGGCGATCCTAACGAAGCCTGTTCAAGTTTACCTACTCCTTACCTGATTTTTATTTCAGTTTCTTCTTGACGAAAATATCTCAAAACTAGGCCTGATCATCTACAAAACGCACACACAGACATGCACCAAACCCATGCAATCCATCACTACTCCGACTATACTTTGTCAAAAAGGAAAGGCGAGAGTTCGGGCGCCGGCTGCGGACCTCCGAAGAACTTGCGGGTCGTCGTCGGCGACTCGCATTCCGTCGAAACGCCCCGACCGTACATGTTCACCAGCGTATGCTGAAACTTCAACCCGCCACCGTGCCGGCTTGGTCAAATTGGGCCTTTCTTTGGGGGGAAGGCTGAGGAATCGAATCAGAATGTGAGAGTTTCGCTATCGAGAGGGGCAGTTCAACTCGAAACTTCAGAATCTTATGAAAACTGGACCGGAAGTTATAGTCCATCCGTCGCGACTTGAAAGTTTTCGAGTGTCTGCGTCTCTCTGTTCTCTCCCACGTGAGGTCAGAGAAACATGAAAATACCACGACAAAATGAGAGGGTCCCCGAGAAACGAGGAGGGAGAAATCGGGTCCTTTCATGCCGCGGAAAACGGACTATCTCCGATGTAATCTTCTTGGATCGTGGCGAATATGACATTCTGACCTGTCTAAGTCTCTTTTCTCTCGGCCGTGAGGTATATGAAAATCAAGAAGAGAGGCTGGCGAGAGAAAAGAGAGCGCAGACATGTCAGACATGTCAGACTTTTAAAATTCGTGGACGAATGGAAATTTTTGAGCAGCAAGTCAAAAAGTTGGAAAAGCTTCAAAACCTAATTTTAATCAATAAAAAGCTTCGAAATTCAAATTCTAGCCAAGAAAAAATTCAAAATTCAATTTTCTAACCAAATATTTAGCAAAATGAGCTTTGAGGCTTTTTTCTCAAAAATCCCAGAAAATGAAATTTTCTCAAAACTCTGAAGTTCCCAGTCAAAATGCCAGCTAAATGTGCCCTAGTTCACTGCTAAAAATCCAATTTCAAAAAGTCAGGAAAAGACAGGCAAAAAAGAGTGATAGACGTGCGGGAAATAGAAGCCTTCGATCAAGAAAAAAGGAAGTATTTTGTGTTGAAATGAAGATGAAGTATGGAAAACCTGGTATTTGCCCTTGCTTTGACGTTTGATGAGACCGCGGTCGAAGGCGTCGAGGAACTGCGGCGACGACGACGGATCCGGCGGCGGGTTCGGCTCGAGCGATGTCGCGATTTGTGGCGGCGCCGCCTTTTCGGGCACCTTTTTCTCGACCTGAATTCTTCTTTCTGTTTTTCAAAAAACAATTTGTTTCATATAATGATGATGAGAAAGATATGCGAGTCGTTTTCATCGGCTTATAAGAAGGCTGACACTGCTGAAGGGATCACTAGAATTACCCCGACACGTCCGAAAAGCGTCCGGTTTGCGAGACCAAAGTCCGAGGTTCTTTTTGAATAAGTAAAGTACAAAAAAATTCTATAGTCTGTTCAGATTTCAAATGTCAGGTTCTCGCTGAAGCTCCGCCCCCTAATGACGCGATAAACCAATCAGAGAGCGAGCCATCCGCAGAGCGTTTTCGAATGACGTCATTCTACTTGAAATTCAAAATCTGAACAGACTATACGAGTAAACTTAAAATCTCAGTTGATTTTATAGCCGATTCACGGCTAACTTGAGACGCTGAGGGAGGCGTGGCGTGTCTGCGCTCTCCACCAACCAAGCACTATCTCTTTTATTATCGTGTAAGGACCCACTTTTCGATGGCTCAAATCAGCCTCAAGTCAAAACATACCAATTCGACCTCATCCGCCAGATCTTCCATCTCACTGTCGGTATATTCCTCTTCGTCGGTGTCCTCCTCCTCGACGACTTCAGTCTGGGTCGTCTGATCAGAGTTGTCTCCGACCAAGGGTCCGAGGACGACTTTCGGCGTCACGGGCGTCGTCGGAACCGGGGTCTTCTGGTGGGCCTCGCGTTCGTCTTCGCTGTCTTCGAAGGACGTGTCCTGAAGTCTCTTTTTGTCTCGAAATACAGTGTTTCGAAGCAACCTGGACAGTGACTTCGGTAGTGTTGCTGGCGATCGAAGTGTTCATTCCTTCGGTTTCGACGTCGTCATCCGGATCAAAACCGACCTGAATCTTTGGTTCAGGAAATTCTAAGCTATCATGCCGCGTTTGGAGAATCCAGTTGATCAGGAAAGAAATTTCAGAAACTAAAGAGAATAAATTAAAATTTTGAGATTCGTTCGAATTTTGGGAAATATTTCATTATAGTCCATTCACCGCGAATTGAAAGTTTTCGAGTGTCTGCGTCTCTCTGTTCTCTTACAGGTCAGAGAAACATGAAAAGAGCACGTCAAAATGAGAGGGTCGTCGAGAGACGAGGAGTCTCGAAAAAAAGACTATAAAATTTTTGTTCGTTAAATTTCATCATGGTATAGCTGAATCACGGCTAGCTTGGGCCGTTAAGGGGGCGTGTCTTGTCTGCGCTCTCCACGAGCCAGGCGCTATCTCGTGCATTATCGTGTCAGGACCATTTTCTCGATGGCTTGCCGTGAATTAGCTATACAGCAGTTCTTTGCAGTTTAGAGAGGCCTTGAATGGAATTAGTATGTTGAGAAAAAATTAAACTCTAAAAAGAACTGAGGGATCAAGACAAGCACCTCACTAAACGGCAAAGAAATGGAAAGCCGAGATTTTATTGAAAGATTCGATTGTTAAAGAAGAAGACTTGGGGAGAGAACCTCGACCGAATGCCAAGGCCTTTCGTTCATCGCCTTCTTGATGTTTCTGGCGGATTTCGGCGGTTCCGGAATGATTTCTTCGGGTTCAGGCGGGGCGACAGAAGCGGTGCTCTTGCGGGTGAGTGTGCTCGTCCGGGAGAACGTCTAGAAAAGCGGAGAAGTCGGTTGGAAAAGGTGCGGTTAATGGGTAAGGAAGCAAGTTTGCTCCACAGAACAAGGTATTGGATTGGTTAGCCACGCCTTTTTTTCGGAAACAGATATTTTATACAGTAGAGCAAACACTTGAAACGATCGAGAAACCAAAAAAAAAAACGCCTAAATTCAAAAAAAAAAGTCATTTTTTTCCGTCAAGGCACTTGTTTCTGAGAAATCGGGGATTTTTTTCGATTGCGAGTTTGGAACGAAAAATATTCGAAGAATTTTGCTCGAGGGAGGGTTGAAAACGTTCCGGTTTCAGAACTTCTCCGCGCAAGTCGTTTTGAGTCGGATGCTTTGGATTTTGGAAGATTTTCCTAGGTTTCTCAAATGCTAGGAAGTTGTTTAGGGTAAGACTTTCCGAATCTTCTTCTGTCCTATCTAGGAGTGTACTGACCAATTTTCAGGAAAATACCAACCCTCCTTGTGAGGAAAATGTTAGTGTCACCCGAGCAGAAATAAATCGAAGAATAACCTGAGATTGCTGTTGCTGCAGAACTTTGCTCGTTTGCTTCTGAACGCTGTCTGGCTGGGCGGCGATTATGCTTTCCAGAAGTTCCTGGAAAGGTTTTTCAGAATTTTTGAACTTTATTTTTTTCTTACTTTGACCATCGGCCTCGTGTCGTAAAGCGGATGAGCTTTGATCCGAGCGATCATGTTCAGATTGACTGGGCCCTTCTCCATTTGTTCAAGGACCTGAAATTGATAGTTTCTTGGCTTTTATCTCAAAAAAAGTCAGCTTCAAAAAAATATTTTGAAAAGATTTTTCTAAAATTTCCTAAAAAAGGTTTAGAATAACATATTTCTCTGAAAAGCTCGAAAAAAAAGCTAAAATTTCAGAAAAACGAGATCTATTTTCTTTCATTTGAAACTTGAAGGTTGGGTGCAGAGAAATATTATATTTTTAGAAAAGTTTTTGAAATTCCTTCGCTTCTGCTACATTCTGAGCTCGTCAAGGCGCAACTGGATGAACTACGCGCAGAAGGACGAGGCGAAGCACCGTAAGACCATGCTTTCAACTCTTTCGACTACACGTTTGGACTTCTAGCTCGCCAAAGGCGGTTGTTCGTTATAGCTTTCAAAGTTCTTGTTCACCGCCTAGTCGATACATCTATGACTAAACCAACAAAATAAATGATTTGATTTGAACCGGTTTACTGTGGGACTAAAACTACAAGGAGAATAGCGAAAAAATTTGGAATTTGAACTGAAAATTTTTCATTCAAACAAGACAATCTTGCATTGAATAGAATAAAGAAACTGAAGGTTCTGAAAAAGTTAAGAATATCCTTTTTTGAACAACATAGGCAAAGTCGGAAGGACTCTTTACGGGCTCCGTTATTAGTGCAAAAAGGCTTCCATTATTTGTTCCTAAACAAATGGCAAAAGTTTCCTCTTTGCTTCTTTTTTTCGTCCTTTCATCGTCCTTCATCCACCCTTTTTGACCCATTTGAAAAACACAAAACTTTTTAAATTGAAAATAATCTTTACCAGTGACTGTATGAAAAGAAATGTGCTATAGTAACGAAATCGGAAACCGTCAATGGCCGCGACTTTCAGCACCTTTTTGCACCATTTTTTAAGGCTTTTTAGCCCACCAAGGGTAACCTTTTAGTGGCCATTTTGCAGTCAGTTTCATTTTGCACCCGTTTTCGCACTTCCGACTTTGGCAGTGAAAACGTCATTTTTTTGGCTCTGTTTCCCTTTATACTTTTTCAAAAAAAGGCTTCGATGTTTTTGTATCGTTCTAAATAAAATATTTTTGACTTTTTTGGGATGAACCTGGTTCATGAGCATGTTCAAGGAGTCCGTTTCGATCCGGTAGGCACTGGCGCTCATTGGAGCACGAAGAGAGCTTCTTCGAGAAGACGTCGAAGATTCTCCTTCTGACACCGGAACGAAAGACGGAGCCCTGGAGTCCGATTTGACTGGCTGTCTGGAAATAATCCATCGATAAGACACACAGAACTTAAATTTAATATTTTAATAAATTTTACTGGAAAAATTTTCAGTGGCCACAATATTAGTCAAATTAGTGGCCGCTTAAGGGGTTAAAAAATTAGTGGCCTCTACAGAGGTCTAAGTGCTACTACTAGACCACTAAAAGTTTTAGTTGCCACTTTAGGGGTCAATGGATCAACATAACTGGTCCTGTTTGTTTCAAAATTATCAGAGTTATTGGAAGGAATACTGGATGAAAAACTACTGAAATGGCCACTGAAACGGAAAATTGTGGCCACTTTAGTGTCCTCTCCAAGCAGTCCAATACGAGCCTCTATAGTGGCCACTAAAAATTTTCCCAGTAAGCTTTTTTTTGTAGAAGTCTCTATTGAAAAATTCCATACTCCGCTGTTTTCAAGCAAAAAGAAGTCAAAAATACCAACATTTAAGATATTTTGAGGTTTTTCAGAACTCCTATGACGAAAATTACACATTATTATCTATTTTTCCTCTTGAAATCACTTCTTAAAGCTTTTCTGACTCAGTCTTTCTTAGCAAAAAAAAGCTATTATTCAGTGAAATTCAATAAAATCCCGCTCAAATGTTGGTCACCTTGATTCTTTTCGATTAAATTTACCTGACTCACAATATTATACCGTAAAGCTTCATAAAATCAACTCCGTGGTAATTTAATTTCAAAAAAAGCTTACAAATTTTTGAAAAATTCAATCTTTCTCAGAGAACAGTCAATTTCATTTAGAACCTCAAAAATCATAGACTCCATTATATTCTGCATTTTTGCATCGATTTTTCAAAACAAGTTGTACTAAGCCTAAAAATAGACGTAAATTAATAAGAGCGTTTTTTTCTCTTGAAAATAAACCCGCAAGATTAATAGAAACCCGTTTTTTCGAGAAAGAAAAAGCTCAAAAAGTTAAATTTCGGAATATTTTGAGTTTTCCGATTTCCTAGAAGAAAATAAAATTCGGAAAATTACACATTATTATCTACTTAATCTGTTCTTGAAGCTTCTCTGACTCAATTTTTCGTTTTGAAAAAATTCTGAGTTAAAATTTCTCAAAACACGCTTCAATTTCGACCTTATTGCTCCTTTCTCTTTCGTATACCATTTTTTTTTCGTTTTTTTTTCCGAAAGCTTTTTTCTCAGAGCTTCTCCTAACTTTCATGAGGCTCAAATAAAATTCCAAGAAAAAGCTTACAATTTTTTAAAAATACCTCGGGGATCGATCACTTTCATTCAGAACCTCAAAAATCATAGACTACATTATATCCTGCATTTTGTTTTGCATCTAGTTTTTAAAATAAGTTGTACTAAGCCTAAAAAAATAGGCGTTAATTAATCACAACATCTTTTTGTTGAGAAAATACACCCGCAAGATTAATAGAAACCCGTTTTTCGAACAAAAAAAAAAGCTCAAAAATTCAAATTTCGGAATATTTTTGAAGGTTTTCAGATTTCCCAGAAGGAAAATTTGAAAATTACACATTATTATCTATTTTTCCTCTTGAAATCAGTTCCTACAGCTTCTCTGACTCAAATTCACATTCTCAAAAAAAAATTCTCGGTTACTCGACTTAACTGTTTATGAGAATTTATAAAAGCACGCTCGAGTTTCTATCAAATTCATTCGAGCAATTTTAGCTCGTATATTATTACTTTTCTCCTATTTCAAAAGCTTGTGCTTACAAGGAAGGTCATTTTACTTTACGGTTGGGAATTTCCTGAAAAGAATACTTCTTGATGTACCAAAAGAAGATCCTGAAAGTCTCAACCTGCACAACTTCCTAGTTTTCGAAAAAGGACACCTTAAAGTCGAAGAAAGCACTAAAAATCGGTTATAATAGGCCATTTTTAGGCTTTGAGACCTCATTTCTCGAAAACTAGGAAATTTGTGCAAGTTGAGACTTTCAGAATCTTCTTCTGGTACATCAAGAAGTGTTCAGGCCTTTTTCAGAAAATTCCCAACCGAAAAGTAAAATTTAGTCCCCTGTTTGAGCTTCTCCTAAATTTCTTAAAGCTTCATGAAATGAACTCAACCAAGATTAAATTTTCAGAAGGCTTATAGATTTTCAAACATCAATTTTTCACCCGGAGAAAATTTAATTCCACTTTTTCAACCTCAGAAATCATATAATCCATTAAAATCTGCATTTTATTCGCTCTGAAAACCTTGAGAACTTAAAAATAGTTGTACTAGACCTAAAAATAGACAATAATTAATCACAGCGTTTTTTTCCCACACACATACACCTGCCAGATTAATCCCCAAGACGTTACTTTTCGTAGAGTTTGTTTACGTTCAATTTTCAATTTGCTGAAAATAATGGGAAAAACGTACTGTCGGGCCGTTTTCGGGTCCTCCGGCTGTTCCGGCGAAACTTTGCGTTCTGTCCGAGTTTCTTCTTTTTTGACCGGTGTTGGGGGCGCTTTTTCCTTGGCGGCAGGTGCCTGGAATTCCAATTTATAGCTTGATTGAAACAGAGAAATCAGTTAAAAACTAGCAAAAACTAAAAAACCATTTACCTTTTTTTTCGCTTACCGACCATTTTAAGGTTCAAATTTTTCAGTTTTTCTTTATCTATCTCTTTTTTTCACGGGCAATAGTAGTGTTGTACTTAGAAAAAAATAAATAAAAAAACCATTTTTCTTTTTTTACACAAAAAAATTTCATTTATAGATTTCTAATTATCTTTTTGAAGTTGATGTAACCTTTATCATTGAAGAAATAATTCATTTTTTTCCAAAAAAATAGGCTCAAATTTTTAATTTTATTATTGTGTCTATCATTTTTTTCCTCCCTCTTACCTTGAGAAAACATGAAATTAACCATTTTTTATCACGAAAAAATTTCATTTTTTGATTCCTGTTCATTTTTGAATTGGAATAAAACTTTTAAGATTTATAATCCTTAAAAATTCCAGAAGCAAGGCTCAATATTCTAGTTTTCTCGTATATATCATTTTTCCCGAATTACTTATATGTTGAACCCTTTAAAAACACGAATTTATTCATATTTCTTTTTTTTCACTGAAAAGCTCACTTTTCGGTTTCTAATTATCTTTAAAGTTAAAAACGAAAATCGATTTCTACTTCTACTTGCAATAACTGCATTTTTCCGAATTCAATCAAACAACTGCTTTCCATTCGATTTCCTCCGTGTAACCTAATAAATTATCCATCAAACTTCATTTGCTGACTTTTTCTAATCAAACTCTTACTAATATGATCAGGAGAACATGACAAAACATCTGGCCGTTCATAAATATTTGTCTTATTCATAATTTGCTCACTGACCATTTTAAAAAACATTTAGATTAATTTTTGAAAAGCTTTGATCATTTTCAAGTTGGCTAGAGTTGCTCTAAATCCTTGCCTGAGTACTTAAAGGATCATAGCCATATTTGAAAAAATTTTCAAGAAGAAAAGCCGTTTTTATTGTTATTTATGGAATTTAAAGCATTGTGTGTATGATACCTTAGTATTTATTTTTGGAGAAATCATTTCCAATCAAACTTTTCTTCAAATCTAAGTTTTAAAACTCCTCTTTCCGTTTTTCCGACAATATTTTATAAATTGTTTATTTGAAGATTAATTCTGATTTTTAAAACCACCTTTTTACCCCAAAAATACTTGTAACAAAATCAGTTTTTTCGGAGACTACTTTTAATTTCTGGCCCTCTAGGTATCACTAGAATGGTTCCCTAGAGTGGCCACTAATTAAATCCCCTTGAGTGGCCCCTCTTGTAATATTTAGTGCTCCATAGAGAAGCTCCACCAACTCAAGCCCCTAGCCTCTTTTGCAAGCTTCAGTACCCTATGGGAGATTTTTAAGTGGTCCCTAGAGGGGATCCCTAAAGTTGTCCCTATAGGGACCATTCTGCCGTCGCCAATTATTTGAATTGTACGTTTCAGAAAGTATTTTTAAACGAGTCCTCACAAATCCTGTCATTATTCCCGAAGTAAATGTATCTCCTTCATTCCCATCAACTTATCGAACTGATTTCGAAATATCAACCGTGCAACTTTCATCCTCATCAGACCTTCAAAACCTCGTAATCCCCCTCTAATCTGAGCAACACTGCAATCGCCTGACCATTTTGTCGCCCTTGATCCTTTTCAAATCTCTATGAAAAAAAGACATCAAACCAAACATTTGTCATCGAGTTTCAAAACAATTTCGGGGGTATAAAAATGAGTAATGGAAGTTTGTAAATATCTAGTTTTGCTAAAACAAAAAAACGATCGAAAATCTTTTCAGAATCGGAAAAGTTTGGATTTTGAACTCTCGAGGTGATTTGGAAAGTTGAAATAGCCCTTGGAATTGTTAAAAGTGGATTTTTGGGATGCGTCCGACTTGAAACGGCTTGCGCACGGAGGCATCATCATGCATACAAGTGCCGTTCTAGGGCTCTAGATCTGATTAGATGCTCATTGAGATTTTTTTTTTCGAATATTGATCACAAAATGTTATCTGACTGAAATAATGACCATAAAAAATCGGAAAAGCTTAAAAATTCATTAAATTTTTGCTCTTTTTGAAAATTCAGCGTTTGGCAGAGTTCTGGTGTTGGCGTGAAGATTTGTCAGCCTAACTTTTGATTTTTCGAAGTGCGCCCGACTTGAAACGGCTTGCGCCTAGATTCATTATCAATTCTTGAAGAACCTTGTTGAATAAGCTGTAGACATGGCTTGATGCGAAAAAAAAATTTTTTTTTTTTGGTTCTCGATTTGAAATTCCATTTGAGTGAAATAATGACTATAAAAAACCAAAAAAAGCTTCAAAATTCCTCAAATTTTCGCTCTTTCAATGGTTTTCGCTCTCGGCCAAGGTTCAAACCTTCTCATAAAAAATTGTCATCCTTAATTTGAAAAAAAAAATCCCAAGCGTACACTTAATTCCATAAAAAATTGCTCAGCAGTTGCTATGGAAATTCCGAAGATTCTCAGTTGTTTTTTGTTCCTTTTTTCGTTATTATTTCGAAACCTTGCACCAAATCAGGCGTTCTTTGATTGCAGACCGGAAAGTACAGCCCTTCTTTTGGCTTCTTCTATGTTATTTTGTGGATTCTGAGCGAAGATCTACGTCTCCTTATCGACAATATCAACTAATTGAAGCTGTGGACGACCATCAAACGTCCATCGAATCGGGAAAAAGAGGAGTTGGAGAGGAAAAAGGCGAAAGAGCGGATTACCTGGTCCCCGAGGGCGAATTCGTCCGCCCCAACGCCATTTCGACGAATCCGACCGTTTCTCTAACCCCTTTTTTGACCCCAAAATGCGTCTTCTTTTGCTCATTTTGGCCATTCTACTGATGATATTACGAGAAAGTGCGGCTGAAGTCGTGGTTCGTTATTTTTTTTCGGGATATTATCTATTTCCGCAATTATTGAATTTCACATTGTCAGAGTTAAAATCTGTTTTTACTTCTTTTCACTTTTTTAGTCCGGAAATCTCAAAATTTTCATATCTATAGTTCGCGAATCCACAAATTTTCTATTCCGAAGCCTAACAATGGTGGTAATTTTACTTCGCACTTGTGAATTTCCGGAAAATTGGCCAGGACACTTCTTGAGATACTAGATGAAGATTCTGACAGTCTCAACCTGCAAAACTGCCTAGTTTTCGAGAAATAGGGCTAAGAGCCCCAAAATAGCCTAATTTCATGAATTTTAGGGTTGTCTTTCTCGAACACTAGAAAGTTTTGCAGGTTGAGAATTTCAGAATCTTCTCCTGGTACATCGAAGAGCGTTCTGGCCGGTTTTCAGGAAAATCCCAACCGCAAAGTAAAATGACTTTTCTTGTGAGGATCTGAAATTTTTTCTTCCTACCGCCCAAAAATTTCGGAGTTTTCATCTTTCTGATCCGAAAATCTCAAAATTTTATACTTCCAATGTCTAAACGGTTCAAAATTCCCATTTCTGATGCCTAATAAGCTTATAATTTCCATTACGTGGTCCATAAATTTAATAAATCATTTCAAAATTTTCTTTTTTTATAATTCAAAAGTCGTTCTTTTCCTAAAAATTGAAATATTGTTGCAGACGGGGACCTGTGCCGAGAAATGCGCGGAGCAGTTTCTGCAGACGATGGCCGACCATCCGGAATACACCTCCCAGCAGTTCAAAGCCAGCTCTTTGGCTTGTATCAACGACTGTCACGACGGCAAATTATGACCTTTTCCCACCATAATTATCTTCTCAATACCGGTTCCCATTCAATGTTTTTTGATCGATGCGATATTCTTCATATCCCATATTTTTTGTCTTTTCCATGTTTTTTTTCCTCAGGCATTATATCCCCGCCGTATACTTGATCTTTTGAAAATTCTTCGAATAAAATTTTAAAAACTCTGAAAAAAAGAACGATCGAAACCTCGGCCTTCTCCTTCTTCTGGTGGTTATGCCCGAGGCGATTTTCAATCTGACGAAGTCGCTCCAGCGGATCATCAGAGTCAACCTGATAAAAAAATGACGAAATGATGATCAAAATTGGGAAAAAAAAAGAATTTTTGAGAAAAATGTCAACTTGACAGGAAAAAAATCGGATAGCCAAATTACTGAATGACATCCTCATCTTTTTTATGAGAAATCGATTTTTTTCACAAAACCAAGACTAAAAAAAAATTTTTTTCAATTTTTTTCTGAAAATAATTCTCTATTTTTCAAACAGGCATGATTTTTCAACTTCGGAACGAGTTTCAACATGGGAAACCTGTTTCGAAAGCTCTAAAACCTTGATTTTTAAATGCCGACCTGTTTTGTCTTGCACAATTGTTATGAAATCTTTCTCTTTTTTTCTTGCGCGTCATTTTTTCTACATGATTACATGAAACGACAATAAAAAACCATTAAAGTGGCCACTAAACCCACCCCTATAGTGGCCACTATTTTCCGTTTTAGTGGCCACTTCCGTAGTTTTTCATCCATTTTTCCTTGTTGATCCATTGACCCCTAAAGTGGCCACTAAAATGTTTAGTGATCTAGTATTAGCACTTCGATTTCTATAGTGGCTACTAATTTTTAACCCCTCAAGCGGCCACTAATTTGACTACTATAGTGGCCACTAAAAATTTCCCCAGCAAATCTTTAGAGACCTTTTTCAAAAAAAAAAACTTCATTAATGAAACTTCACGGTTTCCTAAATTCGATAAAAAGCTCGTCATTGTTATTCCTAGTGATTTGACTTCCACAACGTTCAATCATTTTTTCATGGAAGGATCTCCGCAAAATTTAAATTTTTTTCACACCCGTACTTTATCGAAAGCTACAAGGACTAAAAAAAAATCCCAAAGGATTGAAAATATTATTTGAATAACTCTTCTACCTATCTCCTGTATCTTTTCTGTCTCAATTTTTTCTCAAAGCGGCGGAAAATGATCCCAAAATCTCCCACCTCGATTTTTTTTTTCTAGGAGGAAATCTACTAATTTTTCTTAGATTTTTAATTCATAAAAGGCTTCACCGACTCAGAAACATCTCAAAAAAAAAACAGATCCTTCAACCTATCTGTAGTATTCCAATCCTCCTTCAATGATCTTTCAAACCGACTAGAAAGCTTCCCAGAATCTCCTACCTTGATCTTTTCCTCGTTGACGCCTCTGAGACTCTTCTCGGCGGCTTTCATCTCCTCCTGTGGCGGTTGGACGACGCCGGACTCGTCGGTTTTGCGGGCCTTGGGCGGTTTGACGGGCGAGTTCTCGTTGAACTCCTCGGCCTCCTTCCTTCGCCGTCGGAAGTCTTCGATTTTCCGTCTTGTTTCGACGCTCAGATGGCCGAATTCCATGAAGACGTCCTGTTCGTCGGCCAGATCCTGGACAAAGAGCGTCTCCGCTCGTTCGGTCAGGGGCGTGTGGTCCGTGATCTGCAATCTTGTCGTTCGAAATGAGGAAAAGTAGCGAGGAACTTGAATATTGATGATGTATTCATAGATCAGTGTGGGCCCTAAAGAGTTCACTTTGATTTCCAAATCTAGGAAAAGACTTTTTGAATCAATTGAATCTCAAAAGATTAATGAAAAATAACTGATCAGGTACTTTTTTATTTCTCTAACAAGAGCCCATTTTTGGGCACTTGAAAGGCCGAGTTTTCTGCGCCCTCTTTTCTCTCGATCATGTCAGGAGGGTGCAGAGAAGTCAGACTTTTTCGAGGTATACTGGGAAAATTTTTAGTGGGCACTATAGAGGTTCGCCATGGACTACTTGGAGAGGACACTAAAGTGGCCACTATTTTCCGTTTTAGTGACCACTTGAGTAGTTATTCATCCAATATTCCTTCCAGTAACTCTGATAATTATAAAACAAACAGATTGGACCAGTTACGTTGATCCATTGACCACTATAGTGGCCACTAAAACTCAAAAACCTTATAGTGGCCACTGAACATTTTCCCAATAGCTGGCACCCCAAGTCGCTGAGCCGTGTTCCTCTCCTGATATCGGTGATAATCAGCGACTACTTCACCGGGTGGGTCGCGGCGGGGAACGAACTTGTGACCCTTTGTACCGTAGACAGACGCAAAAATGTTCCCTAGTAAGCGAACTACACCTGATATTTAAACAAAAATAGAAAAACTCCTTAAGATCACGATTAATTCACCTGATTCTCAGGTAATTCCTGAATGACCGGCATATTCTCTTCAAGATTGAGCCACCAATGCGAGGCGATGTCGAAAATATTGGCTCTTCGGTCCGGATTTACGCGAAGCATGTTTCGAATCAACATGGAAGCGGCTAAATTTCAGAATCATTTTTTTTTTCATTGAAGTGTTCACTTGAAGGCGTTTCCGGCTCATAATAGGCGCCTCTCTTGATCTGCCGGACCATTCTGTTGAAATCCCGGCCGTCGAATGGCATCGAACCGTAGACCAAGGTGTACAGAAGGATACCCAGAGACCAGCAATCCACCTAAAGATATATATGATTTTCAATGGTTCCATTCCTTCTTCAAATTGTTACTTATTATCGAGAGAATATGTAGGTTCATGAAATTCGGAACTCTCCCAATCCGTTAGAAAATCCAGAGTGATCCCTAGAGGGTTTAGGGCCCCAACTGGGAAAGCTTTTAGTGGCCACTATAAAGGTTCTCTACTTAGTGACAACTTAAGTAGTTTCTAATCCAGTATCCCTTCCAGTAACTCTGATAATTTAAAACAAACAGATTGGACCTGTTATGCTGATCCATTGACCTCTATAGTGGCCACTAATTTTTAACCCATTAAGTGGCCACTAATTCGACTACTGTAGTGGCCACTAAAACGTCAAAACCCTATAGTGGCCATTAAAAATTTTCCCAGATTAGGGGAAAAAAGGGCTCTGTAGAACGGGAAAATTCAAGTGGTCCCTATAGGGATTCGGGATCTGACCCCTAGGACCCAAAGCGTAAGTGGTTCCTATAGTAGTCTTATGTTTCGTAAGTTAAAAGTAGGTATAGAGGCTACAATTATCCTGCCCTAGAGTGGCCACTTTTGCAAGTTTTACTGCCCTCTTTAAGGTATATAAGGTGGCCCCTTGAGGGAAATTGAAGAGAGTTCTTAACGTTTATTTAGTGACAAACATAACATGAGAAGAAACCATAAATACATTTTTTTGAGTTGAAAAAAATAAAATTCAGCAATTCTGTTAAAAAAAATTCTGGATAGACTCGATCACTTGAAAAACTTGAAAAAAAGATATTTTTTTAGATTTAAAGGAACTTTTTCCCTTTGACTCTTCAAAACGCTGTTCTGAATTGGACTACATCCTTAAAATTGATTCACGGCGGCTTAAGCCATCGAAAAAGGGTCCTGACAGGATAATGCACGAGATAGTGTCTGGCTCGTGGAGAGCGCAGACAGGCCACGCCCCCTTAGCCGCCCAAGCTAGTCGTGAATCGGCTATATTTCATTTTTCTTATGAGAAATATCAAAAAGTCGAAACTCAGTTCATTTTTCGTTAAAAAACAGTTTTTGCATTATTGAATCACCTCAGGTCCCTTATAAGGCGTTCCATTGATGATTTCCGGCGAGGCGTACAAGGGACTCCCACAGAAAGTCGTCAGAAGGACCTTGTCCGAGAAATAATTGGACAAGCCGAAATCGGCGATTTTGGCATTGTTATCCTGGTCGAGGAGGATGTTCTCCAATTTCAAATCCCTATGCGCCACTTGGTGCTGAAAAAATGCTACTTTTGGTTGAAAATATATACAGTGAGGTCCGAAAAAACACGGAATTCTTCCTTAGCTCATAAGTCCTTGTATGGAGCTCAATCTTCATGAAACTCTAAAAAGCTTCCTTTTTTCCTTCCAACCAAAATTCACCAGAATTTTACAAGGTACAGTCCTAAAAACTCCAAATAAGTTCAGAAAGATCAAACTCCATCCAAAAAAGCGTTTTTTCCCGTATATTTTCTGACGGAACTATAGTTGTCTGGGTACCTTGTGGCAGTACAAAACGGCCGAAGTGATTTGTCGGAATATCCGTCGAGCTTCACTTTCTGGCAGCGACCCGCATCTTCAATTCATATCTCTGATCACCGATACCGCTTAGTATTAAATTTCGCGTTGTATAGTCTGTGTGCCACGACTTGAAATTCCACGAAACGACATTCCGCTGTTCCGCTGCGTGCGTTCGCGAAGCGTCTTTCGAGTCTAGGTCACGCTTTCAATTGATTGTTATTGCTTTGGGAGCACAGGAAAGTAGGGTACCTTATTAGAAAAAAAAATATTAAAAGCGCGACCAAGGTTCGCAAAGGCGCGCAGCGGCACAGCGGAATGTCGTTCGGTGAAATTCCAAATCGTGGTACACCGGCTATAAAATGAAAATAATTCCATCGAGATAACTTTTATAGTCGCCAGTTGAACTGAATTTGCTGAGTGTACTTCGGAACCTCCTAATTTCAGAATGAGCCTAATTTTATAGGCTCATTTTCTGTTCATAAATCAAAAACAATATCAACTGTTTCTTTTTCTGAAATGAGGGATCGTGAAATACACTTGAGTTTCATCAAAAGTTCACCCCAGGGACAAAAAACATTCCCTTATAATAAATCTATGCAAGTATGCCTAATTTAGATTTTTCAGGGCGTTCAAAGGAGAACGGCCAAAATTATAAGGGCTTCGCGGCGAAAATCATTCTTCTGTGTTATACTCATAGGAACGCCCTACAAAAGCCTCTTAAGTGGTTCCTCTAGTGACCACTCTAGTGTTCCTAGGAGAGACCTAAACAGCTTAATGGAAATTTTAACACTTCCGCAATTTTTTTGTGAAGTCTCATAAATCTGGAATGGATCAGAAATTTCAAAATCATTACTAAAAACATTTAGATAGTGATTTTTAGTTTTTCAAAGACCATTTTTTTCAAAAATCGTTATTTTTTACCTTGACACGTAATCGTATAACTCTCCCCCGCTTGAGTACTCCATCACGAGAATAATTTTGTCCTTGTTCTCGAATACTGAAAAAATTCTATTCTTCCAAAAAATTCCTCATTTTTCGAAAACCTTCGTAAATTTGAATAATATTTGGGTGATTCAAGGCGCTCATAATTCGAATTTCGCGCCGAATTCTCACCAAGTCCGCCTTGTTCTCGATCGCGCTCTTCTTGATCAATTTCACTGCTACCTGCAAATTTTTTCGTCTTTTTTCGTTCTTCGCACAAGGAAGAAAGTCAAGAAAAGACCAGATTTGCAGGGGAAATTCCCAGAGGAATCCGGAAAAAAGAGGCATTTTTTCACGAGATGACACTTTCTTGTCTCGAGCTCTTCAATCAAAAACTTCTTGACCCTTTTGAGAAAAAAACTACATTTCATATATGATTCAAAAATCTTTGCTAATATTTAAAACCGTCCGATTTTCAATGAAGTCCTGTTTTTCTATTTCCCAAGCATTTTCGTTCATTTTTAACGACTTTTGTGTAAAGTATTCCCACTATACATATGTGTGTTCTGTGGCAGTATTTTCGGTCGTCAAAAGTGCTTTTTTTTGGAGTAGAACAGAAACTTTGAGGCTATGTGAGAAATAAAACTAATCGTTAGAGAAAAAAATGGTTTTTTTATCGACGTTTCATGTAATTTTGTAAGAAAAAAATGACGCGCAAGAAAAAAAGAGATATTTTTATAACAATTTTGCCAAACAGAACAGATCAATATTTAAAAAAATCAAGCTTTTTATTAGAGCTTTCGAAACAGGTTTCCCATGTTTCAAATCAAATAAAATCAATCATTTTAATATTTAACATTTTTCCCACTATACTCGTTTTGAAGTTGAAACTTCATAAAAGTTTGAAAAACATGAAGATATTTTTCTCAAAAAAAGTTTCTTATAATTTTTTTGATAAATCATAGGATTTTTCGATGATGAAATTCTTGCAAAAAAATCATAATTTTTTTCTAAAAAAATATTGAACACTTTTTTGAACTTCACCAGCTTTCCAAAAAAATTATTTTTCTTTCAAATAATTAATATTTAAAAATTTATTCAACTATTCCCACTGTACGTCTGTTATGAGGCTTCAAAAAGCTGAAAAAAATATAGTTTTTTTCCATAAAAAAAATCTCTTATTTTTAATTTGAAGGACAAGAAAGACAAGAAGGGTACTACCCAAAAATAAGGAATTCCTAATTTTAGTGAAAAAAAAAATAAAGTTCGAAATAAGTTCTTTAAAAACTTTAAAAACAATCCTAGAAATGTTTTCTTACAGTTTCAACGACTTCTCAAAAGCCTGTGATCCATCTAAAAGACCAATTTGTTCATTTCCGACCTCTCTATCAAATTTGTGATCGTAGGCCAGGGAAACTTTGCCGTAGGTACCCGATCCAAGCTTTTTGGTGATTTCGAACCGATGTTTCGATTCTTTCTTGGTCGGCGAGCTCGGCTCGGCTCCGGACATCGGGTGGCCTCCTGGAAAAAGATGATTTGAAAGTTTTTGTCTTGAATTCATTATTTTTCATTTTTCATAACATATTCCTAGTAGTTTCTCTCTGGACTTACCTCTACTCAAAAATCAACCCGAATTCATATTTCGAGACATTTTTTGATTAATCTCTCAAAAAATATGTCGACTACGAACGTAATTTTACTTTGGGATTAAGAAATTCCTGAAAATTTGCTAGAATCATCTTCGAATCTTTCTGAAAATCTGAACCTGCTCAAATTCTCAGTTTTTGAAAATAGACACCTAGAAGTCAAAGAAAACCCTGAAAATCCTCCAAAACGGGCAATTTTGAAGCTTTGAGCCCTCATTTTTCAAAAACTAGAAAATTATACAGCTTGAGACTATCAGAATCTTCATTAGGTACATCCAGGAGTAATCTGACCAATTTTAAGCGAATTCTGAGCCGAAGAATAAAATGACCTCTTTGTGAGTCATCAAAGTATTAAGCTCATAAGAACCCCGAATAAATTGGAAAAAAGACGGAAAAAATGTTTTTTCAGAGCCAGGCATGAATACACTACACCCTCGAATCACCATTTTTGTCAATCCTACGATTTTCTGCATCATTCCGAGCCCTGAGAGCCCGTCGGACCACTTTAGCGAAGTAACCAGTCGAGCAGAGCAGACTGAACGGCATCAGCCTCCCAAGTAATCGATAAATCAATCGATAGTCGATTTATCGATTAGATTATGCATCTAGAAAATAAGTAGGGAAGTCTTGAATTCGAAAAACGAGCGGAAGGGAGCGTACTAACAAGCGTCCGTTGGCCGTTAACATGCGAAAGCTCGTAAGCCGTTTTTCCATGATATAGATAATAAATATGCAGAAGTTTTACGGTCTAGTGTAAGAGGATAACAATGGGAGTGTAAAAACAAATTTTTAGAATAGATTTTCAGATCAAAAAGTGAAAAAATAAGGTTCGTAGGCTTAAAATAATGGTAAAATCAACTTTTGCAACATCAAGTGAATGAGATAACCTTGAAATAGAAAGAAAGAAAAAAAATTTATGAAAGTTTTTATTTATTTAAAATATCCCAATTATCACATGAAAAATCTAGATTTGAAATTTGAATTTCGAGAAATTTTCTAAAAGTTCTTAATTTGATTCAAGTTGATCATTTTCGAACGAATTTTACGAAATAAACGTCTTTTCATGAACATCTTCCTAAAAGAAACTCGGAAGAAACAGGAAAAGTTCAGAAAATGAAAATGTGTAAAATTAGAGAAGAGACACTTATCATCAAAGCGAATTAAAAAAAAAGTAATATTCTGAAAAATGAGCCAATCCATACTCGATGCAAATGCTACGCCTTTAGCCATTCCAAATGCGACCACAGTGATTTATGCAAAGCAAAATTGATTGGAAAATTAAATTTTCAAGGACACCTAGAGCATTATTTTCACGGAAAATGTCCAAGAAAAGTCAGTTTTTTTTCTAAAATTTTCAAAGACTGCCGAAAATAGGCTTATCATCAACGTGAATTGAAAGAAAAAAAAATATTTTGGAAAACAAATAGTCCTTCCGCAAGAGAACCGCGACGCATTTAGCCATTCCAAATGCGGCCGCGATGAATAAATTCATGAAAATGAGTCGCGTTTCTTTTTATTTCGAAAATTAAACGGAAAATTCAAATTTCAACAGCATCTAGAGCGTTATTTTGACGGAAAACCTCAAGGAAAAGCCAACTTTTTGTCAAAAATTTCTCAAGAAGGGCGAGAAAAAGACGTATCATTAATAAAAATCGAGAAAAACCAAAAACGGTTTTAAACTTTTTGATCCGCAGCGCTGCAGCTACACTTTCAGCCATTCCAAATGCGACCACGGTGATAAAAAACGTGGAAAATATCTTTTACTTGAAGAATTTGATGAAAAATTCAAATTTCAACAGCATCTAGAGCGTTATTTTGACGGAAAACCTCAAGGAAAAGTCAAATTTTTTCCAAAAATCTTTAAAAAAGCCGAAACCCGATTATCCGACATCAAAAGACATCCTAGGAGCGAAGAAAAATGAAGTTCTCTTGGCATCTCGTTCCGAAATCGTTCCAGAAAAGACAATCGCTCAAAAACAGCAGCAAAAAAAAGAAGAAGTGAGTCAAGGGACGACGAAAAAAAAGTGGCTGGACGAGCCCTTCGAAGGCGACAATGTGTGTATGGAGCCGCACCAGATATATATATTTTTTTGAAAAGTGCTCCCGCGAGGCTCCCGCGGCCCAATTTTCGCCTTTGCCAAGCCGACTTCGATGGACTTGAGGTCGGGTTGAAGTTTGAGTCAACTTGAAACAACAATTGAATGGAATCAAATAAAGTTATGGGAGATTTTTAAGTCCAATATGGAGAATACGCTGAGTACCTAAATAAGGCGTATTTCATCGTTTCGGAAAAATAAGGCCTAAAAAAGGCAAACTAAGCTTACTGAGAACGTAAATAAATTTAAAAAATAAGAAAATGTTGGGTTGAAATGAAGTTATTGAGAGAGTTAGAAGTTCAATTTGAAGAATAAGCTTTCTGAGTGTTTAAATAAGGCCTAGATATATTTTTTTAAGGATAGTCTCGGAAAAAAAATAGGATAGACTCCCAAAAAGGGGCTAGCTGAGATTACTCAGTGAATATATAAAAAAAAGAAATGTAAATTAAAATGAAGTTTTTTTGAGTGAATTTGAAGCTGAAGTACCAAGACCAAGCTTTCTGAGTACTTAAATAAGACCTATATTTTTTTAAAAAGATTGACTCGGAAAAAATTGAACGTATGCCTGGAAAAAGAGTGAAATAAGCTTAATGAGTACATATATAAAAATGAAAAAATAAGAAAATCTGAATGAAAATGAATTTATTGAGTGAGTTTGAAGTTCAATATGGAGAATAAGTTATCTAAATACCTACATAAGGCTTATATATTTTTCTTAAAAGATCGACTCGAAAAAAACTGGATAAGATCTTAAAAAAAGAGTAACCTAAGCTTACGTGACCTTGATTAAATTTCAAAAAAAAAAAAATGTAAATTAAAAAAAGAATTTATTAGGTAAATTTGAAGCTGGAGGGAAAGCATACCCTTTCTATGTACCTAAACGAAAACCTGAATATTTTTTCTTTCTGAAAATTGACCTCAAAAAAAATGGAAAGGTATCTACAAATAGGGCAAACTAAGCTTACTGTGTACCTCAATAATTCAGGTCGACTATTATCCTACTTTTTTTCCGTTATTTATTAGGAATATCTGAGCTTTTTTTAGTCAGATTTGAAGTAAAATTGGAAAAAAAGAAATTCCCATACTCAAGTTTTTTTATGAAATATGTACCATTAGAAACCTTGGACTAAATATTTTTTTGAATAATATAGTCAGGAAAGCTCAGTTATTTTTCGTAGTTAATAGAACAATAGTACCGAAAAATCCATTGAGATTTGGATCCCTACGGATAGTTTTCTTTCTAAAAACTTCCTTTTGATCGAAATTCTTTTAAAAAATCGGCTTCCGCAAAATGAAAAATGACAAATGAGTGGTCGGGAAAAGCCGAGGACGGACTGCTTTTTTCAAAAATTCATCAATGAACCCGAAAACTTTTTTTGATAATGAGCGAAAAATGAGAAAAATCTTCTTTGTAATATAGACTGGAATCGTTAAAATGTCTCAAATCGTTTGAACATCTTTTCACAGTTAAAAATTAAAATGACATGTTGAAAATCCACTGAAAGAATATAAACGAATGTTAAAAATAATTTCGAGTCATTATTAAAACCGTAGAAACCTTAAAAAATTTTCAAACCATTCAAACATCTTGAAGAAGTAGAAGCTCAACTGTAAACTTTGAAAAGCTCAGCTTCAGATAAAAAGGAAAAAATCAAAAAAGGGATCTAGAGCCATCAATCAACAAGAAATCGTTTTCATTATAGTCAAAGCCTCAAAAAAGCATACAGTGAAACCTTTAAAATTTCACAAGCCGTTTTAACTAAAAAGGAAGTAGAATCATGAAAGCTCAGCTTCAGAAAAAAAAGAATCTCGAGTCTGACTGAGAACTTTTTCAAAGGCGATAGAGAGGCGAGCAAAAATTCTGTTTGATCTGCAGGAAAGATCGATTTTCCGTGAGAACGACTCTTGAAAAAACCATTGATAAATATATATAAACTGGGCCAGATTGGAAATTCCAGTTGTGGGCCACAACGGAAATATAATATTCTAGTGTTTATTATCCTTCCAACGAAGCTTTTCGCCACTTTCCTCTTATACAAGAAAATTATTCTGGGGTAAGAAGAAAAAAAGCGAAATTACTTCATAGTTCAGTTAATATAGAAAAACTTTTCTTTGTACAAAATAGAAATGCAGTCCTTTCTATGAACGTTTTTAGTCAAAAGCTAGCAGAAAGGAAGATTTAGGGCCGCAATTTGTTAAAATATGAAGATTATTCTGGATTTCGACACGTTTAGCGTCATTCTACGGCTTTTCCTGAAGGGAAAAAGCTCTAAAAATGATTCAAAACGGGAAAAATTCTGAAAAAGGAAAAAAACGTTTTGATATCGTAACAAGTATTCGGAAAGAAAGTTTGCTTATTTATCGTTGCATTATATTTAATTCACCGAACACTTTGAACCTGTTTCAATTTTTTTATCTTTAGTTTGAAGCTGGAAAGCGATTTGAAAAAGGCGAAAAATGTAAGCAGAAGCATTTTAAAAAAATTATGTTTCAATCCTTATTTGAAGACCTATTGCTAAAAAAATAATTTAAAAAAATGAGCTGTTTTCGGGTGGCAGAATAATCCAGACGTCGAAAAGAATTGAGCGGAATGATGAATTCCCTTTTAGAAGTTTTTTTCAAAGAAAATGTAAAATTATTTTTATTTTTGTGCTAAACTTAATTTTTCAAAATGAGCCGATTTATGGTATAATATTTTAATATTATACATTTTATCATTTAAAAAAATCAAAAAAATACTTCTTAACTTTTTATTTTTCTAGTGGACTTCATCATTTTAGGTCTGTCTATAAGATTTGATCAAAAATTCCAATTAACTCATATTTTTTTGCATTAAAAAAATCTAAAAAAAGGCTTAAAAAAAATGATATACTGATCTTTCTAAATTTTTCCATGGTTTTTTTATAAAAAAATCAAAACCCTTCTTTTTAGCTAACCAAGTCTTTTTCTTTTGTATTATTCAAGCTCAAATGATAGTTCGAATTAAAATTCACTGAGTTTTTCAAATACTCTGGAAAAAAGATTCATTTTCAAGTTATCTAGTCACGTTTTTTTAGTCTCATTCAAGCTCAAAACATAATTCGAATGTAAAATCCCTCAGTACCTCAAAAAATCTAGAAAAAGCTCAATTTTCCAGCAAACCAAATAACGTTATTGCGTCCTTGTCAAGCTCCAATCCCAGCAAAAATAAAAAATCACTGATTCCCTCAAAAAATCCAAAAAAAGCTTCATTTTCAAGTGAACCAGTCACGTTAATTTAGTCTCATTATAGCTTAAAACATAACTCAAATCAAAAATCACTCATCTTCTCAAAAAATCCAGAAAAAGTTTCATTTTCAAGTGCGCCAGTCACATTTTTTAGTCTTAATCAAACTCAAATACACAGTTTGAATTTAAAACCAAGGATTTTCTCAAAAAATTTGGAAATAAAGCTACATTTTCAAGCGAACCAACGTTTTGTCACGTTTTTTTAGTCTTGAAACATAGTTCGACTTAAAAAAAATCACTGCTAATCTTAAAAACTCCGGGAAAAAAAGCTTTATTTCCAAGTGGACCAGTCACGTTTTTTTAGTCTCATTTAAGCTTAAATCATAGTTCGACTTAGAAAAATCACTGCTATTCTCAAAAACTCCAAAAGAGAAGCTTCATTAACCGCGAAATGCTCCAAAGGAAAGGAAAACAAAAACAAGAAAAAAAGAACAAAGAATGAAGATTTCGGGGCGCCGTCTTTCCGTCTTTACACCTCCCGCGGACACATTCGGACGGTAATTTTTCACGTTTTCGTTCAGGAGCCCGGCCTCACGTTGCTTTTTTATCCTCGTCTTGATGGGAACATTTTCGCCCCATTCTTTTGCATGGAAAATTGCCGATTCGGAGGCTTGATTTAGGTTGATGGACTTTACGTTGAGAGAATTTCTGACGTAGTTCAATTTGAGCCGGGTTTTTTGAATCTGTTTTCAAAAACCCTTGAAAAAAGTGGGCAAAGTCAAAGAATAGCCGTAAAAATGATTTTCTGCGCTCTTTGGCTAATTTTTTGAAGTCATTTTTCTGAGAAATGAAAAACCCAAAAATTTGGCCTGAAAAAAAAAAAAAAATCCTAAACAGCGTTATGAGGGCCGATTTTGTGTGCTCCCTGGCTAAAAATTAGGAAAAAAAATAGTAAAATTTGAAGAAAGAAAAAAAGGTAGAAGTGACAATATTTATATAATTAAAAAGCTAAAATTTTTTTTAAATCTCAATAACTTATTTTTTTCAATCGATAGAGCGTGTGAGCCGACAGTTCATTCCAATCGCAACTGCAACATTGCAAAGTTCGAGGTTTTTCAAAAACACTCGAAACAGCAAAGTCATTCAAACTCGAGTGACAAGATCGGAATTCTATTTTTTTTTCAAATAGATCAATTTTTACTGACTATCAGTGGAGCACACATACCGACGAAGAGAGAGCCTTTTGAAGGGATTTTATCTCTTTTTTTACAGCATGACCGACTTTGAAAACATTTTTCAGTAACTTTGACGTTATTCAAGTTCGAAAAAAAACCAATTGAAAAAAATTCTATCCTTTTCCTATATTTTTGCAAATTTTTCTTTTTTTCATATGTTAAGGACCTCATATCTCGTTCACCATAGCTTAGAAAAAGTATGAAAAAAGTCTGATCTGTCTCTTCTTTTGAATGCTATTCATTTTTTCTCTATGGATGAGAGAAAAGAGAGCGCAGAAAAGCCAGATTTTCTCAAATCGTGGCGAATGAAGTATTACATAAATTGACTAAAAATGGATTTTTTTTTCGTTCTTTTTAATCTTGTTTCCTACATCATTTTCCAGTTTCACAACAAAACTAAGATTCAAAAAACCCCGAAAACCCACTTTTTTGTACGCAATCAAAAATCCGTCAACAAAAGTATAAAGTAGTTCTTCCCCCAACTACACGACTAGTGTATCTGAACTTGTTCGAAAACAAAAAACCCATGATTCGCACCAAAAAACCGGCTCATCACTCACAAGTTTTGCGTGTCAAAGCATGTTAAACTATCGATTTTTTGCCGGTGGGAAGAGCACAAAACCAAGAAGGAACAGCTGTTCGATCCGAGGGCACATCGACTTTAAACATCAAACGAACTCGCCATCCGATGAATTGTAACAATTTTATTGTTTTGCAAGGCGGCTCCCGGGTTACGAAACTTCATACGTCTTTTTTTTTTGTTAGCGAGAAGGGATGGGCGGATTTCGAGGGATTCTTATATAATTTTCTCGAATAAAAACGTTCAAAACTTTTGAAAATCACGATAAAAAAGGGAGTAGAAGTACTTTGTGGTCATTTCAGTACAAGATTCAGATTTTTTTTTCAAATTAAAAAATATGGACTCATTTTTCTCAACTCTTCATCTCAGTAATCAAAACAGCAACTATGTTATCTCATTTTTGTTTTCCGAACTGTATCTCAGTTGTTTGCCTTGTATTGAAAATAACGATTATTATTAACTTGGAAAAAAATAACTCAGGAATGGCCTAACTTCAGGAATATTGAAAAGCTTGCTCCAATGTGACCAAAAAAATATTTTAATGTAATCTTTTTTTGCAAACAAAACTATCGCAATGAAATTAAATTTACTCATTTTAAATCAAGAAAATCTTGAATTGAATCCAGTTGGACCGTCAAATCATCTTAAAATCTCGCTAAAAATCAAAAAAAAAAATATATTTTCGAGTTTAAAGAACAGTAAAAATATTCATTTTCTATAACTTTTTTCGGTTAGAACGAAAAAAACTTTTCAAACTGAATGAAATTTCGAATTTTCGTATTTTATTTTCAAAATCATTTTATTCAAATTTTTTCTCGTAAAATTTAACTTTTTTTTTTGATTGGAATAATAGCTTTTGCATTATAACTGCAATCCACAATGATGGATTTCAATAAGAACTCGACTTGAAACAGTGAAAAAAGCAAACCGAGGCCGGAAGCGTTGCCGACGCCGCCATTGGAGCCGCCAAAGGGTCGGATATTGCTCTGGCTGATGCGAGCCAACCGGCCGGTACGGGAGGACGACCCTCCCACTGGCATACGGCCTGCAAATCAGCACTGATTATCCTTTTATTGATAGGAAAAAAAAAGAAAAATGTACAAAAAAATTTTTTTAGAGAGGAAAATGAGCGAAAAAGCATTCGAAAATGAGCTGAATTGTAAAAAATTTATCAAAAAAAAAACCGGAGACTTTGAAGCATTACAAGAATTTTCGGAAAGGCTGAAAGAGTAATTTGAAATCTTTCATTCATTTTTAAGTTTTGTCCATTTTTAACCAGAAAAATGCAGCAGAAGAAGAAAAAAAGCTAAAAGGAAAAAAAAATAGTCTTTCTTGACCAATGCAGTTTTCTCATTCGGGCGATCTTCATAGAAGTTTTTTTTGAATTTTTTAATGAGAAAATTAAAAAAATTGATTAAGAAAAAATTTAAATCAAAACCAAAATATATCATTAAAATAAAAATTTCCGAAAAAGTTCAAGAAATTGATAATTTATTTAATTTAAAATTACCTTATATATTGATAAACTAAGTTAAAATCAAGAAAAAGCAAATTAACAACGAAAAATAGCAAAAAAATTTACCCTATATTCATTTTTTTTTTAGTTATCCGTAAAAATTTTAATTTCCCTACTCACTTTCAAGTGCGAATCAATAACTTCAGTGAGATCGACAATTGTTTAAAATCACTTTGAAACAGGAAAAAGTCAAAAAAATAACTTTATGAAACAAGAAAAACTCAAAAAAGTACAAATAAAAAACTGCTTCCAAGGTTTTCAAAAGATGTTTTTCATAGGTTTCTCTGCACGAGAAAAATGTTTTGAGAGGGAAAAACCTACAAAAGTAAAGAAAAATGTGAAGAAATTGAGGGAAAACCGCAGAGGGACGAATATTTGATGAAATTTCGAATTAAAAAAACTTTTTGGGGTCAAAAAAGCAAGAAAAGTTCAAAGATGTAAGCTTTCAGCTTGAAAAAATCCTTGAAAGCCAGAAAAAAATCGAGAAAAAAAAGTAAAAACGCGCCGAAGGGTACTAGTACACTTGGTCCTCATCATGACTAATCGTCCTTTTCCATTTATTTCTTGTTATCACAAAAAAGAGCGCTTGGATGACTCATTCCACCCTGCAGATCATAACACTTGATGGAATGAGTTTCCTGAAGAGATCCGCGAAATTTTCGAGGTAAAAATATTACGAAAGATATTTTTCAGAGTGAAGGGGGATAAGTCAGGGATAAAGGAATAAGTCAAAAATTTTTTTTTTGAAACGGTAAAAAACGAAAAATTTTTTTTTAAAGATGCTGTTTCTGAAAAAGATTTGGCCTATTTTTCAATCCTAAATCGTGCGAAAACAACGATTTTCCTTTTTTTTTAAATTAACAACAATCTCATTTTGTACTTGTCAATCATATAGAATGAGCTTCTACCACAAAAAAATCGCCATAGAAAATAACAACTCGCAAAAAAATAAAAAAATCTTCAATTTTTCATCTCATCATCCCCTTCATTGGCTCGTGAGAGCCTCAACTGTCTTTTATTCATTTTTCATTTTTCATAGGTTTTACGCTAATTCTTCTCTTTTCAAACAATTTTGCACAGGTTATTTCGTTCTTGCCTGTGAATAAGTGACCTAAAATACTTTAAGAAGACTATGACACAATTTTAAGCCTGAAAAATCAAGGAAAAAATAGGAAATGATTTTCTTAAGTTTCAGATCGCTTGAAATAACAAGGAAAAGCTTTTCTGGCCTTCAGAAAGCTTTCTACGCCCATTAAAAGGATTTCGTGCAGAGTAGGATATCTTATCACTAAAAGTAAGGGAACCAACAAAAGATAGGAAATAAATCTTGTTGAAGAATTATATCTTACTAGGGAACGTGTTTTAAATTTCTCGCAATAGATCTTTTTTTCGAGTTATGGAGCTTCAAAGCCCGCAAAATACGCTAATTGGGGCAAAAAAGCGATATTTCAATCTTTAAAAGTGTCCTAACTCGAAAACGAGATCTATTGCGAGAAATTTTCTTCATGTTCTGCAATCAGAAGAGTCTAAAAATACACTTCAGCAAAGTTTCATCATATTTTTCAACGGGGGAGGGGTTAAAACAGTTTCCTAGTTAGCTACCTGAAACAACAAGGAAAACTTTTTTTTCGTCTTTGAGGAACTCCAAATGCTTCTCTAGCTACACTCCAACAAGACCATCTTACGATTCAAAAATAGGAAAAAGATATGTTTCTCGGGGATCAAAAACGGTCAATCAGTTGGATTGGAGGGGCGGGTGTAATCCCCTCGGTCCCTACAGAACATCGCTTGCAGTTCGCTTTTTTTGCGCCATGTCGGTGCTCCTCCGCCAACCGCCTACTCCACTTTTCGGCGCGACGGTCCCGTCCTGGCGCTTTACAACTCGCAAACGGGGCGGCAGGGGGGAGTCTCTGGACGGTCCCGGATCCGCCTGATCTCTCGCCAGATCCTCGCGGGTTCTTCGGCGCCTGCTCTTTCGACGTTCTGCTGGTCACGTCATTGTTTGAGCATCCACTGATATTGTTTTGGGAGATTGAGTGGTGCAGCTTCATCACTCCAAACGGTTTTTACACGAATCTATCCGTTTTGAAAAATCTACCCCATTGAAAAAACATGAAAAATCTAATGAAACCCGAGAAAATTCATTAGCTGATCAAAACTCAAGACGGTTCGAGAAGCTTTGTAAATGGAGTATAGAAAAAAATCAAAATTTTCTCGAAACGAAGAGACGTTTTCACTGTTTTTTGAGTGATTTGAAATTTCTGATCCGTCAAAACCACAGAAAGAAAAGTTGGAAAGATTATATTTTTAAAAAAAGCGGCTGGTTTCGAAGAATTTCATGGCCCAAAAGAAATCACAAGCTCAAAACCAATCTACAGTCAGAAATTCAGAAAACAAAGAATAAAACGTAAATTTCAATATGAAAAAAGGATTTTTACACTGTAAAAATCAGATTAATGATTTCTTGAAATCTCATTTTTTTTTTCTTATAGTTAAGCATTTGCAGTAACCTCCAGAAATATGGAATAAGTTTAAAAAAATCATATATAATAAAAAAATAATTCAGTGAACACCGAAATCGACAAAAATGGGGGAACCAACAAAATTTGAAGCTTCATTTCTTCAAAACTTGGAAATCTTCACTTTACTGTTCCATATGTAACTGATAGGGCGAAGACCGAAAAAAAGCTCGATACGTTTGATATCAAAAAGTAAAATAGAAAATGTCTTCAAACTTGAAAAATCTTTATCGTTTGCTCGAGATTACTCGATATAAAAAAACAAGGTTTTTAATTCCGGTTTGAAATGAAAAAAAAAATGAAAAAAGAAGGAGTTTTTAAGAACTATCCACAACAACAGAAAATATCAACAAAAATCTTTTTTTTTTTTCGAAAATCTTAAAAGTTCTTTCTCAGATTCAAGAAAAACAAGTAAATTACTACTCTGTCACCAAGAGAGTACAATTTTTAAAAAAACCAACTGGACTCAAAAATTAAATTTATTAAAAAAATATATTTAGAAGTGCTCTACTCATCGCTTGAAAATCTCATCAAATAAAAAAAAATACTGATCGAAAATCTGCAACACGATACACATTTGCAGGAGAGACGGACAAAAATCGGTGGGACAGAAAAAAAAAACTGAAGATCGGGAAAAACGGAGAGCAGATATCACTAGAGAACCCTCAAGGCTCATAAATTAAGAGCCGCTGTCGTTGATGGGCTTTTCGGATCCGCTGAGTAGTTTCCTTACACACTCTTGTCGTGTACTTTTCAAGTTGGTGATTTAAATGAAGAGAAGAAATTATAACCTTTTTTTAATTAAATTTCTTATAAACCCTTGGAAAAAATAATAAATAACAAAAAAAATAACTTTCAAAGAAGTTTCAGATTTTTTTCCCACTTTTGTCGTAACGTTAAATGCGCACTTAACAAATTTATTGACTCAGAGTTTGCTATAAAATCTTCCGTTGAAACAGGAAGGAAACCCCCAAAAAGTTAATAAGCAAAAAAAGTTTTTCTTTTTCAAAAATTCGAACTTTCAAGTTTTTTTCGTCATGTACTATTTTTAGTGGCCACTATAGAGGTTCTCTAATCAGTGGCCACTTCAGAAGTTTCTCATCCAGTATTCCTTCCAGTAACTCTGATAATTTCAAAACAAACAGATTGGACCAGTTATGTTGATCCATTGACCCCTAAAGTGGCCACTAATATTTTTAGTGGTATAGTATTATCACTTAGACCTCTATTTTTAATTTGAAACTAATTTGACTATTATAGTGGCCACTAAAAACTTTTCCAGTAGTGCAATAAATTCTAAACTTCTTTATCTCGAACATCGATTATATAATAAATAAGAAACTCAGGAAGCAAGCCGTCATCACTAAAAGTCTTTCGGTAAACTCAAAAATACTTTCTGACTGATCAAATATACTCAAAGAAAAAAATCATCTCAATTAAAAAATAACTTTTTCGCAAGACATTTTCTCGAAATCCTGTGAGCTTCGATGTCTAAAAACAACCTGTCAAACTGAATTTTCGAAAAAATATGACTCAATAAACTATGCTCACATGATTTTAAAAGAAAAGTAGAACACATGGTTCAAAAAAAAGAAGCACTTTGCGCTGTACTTGAAGTCGGCTGACAAGAAAATCAGAGGTTCAGTCATTTTTCAAAGATTTAAAGCAAGGTACATAGAAAATTTCGGCTTTTAAAAGTTGGAAAGGTTAGTCAAAAGGATAAGATTCCGGACTTTTGTTCTGAAGGACATGAGATCGATCCTCGCCGGGGAAAAGTTGTTTTGCTACTTAAAAAGTCCTCTAAAAAGAATACCATTACGATCAAGGAAACCTCAAGACACCTTTCAATTTGAAGAACTTGTGAAAATGAAAAATGTACTTCCTTGAATGTTGGAAAAATTAGGCCAAAAGAAAATGCTTCTATTTTGAACAGAGTTTCATCAACTTGAGGATGAGAATATAGTCGAAACTATCAAACTGTTAGAATTAAAAAATGGCTTTTTGAAAATTTTTAGGGACGTAAAATGAACTCCAAGCCTCAAATCACACTTGAACCCGTCTTTGGTTCTTAAAAAGCTTTAATTCACAAAAATAATGCAAAACATCCGGGTTCAATCGAGAAAAGCTCAGATTTTTGGTTAAATCGAAAAAATCAGTAAAATCATCATCACAGTGATCGATTCACATTACTGATTTACGAAAATTAAAAATAAGAAAAATTCGCTTTTTTTCAAGTTTTATTTTGTATTCCTATCATTTAAGCCTAATTTCACAGGACTCCTTTACTTTGATCGTAAAAAAAATACGTTTACAAAATTTCTAAAAATCTTTACTTACAGTAAAATCCAGGAAAAATTGTGAAAGTGAGTTTACTTTTTTCATACTATCAAAAGCGTTTTGGGCAAAATCCGAATGGTGGATAATGGCCTCTGAAAGGGAGAGGCTCAAAAAAGGCCGCAGAAAGGCAGCAAAAAGAGTCCCTTTTCCGATCCTTCCATTTTTTTGGGTTTTTAAAGAATCGAGAAATGGTGGAAAAGGGAGAGGCAGCAAAAATGGTGCAAAAGGGCTGAGAAAATGTTGCAGAAAGGCAGCAAAAAGGCTGCAAAGAGGGCCCCTTTATCGAGCCTTTCTGGGCTCTTAAAGGTTCAAGAAAGGGTCGAAAAAGAGAGGCTGCAAAATTGGTGCATTAGGGCCGAGAAAACGGCGCAAAAAGGCAGCAAAAAAGGAACATTTCTATGGAGCCTTTTCAACCCTTTCCGACTTTGCCTATGTAGATCTAAAAGTTCGTGCAATTTCTTCAAAGAAAACAAGTCCTTGATTTCCTACAATGCTATATTTACAGTAAAATCCTGGAAAGAGCTCGGAAAAAAGTTGGTCGGCGAGCCGGGAACTCGGTTCTCTCTGTGATCATGAGATCCGGTGCCGAGTATAATATCGATTCGTTCTCACCTTGTGGCCGCCTTTCCGTTGTAATACAGGTACGAGGGCCGTAAATAAATTGGACCTGAGGCTTTACACAAGGGTTTCCAAAAGGTATTTTTGGTCATAACCGAAAAAAAGGGAGAAGAGAAGATAACAAGAAAATGAGCAGCAACAGATGTTTTTTCGACTTTGAAATTGAAGATCGCTTGTGAAAGAAGCTATTATGTTCAAAGATTTGTTTTCCAGCAATTTCTCTGCTTCAAAAAAATCTTCAAGCCAATAAAAAAATCCATTTGAATTTTTTTAAAAAAATTACAATTTTAACAAAAAAATCAATAGAATATTTGAGACTAAAAAGAACAAAAAAATAATTATTTTATAGTCCGTTTTTTTGCGATTTGGCGGGACTTCTCTGCGCCCTCCTCGTCTCTCGACGACCCTCTCATGTTCATGTGCTATTTCCATGCTTCTCTGACCTCTCCGGTGAGGGAACAGAGAGACGCAGACACGCGAAAACTGTCGCGGCGGACGGACTATAATCAAGAAACTAAAAAAAATTCGAAGCCAGGAAAAAAATTGATTTTTTTGGAAATAGTCAGGTTTCCTGTGGACTAGAAAATTATAATAATGACCCTACGATCGACTTTTGTTCAGTTCCGATTCTCTTTAATGAATAAACTTCTCATTTAGTCTTTTTTTACTCTGTAGTGGTCCCTATAGGGGGCTGACCTAACCCCTCTAGTGACCAATGAAGCCCAAAAGGCAAATCGTTCCGGAAATATATTTTTTTAATCTGCAAGCCCCAGAAGTGAGAAAAAAATTTGAATTTTTGAAAAATCCAAATTATACAAGGGTAAATATACTTACAAGGGAAGTTAGTTCACTCGATTTTTTTTTTCATTCTTTTCGAAAATTTTGAAAGTCTCAACCAGACAAACTTCTATTTTTCTGGAAATGGAAACCTCAACTTCAAAATAACCCTGAAAACCCGTTAAAATACGCTTTTTTGAGGCTCTCAGCTCCAATTTCTTAAAAAATACGAAGTTGAGACTTTCAGAATCCTCTTCTGGGACATCAAGGAGTGTTCTGTAAAGTTCCTCGTCAGGAAGACTTGAGACTAGGTGACTTGTATGATTAAAAAAAGTCCGAAAGAGGGATGGATGTGATAGGACATGAAGTGGAGACGAGACTCTCGAGGTTGACGTCGAGGAGGCGCCTCTGCCGCCGGCGTAACCGGGCGTCGAAGGCGGCCGGACAGCTGACGGAAAAGCACAAGTGTCCATCTCGGCAGCCCGGCGGCGGCTCACGTCCCCCCCTCGGCCCCCATCGATCTGATCGCGAGCCGCTTTTCCGCTTACCGGTTTGGTCATCTTCCGGAAAAACCGTTCCATGAACCATCAGCTCTTGGAAGGAATAGGGGATCTCTGACAATAGGGACTGAAAAAGAAGGTCATTTCACTTTATGGTTGGAAAAGTCCTGTGAATTGACTCTTCAAGGTACCAGACGAAGATCCCGAAAGTCTCAACCTGCCCAACTTCCTAGTTCTCGAGAAAACAAGCTTTAAAATTTAAAGGCATAGGGGCAGTAAAAAACGGCGTTTCAGTTCAAAGCAATACTTTGTAGAGCTTTTCATTGCGAATCGAACGGTGAACTTGGAAACGTACAGAAGTTCCTAGTTTTGGAGAAAAAATAATTCAAAGTCGGAGAGACGAAAGTTTGAGTTCCCGCAAAAAGGGCGCTTTGCAGTAAAGTTGCTCTATGGACAACAGGCTCTGCCATTTTTCGGATTTTCGCCTTTTTCTTCGTTTCTTTCGAATTTCAATTTTTTCTGTTGTCACCAAAGTTCTTTTCGTCACAAAAGCTTTCTATTCATGTTAAATTTGCAAACTTTGATCGCAAAAAAGCTTTTCTGGTGAAAAATGATGATTTTACACAGGTTTCGATTGGGATATTTTGTGTTTTCTTTATTATCGGTGTGTGTGTTTTTGTTTATTTAATTGATTTTTCAGGTAAGAAACCTTTGATTTAAAACAGATATCCGGTTATTTCTCCCAAAATGCGAGTCTAATGAGACGTCCGCAACATCGCGTGCACGTCTACTGTAATCAGTTGTCCGTATGACGATCCAAAGCTTTTTTCAAAATTAAAGGCGAGAATTTAAAAACGCGTTTTTCTTCAAAATTAGTCACATCTGTAATTTTTTTAAGTACACCGTTCGATTCGCAATGAAACGCTCTACAAAATACTGCTTACATCTGGAAACCAGTTTTTTACTACCCCTATGCCTTTAACAAAACTATCAAAACCGACTCGAAGAGGTCCATACCTGACTCTGAAAACTAACTTTTTGGAATATGAGAAATTTTTCAGACTGACACCTTCTGAAAGTCTTGAAGCTTTGTAACGAGAAACCGGCTTAAAAAAAAGTTTTTTAGCATGTTTTAAACCTTAACATATGTAAGAGTGACACCGGAGCTTTTGAATTTTTGCTCCTGAAACTTTAAAAGATAATGAAAAAAAGATTATAACTGAAACTTGGTAAATCCGTCTCATTTTTCATGGCTAAACATATGATTTTATATTTTTTTTGCTAAAAATATGATTTTTTTTTTAAATCCTATGTCTAGGGGGCGCAAAGCCCCGCCCCTTCACGCCACCAAAATGACGATTTTTTTGTTGCAAAAACGGTTTTGAGGCGTTTATACTAGCTAAAGTCCCACTTTAAAAATTACCTGTTTCTGTTAATCTATGTAATCGACAACGCTCTACAAGACTGAATATTTTAAAAACTATGTTTTTTTCAAAAATAAGCGAAAAAGTAAGATTTAACACGAAAAAAACTGACAAGTTTCACAAAAACGTCGCGTTTCAGAAAACCAAGTGAGGAACGCTTCTAAATTTTAAGTATGTTATACATTAACACTTTCTTTATTTTTTTGAGTAAAAAAATAAAAATCTACCGACGCGAAAAAAATATTAAAGCTTGTAAAGTGACACCAAACTTTGAAGCTGAAATGCGAAAAAAATTTCAGCGACATGGTATACTTTTTATTTGATTTAAAAACTAACAGTGTGTCCAAAAAAATAAAAAAATTCAGAATGAAAAATAATTATTGGGACAGCGAATTAAATTATATTTGAGTTTTACCAAAACCTCCTTTTTTTCGTCTGCCTCGTTGACGCATGAGAGAATAGGATCGCGTATATTTTTTTGATCAGGTTATTAAGCGTTCAAAAACTCTATCAATGAAAAAAATTATGAAAAAAATCGATCGACGCGAAAAAAATAACGGCTTTGAAAAACCTCGAAAAAAATGGCAATTTTTTTGAAATTTCGGAAGATTTTGTGCAAGTGTCCGTAGCAGTGTTTGCGTCAAACACACCGATGCGTCCTTTTAAATGTCGCAGGAGCCGTTTTTTTCGAGTCAAATGGCACTTTTTTTCCTGTTTTATTTCGAAATAACATTATTTTTTTCATTTTTTTCTTTTTTTCCAAATTGAATGATAATAATTTTTTTCTGAGTAGAAAAAAAGAAAAAAATAAGCTGAAAAAAATCCCTTTGACCTTTTTTTCTAGGTAGTTTTTTGATATTTTATCAAAAATTCTTATGAGGATTGTACAAAAGATTCATACCAAAACATGAGGCTCAGTTCGGACAACCTCTCAGAACAGAAAACCGATTTAAAAACGGTCCAGAAACGCGCAAAAACATTTAAAAAGAAAGCGTGCGGCAGCGGGTAAACCGTGAGATTTTGCCTCCAGTTGTACGCCGCGCGCGCTAGTTTTTTGGCCATAACTTTTTTCTTAGTGGAGCTTTTTTCAAACACTAAACGGATTATGAAAATGGACAGTCTCCTCTATCGAACAATGTAAAAAACATATTTTTTGAATCGTTCTGAAGAAATGGCTTGCGGTCCCTACCTATGTCTATTTTTTGACATTTTGAGACCGTAATCAACGTAATTTTTTTTCTTGCTCATTGTAATACGAAATTTTTTTTAATCTTAAGAAAACTATATATATTACACGATTAATAGTTCTTTGTTTTTTTTAAATTGTTGTTGGACTTTTCTGGAATCAGGAACGCAAGAGTGGTCTCTTCAGGGGTCTGAAAAAAAACCCATATAGGGGACCAAAAAGAGCTCCCTAGAGGGGTAAAAAGGGTGGTCCTTTTGAAGTTTTAGGGTCTGATTCTATAGCCTCAAGAGCTTAAGTGCTACATGTTCTCAAAATTTTTGTCATGATTTGAAAAAAAAGACGTATTTCATGAAACTTGATCGATTATTCCTTTGTTGATAATTTTTATTCAAATACCCACATTATTATTTCATTTTTCGCATGGGAATGTCTTTTCATAGAGTGTATAACAATAATCGAGATACACCCCTAAAAGGGCCACTTCTACAAGCTTTAGTTGCTCCTATAGGGAGCTAAAGTGGCCCCTAGGGGGGAACATACAGATGCCCTAAGGTTCTCCCTACAGGGACCACTCTGCGGTTCTAATATCAGTAAAAATAGTACTTGATCTTTGAGGACGACGAAAAACCCATCAAACCCTTTTTTCCTCAAATGATTAATTAACCTCGAGAACGTGATAAGATGTCAGGAAAAAAGGCTCGTCCGGCGGGTGCAAACAAACAGGCGGTCAGCAGGTGCCCTCCGCAGCACTTTCTGCCCGGTTTTAATTCTTCTTCTTTTTTTTTCTCTTCAAGGCTTCCGTTCAATTAATCGCATCTTCAAATATTAACGGAAAATGACCAGGAAGAAATCGAAAATCGTTAAGAAATGAGGAAACGACGCATCGAGGGAATGATACGTTTCAATGAAAGAACAAGTTTGACTTGATATTTTCGAACTTCAGTCTCCGTCCATAGAACACCTTTATAGATGATTAAAGAAGAAAGAAATTGGGTTTCAGTCATTATTCGGCTTGGCTCAAATCTAACAGAAATTTTCCTGTGAGAATAAATTGTGAAAAATCCGGAAAGAATATTTATTGAAGGTCAAAATCATTTCAAAAAGAGAATTCTTTTGTAATTTTTTTTTTCTATCCTAAAAAAGCATGATTCCAAAAGACTCTGTCTGCTCTTTATTCAAAAATAAATATTAGGCTTAAAATAGCCATTAACTGAAAAAAAGCTAAGAAATGAGAAAAAAATGTTCATTTTGTCAGCAAACGGTTCAATGCTAAAGATGGAGCAAACTTGAAAAAAATATAATTCTACAAAAAGCACCTTTTTTTGTCTCTAAGTGAAAAGTACCATAAATTAATGAAAAAAAAATGATAAAATTTGAAAACGAAATAAAAATGAGATCAAACTTCAAAGCAGGGCTCAAGTGAGCCAGAAAAAAAGTAGATGTTGAATTTTCTGAGGATTGGGCAAAAAAATGTTGAGATTATCCTAACAGCAAAAGATCGGATAGAAAATTCAAACTTGAAAAAAAAAACTTCTATGACATCCTGTTTTCACGTACCTAGGTGAAATTATCAAAAATGAGCTTTTCTAAAAGATCAGACTTCAAAATCAAAGAAAGAAAAGTTCAAACTTCAAAGCAGACCACAGAAATGAAACGACCTCAAAAAAGAATTGAAGCTTGATGTGCGCAAACTTAATTTTTATAAACACCTCCCTGTGTAGAAGAGCCACTTTAAGAGCTTAGGGGTTAGATCTTGAATCTCTATAGAAACCACCTAAACTAAACCCCTTTAGGGAGCTCTTTTTGGTCCCCTATAGGGATGTTTTTCCTGACCCCTAAAGGGATCACTCTTGCGTACCTAAGGGAGAAGATTAGATTTCAAAATAAATGAAAAATGAGATCAAACTTCAAAAGAAGACTGAAAAGAGCCAGGGAAAGGATAGATGTTGGTGCTAGATGTAGACAAACTTATATTTTAAAAGAGATTTTTTTTCGTCCTCACGTTAAAATTATCAAAAAAGAGCCTCTAAAGAAGATCAGACTTCAAAACCGAAGAAAAATGAGTTCAAACTTCAAAGGAGGAAAAAGAGCCGGGAAAAGATGTTGGATCGTTTCCAAAGGAGCTGAACCTCCTCGAGGATTTCCGCGGGTGGATCTGCGGGAGAAGCCGGGGAAACAAGTCAGGTGAACGGCGTGTGTGTTGCAAAAGTTGCAAACACAACGGGAAGAGAGACGGGCGAAAAAGAAGAAGGAGAAGGAGGAAAAAAGTTGGCGCAGGAGGGCGCCAATTCAAACAAAAAGCTTCGACGGACGGTTTCTGGTGGGTCGGATTTATTAGGGCCTACTTTGAATGGAAAGTCTCTTTCTCTAAGATTCCTCCTTCTTCTGGCAAAAAAGGCCGAGAAGGGTATGATTGTTCGGAGTGACAATTATGTATTGGGATTATACAAGCGGGATATCGGCCAACGAAAGTTTTGAAAGATTTAATTGGAACCTTGCCAAGATGTCAGAGATGGGCGGAACAGAAAGAATACGGACACACTCCGTAAAAAAATTAGGAACATTTTTTTGGATTTCAAAAAAATGATATTTATGTAATTTTTAAATGATGTTTTTTTCGGCAGTTAGCGGGTGAAAAAAAGATGATTGGACTATAAAAAAATAAAAAAATCTGTTTTTACGTTTTAAAATAATCGATATATACAGTTGGAAACTGCTCTATATTTAATAAAATGCTACAAAAAAATATTTCAGTTATTGATTTTATTTTTTTCATTATAAAAAAATTCAAAGGATCGAAAAAAAGCACAGAACTTGGACCATATAAATTTTTGAAAATGCGGAAATTTTCTGAAATTTTAATTCTCGTGTGGTGAGCTTTTCAGATTATATAATAAAAATCTTTTCCCAAATAATCAAAAAAATTTCATTTTTGATTCTTTTTACGCACTCCCTCTGATCCTTTGATCGTTTATGAAAAAATCGAAAAAATCTTTACCTTTTCTTTGAAACCGGGAAGTGAGAAAAAAAAAATGAAGGTTTGAACTTTTTTTCATCTAATCAACCGTCCGGTGAATCAGATTGAAATTCCTAATATTCAATGAAAATTTTTTTGAATTACAGAAAATTGATATAAAAAAAGCTAACCGGGATCGATGACGACGCTGAATCTCTTGACCAAAGTTGGCTGCCGAACTTCGCTGTTGACCTGTATATTACTGTAATAAATATAACAACAAATATATTATCGAAATATATAATTAAATAATCGCAAAATGACCTAAAACATTTTTTTAAAATTTTTCACCAACCTCCCACTTGATTTTTGACATCGCTGCCGCTCAATCGCGCTTCTCGACAGGATTGGTTCAGCCTAAAATAATTTTTTTAATTTTTTTAATAATGAAACTTCAAATCCCACGGTATTTTATTTGAACTGTTCCGATCAACAGATCCCACGCTGCCATTCGCTTCCAAGGATTCTCGACGCGAAAGAGTACTGTCGCGAATTCGATGACTTGATCCGTTGCTGCCGTACCTGAAAATGCAAAATTAACAAGAAACATATGGTTCTATCTCGAACAAAACACTTATTTCGGTTTTTAAGGTTCTTTTATAGACAAATGAAACTCATTTTCTTTTGTTTTAATCAAAAAAAAACGCAAAAAAAATAAATAAATAAATTCGAAATTTTTCATTTTTTCGGTGTGCAGTCGCCTCCACACAAAGCGCGGACTACACTCTGACACGCGCAAAACGTAAAAAATTTGTTTTTCAACTTTCTTCTTGAAATAAAACCCTATACATTACCTTTTCATCAGCGCGTCGATGCTCGGAGAAGAATCGCGACTATCCGAAGCTTTTAAATGATTCTCTTTTATTGATGAAACTGAAAAAGAGTTATAAAAAAATATTTCGAATTAAGAAGAACCTTCTCTGCTCTTTCGACCCATTTCTTTTTCGGGTGTCTTCTTTTTCAAATACTTGTTCATGAGGTCTTGAATCGAAGTATCGCCAGATTCCTTGGATTCAGCAAACACTTGGTTTGGAGCCACTGGAAAAAAAGTTCGATAAAAAAATATAAATTCAAAAAAACTTTCCTATCTTAATTCAATTTTTTCAACTTCATCTAACTTTGCATTAAAACTCGTATTTTTTTGATATCCTTATCATTTTCATTGACAAAAATTACGAGCGAGAAGTTTTTTTTGGACTTACCTTACTTTATTTTTTTTTTCCCTAAACGGATGGTTAGCATACACTTTATTTTGATGATCAATTCTTATTTAGTAAGTTCGAAATTCTTACTGTAAGCCGAAGTTCTGCGATCACTGATTCTCTGCCGAAGGCGCTCGACCCGACTCCTCTGTTTCGGGTCCGCCGGAGGTCGGGCCGTGAATCCAGTCACATTCGGCGTGGCGTACTCGTGACGCGGCGCCGAACCGGACGAAGTCGGTGGCGGCGTGGCCGACGTCGTCTTCATGGAGAAGCGGCCGGGCGTCGTCTCGGAGGGCCGCGTCCAGGCGACGCTGCTCGAGAGCAGCGCCGGCGACGTTATGGCTCTGCCGTAGGTGCCGTACCGACGCTTCGTGCTGCTCGCCATGGGCGGTCTGAACCAAGCTGATTTTCCAGTCCAGGCGTGACAAGGCGCGGAAAAGAAGGAACGACACTCGAGTGGTTAAACGATTGCTCGGGGACCAAAAAGTTGGGCACTCTTCCAAGTGACCAGAGCCTTTCAGGGATCAGAAAACTACTATTTGCTTTATTAATCTTTGGAGTTGGGACAAACCGCTTTCACGAAGTTGTTCTGTGTTTTGAAAGTAACGAATAAGAAAAATATAAAGTTTTTAGATAGTTCTGAAGCTTAAAACTTATGAAAAAAAAAATTTCGACGGTCTATAAACTCGAAAAAGTTCAAAACAGAAAAAAATAAGTCAGAAATCCTAAAATGCTGAAATCCTGACATACTCATGTATTAATAGAAAAAAACAGGCTAATTTTAAAAGTTTTTTTCTGGATTAACATGATGTGATATTTTTTTAAGTCCAACATTTTATTTTTTTCTATTAAAAAAATCGGAAATTGTAAAGATACTTTCCTTATTTTTAAACAACTGCCTTATTAGGAAAGTCATTTTGTTATTTGGTTTGGAATTTCTTGAAAATTTGCCAGAATACTTCTCAATGTACCAGAAGAAGATTCTGAAAGTCTCAATATGCGAAACTTTCTGATTTTCGAAAAATACGGGCTCAAAGTCGCAAAATGGCTCAATTTAACAGATTTCTTTAGCTTTCTATGACTTTGAGGTAACCTTTCTCAAAAACTAGACAAAATTAGGCAGATCGAGGGTTTCCAGGTCATTCACCTGGTAACTCTTGCAAAGTCGGAATGGCGGGTAATGGCGGCTAAAAGGGAGAGGCTCAAAAAAGGTCGCAGAAAGGCAGCAAAAAGGCAGAAAAAAAGCAGCAAAAAGGCAGCAAAAAAGCAGCAAAAAGGCAGCAGAAAGGGTCCCTTTACCGAATCTTTCATTTTTCTGGGACTTTAAAACTCAAGAAATGGTGGAAAAGGGAGAAGCAGCAAAAATGGCGCATTAGGGCCGAAGAAATGGCGCTAAAAGGCAGCAAAAAAGGAGCCTTTTTCACCCTAGAAGGGAGCTTTTTTATGGAGCTTTTTTTGACCATTTCGGCTTCGCCTATGTTAAAAAGTATTCTGGCCAACTTTGAGGATATTCTCAACAGCGAATTTGAATTCTTTTCCAAATACTGCAATTTTGAAGAAAAATGGCGAAAACCGCTTTCCATTGTTTCAAAACAAGTTTATCTTTTGGGAACCAGAGAGGTTATGACAAATCGGAGTGGGAAATGAAGAGCAGAAGAAGGACGACGCGATGGGAATAACGTAGCGAATGACGGCGATCCCCCCCTCCACGAAAGTTGTTCTGCTCGGAACCACATGTGCTGAAACGTCCCGTCGTTCCGTTATTCCAGCCCCGCTACTTTTTCTTTCCTTCCTGAACCGATTTGCGTCGTTGTTCGTCATCTTGCCTTGGTTTTTGAAGTTTGAGATGGTCTCTTGGGACCGGACAATACGACCTTGATGAGCTTTGGAGGATTCAATTTTGAAAAGAGTTAAATCTTCTGAAGGTTTTTAAGCTTTTACTTTTTTTTTAAATCACGAAAAAATGGAAAATTCAAAGGAAATTTCCTCAGAAGGAGCTGATAAGGTTCCGCTAGAGCCCCAAGAATCATGGGGGGTCTTTTTTTGAAACCCTTTGGGAACCCCAGATTGGTCCCTATAAGGGTTAGGGGAGAAAACAGCTATAGAGACCAAAAAAGTGGTCCCTATAGTGATCTTCCAACACTGTTTAAAAACGCTTATTCATTTAATGTTTCGTATGGAACCGCTTCTTCGCATAGAGTACCTAAAAATTATCGGCCAGTATAACCCATACAGGGGCCACTTTTGCAAGCTTAGGGGCCCCTATAGGGGTAAGTAAAGTGGCCACTATAGAGGTTTAAGGGCTACTACTAAACCGCTAAAAGTTTTAGTGGCCGCTTTAGGGGTCAATGGATCAACATAACTCGTTTGTTTCAAAATTATCAGAGTTACTGGAAGGAATACTGGATGAAAGACTACTGAAGGGGCCACTAAAACGGAAAATAGTGGCAAAGAGGTGGGTTTAGTGGCCACTTTAGTGTCCTCTCCAAGAAGTTTTTGGCGAGCCTCTATAGACCACTAAAAAATTTCCCAGAATAGGAAAAAATCTCCGAAAAGATTTCTTGTCTTCAATTCAACATAGTTTATAAAACCAGGACTTTATTGTAATTATTTCATATGAATCTTGAGTCATGTCGCATTTGGAATGGCTATTTTCAGCATTTTCAAAATTTCAAAAAGATACCGATCGATTCTGAGCTTATCCTCCAGGTGCAACACATCATATTTGATCTCGCTTGAGCGAAAAAAGCAAATAATGGGACGGATGCCAAAAGAAACATCAACATTTTTTTCAAGGAATTCCACATAAAAGATAAAATTTATCTGAAGAAAGACAAACTAAAGATCAAGATTTTAATAAATACCCGTTTAGAGTGAATTTCTTGAAAGGCTGAAACATTTTTTTCTTTGAAAAATTGCAAGGTTTTCGAATTCGATCTTTGAAAAAGTAAATTCCAGAAAGTTCCATTTTAAATCAAAAAAGAAGGCGTGGTCTAGAACAAATAAAAAAAAATTTTTTTCGAAAAATCATTTTTCATCACTTGAAACTGTCTAAACTGTCTAGACTCTCTTCTCCATCACCACAAGGTTGCAGAAAGATGGAAATAGCCCGTAAATATGAGAGCGTCGCCAAGAAAGTTGGCGAAGAAATCAGACTGTTTCAAGTTTTGGCGAACACAGGGCTGACTTGAACCACGGAAAAAAAGGTCCTGACATGATAAAAAAAAATAGACAGTGTTTGATTGGTGGAGAACGCAGACAGGCCACGCCCCTTCTCGTCCTAAGTTAGTCGTGAATCGACTATAAGGCGTGAATGAAGGAAAAAAGACGAAAAACTTCAAAAAAAAAAAAAGGTCAAAACTTTCAGGCGGTCATATCCTTGTTGAACTGGAAAATGGTTGAAGTGGAGACTTTAAGTGATTTGACTGAAACCTCAAAACCAACTAAAACTGTCTGGACAGTCTGGTTTCTCTTCTCTCTTTTCGAGAAAGTTGAAGAAGCATGAAATTAGCATGTTAAACATGAGAGGACTATAATGAATCGAGAAAAGAAAACAGTCGGGTGGAAAAAGGACACACCGAGAGATCAAAGAAGGGGGGTAACTGGAAATGGAACTTTGAAAAATAAATCTTTTTTGATCAGATCTTAGAAACTTCGAGATCATTTGTAACAGTCTGAACTGTCTGGTCTCTCTTCTCTCTCTCTCCGAAAAAGTCGTAGAAACATGAAATTAGCATGTCAAACATGAGAGGACTATAATGAATCGAGCAACAAAAAAAAAACAGTAAAAGGACACGCCGAGAGATCAAAGAAGGGGGGTGTGGCCGGAAAACGGATAAAGTGGGGCAGATGAATGGAGGAAGGCTGCTGAAGAAGCCGGGAGAAGCCAAGGCAAACACTCAAGCGCCGAGCGTGTCTGCTCCTGTCCAAGAACTTCGAGGCCCTCACCAACTATGTTTAGGGTCCGCAAGCCATTTCTTCAGAACGATTCAAAAAATATGTTTTTCACATTGTTCGATAGAGGAGACTGTCCATTTTCATAATCCGTTTAGTTTTTGAAAAAAGCTCCACTAAGAAAAAAGTTATGGCCAAAAAACTAGCGCGCTCGGCGTTCAACTGGAGGCAAAATCTCACGGTTTACCCGCTGCCGCACGCTTTCTTTTTAAATGTTTTTACGCGTTTCTGGACCGTTTTTTTAAAGCGGTTTTCTGTTCTGAGAGGTTGTTAGATCTGAGCTTAACGTTTTTGGTATAAATATTTTTGTATAACTCTCATAAGAATTTTTTTGATAAAATATCAAAAAAACTACTTAGAAAAAAAAGGTCAGAAGGAATTTTTCAGCTTATTTTTTTCTCTTTTCTAATCAGAAAAAAATTATTATCATTCGGTTTGGAAGAAAGAAAAAAATGAAAAAAATGATGTCATTTCGAAATAAAAACAGGAAAAAAAGTGCAATTTGACTCCGAAAAAAACGGCTCCTGCAACATTTAAAATGGCGCATCGGTGTGTTTGACGCAAACACAGCTACGAACGCTTGCACGAATTCTTCCAAAATTTCAAAAAAAATTGCCATTTTTTCGAGGTTTTCAAAGCCGTTATTTTTTTCGCGTCGTTAGATTTTTTTCATAATTTTTTCATTGATAGAGTTTTGAACGCTTAATAACATAAGAAAAAGTATAGACGCGATCCTATTCTCTCATGCGTCAACGAGGCAGGCGAAAAAAAAGGAGGTTTTGGTAAAATTCAAATATAATTTAATTGGCTGTCCCAATAATTATTTTTCATCCTGAATTTTTTTATTTTTTTGAACACATTGTGAGTTTTTTTAAATCAAATAAAAAGTATACCTTGTCGCTGAAATTTTTTTCGCATTTCAGCTTCAAAGTTTGGTGTCACTTTACAAGCTTCGATTTTTTTCGCGTCGTTAGATTTTTTTAAAAATTTTTTTACTCGAAAAAAATAAAGAAAGTGTTAATATATAACATACTCAAAATTTAGAAGCGTTCCTCACTTGCTTTTTCTGAAACGCGATGATTTTTATGAAACTTGTCAGTTTTTTTCGTGTTAAATCTTACTTTTTTTCGCTTATTTTTTTGAAAAAAAACATAGTTTTTTTAAAATATTCAGTCTTGTAGAGCGTTGTCGATTACATAGGTTAACAGAAACAGTTCCTTTTTAAAGTGGGCCTTTAGCTAGTATAAACGCCTCAAAACCGTTTTTGCAACAAAAAAATCGTCATTTTGGTGGCGTGAAGGGGCGGGGCTTTGCGCCCCCTAACTATGTTCCCTTTTTTCCCCGGCCTTTTTTCCCGTTGGCCACTGTGGGAGAACAGTTTCGGTGGGTTGGACAGTAAAACAAGAGAAGAGGGTCTAAAAATACTTGCTGGCCACAAATCGTTCTGAACTTGTTCGGAAGAGCGAAATTTTCTAGGAAATTACGTCGAAAAATCACGGACTTTCTGAGACTCTTAACAAGCTGGGAAAATGTTTAGTGGCCACTAGAGGGTTTTGACGTTTTAGTGGCCACTATAGTAGTCGAATTAGTGGCCACTTAAGGGGTTGAAACTTAGGGGCCACTATAGAGGTCTAAGTGCTACTACTAGACCACTAAAAACTTTAGTGGCCACTTTAGGGGTCAATGGATCAACAAACTGATCTAATTTGTTTGTATTAAAATTATCAGAGTTACTGAAAGGAATACTGGATGAAAAGCTACTGAAGTGGTCACTAAAACGGAAAATAGTTAGCCCCTTTAGAGGTGGGTTTAGTGGCCACTTTAGTGGGGCCAGAACCCTCTCACTAGGAAACTGCTCGGACTCGGGTACGGGTTTCGAGTTCAAACTTTAATGGTTTATAGACCTAAGTGAGAATACTTGAAAACAAGAGAGAATATCTGCTAAACCCAATAGAGAACTGAGAAAAAATTAGTAGAAAATGTGAAAATTAGGCCTGAAAATTTTCAGAATACTGCTTTTTACCTTATTTTGTATTTTAATACATTTTAATACATTTCCAAGCCTAAGCTGTTCATTTTCAAAAAGCTTTTTCTCAGAAAACTATGGGGTTTAACAGATAATCTCTATTGCTTCCAAGTACTCTTACCCGGGTCTACAAGCCACCAAAGTTTCAACTCGAAACGCGTACCCGAGTCCGAGTAGTTCCCTAGTTAGTTGTAGCAGAAAATAATTCTAAGAGTCTGAACCTGCAAAACTTCCTAGTTTTTGAGAAAAGACGCCTTGAAGTCAAAGAAAACGCTCAAAATCCATTAAAATAGGCTATTTTGGGGCTTCAAGCCCTTATTCCTCCAAAACTAGGAATTTTTGCAGATCGAGACTTTCAGGATCTTCATCTGCTACATAAAGAAGTGTTCTGGCCAATTTTTAGGTGGAAATTTGTAATCCCCAAAGATTTTTTTCCTCAAAAAATCCCCGAAATTTTCCGGAAATATCTCAAGAAATCGAAAAATTTTTCTAACTTAAAAAAATGAAAATCAAGCCTGATAAAAGTTAAATTAAAAACCATTTTCAAAAAAAATTAATACCATTTTCAAAATTCCCGTAAAATCAAAATAACCGTGAGAGAGTAAAAAGATAACTAAAAAAATTGGATAGTCAGAGATAATTTTGAACTTTGCAGAAATTAATTACTCGGTTTTTCGTGAAAACAGGCATCTTCAAACTGAACTTAACAATTTTTGATAGGCTAAAAACCTTACCAGAAACCGGAAACAGTGAAAGTCAGATTTTCAAAGTGCATTCATTAAAGTTTTTCTAAAATTCGAACATATTTGTAGTTTTTTCCTGAGCACTTTAAAACTAACTTTTGCTGGAAACAGTTAAAAACTGGTATAAAAATTTATCAGCCCAAAAAAATTTAACAAAAAAAGAAAAGCTTTTTAAAAATTAAAAAAAAGGAAAAATTTTTTTTTTGTAAAGGACCAAGAAAACAGATTCAAACCCAAAAGACGAAGAAAAGCGGAAAAATCGGGAAAAGTCATATGGTCAGCTGCACGTCGTGAATAGTAGCGACCAATTGAATTGATATTACAATTTTTTCGGAGGCGGCTCGGCTTTTTTCTTCCCAGTGAAACTGAAAAAATACTTTCCTCTTCAAGTCAACCCAATAAGAATGAAAAAAACAATGAGTAAAAATTTGAAAAACGGGAAGAAAAAAATCTGTTCAATTTCAAGTCGCTCAAGCTCCGCCCCTAAGATAAACCTATCAGAGAGCGAGCCATCCGTAGAGCGTTTTCGAATGACTTCACTGCGCTTGAAATTCAAAATATAGTCAATCCATGCCGACTTGAAAGGCGTGGAAAGCGGGACGCGTAGCGTGTGCGTACGCGGTTCTTGACACGGGTTCAATTCAACCGCCAGCGACTATTTGGAGAGCTCTTTTATCGCTTTTTTTCAATTATTTTTCAGTTATTTATTGATTTTTTTCGTTCTCGCATTTAAAAAGTAGGGCGCGCCGTAGCGCAACAGGTTGTGTGCCTGTCTACGGCCCATACGGTCAAAAGTTTAGATTTTCAGAAAGACCAAACTCCATACAAGAAAGTTTTGATCAAAAAAGGATTTTTTCCAATGTTTTCTAACGAAACTGTAGCCCTAGATTTACGCGGAAAAAATGATGTATTTCTTTTTTTTCAAAAAACTTTCACTGAATTTCCCTCAAGACAACAATCTGCTGTAACGAAAATGCGACAAAAAAATAGTTTTTCTTTAAATTCATTCAAAAACCGCTTTAAAAAAATGATTTTTATTTGGAAACTCATTTTTCATCGGAAAATAACATGCTTTGCAAACTTCTCATGATATTTGAAGGAAAACTAAAATAAATGCATTTCGAAGAAAGATTTCAAAAGTAACCCGAGAAAATTATTGCCAAAAAGGTTGTTTTTAAAAGGCATTTTTCGAGAGGAATTTGAAGTTTAAAAAAAGGAGAAAGACGATTTTTTTAAGGGAGGGGGTCAAGAAAAAAAGGTCAAAAAAATGAGTAAGAGGACGGAAAAATGTGCAAATTTATGAATTTTCTTATCCAGGAAAATTTCAAACAACAAAAAAATGATATAGGCTTAATAATTGTTGAAAAAGATATGTAAAACCGAAGAAAAAAGTTGAAAAAAGGTGGCGGATCAGAAAAAAAGGGTCGACCTACAGATTTCGCGGCAAAAAGTTACAAATGCAGATCAAAAAGAGTCAATTTTCGGAAAATCGGTCTAATCACATGTTATCATAGTAGAAACTGATGGATCTTTCGTTTCCGACCGGAATTCCGGCCTCGCCGTTGATATTTCCGGTCATCGAGTACCAGGATCCGAACGGATTCGGGCTTCCGTGAATGTCGACGTGTTCGTGAGGCTCTCTTGGTGGATCATCTACAACTTTCGTTATCAGCTATTTTTTCATTATTCGTATGAAGACTTTTTTTTATTCAACGCCGAAAATTCTTTGATTGAAGTTCAGGAATCAGAAATCGAGCATTCGAATTTGTTGTTAGGGACGGTGAGACTTTTTTCAAAAATGATTCAAAAAATATACTTTTCACACTTTTCGATAAAGGGACTGTCAATTTTCTTAATCCGTTCAGTTTTTGAGAGAAAGTCCACTATAAAAAAACTTTCTTGGGCTCTTTAAAGGATAATAAATAACTTTCTTGAAGCGGAGAACTGTTTTTTGTGTTATTTTCGATGCTGGAATTCTTCAAAAGGTCCGTCAAGAACTGTTTGAAGAGGCATTTTAAGTGATAAAGTTTATTTTTCTTCGAAATAAATCAAACTTCATTTTAAAGTAAAATGAATTCTGCAGCAAAAATTCGAGATTTATTTTCCTCAAAAAACTATTTTTGGGCGTTTTTTGCCGCGACCTTGAATAAGACGTCTTCTTTTCAACAATTTCGGCCTAAAATAATTTAGACTCCCCTCTAGGGATCACCTCGAATCCCGCTACAGGGGGGCTTTCAAAAGTGGCCACTCTAGGTGTTTCAGTTAGTGACCACCCTAGGGGAACATGATTTTTGTTTCCTATACGTTTTTATCTCTAATAGATTCTGGAAAAAAAAACATCTGAAATACCACTAAAGGGACCACTTACGCTTCAAAAGTCAGAAATCAGAATTCAAACCACTATAGGGACAATCTACAATTTACCCCTCTAGTGAGCCCTTTTTCGTGCCCTATAGTGGGCCGTTTTTTTCCTAACCCCTCTAGGGACCACTCTAACGTTCACAAGTTTCAAGCATAAAATTCAGGTCTTTTCTAGAAACGAACCGGCACTCTGCCATTTTCTCTCCGTATTCTCCGTGTACTTGTTGAAGAGTGTGTAGACGTTGGCCTGGAAGGCGCTCAGGATGAAATAATACCACATCGGCTGCATCGCCGAGACGAGAATCGAAGCGGTCAGTCTGCAGATTTTTTTCAATCTTCTGGGGAAATTTTTAGTGGTCAAATTAGTGGCCACTATAGAGGTCTAAGTGCTACTACTAGACCACTAAAACTTTTAGTGGCCACTTTAGGGGTCAATGGATCAACATAACTCGTTTGTTTCAAAATTATCAGAGTTACTGGAAGGAATACTGGATGAAAAACTACTGAAGTGGCCACTAACACGGGAAGCATTGGCCACTATAGGGGTGGGTTTAGCGGCCACTTTAGTGTCCTCTCCAAGTAGTCCTTGGAGAGTCTCTATAGTGACCACTAAGTTTTGCCAGTTTACTGAAAAGGGAAAGCGATGAACCTGACGATCAAGTCCCTCAAAACGGACATTTCGTGTCCTTCCGGCGTCCGCGAAATGAAGAGCAGCGGGATGTGAACGGAAATTCCCGACAGGAAACATCGCATGAAGATTGTCGCAAAGAGCTGGAAATGGTTGAAATTAGGTCTTTTTTGAGAGAAACTGATGAAGGGACTTCTCCATATGGAGTAGAAAAAACTCTAACAAGTTATAATTTTGAATTTTAATGATTAAAATTACTACTTTTCTAAATTTACTGAAGAAAAGCTGAAGATCGCTCAGTTTTTGAAGCGAGAATATTTAGGCACATACAAGTGACAAATTAGCAGTCCTTAGAAGGCTAATATTTAGGTGATCCCTATGGGGAATTCAGATCAGACCCCTAAAGCAGCTTCTCTCGGTATCATCTTATGCTCCCCTTAGCGAATCTCAAATAATCGATGAAAATTTGAAGAAAAATCAAGAAAAGGCGCGACTCCAAGAACGCTTCTTGCACTGAATCGGGTTACGCTATGAAAAAGTGGGAGGAGCCTATTTTGCAGAGAGGGCGCGCTTCCATTTTCACTGAAAATGTTAAAATTAGTTCCGTTTTGAATGGAAAATCCGATTCTGTTATAATTATTGTTTGTTTCTCCATCAAAGCTAATCTGTGCGCTAAATAAAAAAAGAAAAATACAATTTTACAGAGCAAAAAAAGCGTTCGAAGCAAGTGGGCGGAGCTTTGCGGTCCCTAAACTTAACTTCTGTTCTCTCTTACTCCACCGTATAGTTCTTTGTAAACGATCAAAGGTATTGATGACGTCATTTCTCAGCCGCGACGCGACCGCAAACGCACCTGTCGGGTCGTTTGCTTGTCTTCCGACCAATTATAACACCATTTATGTTTGGTTCTTCGGATACCGTAGACCAGGAGGACAAGCGAAAGGATTGCGAGGCCTGAAATTTCGAGGTGTGGAGAAAATAAGATTTTTATTGAACTTTCTACCCAAAGATGACTTGTAAATCTATGGAAATCGAGGATTTTTTCGATGAATTTTTAAAAAATGGCTTGAATCTTTTCATTAGAAGAGGATAAATTCCGTTTTGCTAAAGAATAACGCTTGAAAAACTTGATTTATTGACATTTTTTCAACTTAATATTTTTAGAGTTTTTTTTTCCGAACTCACATGCAACTGGCGCCCACTGAACAATCAGAATATGTTGGAAGTAGAAATCTTCGCCGACGACGTCATCAAGACGACATTGGGATGCGACTCGAATCGTCGAGTTTTCGCGGGCCTTGAAAATCGAAAATTGAAATAAGTTAGTTTCATGTTTCACCTTCATTATTTTAAAAAACTTTTTTACGGATTAGTACTGTTTTCACATTGAGCATATTAGAAAGATCGGTTTCGACTTTTTTCGAAGACTATTTTTTGAATTTTTTGAAATTTGGAGAGGTTATAACGGTTTCAAAATATCTATTTGTTCATAATCCAACCAGCTTAAAAAATTTGATTTACGATAAACCGTTCATTTACGTTCAAAAATCCCCTTTTTTGAAAATCCCTATTTCCGCCAAAACTAATCTCAATTCTTGGTAAACACTATTTCTCAAACAAACTTAAATTACAGGTCAAATTGAAAATAGGCTGACCCAAAAACCACTCAAAAATACAAAATCTACTTTTTTTGGTCGTCAATACTTAATTTTTTGAAAATTCTAAACGAGCCATGATCATGAATTCTACGCATTTTAGAGGCTTGAGCTTAAAAAACTTCAAAAATTTTCGAAAAATAGCTTTTTTCCAACGTACCATTTTACATTATTCGACCCGTAACTCACCGAAAAAGGCATCTGGAAAGCGGGAATGAAGAAATAAGCCGAAAAAACGACGAAAACAATGAAAAGCTTCCATTTCATGTAGTGTTTGCAGGCCTGGAAAAAGAAAATATTAATTTTCGGGTATTCTTTAAAATTTTTTTAGAAGAATTTTCTTTCAGAATATTTCTTTGCAGGGTTCTCATGTACTCCTTCAAAAAAAGAAAAAAATTTTATCCCATTTTTCACAGCTTCTAACATTGCCGAAAAGACATTTGAAATGAGTGACACGTAATTTTTTATTTTTTCGAATTTTGAGAATTATGAATCAAAAATCTTGTCAATATAAAGTTTGTCCTACTACAAAAAAAGAACATGAGCTTCTTATTTTTTAAAATTTTTTATCAATAACTTCGTTTTTCTATAAGTCAATATTTTTCGATGGCCCACAAGTAATTGGGGATCACTTTCTCTGTATCTCTGCACCCTCTTTTTCTCTAGTTTTTGATTTAAAAAAAGACAGGAGAGAGAGAAAAAGAACTGGAAAAACATTTCAAAAAAACTCTAACTATTCAACTTTTATTAAAAATCTCAACTGAAACCTTAACGTAGCGGACGAGGCAAACAATCTGAAAAAAAGGCGGTCGATTGAAAAGGCGGCCAGCAAAATGACATGAAGATAATCGGTGAGAACGAAAAAAGCCAAGTGAAACCCGTAGAGAAGGCAGTTGATTGGCTGGACCGTCTGAGAATATTTTTATTGGAAGCTTGTAAAAGTATCCTGGAATTATTGTTAATTTCAGCTCTATTTCTATTTTTAAAGAGTTCAATATTATTGGAATAGCGAGTTGAAGAATCGCTTTAGAACATTGAACAGTTGAAAACATCGTTTTATCGTTAATTCTAGTGTAAAATCCGACTCTAAAACTAGCAGCTTGCTTCAACACATTCCGATGCTGAAACGCGTAAACCGTCGCGAGTCGGGCGCATTTCAAAAGGGACCGTTTTTCAGTGTTCATTTATTGTTTCAATAATGAATCAAGCAAACATGTTACACTCCATTTTTCGCGACATGTAACTGTTTAGTTTCTCTGCACCCTCCTCGTCTCTCGACGACCCTCTCATATTAGAACACTATTTTTATCTTTCTCTGATCTCTCCGGTGAGAGAACAGAGAGACGCAGACACTCGGAAAATCTTACTTCACGGCGAACGGACTATTCCAAAGTTTCAAAAATTTTTTTGAATTAAAAATCCCCGTTTTTTTGGGACTTTTTTTCTACTCTTTCCATTTACTATATCAGCAACTTTCTTTCACACACTTTTAAAAAATTAACGCGTCAAATCGTCAATTAATTATGGCGCGGAGACGGCATTAAAATACTTTTCCAACCTTCAGAAAATAATATGGGCTAAATAATTAATTCGTACTTCTTCTATAAAAAAAAAGTATCAAAGTTCGCAAACCTCGGCGACACCGCCATAAATCATGACGAAAACCCCGTGAAACCCGGAAAAAATCACGGCGACGCCACAAATAAAGTCTGAAACTTCAACTTCATGAAAATGAAGTTTACTGAAGAAACCCACCAACGAGGGCGAAAAACTGGCAGAACTTAAGTGGCCCCTTGGAATTTCGCATGACTAGAAGGATGAAAAGTGAAGAAGCGCACATGGCGAAGCCGACCACAGGCAGGAGTTCGTAGAGAAAATCTTCCAGCATTCTCTGAACATTATAAGGTTTTTTTTGAAGAAAATTATGTGTTTTTTTTTTCAAAAAAGCAGTTTCATGAGAATTTCTATGAGCCTGGATGTAGGAATATATATGAACTTCGAGTAAAAATCGAAGATTATTATATTTGTACAATGTCAAAATCTTATCGAAGACGTTTGCATTAAAAATCTTGAAATTGCAAATACGAAACCGAGATGTGATCTAAACCCAAAGTTGTAAATATTTTTTGGAGACTTTGAGGCTCATTTGAAGGAGCATGGATGAATTTAATAAAAGTCTCGAGGCGAAAATTTTCTATTATTTTGGGCCATGAGAAAATATTTTTCAAGCCAAGTTCCAATTTTCATTCCTTGAAAAATCATCCTACCAATTGATTGACCAGTACTCGGGCCTCAGAAAAAAGAGATAAAAATCAAATGTTTCTGAGTTTTTCTAATGGTCACTTGAGAGGAATCAGCACCTTAGAGTGATCATTAGCCGCGGAAATGCGTTACCGAGGTGAAAAAAAGGTGGACGCCACTTAAATGATCACTAGAAATGCTCAAAAAAGCCTATGCGCGTCCAAAATGCGTTACCGAGGGCCGAGTAAAAAAAAATTGACGCCACTTAAGAGATCATTAGAAATTCGGTGGTATGAAAAAAATACCAGCGAAAACTCGAACGACGACTTTTCCGATTTTTTCGTATCGCTAGGGAACTTTCTGACGGCCACCTATCCGCCGAATCTTTTTCCGACTTTTTTCCTTTATATTTTTTTCGGTTTTATAAAACATATCTTAACATTTTTTTCCTATTTCTTTGTGTTTTTAATCATGAATCAACTACCTACTTTATATAGGAAGATTCAAAACGGAAAGTTCATCGAGAAAAAAAGTCGGAAAAAGATTCGTCGGAATTTTTTTTTTTCTTTGCTGGTCTTTTTTTCATACCACTAGAAATCCTAAGAAATTGCCGGGGCGCGTCCAAAATTCGTTACCGAGCTCTCAGAAAAAAAAAAACTTATTCCACTTAAGGGGCCACTATAAAAATTCTCAAAAACTTCGGAAAGGCGCCCGGTTCGCGGTTTCGAGGTCCGAGTAGAAAAAAAAGGCTGACAACACTTAAGAGACCATTAGAAATGCGCGTCCGGTTTGCCTTAACGAAGTCTGAGTGATGCTAGCTTTTTTTTTAGAATTTTCAGAAAATCCTCATAAAAATGAACGCCTTAGAAACAAAAAACGCGGTTTATCTAGAAATGAAAAATACAAATAGTGTGAAGAAGGAGGTCCCGGTGTGACAATCAGGCCGAGTGAGGCTCGAATCGGCAAATCCGACGAATTATCGGCTGATAATCCACGCCTGCGGCTCGTAGAAGCTACGCGGAAGAGTGGGCCGTCGAGTCGGTTGGATTTCGGAAAGAATTATTCCGTTTGGTTTCCGATTGCTCGGAGAGAACATCGAATGAACATCGCATCAGGCAAAGTGACTTGGGGCTTTTTTTTCTCATACATTTATTGAAAAAACCAAACAACATTGATTCATCATTTGTTGAGCTCTTTATTTTCCAAAAAGGCTGATTTTCAAACTGAAAAATTAAAATTTCGTAGGGTTTTGATGAACGCGAGGGCAATTGAAAAAGTTAAAAGCGATTAATTATTTTCTTCAGTTTTACTTGAGATTCAAAAAATTGTTTTTAATCAGCTTTAAAAAAAGCTTGAAGCAGCTCGGAAAAATTGAATTTCATTGACGAGAAAAAAAAAAGATTTTCTGGACATGAAATGGGACGTGAACTTTAAAAAAAAGACGATATTCAATTCAAAAAAATCTTCAAAAAGAACTGCTTATTTTTTTATCCATTTCAATCAGAAAAAAATCAGAAAGCAGTTTAATCTGGACATTAATACTCAAAAAAAGATTCAAAAAAATATTGACAAAAAAATATTTTTTTATTCAAAAAGTTTTATTACTCCTACCAACTTACCAATGTACTGTGAACTTCCTCTCAGTAATTTAAAATATGTATTTAATTATTCTTCAATAAAAAAATGAGTCATTACAACAATGAAAAATCGAGAAATGAACAAGAAAAAAACCAAAAAAACTGATGTTCGGAGGTTTGGAATTCAAAATAATTTGGTTCAAAGAGAGGTTTGAATTATTTAACGACAAATATTATTTTTTTCAAACGCGTATTTCAAAAAGTATTATAACAATAATAATAATAATAAACACAGAAAAATTGAAAAAGCAAACCGCATTGGCTGGCGTTTCGGATATTTGAGTCGAAACGCTTCTTCTGACTTTTCTCGAAACTTCATCGAAAAACGGTAGACGACTGAAAAAACCAACGGACATCGAAATAACCACCAAGTCGTTTGGATTTCAAAGTTTTATAGACATTTCTTCGTTTCTTCGCCTCCCACAAATCCTTTTGTTTGAGTGGATATTTTCTGATAGCCGACTAATCGCGACTTCCTTCAAAATCCCCACACAAATTTATCAAATCCGAGATTTTTTCAATCACAAAATGTTATCGGAACTCGCGATTATCCTACTTTATCCTGAACCCACACTCGGGTAGCTTTTATCTCGAACTTACGATGTCGAACAGGTGCGATTCAGCTGAGATTATCACAAAAAACAAGGATTTGTGGGCGGTTGAAGACCTTTTGAAAGATTTTCGAGTTCCCTTCAAAGCTTGATAGAAATTTTTTATTATTTTCAATATTTTCGTACACAATCTTCCATGAGAAAATAACAAATAAAAATAAGGTTAATGTCTGAGAAACTGATTCCATGCGAAAATAAGCACCAAAAGGGGATCGAATATGGTGGATAGGAGGGAAAAAAATCGAGAGAAGTTACAGAAAAAATATATATGTTTCGAATAGGCAATTTTTCTACACAATGTTACAAGAAATGATAAAATACAATGATGACTTAGAAATTGAAGATTTGAAAAAGAAATGGAAGCTTGGACAAAACGCGAAAATTTTCTCCAAGTGAATATATTGATCAACACATGAAAAAGGCCACTTTTGAATCACCACAGGGAAAGAAGATACCATTTGTGAAATAGAAAAGAAAATCATTTATTTGAAGCACCGAAATTGCGTCAGACGTAGTTTGCGCCTCTGGAGTGCATTGATTGGCGCAATTTCGGTTCCTCCGCTACGAATGTTTCTAATTTAAAAACTGAGCATTCATTCGCATGATTCTGAATCGCACGGAAAAATCGGACAATCGAAAAAGTTGAAGAGACATTCGGGTGAAAAGGGAGAGCACTGAAGCTAGAACATGGACGGAGCCAGGTTTGAGCATCAATCGATTTCGCGAAGAAAAAAGAAAATGAAAAAGAAGAAAGAAAGATAGCGTTCACCTAGTTTTCGTGCGTGTGGGACCTGTATTTTCGACGATTGGTTTTTTTTTTTCAGAGAAAAATCGCGGAAAAATTGATTAAATGATAGGATAAGGGTACTCGGCTACTGAGAAGGGTGCGATGGAGGACTAGATTTTTGAGAAAATTAATAAATTTTGACTTTTTAGAAGCTGTGCTTTCATTGACTATTCTGGCGGATATTAGGAAAATCTAGGCGGATGAAGAAAGAAAAAGACCGGTTTGAATTAAATAAGAAAAGATGATATAGGAAATGAGCTAAGAGGGGTCAGGATCACAAGGTGGTGACGAGGAGGAGGTCTTCCTGGGAGCCGGTCGAGTCCTGATGACGTGGAGTTCCGGCGGCGGCGGGTCGGAGCAGGGCGTTCCGGGAGTTCTCGTTGAAGTCGCGGATGTCGTTCATGCCGACGTGCTGCATCAGCGGCGCCAACGAGTCGGCCGCCATGTCCATCTCGCCATCTTCCAGGGAGAAGGCCTCTTCGATTTCGCGTCGTGCTGCGCCGACCACTCGCGGGTCCGTGTACCTGTAATGATCAAGGGTTCAAGATCAAAAGCTGAGTTTTGAATCATTTATTCCGCAGAAATATTATATGCCTAAATGTCTTGCTCAATTCTCACATGGAGCAGCTTCGGATTTGAACCTTTCAAACTAAAAAAAAATATTCCAGGCTCATTTTCTGCTATTACTTAATATACATCACCTCATTTTTCCTAGATTTTAATCAAGTGAAAGTTCTAACACTGAAAATATCAACGTAAAATCATATAATGTTCCTTTTAACAGAAAACTTTGATAAAAAGCTGAAAATTTACAAAGAAGTATTTTTTTTTTTGCTATTTTCGAACTCTGGGATTTCCCTGCCTAACTTAGGAACGCCAGAGTGGTCCCTAGAGTGGTTAGGAGAAGAAAACAGTTTTTTTTCACACAAAGGTTACTAGAAACAACGACTTTTTGCGCTCTAGGGACCACTAGAATGTTTCCCTATAGTAGCAACTTTTTCAAGCTTTAGTGTCCCTAAAGAAAAAGGTGAAGTGGTCCCTAGAGTGGTTAGGAGAAAAAAATAGTTTTTTTTCACAAAAGTTACAAGAAATAATGATTTTTCGCGCAAATGTTGTCCCTCTAAGGACCACTAGAATGTTTTCCTACAGTAGCAAATTTTTCAAGCTTTAGTGTCCCTGAAGGAGGAGGTGAAGTGGTACCTAAAGGGGAGCACCATTAGCCTCTAAGGTTACCCCACTAGGGACCTTTTTGGATTTTCCAAGAACCTCTTATCGTTTTTAGGAAGTCCTCATTTTAAAAGTGAAAAAAAATCAAAATCAATCACCTTCCCAAGCCCAGGGACTGTCCTATCAAACGATCGGCAGGCCTAGAATCGTCGACAGGCCGAAGAACGGGTCTCGAAGAGAAAGGAAGTCGGACGGACTGACCCTCGGCCACCGGTCTGTAGGTGCCCTCGTAGGCTTCTGATGACATTCCTGGAAAACGTCCGAGTTTTACAGACATCCTTGATTTCGAACCAGCCAGAGCGAGGGCCTGACTCCTCGCCATGATGAGGGGCTGTCGGATGGGCGGCAACGTTCTGCGGTCGCCGTGTCGCGAAGGACGCCGTCCGACCCATTCGTCGTCTTCTTCCGGATCGACAGGGACGCTGCAAAGGTACAGGATTAGAATAAGTTCCATTTTCTTTGATTTCAAGACATTGAGGTCAGCAAAAAAGTCTTTTTTGATTTATAATATGTTCATTAAGGCCTAGGAATCCTATAATTTCTCTGTTTCTATGACTCTCTCGTGATCACCTGCTATTTTTTCTATTCTATTTCAAGGTTAGGTTCAAGAGAGCGTAGAGAAATCAGACAGTTTTCAATATGGAAATTTTTTTAGGTTCTTTAAATATTCTTCAAGCTTCTGATGACAAAAAAATCGTTTCTTTAAAAAAAAATATGTTCGTCTCAAAAAAATCAGAAAAAAATTTAAAAAAATTTAATAGCAATATTTAACCCCAAAAAATGTTTTTCATGAACCCAAGAAAACATAGGAAAAATTTTCAAAGAAAGAAAATCCAAAATCTTCTTTTTTTTTGCAATTTCTATTCAAACCATAGAATGTTTCAATTGAAATTTCCTTTCAAAAAACATTTTCTGCTGACCTTTCCTAATAAATTCCAAATAAGTGTAAGCTTGACCTTCATTCATACATAAATCTAACGGGAAAGCTAGAGGAGGACTGGAAAAATGAGAGAAGTGAAAGAAATATCGATTTGAAACACTGGGGATACTAACGTCGGTACACCGGATTGGCATCACATCCATAATTACCTATTTATTTGATTCTAGACAATTTCTGGTTGGCTGAAAACTTTTTTTTTGGGAAAATTGTTTTTTTTATTAGATTCATATGTTTTATAGTCGATTCACTGCTAGTTTGAGAGGGGGCGTGGCCTGTCTGCGCTCTCCACGAGCCAGGCGCTATCTCGTGCATTATCGTGTCAGGACCATTTTTTGATAGCTCAAGCCAGCCGTGAATCAACTTTGATTCGAAATGACCAAGAGGAAATGATTTCTAACTGTACGGTAGAGCGCACTTTGTGAGAAGGCTTTAAAATCTTAAGTGATTTTTCAAAAATATTTAGTCCGAATTTTTTCGATTGAACTTTGTCAAGCTGAATATATAATTTTCAACTTTGTTTCTTCAAAAATACGCACTTTCGATTAGCGAAAACGGTGCGGTTCCTCGGGTCGACGCCGACGCGATTTCCCGTATCGCGATATCGCAAAATTCCATCCGCCGTCTCGTCGCTCACATGGTTCGCGTAAGGTGGTAAGACAGGTAACCTGAAGTTGAATAATTAAGCGATATAGTGACTACTGTAGGATTGAAACGTCTTCTTTGAATGATATTTTATGTGAACTTCAATTGGAAACTTGAACAAAATCAAAAAATACGAAAATTTTTAAATTGGCGCCAAAAAACGCATGTTTGCCGCAGCCGGCCGTTTCAAGCCGAGAAAAGGGAATCATCTCGATAGTTCGAAAATTTTCTCAAGCTTAAATTTTTCCTTGGTTAATGCTGTCAAAATACCAATTTTTTTTTTTCGACAATGTCAGATGGAATTGGTGAATTATAAAGAAAGGGAACTGGCTGGGATTTAAAGTACTGAGGAAATTTCGAAATAGGAGGCGAAAATTCAATATGAACTCATAATTGATTTCCGAAAAAAATTCAAGTTAGGAATAAGAATAAAATCAAGATGGAATGAAAAGAAAAATCTGAAGTCATTTTTCAATTTTTTTCTTTTTCGAAGGAAAAAAGTCAATAGACTACCGTCGAGCAGAACCGTTGAGCGGCAGGTTGACGGAGGAGTTCAGAGGGGCTCGCGGTAAGGTCGGCACGACTGGACTTCCTTCAGCGCCAGCCAAAGAATGCGTCGGCGAGAATGATCGAGGTTCTACAAAAATCAGAATTATCGTTATTCTTCCAATGCCACATGATCAAATTTTATCAAAACTGTGGAATATTAAGTTTGTGCGAAAATTTCGAAAATCAAAAAATTGCAAAAACTTTGCAGTTTTACGAAAATTCTCTGTTTCAAGAAGTTTTCGATTGGTTCCGCAACACGAAAAAAATAATTTTTGAAGAAAAAAATATAAGTTTCGGCAATTTTTTTGAAAGCTACAAAAATGAAAAAAATCTTTTTGTTCAAATAAAAGCAAAGTTTCCTGTTTCGAAATTCATATTTTACATCTGTATTTCTATTTTTAATAATGGTATCTCTGTTTTGGTTTTTGTAAGTAAAACATTAGAATATATGGGTAAGGCGAAAATTTTTCTAACTTGCTCAATTTTTTATTCAAGACCTTCTGTTCTACAAAACTGAAATTTCAAAATTCTATAGAAAACATTGTTTATTTTTGACGATATTTTCTATTTATCAACCTTCCTGATTTTTCAAAATACTATTTTTGATTTTCCAAATCTGAAAACAAAGCGAAAAACCCACGGAAAGGAAGCAAAGTCGATCCTTTTTCCAAAGATTTCTCTTCGGTCGGCGACTTTTGTCCAGACAGCCGATGGACCAGGTTGTTGAACAGCGAGTGGTGACGCTGAACCGAGAAATCGTTCATTTAGTTAACAAAAAGGAGTGCGACTGAAATTCCCTTTCTTGAAAGTATTTTCATAGAAATGGCGTGACCGTAAAGTAATTTTCCAATCTCAAATTGAGAACAAAGTCCAAGTAGATCTACCTCCGCATATATGGGCCGAAGAAGATCGTACTTTTGAGAATATCAAGAAAATCTTCAAAATTATTTTGAGAAAAGAGCTTAAAATCGGAAAAAGTAGATTTCAGCTTGAAGGTCAAGAACGTAGGGACTGTGAAAGTCCATGAAAGCATATTACATCAAGAATGCACATCATTGTATTAAAATACATCAAAAGTTTGATTTTTAGAGCCCTAAGAGATTCTCTAAAAGTTTGAAAAAATCCAGAAATTCATCTCTAAACGTAGTTCAGCTACCTGAAGGAACCAAGTCCTGGGAAATTTTTTAGTGGCCACTATAGTAGTCAAATTAGTAGGCGCTTAAGGGGTTGAAAACAAGTGGCCACTATAGAGGTCTAAGTGCTACTACTTGACTACTAGAATTTTAGTGGCTACTCTAGGGGTCAATGGATCAAAATAACTGGTCCAGTTTGTTTCAAAAGTATCAGAGTGGAAAGAATACTGGATGAAAAACTACTGAAGTGGCCACTAAAACGGAAAATAGTGGTCACTATAGAGATGGGTTTAGTGGCCACTTTAGTGTCCTCTCCAAGTAGTCCTTGGCGAGCCTGTACTAAAAATTTTCCCTGTGTGTTAATCTTTGCTCCTTTTTTTGAAGGGAAAAATTATTTTTTTATAAAATAAGAAGCTTCCAAAATCAGAAATTGAAAAAAATGAGAGCTCAAAACTAAAAAAACAACGTAATAAAAAAATTTTTAAAAATATTACTATTTTTTTATGATCAAAACATCTTCAAAAAAATACTGACTCGAAAATCGAAAAATGACTCGTAAAGCCGAAAAAAAAAAAGAAAAAGAAAGGCAGGAGGCAAAAAGTTGCACTCGGGGCCGAGGCATCCAGGCGCGAGAAAAAGGCGCGTAGTTTCCTGGACTCCGCCCACTTCTCTTCCTTTTTTTCCCACTATTTTCCACGTTTCCTGACGCCATTTTTGAGAAGATTTCCAAGGAAACGTCGGAAAGGAAGCTGAATTCTGACATGAAAATCGACTTTTTCGAGGTTGAAAATCACTGGAAAGCCGTAAAATAAAGATTATGGTATTGCCAGGGTCCGCAAAAAAAAAACATTTTGATGCCAATTATTACCAAGACCAAAGTGGTCCCTATAAGGGTAAAAAACTTATGTAATGAACGAAAAAGTGACCCCTAGAGGGGTAAAATTCAGGTGGTCCCTATAAGGTTCAAGGTCATCTAAGGGTCAACTTTTCAAACTTCATCAGATATGATCCTTTGTTGAAAGCTTTAGTGGCCCCTATAGGGAAACGTTGAAGAGCCCCTATAGGGACCACTTTGGAGTTTTCAAAGATCAAAACACTTTTTCGAGAGCTCAAGCAAATATTTTTCAATTTAAAAAAATTTATCAGATTTTTGAAGTATTTTTTTGAAAAAAATCTCGCCTCTTCAGATTTTTCTAGTAACTGAAAGGCTGAATAAGAAAAAAATAAAATGCATCGAAAATCTGAGAAAAAGGTACTTTTTTTAGCATCCTTTTTTTGATTTTTGTGACGAATGGTGGTTTATTTTTCAAGTTTTTCACAAAATTGAAGCGAAAATTTCTTTTTTCATGACTTCTTATAATCATTTAAAACAGCACTAAGAATAACTGCCGAGATAAACGCGAGACACTGGCGGTACATTGACGAGCTCGCAAACATCTCGCAATTTGAAAATTTCCGAAATGCAAGATAAATGCGGGATCGCGCCTAGAAAAAAGCGACATTTTTGCGAGTTAGTCAATGTACCGCCACCGACCTCGCGTTTATCTCGTCAGTTATTCTTAGTGAGGAAGGTGAAAATTTTAGGCTAATTGGACTGTTTTCAAAGTTTAAAAATTAATAAACCTTCCTGCTTTTTTTTAATAATGTTATTTATTTAGGCATGTTCTAAAACACGAGCGGTTGTGGGGCACGAGCGGCACGACCGTTACTAAATCACGAGCGGTTTCATTTTCGCTCCTTCGCGAACGCTTCTAAATCACGAGCGTTTTTTTGGCTTATCGTTCTGTTCGAGCGTTTCTAAATCGCGAGCGTTTCATTTTAATCATTTTTCTTTATTACCATCCAAGTGTGTGTTTTCATATTTCTACCTTCTTTTTTTCTCCTTGAATACAAATTTTTGACGATCTTATATGCACATTTTTTTCGCTCAATTTGTTGATTGATTCACATTTGAGGTTCATATAATGGATTTTTTTAAAGTTTTTTTGCGGTCTCTATAATTTCACAGATTCTGCGTATGGCAAATTTTTTTTCTAATAATTTCATCTGATTTTCATATTCAATATTTCACAGATTTTGCGTATGATAAACTAATATTTCACAGACGTCTCGCATGAAAGTCAATATTTCTCAGATTTTTTTTTTATTTTTTTTATTATCTTTCAGAGAACCAAAACATCATCGGTGTTCACCTCGATGAGATTAATTCTTTTTCGGATCAGCCATATGTTGAGGGCGAATTTTTTTCGGATGTTAGAAAAGTTCCCCTGAACGTTCTGCGCGGGATCCAGTGAGGAGAATTATTTTTTTCAATTTCACCTGCTTACACGAAGCCCCCTGTTATTGCATATAAACTCTGATTTATACATTGATTTCCCTTTTTTTCTATATTTTTCATTTTTCCAATCTGTTTCGTTATACGGCTGTCATTCACCGATGAACCACCAGACGCTTATGGCATTTATTTCATTCATTCGCTACGGTTATTAATTTATTTTTGATACTTCGTAAATTTCGTATTTTTTTTTTCTCGTTTCATGATAAATATTTTCAAAGCTTGGAAACGAATAAATTTTTTGGTAATATCTCCAAAACTATTCTAGCGGGTAAGAGGAGAATAAAATATGAATGGCATCAATTCGAATATGAGATTCTATTACCAGAAAAATTTTGAGAGAAAGTATTAGAAAAAAAAATTTGCTATACGCAAAATTTGAGAAATATTGACTTTCATGCGAGACGTCTGTGAAATATTAGTTTATCATACGCAAAATCTGTGAAATATTGAATATGAAAATCAGATGAAATTATTAGAAAAAAAATTTGCCATACGCAGAATCTGTGAAATTATAGAGACCGCAAAAAAACTTAGAAAAAACCCATTATATGAACCTCAAATGTGAATCAATCAACAAATTGAGCGAAAAAATGTGCATATAAGATCGTCAAAATTTGTATTCAAGGAGAAAAAGAAGGTAGAAATATGAAAAAAAAACACACTTGGATGGTAATAAAGAAAATGATTAAAATGAAACGCTCGCGATTTAGAAACGCTCGAACAGAACGATAAGCCAAAAAAACGCTCGTGATTTAGAAGCGTTCGCGAAGGAGCGAAAAATGAAACCGCTTGTGATTTAGTAACGGTCGTGCCGCTCGTGCCCCACAACCGCTCGTGTTTTTAGAACATGCCATTTATTTACAGGTTTCGCTTTGAACAAATATAAGAACTAGAAAAAAGATTTTGGAACCTATAAATGGTCCAAGAAACGTTAAACTGACGTTTTTATAGCGGAAAGTTGTAAAATTTGAAAATCGATGAAAAACATTTTTTTAAACTTCATTCTGACATCGAAAGTTTGGAAATTGTGTTAAAATAATCTGTTAATTCAGAATCCTATTCCTCGTATCGTAGCTTGGAGTGTCGTAGTCAAAAAAGACTTCAAGACTTCAAGTATCAAACTAGCCACTTCTTGAGCCAATTTATTTTTCGTTCAGTAACTCTAAATCAACTTGAATCGCTTGGAAAACGCGCAAAAACAAGTCTGGGCAATTTCGCGTCGAAAAATTCCCCGCCATCAATTTTACATGAGCAATTAAGCAAATCCTAGCTTTCCAGAAAAGCAAAAAATATTCTTGAAAAAAAGAAAAATTGGAGCCGTCGTTTTTTTTTGTTTGTTTTTTGGCAGTGGCGAGCGTTCTAACAAATGGGGTACCTAGATGGCTTTCCTTCTTCTTTTTTTGCATCTTGATTCATGAGCCAAACATCGTGTCTTCTTCAGATGAGCAAGAAAAAAACGGCAGTTTCCGTGGGGCGCACAAGATCAATCATTTATAAAGGCCATTTTCCGAATTATCCATTTGTTCAAAAAAAGCTCGTAAAATGATAAATTTCGAAATAACGTGCGGAAAGGAAAAAAACCAAATTGAAAAAAAGAAATGAAAATCTTAAGGAAATATTTCTCAAAAGAAACAGTAAACTGATATTTTCAGGGAATTCACCAAATAATAATTTAAGTAATGTCATTTTTGAGTAAAAAATCCGAATTTTTATTTTTTTCATTCTGAAATCGTTCCAATCAGCTTCTCACTATGAACATTCAGAATTTGTACAATTTTTTTTAATCAAGAAACTTCATATTTTTACCTAAAAATCCAAGAAAATCAGTTTTTTCGGGACGGCGGATCCAAAAAGGTTTGATTTTTTCCGTGTAAAATCTTCACTCGAAGTGGCCGCTCTCATTCTGAGTCTTCCACCTAGAGCACGGTCTCCGGGCTCCAGCACGAGATCCGCTACATTCGTCAAGGCGCAACTGGATGGACTACGCGCAGAAGAACAAAGCGAAGGACCGTAAGACCATGCTTTCAACTTGATCAACTACACATTTGGACTTCTAGTTCGCCAAAGGCGGTTGTTCGTTATAGCTTTCAAAGTTCTTGTTCACCGCCTAGTCGATTACATCAGACTAAAACAACAAAATAAATGATTTGATTTGATTTGATTATAGCAAAATTATTTTTTTCATCGATATTTCTGGAAATTTATTAAAAAAATTTATTAGAGTGGTCTAAAATTTTTTTGAATTTATAAACAAAAATACCCAAATCTCCTTTTTTTCTAGAAAAAAAGCGATCAAAAAGTTGAAATTTCAGGTCAAAATGGGATCATACATAAAGTTTTTCATAGATGAAGCTTCTACAGAAAAAAAGTTCAATCCACTTTTTTTCAAAATAGTTAAGTTGAGAAAAAAATTGCCTGGAAAAAAACTTAAAAGAACACTAAAAAAATTCACCTAGAAACCTGAAAATTTCAAAAAGAATTCTTTTCTTGAATCGACCCTTTCTCAGTAGAAAAAATTGCTCTTGACTAAAAAAAACCATAAATCTTGAGGAGGAGCTCACCAAAGTGAATGAATTAACAAGAGGCCCTTCATTTCCGGCTTTTCGTTTCCGTTCCTCCGTGTTTTTTCGGAATGAAAAATATATAGAGTGCTTCTTGGACCTCTTTTAAACGTCCAGAAAAAATATAAAAAAACTTAAGCTGAAAAGCGTGACTTTTTTTAAAGCCAGAAAAAAAGAAAAACAATGAGTTTGAGCCCAAAAATGTGATTTTTTTCAAGTGTTCTGCAGGACAAAAAAAAGGTTAAAGCCTTTCCGAAAGTAGAAAAAAATTGCCTTTTTTCAGAAATTTTTTTGAATATTTTAACTATGATGATTCTACTTGCAAGCTTTTTGAATTTTAAAATTTCCAGGAAAAAAAGTCTGAAAAATCTCCAAAAAAATAGAAAAAAATGGGAATATTTTTTTCAAAAAAATCAGGTTCTTTTTATTGCGCCCTAAGGTTAAAGCTGTATTAGAGAAAATGAAATTTTGAAAAAAATTTGGAATATATAATCTTTTTAAGCTTTCTGAACAATGAAACTATGATTACGTGGGCAATCAAGAAACAATTTTTTTTTCTTTATAAATTTTTTTCTCAACGATAAATCTTCGTCTATACGCTTTTATTGTGTCGATTCATTATTTCCATTCAAAAAAGTGTTGATTCAGCATAAAATGACGTCAAAGGGCCATTCATTTCAGATTTTTGTCCTAACTAATCTTCTAATTGTTGTACTGAAAGTTCAAGTAAGCCTATAAATATATAAAATTACGGAAAACAACTATTTTTCTTCAAAAGTACGGCGGAGCGCACTTTGTGAGGTCCTGCCCATTTTGGTGAGATTTCAAAATTTTTCCTATTCGCTGGGTCCAAAAATTGAACCCAAAATAATCAAATTCGTCCTGTTCTCGATTTCAGAATGAAAATTCAAAATCCCATCTCAAATTTTTCAAGTTTAACCATGTCTCGAATAAATTAATCCAATGAAAAACTCTGTTCAAAACGGATTTCAAAAAAAAAACGAGACATAAAAAAAAACCAAGCCAAAATTATCCAAAAATTCAGCTGGAGCAAAAAAATTGCCAACGGAACCTTTTCGGAAATTTGAGAATAATCAAATAGTAAGAAAAGAAGGAAGAAAACAACGCGCATCCAAAATATTTAATAATTTAGATTCTCTCCGTCTTTTTTATCATTTTTTTTACAAAGGGATGGGAAGATTCTAATGGTTTTTGAGTGGAAAGTGGGAATTATTGGTTATTTTGAGCCGAAAAAAGATGAACAAACCCGATGTTGAGGTTCCGGATCGTCGAAATTGAAATCCGTTTCCAGATTTCCGGAAATGGCGCGTTTCAGTTCGGGCCCGATTTCGTGTAGAGTTCGGAGACCGGCCTGCAAAAAATACAATTCATTAAAAAAAATCATTCATGAATATTTAAAAAACCCAATCTTTACTCCGAAAAGCCAGAGTGGGTTCTAAAGGGGTTAGGAAAAAAGAAACAACACGTTGAAGAGAAAATAGTGCTCCCTAAAAGACTAAAGCTCAAGTAGTCATTATAGGGGTTCACGGTCAGAGCTTTTAAGTGAACCCTATAGGGGAGGTGAGGATTTCCCTCAATCTTCCCGCCTTTTTTTTTGAGATTTTTTGGTTCTGTCTGTTCAAATTTGGACAGGATTTGAGAAAAATATGAATTTTTCTACAATAAATCAAGTAATCGTGATCAGATTTTTCGAGTGAATGTTCCATAAGAATCAGAAAAATTTCCATTGAAAATAAAAAGGAGAAAAAAATAGAATCCGAAACTTAGTAAAGATTTATACAAGTAATGAAAGCGCTGAATTAAGAAAACCACCAAAAATAGAAGTTTTCAACTCCGAGAGAAACAGCAAAAAGGGCTTGAGCTCAACTTTTTTCCCGTCTTACTTTTTCTCATCCTTCAGTGCACTTGCCTCATTGGAAATGCATTGAAATTGTATGGTTCTGAGATGAGTTTACGACTTTTGTTGAGAAAAAAACGGGATTTTATTGGTTCCTTCTTCGGAAGGAAAAATATCAAGGCAGGTGTTTTGAAACGAAAAAAAAAATCTTCAAAAAGCAGCTGGTTTTGAAATTTTGAATCGAAATTCGAGCAGGTGAGCAAACAGACTAAAATCTAACCTTTTTGGAAGGAAAAAGAAAAGAAAATGGAGTTTTTAAACTTGAAAAAAAGCCAGAATGAAGAGGTTTTTTTGAAACCGTTTTAAATCAGAGCTTGAGAGAGAGAAAGTTGGGTCATAAAATGAGCAATTCTGAGTTTTATAATGCAATAAATGGTCATTTAGCAATATAACCTAACTTTCTTGGTTATACTATTTTATTTTTTGCAAAAATCGGAGCATTTTTACTACGTTTAAGCTATTTTTTTCATTGAAAACTTTCGACTAAAAAGATCAATTTTATCACAAAAAACGCTTGAAAGTTTTAAAACAAATTCCTGAACTCAAAAACTGAAGCAGCGGAGAAAAAAAAAGAAGTTTTCCGCGCACTTTTCCGCTTCGCTCCTACTTGAAAAACGAAAATTTCATTTTGGCCATCTCGTTTGCCGCGTTTTTTCGTAAGAAGAGGGGCATCTCGTCCAACGACCAAATTGCGTCTCAAGTTTTTCTTTTTTTCTTCATTCTCATCACAGAGCCGGAAACTCGTTTGATATTAAGCAAGATGAGAAAAAAAGAATGATGATAAATGAAGTTATTGCAACAAAAAGGGTTGAAAAAAAAATTTTTGTTACAAGATTTCCCATTATAAACACAATTACTTTCATAGTGAATCAATTTTTTTCAAAAAAATTTTTTTCATTTTTTTCTAAAAATCGCAAGAAATTCCTTAGAATCAATAACGCACAGAATGGCTCAAGGCGGTTGATTCAGAACGCAACCGACCCAAAACGACTTGCGCGAAAATTTATAGCCGCCATTAAAATATACTGGACGGAACCGCTACGCGACCGCTTCGCGTTGAGCCATTCTACGTGCGGTCACAATTTATTTTCTTCTCAATAAAGCGCAAAATAGGATTTTTGTGGTTTTGCATCCCAAAAAAATCGAAGTAAGAGATCAATTTTGGCTGAAGAGATGCTAGACAGTGAGACATTTTTCTCGTTTCTCTGGTGTCTCTTCAGGCCACCACTATTAAATCGCGTTCCCGTTTCGACTTTAAGTCATGAAGAATTTTTTTTCAATATTTTTACTCATTGAGATTCTAAGCTTCACCGATTCTTCATCTATAAAGTTTCAACCTTAATTTTCTTTTTTTAATATTTTTAATTTAAAACGAACAAAACGATCGCAAATTAAAAAAAAAAACAACCTGGAGAATTATTTTTCTGTGACTATGAAACATTAAACTAATATTCTTGCTTATTTTATACCAATTTCGAACTTTTTCCCTCACAGGGGAGGTAATTTTACTTTGCGGTTGGGAATTTCCTGAAAATTGGTCAAAACACTTCTTGATGAACCAGATGAAGATTCTGAAAGTCTCAACCTGCACAACTACTTGGTTTTCGAAATAAGGGCTCAAATCCCCGAAATAGCTTATTTTACTGTGTTTTGAAGATTTCCTTTAAATTTGGAGCGTTTTTTTCTCAATAAATAGGAAGTTTTGCAGGTAGAGACTTTCAGAATCTTCTTCTGCTTCATCAAGGAGCGTTCTGGCCAGTTTTCAGAGGGATCCCAACCGCAAAGTAAAATTACCTCCCTTGTCAATTTCCCATGAACCTATCGTGGATAAGAAAGTGGGAGGAACCCCGAAAAATAACCTGGAGACCCTTTTACCGTGGCTATGAAACATTCAACTGATTTTTCAACAATTTGAGCTGTAAATACTGTCATAATTTCAAAAAATAACCTGAAGAGCCATGGCCTGCGGCGTGTGTGTTGGAACGATTCCCTTGGCCTCCATTTCTTTTCGTTTTTTGAACCGTCGGAAGTAGTCTTGGATGAGGAAGGTCGCGTAGAACTTTCCCACCGTCACGTCGTCTTCTTCTGCAAATTAATTAACTACAGGTTGAAATTCTGGAAAAATTTTTTTCTTGGATTTATGATCTGATTTCGAACTGAGGCCGTATGCAATAAAGTGGAAAAATGATTTTTTTTAATTTTTTCTGAAACTCGAAAGTGTCTAGTCTTTTTTTAGACTTGAATTTTTCCTTATCCGAAACTCCTTATAAAGCTGATTACATCAGAATAAATCAGAATCAGTTAATCCTTCAAATTCATCAAATACAGATTGAAATTCTGGAAAACTCTTTTTTGTAATTATATCTGATTCACGGCCAGCTTTGGACGCTAAAGGGCGTGTCCTGTCTGCACTCTCCACGAGTTAGGCGCTATCTCGTGCATTATCGTGTCAGGACCCTTTTTTCGATGGCTCAAGCCAGCCGTGAATCAGCTACATGATCTATCTGGTCTCAAACTGAGACCTTATGCATTAAAAAGGAAAATGGTTTCCCGCAATTTTCCTGAAACTCGAAAGTTTCCAGTCTTTTTTTAGACTGAAATCTTTTCTTCCTTATCCGAAACTCCTTATAGCCTATCAGATCAGAATAAGACAAAATCAGTGAATTCTTGGAGAGTTTTAGGCCTTTTTAATTTCAGGAAAATAGCGGAAAATCATTTTCCACTTTATTGCATCAGGTCAAAAGTTCTCTGAAGTTTATTTCCCAATTTTTGAATCAGAGATCGAAAAACTGGCAAAAAAAAATTGAGAAGCTACTTCCTCAATAAATTTCGAACAAAACTTGACGAAAACACATTTTTTGAAAAAAACCAAAAAAATGCTCTAATTCTAGAGAAAAAAAAACTTTTCTGAAAATTTATGTCCCGGGGCTATATTTGAAATATAATATTTCATAAAAAAATTTAAATCATTTCATGAACTATTAACTAATTCAAAACCTTTTGCGAAAACTTGAAAATCTCAACTTCCTTCAGGAGTCCAAACCCTTTAGAAATAGGTTACAATGATGTTATAAATATAAAAAAATGATCGAAAAAAAGTTCGCTCAGTCATTTTTTTGTGCAAACTTTTACAAGTCGTTTTCCAAAAAGCTATATTTTTACTTCACATTTTATTCTTGATATCGAAATTTCGGCACTTTAGAGAATACCATTTTATGACTATCAACTAATTCAAAACCTTTGCGAAAACTTGAAAATCTCAACTTCCTTCAGGAGTCCAAACCCTTTAGAAATAGGTTACAATGATGTTATAAATATAAAAATGATCGAAAAAGTTCGCTCAGTCATTTTTGTGCAAACTTTTACAAGTCGTTTCCAAAAAGCTATATTTTACTTCACATTTTATTCTTGATATCGAAATTTCGGCACTTTAGAGAAAAAGGAAACAAACTTCCAGCCGGCGGAACGACTTCATCGAGCATTTTGGTCGAAGTTCTCTTCCAAATTCTCTTTATTGCCGACCTTAGTTGTTCATTGGCGTCGTCGATGTTTCCTTCTGAAAAAAAGATCTTCTTAGGAGCGCTAGAGTGATCCCTATAGAGTGGCCACTCTAGGGACGCTAGTCGTTTATTTTTGGGAGCTCTAGTATGACGAGAACCATTTCCATGTGAAAAAACAGAATGAATCGCTGATTTCTGAAAGACCCCTAAAAGGCCCACTTGAGCTTAAGGAGTTTTAAAAGCCAGACTCTTAGCTTTTTTTTTATAGGGACCCCTTAAAATTCAGCTTCCTGTGGGGGGCACAATGTTGTCCCCTATAGAAGCTGCTTTCCCCAAACCCTCTAGTGACCACTCTGTCGTTCCTAACTCCATCAAAAGAAAAAGTCAAAAGGAACGCTACAGTGATTACTATAGGCACAACTTAAGGGGCTCTTGAAGACTCCCCTCTAGGGACCACCTTACTTTCTCTTATAGAGGAGCTTGAACCTGCCAAAGTGGCCACTCTAGGGAAAATAGTCGTTTATTTTTGGGAGAGTTCTAGTATGACAAAAAAACATTTCCATGCGAAGAAACAGAATAAATGGCTGATTTCTGAAAGACCCCTAAAAGGCCCACTTGAGCTTAAGGAGCTTTAAAAGCCAGACTCTTAGCTTCTATAGGGACCCCTTAAAATTCAGCTTCCTAGGGAGCACTATGTTGTCCCCTATAGGCGCTGATTTTTCCCTAACCCCTCTAGTGACCACTCTGTCGTTCTTAAGCTAATGAAAAGTTACGAAACCTGTGTAAATCTTCAAGTTGGTCCGGACCAAGGCGAACAAAGTCGCGTTGAAACAAACTGTTCCGTCAGAGTTCAGGGGCATGTTCATCGACACCAATCGCTGCAAAATCACATTATTTCATGAAAATCCTTCAGAGAATCTTGAAAATCTCCTTGCCCAAATTTCCAAGGTCAAAATATGACATTTTCCATGATTTTCCTTTCAAATTTTGGCGTTTTTGCTGATTTGAACGTTCTTTATTCATTACTTCTCTACTTTAAATGATTTTAAATGCTTTTTTTGGTTGTTAAATTATTTTTATAAAGTTAGTTTAACAGTTGAAGTTTTTCATAGAGAGGTAAATTCGTGTTTTTTATTAAACAAGAGTATTTTTTTGGAATCATTTCATAAATCTGAAAAAAATTATTCATAGTTTTAATGAAACTTATAATTGAAGTGAAAATTTTACGAGTTTTGAAGTATGAAAAATTTTGGTTTTTTTCTATCGTCTATTCATTGAAAAAAATTCTGTTGAACGCAAAATCTAACAAAAAATCAATTCTGTTCGCGATACAATAGCGACATCGCGAAATAACCGCGTTGTCACCGTGGCTGCTCACAAAAGTCTTCTTTTAAATACAAGCTCTCGCCGAGAAAAACGTGATATCGCGCCTAGGAAAATGCGAGACTTTCGCGATGTCGTCAGCGACATCGCGTTTGTTTTAGTGAACTTAAAAGGCTATAAATTCCACTGCACCCATAACAAACCTTGCAAGCCAATCGATGCGGACAAAGTTTTCCGAAACCCAATGGAGGGGAGATCTTTCGCAGTAACGTGACAACGTCCAGATGCTTTATCCGGCCTGGAAAGGGGAAAATAAAAACCTGAATATTTTTTGAGACATCGTAAATGATGATACGGAACCTTGAAGATGTTGATAATTTTTAAAAGTCTGATAGATTTTTTGAGAAACCACGAAAAATCTGAAGAAAGAGTTTTCGGTCAAAGCGCCCAGAAAATCCCTAACCGCAAGGTGAAATGACCTTGCTTGGGGGATAGAAAACAGGCAAAGTCGGAAGGGCTCTCCCAGGGTCCATAAAGGCTGCTGGAAGGCTCTATAGAAATGATCCTTTTAGGGTGATGAAGGCTCCCTTTTTTCTGCCCTTTTGCGCCATTTTCTGAGCCCTTATGCACCATTTTTGCAGCCTCTCCTTTTTTCACCATTTATCGAGCCTTCAAAGTCCCAGAAAAAATGAAAGACTCGATAAAGGGACTCTTTTTGTAGTCTTTTTGATGCCTTTTTGCGGCCTTTTTAGAGCCTTTTTGAGGCCTTTTTGGGGCCTTTTTGCTGCCTTTTTGGGGCCTTTTAGCTGCCTTTCCGCGCCTTTCTGCAGCCTTTTTTGAGCCTCTCCCTTTTCTTTTCCGAAGGATGAAGATTTATCGATTACCTTTGGCGTCGGGATCGTACTCGGACCAGAGACGGACGAATTCTTCCAGATGGTGAGGACCCAAAATCGACCAATCTCTCGTCAGATAATCGAAATTGTCCATGATGACGGCGACAAACAAGTTGATGACCTTGAAAATTTTTTGTTGATTTCAAATTTTTAGTTGTTCAAAACTTTAAGGCTTCTCAAAGAAAAGGTAATTTTCAGGTTAGGTTTATTGATTTTCTAGGAATTATCCTAAAAACCCTTTGAAGGTTCCGGTAAAGGTCCTTGAGTCGTTACCTGCGCAAAGTTTTGAAATTTTTTTTTTCCCAAATTTTGTGTTCAATTTAAACCAGGCCTATAATTAACATAATGTAGTCGTAACTCTAAAAAAAATCGCGCAAAAAAGCAATTATCAAGAATTTTTCAAAAGCCTTTGTGCAAAATTTTCTCCGTAAAGTGTCGTGTGTCGTGTGCATGCACTGTGCCGGTTTCGCGCAGAAAATTATGTAGAGAATGTAGAACGTTTATGTAGAGAAATTTCAATTCATCTCAAAGACCTTTGGCAATACGGCAGCCTGCGCCTTTGATACGTCCTGTTATTACGCTCTTCGAAATCTCTGCCGTTCCCATGACGTCACGTGGGAACGGCGGATATTTTGGCTCCGCCCACCGTGTTTTTGGTTTCGCATTTTTTTATACTAACAAAAACGCCGTGACTTGATAAATATAGCTGATTCACGGTCAGCTTGGAACACTAAGGAGGCGTGGCCTGTCTGCGCTCTCCTTGAGCCAGGCGCTATCTCGTGTCAGGACCATTTTTTCGATGGTTCAAGCCTGCCGTGAATCAGCTATAAACAATGTAGGGCTTTTTCATCATGTCTATTGAATGAACTGAGTGGAGCGACTATTATTACTATCATTATCGATAGACGCCTTGAAACTTTTCAAAAACCGACCAAAAACGAGCAAAGCATGAAGAAGGAGATGAAGTAGGGGTAGGAGAAGTTGACGCCGCAACGAGCCTCGCGATCTCTCTTGTAGTCGTCGGAGAGCGGGTCGCAACGGACGTCTTCTCGGTCCGAGCACGACAACATGATCTCCTGCCACGCTTCGCCAGTCGCCGATCTTCAATTTTTATCTTCTTCCTCTTTTTTTAGCTTCATTTCATCATTATTCTTTGTGTCACAAAATGGAGAACAAACTGTATATTTCCACTGGAAAAAGGTCCAGAAAATCCAAGACTTCTTAGTAAATTTATTAATCCTCCATATATCCTTCAAATTTATTTTTTCGTCAATCTTGTGATAAGAATTCTATTGATTTTGAAGAGCTCAATATTTATTTCTGATTTAAGAGCCTAACTCAGTAAGTTTTCTGCTGGAATATTTTATTTCTTGAGAAAAAATGAGCGAAACTTTGCGTCTTCAAATTTTCTTCATATGGTTTCGGTTTCATAAAGAAAAACATGCGAAACTCGGGAAAGCTCAAAATGAACTTTAAATCAGACCCGTAGGTCTTAATCAGTGGGGGGTGTATTAAAAGCCACAATAAACTTTAATTTAATCTAGGAAATCTAAGCTAACTTTTTGTCCTTTTTCTGAAAACTGTTGTTTTTTCAAAGATACTTTCTGTACTTTCTCTGATTCCATTATCTCCTCTAAAAATTCTGAGTAGCTTCTAATAAAAATTAAAGAGACAGCGTGTTAAAGTATGTGATGAGTGTTGACAAACATTTTATTTTCATGAAGTTTGTCGTTTGAAACAGTTAATGAGCTTTCACTATTAGCTTTTCGAAATTTCGAGGATTTGGTGGAAAATTATTAGTTTAGTGGTGAACAGTTCATTCAAAACTCACCGAAAAAGGACGAGGACGGCGGCGAAAAACGAATGGAAGTTGTTATTTCGATGGATAGAAGTCGCATCGTCCAGCGCCACTTTTCCGAACACCTATAATATCAAATAAAATTAGCTTTGAAAAATAAAAACATTTTTAAAAAATTAAAAAATTTGGCATAAATAGGTTCAAAGTTATTGAAACTCCAAAAAAATTCTTAATTTTTTTCAAGTTTCAGAAAAAAAGTAGTGAGGCTTGTATAAATTTCCACTTAGATTCGAAACGCTTCAAAATTTGAATTTTGGAATTTTCTTTTCAATTCATTTTTCTAGAAAATTTGATAAAATATGGGATAAGTTCAAGAAAACTTTGAAATTTTCGAGAAGATAATTGAGAACCAATATCTAACATTACTGTTACTTATTTCTGTAGAAAATAGGAGCTTATTCAAAAAACGATTGTGAATAGCCGAATCAAATTTCAATCACACAGGATAAAAAAAAGAAAAAGGACTGGTTCAAAAAAAAATATTCACACGAGAAGAACTCTGACATGGGGCGCCAAAAGGTCGCCACAACTATTACTCTGACATACACTATTTCGTCGTTATCTAGCTGCGAGAAAACGACGAAATAGTGTGTGTCAGAGAAAGAGTTGTGGCGCTCTTTTGGCGCTTCATGTCAGAAAAGCTGCCAACGATATTTATTTAAATTTTCAATATCAACATCATTGTTTCCCTCTTATCATAAATTAATTGAAACGATATTAAAAATATTACTCCGTTCTTTTAGATATAGGAAAAAAAAAACGAGAGCTGATCCTCAGGCGGAATAAGAGAACAAAAAAAGAAAAAAAAAAGAATGGTTCAAAAAAAACTATTTGATCAAAAAGAAAGAAACATTAAGGTTATGAAAAAAGTGTTTCGATCAACAAAATTATTTTCCTGTTTTTGGAAATCAATAAAAATGAATTCAAAACAATTTTCTGTTTCTATTAACCATCGCTAAATAGGAAAAAAGAAAAAAAAAGTCTGGTCCAAAAAAGTTCTTAGACCCATTACTGTTATCCTGTCAACATAAACCAAAATATTGAATTCAAAAGACAATTTAAAAATGAGAATAAATTAAAAAGAAGCTTTTACCTGCATCCCGATGACGGCATAAATGAAAAACAGGAGGACAATGAGCAGGGCGACGTATGGAAGGGCCTGAAAACGCAAATAAAAGTTTGAGAATTTTATTTTATTCCAATTTTACTTGAAAACTCTTCATGAAGGTCCAGAGAAGGGTTCGAATTCCTTCGCCTCTCGACAACAGCTTCACGAGCCGCATCACACGGAAAAGCCGGAAAAAGTTGATCGAAATCAGGTTCGTTCCTGCAAATTTTTGTAAAATTCTTTTTCAATCTTTCGGAGAATCTAATAGATAATACTAAGTAAAAAAAGCTCGCAAAAGATGAAGTTTTTCGAAATTTTACAAACTAAAAGGTTTCACAAAATTTTGAAATGACCTTTCAGGTTTTAAATTTTGAAAACTTCAAAAAAAGGCTGTTTCGACCGATTTTTTTCTCAGGTAAAAAAACTCCTAAAAAAAGACTATTCGTCTAGAAATTTCGCAAAATGCAGTTTTTTTGATGCACTTTTGAACCTCCAGAGAACGTTTGACCTTTTTTTTGCCAAATTCGACTTACTGGGAAAATTATTAGTGGACACTCTAGGGTTTTTTTGGCCACTATATTGGTCGAATTAGCGGCTGAAATTATCATATTCATTAAGTAGATTATTCCCGTCGACTTTAAAAAAAAATCAGTAAAAATTTCATATTTTTTTATAAATGTTTACACCAAGAAGTGTCTGTGAGCGAAATAAACTTTTCAAACATTTCAACAAAGGCTGAAGTGGCCACTTAAGGATTTTGAAACTGTTACCTCCAGGACTGAATTTTCCGTAGATGATGTCGATGAACGATCCCAACACGATGATGAAATCGAACAAATTCCACCGATCTCCGAAATAATTGCACGGGTTCAAGGCTGCAAAATGAATAAAATATCCTGAAGTGTGTTTTTACTTTTTTTCAGTAATATTATATTAAAAATCAAAACATTACATCTATTATCAAAGACGATTCGATTTCGAATTTCAAAAAAATTGGGGTTGTGGTTCGAAATCTAACCATCATTTTAAAAAAAGATTATCAAAAACTTAAAAAAATTGGTTAAAGAACGATTTCCTTAGATGCCTGTTTCAAAAAGACGATTATATCTCGAAATAAAAAAATTGGCAGTAAATTTCGGCATGCTGGAAAAAGTCGGTCGGTCAGTCGATTTGGAAAACTAGGCCACGCCGTAATTTTGATCCATGAAAAATCGAATTTCCGATTTTTTTCTTTTTTCTATAATTTCTTTCCTTTTCATCAGTTTTCTAGGATATGGGACACATGCTCCTCACTTCAAACTAAACTGTTACTTATTTATTATAGTTTTTTTCGGTAATGTTTTACCTTTTGTTAGAGTTAATTTTGTTTCTTGCCTTTTTGTGTGTATTTTACACATTTCATTTTCCGATTTCTTATGATTTTCAATTTCGCTCATTTGGTTATGTGAAGTTATTTTGGATCCGAAAAAAAGAATAAGAATTTTTAAAAATTGAATCAGTTTATAATTTTGAATGTACTAACCATCGTATTTTACTCGCAAGAACGATACAGTTGAATGAAAATAAGCGAAAACCTTCTCGGTAAAATTTAAAAAGAAAGAAAAGTTCAGAAAAAAAAAACGGTTGGAAATTCAACGTATTCCATGGAGCAGTATTGCGGCGTGGCCTAGTTTTCCAAACCGACCGACCGACTTTTCCAGCATGCCGTAAATGTCTGTTTGAATGCCTTTCATTGATAATGAATATTTTAGTTATAAAAAATAAATTTTTCAACTTTTTTCAAGTCAGAAATCTCACCGATGATCTTGAAAAAGGCCTCGAAGGCGAAAACTCCGGTGAAAATCAAGTTGAAGACGTCGAGGGCGTGTTCGAAAACCGGGCCAGATGGATAATGTTTGCAGGCCAAGGAGACGGTGTTCATGACGATGATCAGGAAGATGACGTATTCGAAGACTCGTGACGTCACGAACCACCTGCGAAAATTCTTTTTTTTTCTGAATTTTCCGCACGTGAAACTGACGCACGGCGGTTTTTTTGACAACGTCCGTTTATATCTTTTTTTTTGCGTAAAGTGTAGTGTGTCGTGTGCATGCACTGCGGCGCTCTCATACATGCTGTGTTCAAAGTTATTTTCGCGAAATTCAAAATCATTTCTAAATTTCCGAAATTCAGTTATATTTTCCACTCACTGGCGGTTATTTTGAAGTTCGCGGTTTCCTTTTAAACACGAAAACAGAAAAATCACCTTTTTTTAAAATTAAAAATCGATTCGTCTCATGACCCACTGAACATGCGCCTTTAATATTCCCTACGCTTGTTACCCATGACGTCACATGGGAACGGCAGAGGTTTTAACTCCGCCCATTCCATTTTTTATTTATTTATTCATTTATTTATCTCACTCAACACACAAAAATGAAAATACAGAATAGAAAATTTTTGGTTTCGCACTAAAAAAAACGCCGTGGGCGCATATCAGTGAGAGAAAAGAGAGCGCCGACAGGTTAGACGGTTTCGAGACGACAAAATCCACTGTGTTCCGTGTGTGATGGAAACTAACGAATTTCAAAAAAAATTAAAAAAACCTCATAAAATTGTTTTTTCTGAAAGAAAATCAAGTTCCCATTTTTTTATTGAATAATATCAAGCTCATAAATTTAGAACTGACCAAACTCGGTACTGGAATCGATTCCTTGGAATGTAACGCCGATGTGGTTTGGCCTTCAGGGCGAACTCGATACATTTTTCTCTGAAAATTATTGATTTTTTAAAAAAATTTAGTTTTTTTGATTGATATTATTTTTTTAAGGATAAGTTCAAAAAAATCTTGAAAAAGCAAAAAAAGCTTCGTATTTGAACAAACTTTGAAATTTGAAACCTTTAAAATCCCTTTTGAAAAAATTCCTGATTATTTTAGTGTCCACTCTATCAGTATGCAATATTATTCATCAAAAAAATACGAATAAATTCATAATTTATCATGAAGATTATAATGTAACACTTGAGCTCGTTCAGACTTTTTTTCTAATTTAATAAAGAAGTTTTCTATTTTTTTCTTTTGGTTCATCTTTCTTGACAGGTGGGGTGTTTAATCCACCTAGCGCCCCCTTTGTATCATCGCCGACAAAATGACCTGGTTCTTGTCCAACTCGCAGTTCTCGTACTCGCGTTCTCCTTCGTTCTGGAATGTGACGATGACGAAACCGACGAAGATGTTCATCATGAAGAAGGCTGAAGTTTTCGGGAATGAAAAATCAGATTTTAAATGTTTCTGAAACCGATAACGATGATAAAGGCGATGAAGAACAGGGCGACGGCTTGTCGAGAATTATGTACAGGACCCCGATCTTCTTCGTTCGAATTGATCGCGACGTAGAGCAAACTACAAACAAAGTTTCGTATAATTTTTAAAGATGAAATGAAAAAAATTAGATAGCGTTCTTGTCTTTGAATACAGAGGAACTTGTAAAATTGAAGGAAAAAAAAATTTTATCTCAAAATAAAGCCCAAAGCCCGGGAAAGACCGGCCCGCACCGCCCGGCATGAGGCACAAGCCCTAACCCCTATAAGGACCACTCTGGAAATACGAAGCAAAAAAGATCTCGAGAATAAGGGCAGTTTTTCCAGTCACGGAAGAACTTTTGATGAAACCGTGCTATCATCTATCTACTTCAGAGCCTTCTGATACAAGAGAGAGAAAATGTTTTTTCGACTCGCGCCTTGGTTTGGAAGAGTTTAGAATTAATTTTCTCCTTTTGGAGTCAGGAGGACCTACAGTATACTACATTCCATTTTTTTACTACATCTAAAGTTTAAGAGGGGACTAAGAAATTCCCTTTTAACTTGGAAGTTCCACAGTAACCCGTACTTCTTTCAATTATTTTTGAATGAAATGACGGAGAAGAAGTTGAAATTTCTTTGTTTCCAGTCGAAAACTGACTCAGGCCATCCTTCGAAGGTGGAGACGACGAAGAGGGAAACCATGGCGCCGACGACGTTGTCGAAGTTGAAGTCGTTGTTCGACCAGACGCGCTTTTTCGACACTGGCTTGGTCGGATCGCCGTCCTCGTAGTGGATGTACTCGCCTCTTCAAATTGTCAAGGTTTTGAAAAAATAAGAGCTTTTTCTTTTATCATCTATGTGGGATCAGCTTTCGAAAGGCGCCGTACTTAAGAACGCCAGAGTGTTCCCTAGAGGGTTTAGAAAAGAAACAGCCCCTACAGGGTTCACAAAGTCACAACATAGTGTTAGAGGATAAAATTTAGGCAGCCCCTATAGGGGTCTCTGACCCTTCGGCCCCTCTAGGGACCACTTTGGCGTTTTTGAGTATCTAAAAATTCTCACGTTGAATTAAGAAAATGCAAAAAACTATCTAGACGGATTTCTGTTTAAAAAAATTTCATTAGATTTCAGTTTTTCGGTTAGAAAATTATTGATAATTATTAAATATGATTTTAAAAAATTGATAAAACTTTTTTCATTCGTCCAAGAAAGACAAGTTGATTGGAAACGAAATTCAAAAAGTTCCTATTTCGACAATATGATAAACCATTTGCGAAAGAAATCGATATGATTTTGAAAATCTCAAAAAAAGAACCTGCACTCAGCCTCGCTCATTTTCGAGAGATCGTTGCAGAAGAAGAAGGTCCCCTTGAACAGCTGGACGCCGATAATCGCGAACATGAACTGAAAGATTTATTAATTCTATTATTAATCTAGACAACGGCTGAGAGGCCCCTAGAGGCGATCCCAGGGGCCGTTTTAGGTTCCTCTCAAAGGATCACCTCCCCTATATGGACAATAAAGCTTGCAAAAGCGAGCACTCTAGGGTTTTGATTGATCGCTCCAGGGGAGCGTGCCCTATGCGTCATTTTAATACATCTTTTCGATTCTCAGATCAGAAAGAAACAAATAAAAGATCAATATAGGGTCCAATCAAGCGTTAGAGCCCTAGGGGTCAGACTTCTCCTCCCTATTTTGTTTTGTGGACCGTCTTTAAATTTTATTCTCAGTAGCTCAGGCAAAAAATGCGCAGAAAATAGTTTCCAAGATGTTTTTTTATTTAACCGTATAAACTTTCTTCAGAAAAAGGAGCCGAATGTAAACCAACAAAAAATCATAAAATTGACTAGCAAAAGATTCAAAAATTGAAGCCTTGTCCAAAGGGATTCCGCGGAACTCAAAATAGCCATCAGAGAATGAAAAAGACAACTAAACTTTGGAGAGTTCGAGAAAATTTTGAATTTGGCGTAAATAACTTGAAAAGGGCATACAGAGTTAAAGACTCAACTTTTAGCGAGATTCATTTAACCATCTTTTTGAAACTGTAAAAGGATCTACCTGAAGCATGAAGGTGACCAACATGATGTTTCCGATAGTCTTCACGGCGACGATGACGCATTGGACGACGTGTTTGAGGCCTTTTGCTCGGTTGATGGCACGGAGAGGACGCAACACTCGAAGGACACTGTAGCCACAGTACTTATCTCCTTCCTACAGTAACCAGGTTACCGTAAGATCTTGACGACGGAGATGGCGTCGGATTTCAACACGAAAGAGACGAGAGAGACGGCGACGACGAGGATATCGAGCAGGTTGAAGGCGTTGCGACAAAATGAGCCCTAAAGAGATTTCTATTTGTTCATTCTCAAAAAAATCCCAATCTATCGGAAAAAATAATTAAGAAAACCCTACAAACCTTGTGAAAAACGAGTCCAAACACGACAACTTTCAGCGTGATCTCAACGGTGAAAACCGACGTGAAGAAGTAGTCGAAATAGTTCAAAATCTAAAAAAAAGCGCTCATTTTCCTTTTTTTAAAGTTTTTACCGTGTTCCTGCTGGAATTGGCTTCCAAGGGATCCTCGGCGGCTAACATGGCAGATGAGACCAAAATACAGACCAAAACCGAGTTGGTAAAGTACGAGTGATTGACGATTTTGTTGCAAAACACACTGAAAATTTTTCGATTCCAAGTGTTTTTGAAAATTCCGAAAAGTCTGTTCAGATTTTGAATGTCAAGTCGTCGCTCAAGCTCCGCCCCTAATGGCGCGATAAACCAATCAGAGAGCGAGCCATCCACAGAGTGTTTTTGAATGACGTCATTGCACTTGACATTAAAAAAATCTGGACAGACTATACTTATAATTTAGAAATTTTTAAAAAAAGGCTTGTAGTCTGATTGATCCCCTACTGGTTAATCTTCACCAGTCAGCGGCATGACTTGGGCGGCAAAAAGTTTTAAAAAAGGCTATGCTAAATGCAAGAGAAGCTCAAGACTCAGAGCAATTTTTTCCAAGTCATTTTGAGTTTGAAATTTTCTGAGATTTTGTTCGATCATCTTCTGAAGATGCAGATCTACATGATTTATGGTCAAACTTCTATTTCATATGAATTTTGTCTACATGTAATGAAAAGTTCCGAAATATGTGTTCCAGGTGCGATTCTATGGTATAGTCAATGTTTCCCGACTTGGAAGGGGAGGGAGGCGGGGCAAGGGGCGGGACGCGTAGCGTGTGCGTTCGCGGTTCTTGACACAAGTTCAGTTCAATTGCCGCAGGCTATTTAAAAAGCTCGGCAACCGCTCTTTTTCTGTTTTTTCTACTATTTTTGATGCACACATGAACATTATCCATAAATAATTTAAAAAAGAGTGAAAAAAGCTATAAACGAGCTCTCCAAATGGTCGCTGGCGGTTGAATTAAACTGGCGTCAAGAACCGTGTACGCAAACGCTGCGCGTCCCGCCCCTTGCCCGCCTCCTTCGCCTTTCAAATCGGGAAACATTGACTATATAAACCTCAAAAATGCACATCTTACTAAGAAAAAAGATTAAGAAAAATTAGAAAAGAAAAAATAACAAAAAAAACTTCTCAGAAAGCGGCTATCTATCTAAACATTCAAAGAGCGTTTGTTCGAAATTTTCTCAAAACTCTATTTGAAAAATTTTAATCAAGTTTTTTTTTCATTCAAAATAACATGAAAAATTACCGAAACGGATTGGTATGGCTGAGGATGAAAAGAGAAGAAGCCTTTGGAATCGGCTTCGCTGCGTTCGTCGATGGAAGTTCGCTCATTCTGAGAAATATATATTATTAAACAAACCTTCTCTGAGAACAAATCAAAATTGATTTGCAAAAACAGTTTTTTTTTCTCATTTTTTTCAAAACTTTTGTACCTCCTTGGCCTGGCCGTGACGATTTCCTCGCCGCCGTCCTGTTCTTCCATGTCAAGCCGTTCTTCTCCGTCATAATTCTCTTCCCCTTCATCGTATTCTTCTTCTCCTTCCAGTTCTAGGTACAAAAAAATAATAAAAATTATCAAAAAAGGCTCATAAAAGGTCACAAGCCTTGCAGTTGGAAGAATTTTTTATTTTTTTTTTTCATCAAAACAAAAAAACATTTATCTTTAAACCATAACTATAATGTTTCAGGCTGCTTTTGAATCCAAAATACGAAGAAATTCCGAGCTTCTCAAAGGGATTAATTAAGAGTTTAAGAATGATCCTTATAAGGGTTAGGAGGAAAAACAGTCTTTATGAGGACCGAAAAGTGGTCCCTTCAGGGGTTTAGCACCTTACTCCCTAACTCCTAAAGCTCAAGTGGTGCTTTTAGGGGTTTTCCAATTTTGTTCAAAAAACGCCCATATTTATTCAGTTTTTCGCGTGGAGATGCTTGTTCGCATATAATTCAACCAAATTTCCGACGAGAATGTCCCCTGAAGGGGCCACTAACTAAAACCTCTATAGGGACCACTTTTGCAAGCTTTAGTGACACCTATGGAGGTCGGTAAAGTGGTCCGTAGAGACCTCCGAGGGCTTTCTAAGGTTGCCCTTATAGGGACGACTCTGGAGCTCCTAAGTAAGACCTGGAAACACGGAGTAAAGAAATTACTCAAAAAAAAGTTGCTTTTTTTTTTGAAATTTTCACCTTGTTGTTCTTCCTCCTTCTCTGCGTTTGTCAAACTGTCTGCGTCAGCCAAATTGTCGACGGCGATAGCCAAGAAGACATTCAGCAAGATGTAGTTACCTGGAAAATCGAACCATTTCTTCAGAATTCAAGTCGGTTGCCGCTTTTTTGATGAAAATTCATAGTGGACGTGAAAGAATCCGATTTCGAACTTACTGGGAAAATTTTTAGCGGCCACTATAGAGGCTCGCCAAGGACTAATTGGAGTGGACACCAAAGTGGCCGCTAAACCCACCTCTATAGTGGCCACTATTCTCCGTTTTAGTGGCCACTATAGAGGTTTTCTATTTAGTGGCCACTTCAGTAGTTTTTCATACAATATTTCTTCCAGTAATTCTGACAATTTTAAAACAAACAGATTGGACCAGTTATGTTGATCCGTTGACCCCTGAAGGGGCCACTAAAACTTTTAACTAAAACTAAAACTTTTAGTGGTCTAGTAGTAGCCCTTAGACCACTATAGTGGCCACTAATTTTTAACCCCTTAAGTGGCCGTTAATTTAACTACTATAGTGGAAGCAAAAAATTTCGACAATTTTTGTTTTGTTGCCTTTTTTAATTTTCTCAAAGCTTCGTTATTGCTCATCTTAATGTTTTGATTGCTCATTCTACACAAAAACTGACCGCAGATGAACAAGACGATGTAGTAAATGGAAACGATGACGCCGAGAGTTCCAACGCCGCCAAACGACTCGATACCGTTGTACATGACCGTGTTCCAATCCTCACCGGTGAGAATCTGAAAAGCATACTGTAACCTGTCCTACTGTAACAGGAACGTACCTGGAACACAGTCAAGAGCGCTTGGATGAACGTGTCGAAGTTGGCTCGTGGTTTGGGTTGTTGTGGGTTGAAGTTGAACTTGCCACCGAACACCTGAAGAGATTACGGTGGATTACGGTATCGTGGACAGATCTTTTCTGAGATCTAATTGGTCTCACCTGCATGCCCAATAAGGCGAAAATAACAATAAACAAGAAGAGCAGCAGGAGAAGGGACATGATGGACCTGAGGGAGTTGAGCAACGAGGAGACGAGGTTTCGAAGTGATGTCCAGTATCTGGAAAAAGCCATAGAAACCTTCAAACTTCTCATAAGTTATTTACATCAGGTTGTATGTCAGGAAACCTGTCTACTTCGTTTGGAGGCCCATTTTCGTTTTTTCATCCTTTTGAAGGGTCTCGAAACGAAAAAATGCTGTGTTTGGAGTATAGTCAATGTTTCCCGACTTAAAAGGCGAGAAGGGTAGATAGCAAGGGTGATGCGTTGCGTACGCGACGCGGTTTCTGGCGGGAAACGAAAATTCAAACGTGAACCTCTTTTTTGCAATTTTCTCACCTTTTTTTAACGTTTTGAGAAAATTTTTAGTGGCCACTACAGAGGCTCGCCAAGGGCGACTTGGAGAGGACACTAAAATGGCCACTGTTTTCCGTTTTAGTGGGGTCAGTAGTTTTTCATCCAGTATTTCTTCCAGTAACTCTGATAATTTGAAAACAAACAGATTGGACCAGTTATCTTGATCCATTGACCCTTAAAATGGCCACTAATCTGACTACTACAGTGGCCAATAAAAACTTTCCCAGTTATTCTCTTTTTTATAGCTATGAGAAACTTCGAAGTGGTCCCTATAGGGAGTGCACTAGAGAACCCTAAGGCCTCCCGATTGGGACCCCTGAGCTATATAGGGACCCCTAAAGCTTCAGGGTTTTAATGAACCGCTCAGAGCACTATTGGGAGCATTAAAATGACCCTATAGAAGTCCTCAAATAAACAGAACCCTATAGGGACCCCTTCGAAAATGTGCAGTTTCGACAATTTTATCGTTTTTCATGCTTTGAAACTTTATTGAATGAATAAATGTATAAGAATTTTAAATTTTCGCCTTCTTTTTGTTTGATTTCCCTGTTTCAACCAACTTTGTGACTTTGAATATCCTGAGAAGACGTGCCGACCGGAGCACGGAGACGCCGAGAGGCTTCATCAGATCGAAGTAGACCAAAACGAATTCGATAATTGAACTGGAAATGTACTTTTTTTTAAACTATTTCCTCTATAAGACTCCTATAAACCCTGGGAAGTAAAGCCAAAAGATGTAATTATCTGAAAACGGACCTAATAACAACAAAACAGTCGAAGCGATTGAACTGCGACGTGGTGTAGGTGGTGAACCCCAACGAGTACATCTTCAGGAGCATTTCCATCGAGAACAGGATCACGAAGAAGAGATTCGCCATGGCTGAAACACAAAAGCAGATGTAAAAAGTAGACTTTTCGAAAATTCGAAGGTTTTAATAGTTTTTTTGGTACATTGGGAAAATGTCTAGTGGTCACTATAGGGTTTTGAAGTTTTAGTGGCCACTATAGAGGTCTAAGTGCTACTACTAGACCACTGAATCCTTTAGTGGCCACTTTAGGGGTCGATGGATCAACATAACTGGTCCAATCTGTTTGTATTAAAATTATCAGAGTTACTGGAAGAAATATTGTATGAAAAACTACTGAAGTGGCCACTAAATAGAAAACCTCTATAGTGGCCACTAAAACGGAGAATAGTGGCCACTATAGAGGTGGGTTTAGCGGCCACTTTAGTGTCCTCTCCAAGTAGTCCTTGGAGAGCCTCTATAGTGGCCACTAAAAATTGTCCCAGCAGCTCAGCAAGTTGCAGAAAAGGAAAAAAATCATATAATTTTTTCCTTTTTAAAAGTATTTAAAAAAAAACAATCACAATAATTTCCTCTGAAAAAAATTTTTAAGTTTCCCCCAAAAAAATATAATAATGCTCCTTCATTTAATTATAGTGAAACTCTAGCGGGAAAAAAAGCAAAGATTATTCTTCAAAAAAATTTGAAAACACGATATTTTTTTAGAAATATATTTCACAATTCAAAGTAAAACTAAATTTTTTTCAACAGCTTGTTAAAAAGTTTCCTTGTAACTGGAAAGATTTTTTTATTTTTAATGTTAATCGATTATTTTTCTAGCCTTATAAAAAAATCATTTAATTTCGGTACCTAACTTTTCGAGTTTTCCGATTAAATCAAAACTATGTTGAAACGGCTATTTTGAAAATTCCAGCCTTTCCTCAAAAACTAGAAGATTGAGAAAAGATTGAGTTTTTCAGGATCATCAAGGAATTTTCGGCTATTTTTCAAAAAAATCGCCCTTAGGAGCGCCAGAGTGGTCCCTATAGCGGCAACCTTAGAAAGAACCCTATAATGGCCAATGAAGCGTGCAAAAGTGGTCCCTATAGGGGGTATGCTGCTTAATAATTGTTTCGAACTGTAAGCGAAGAAGCAATTTCATGGGAAAAACTGAAAAACAGGCATTTTTTGAATGGAATTTAAATACCCCCATAGGGTCCACTTGAGCTTTAGGGGCTAAGGGGTCAGACGCTACACCCCTAAAGGGACTAGCTTAATTTTTTTCCTGAAGAGACTACTTTTTCGGCTCCTATAATTATAAAGGCGAAATCCTTCTTAGGAACTCCAGAATACATTAAGAGTTGCTTTCCTCCCTAACCCCTATAGGGACCACTCTGGAATCCTTAATTCAAGTTTTCGAAGACAATACTGTCCGTGGGAAACTAACTTTGGAAATGGTCGAGCCACTCGCTCTGCCCATAGTGTTCCGATGTCAACACGAGGGTGTTGAGCAGCACGAGAAGGATGACGAGCCAATAGAACGTCTGACTCTTGACCAGCCGACGACACGCTCTTCTGCACCGTCGGTTCAATTTTTCCAATCTGAAAATGTTCAAAATTTTCTATTTTCTGCAGTTTCTTTCAAACAGTAAGAGAAAAAAAAACTGGTTGCCCCCGATCTAGATTTTTAACACGCTGTCTCCGTTATTCTCAAAAAAACGAGTACAATAAAAAATTTAATTTTTTTGATTCTGATGAAACTTCATCCAGTGTGATAACCCATCATCAGAAATGCGGACCCAACTTTTCGATCCATTTTCTCTTACTGTAGCCGGGTTACGGTAGGAAGGTGGTCACCTGCGTATCTAAGTATTGAATAGTTTTTATTAAGCAAGGGATATATCAATCGGTAGGTAATCCAATTTTAATAACTTTTACAGTACATACCATCTTGGGTTACGGTGGAAAAATTTTGAGTTACGGTACTTTTATGGATCTCGCGGCTCAAGCTCGTGGTGGCCGAAAAACTGACTCGGCAGACTTCAAAGTTGGAGTACCTATCGATTGATATATCACTTGCCTAATAAAAACTATTCAATACTTAGATACGCAGGTGTCCACTTGCCTACCGTAACCCGGCTACAGTAAAAGAAAATGGCTCAAAAAGTTGGGCCCGCATTTCTGATAATGGGTTATCTCACTGGATGCAATTTCATCAGAATCAAAAAATTAAATTTTTTATTGTACTCGTTGTTTTTTTTTGAGAATTACAGCGACAGCGTGTTAAAGTCTTTTGGACAAGACAAGGAAACTGATATTAGTAGTTAGTCAGCCGGGGTTTCGATTTTCAAGGCTTTTGAAACTGTAAAGAGCGATAAAATTTACGTTTTAATTCGAAAAGTTTTTAAGAGTCGGGTCCTTGACAAACGAAAAAGCACTTCAAAAACTGAATCAACTGAAAAAAAAACAGAATTTTTAATTTATTCTCCCACTCTACAGGCAAAGTCCAAAACAGCCTCAAAAAGGACTCAAAAAGAAGGATCTAGAGCTCCTTTTTTTCCCAAAAAGTGTCAAAAGTTTCTCTGAATCTTCTTTTTTCCCGTTTTCTTGTTTTCTCCTAAAAAAGGACCTTTTTAGAGAACGGTAAAACAAAATCAGCCTGTGAGTTTTTTTCCAAGGGTTATTTTTTAGTTTTTTTAAACTTTGCCCGTGTTTTCGGGACTCCAAAATGGTCAAATATATGATTTAAAAAAAATCAAGGAAATTTATTAAAAATTTATAAGAAAAAACTCTCAACGAATCTACATATCAAATTATTTTTCGACTCACCTTCTCATTCTTGCCGCCCATTTGCTCGGCCTGACGTCTTCTGCCCTTTCCTCTCCTTCTTCGTCTGCTTCTTCGCCCATCGTGTCTAAAAAAACAGTTTATTGTGCAAAAAAATATTAAAATTATTAAAGCAAAAAAAAAAATGAAAAAATTACTTGTAGCGGTTATTATTTATTTTTTACGAAACTTTACTGTTTCAAAGGGAATTTATGAACTTTTTCTCACTGTTAATAAAATAATTGATGGATTTTGCTGTTCCACAGAATTTTTGCAAAGTGCAGTGCCTATGGCGGTATTCTGCAAAAAAGCTTCATGCATCCTACAAATAAGTGCTTTGCATTTTGCATAGAAGTACCTCGCATTTTGCACTTTTTTCGTCTGTACAAAAAAAAAAATGCAAAATGCGATTAACTACAGTGCAAAATACAAAGCTCTGATTTGTAAGATGCCTGAAGCTTTTTTGGGATATGCCGGCCTAGGCACTGCTCTTTGCACGAACTCAGTAGAGGAGCTATTTCAAAATCGAATATTCAAATGTTCAATTTTCCGAGTATCGTTTTTTCAGACTCCAACCTCGAAAAAAAAGTTCGAGCCATCTGAAAAGAGCACGTAAACAAGAGAGGGTGGCAGAGAGATCAGAATATTTGAAGACGCGGCAAGAGGATCATACATGAAGTAAAGAAAGATATTTTTCTCATGAGTTCCAAAATTTGAATGAAAGGGGAATCGTTGGTGTTCACACTAATACTTCTAATGGAAATATTACAAACGTAAAATTTTTTTCAAACTTACTTCATTATTTTTCCTTTTTCGTTCCTCTGTCGATTTTACAAAAACTTTCACTTCATCATTTTGCTTTTTTTTTCCTTTTTCAGTTTTTCAAACCTGTATACCTTTTATTTTCATTTTTCTATCCTTTTCCAGATTTCCGTTTCAACTCACTTTGGGGCGGAGGCTCATCCTCCTGCTCGTCTTCGTTCACCGGCTCGATGTCTTCAGCCTGAGTGATCCAGTCCAAATAGCCTGTCAAAATTCATTTCATCATTTTTCATTCTATCCAAAGTTACCTTTCAAGTCTTCCTCGAGCTGCTGTTTCTCACGAAACTTCTGAAAAAGGCCTCTCGCCCGGGCTTTTTCTCGTTCTTTTGAGAATTCTCCGGACAGGACACCCAGAACGAGGTTGAGGACGAAAAACGAGCCGAGGATGACCAAAGTGACGAAATAAATCCACGGCCATTCTCTGCCCACCGCGTCATTTACCTGGAAAATCGGAGAAAGTGGATAAAAATTTCAAAATTACAACAAAAAAGGGACACAATGACATTTCTTCAAAATTATTTCCCAATTTTTCAATTTTGAAAAAAATGACTTCAAATTGCTCTAACTTCTTTTTCGTTCTTCTAAAAATCATGACATCTCTGGCAATATTCCTAAAACTCCTATTTTGCCACACTATTTCTCTATCCTTTCATGACCATATTTCTAAAAAAAATCCTTGATTTTTTATGCACTGATGTGAATGAACTTCAGATCATTTTTCATATTATCATCAAAAATTAATTTCATTTTAAAGTTTCAAAGATATTAAAATCAAACAAAATCGTGTTTTACAACATATTTGATTTATGGAAAAAGTTATCATAACGCCCTTTTTTTTCCCAACTCATCCTAAACCCAAATGGCGCAGAACAAGTCTGCGCCTAACTTAACTTTCTTTTTGCTTAGAGGCTGTAAATTTTGCTTAAATAAGACGTTGAAAATCAGGTTTTTTTTCATGAATGGTTTCAAATCGCCTTCTATTTTTTTTTTTCAAGAATAAGAAAAAATATTACCCAATACATGACGTCGGTCCATCCTTCAAGAGAAACGCACTGGAACACTGTTAACATGGCCAGTCCAAAGTTGTCAAAATTTGTTATTCCGTTGTTCGGCCCTAAAGTTTTTATATACTCAATAAGAAAACAGTTTAAAAATGAAGAAGCCTCGTTAAAAAGCCAACCTAGAAATTTCTACTTCCAAATCTTTTCTGACCTTGAAAAAATTATAAAAGAATCAAAATTAGTTGATAAAAACTCATCATAATGTCTGCAATATCGAAAAGAAACCTCAAATTCAATTCAAAACGACAATAAAAAAGTGCAAAAAGCATCAAGCCACCTAGGGGACTCGAACCCCTGACCGTTAGATTAAAAGTCTAACGCTCTACCAACTGAGCTAAGGAGGCTCACGCAGGGAGGAGGGCGCCTACCAGGCCAAGTTGTATTGCTGGAACACTCCCAATGGACGCCCATCTCTTGGAGAGAATCGGACGGTTGACATCGGAAGGCGCTTCCGACATTTCCACACGGCGACGGTTCTTTCTGGGCCAGTTGGCCGGTCGCTGGGTCGATACTGTAACCGTTTCTTTAATCATTTTCAGGAATTTAGGGGAACTGTAAGAGTAAGATTGTTTATATAGTACGGAAGGTACGGAGGTGCTCAAGTTACTGTCTATTTTTTTTTAGGAAATAGAGAAGAAAAAAAAACTTCTCAGATCGAAAAAATTGCCCTTAATCCATAGCTTTTGTAAGAGAATGCAAAAAAAAGCTTTTGTAAGCCGAAAAATTACCAAGTTGAGTGTAATTTGCCGCAGAACAGCTCGAGGCCGATGATGGCGTAGATCAAAATAACAAAGAGGACCAACAACGCGATGTGCAGCAGCGGGATCATCGCACGCAAAATCGCGTTCAACACGACTTGCAAACCTGAGAAATTATCATCAATACTGTAAATGTCGGGCAGAGTCGGAAGGGTGGATAAATGGCCGCCAAAAGGTTCAAAAAAGGCCCCAGAAGGTGGAAAGAGGGTTCCTTCATGGAGCTTTCCATTTTTTTTGGGATTTTAAAAGCTCAAGAGATGGTGGAAAAAGGGAGAGACAGCAAAAATGGTGCATAAGGGCTGAGAAAATGACGCGAAAAGGTAGCAAAAAAGAAGCCTTTGTCGCCCTAAAAGGAAAACTTCTATGGAGCCTTTTTCCACTCTTTCCTTTTCTATGATTTGATAAAGAAAACTTTAAAAAATTGTTTCTGCTTATTGTTCCATTTTTACGAGAAACTTTGAAACTATTAAAGCTTCAATTTGTTTTATTTTTCGCAACATCGGGATGGTATGGTGATGTTGCAGGGAAGGAAAAAGACCACTAGGTGGATTAACTAACCCCACCTGTGAAGAAAAAAGTTTTTTGTGTAAGAAAAGAAACATAGAACCATAATAAGTAGATATTTAAAACCAAGTTGATCATGGCACAAATCTGTGAACACTTGAAAGAATATGCTCGACGCCAACATCTTCTGCATACACTAAAAACATGTCCTTAAATTTTTTCTTGTCTTCCTCTGCCAATAATTCATGTTCAATGTCATTCCAAACATTAGTAATGCGGTGTGATAAGAAATTGAAGAAAACCAGTGAAGGTTTCGTTTTTATTAATTTAAAACCATTTCCTCTGAGCTGACTGGGACGGTCAAAGATGTTATGTACCTGGATGTGAGAGTCTGACCAGCACTTATTATGCAAAAACTGATGTGATAATACCAGATCCTTAACTGAACGCCTAAACCAAAGAGGTTGAAGACCTAAAAGTTTTAACCGTTCATTATATTCCATTCTTGGGGAAAGGCGCTTCGTGAAACGTATTACAAAAAAAGCGATAAAAATGTTTTTTAATACAACATAACACTACCTGAGCAAATGAATCAACTAAAAATCTTAATTATATGCGCTTTAAAAAACAGAAAAACGACTTCAATTCTGGAAGAAAAAAAAGACGATGAAAAAAAAATATGCTCTTTTTAAAGTACGTAAAATACACACGGAATTACTGAAACTGAAATTTGAAGCGTAAATACAAGACAAGAAACCGAAAATTCATAAATTCACGTTAGATTTCGATTATTTTCATTCAAGGCAACAAAAGATTGCGGAAAAATCTCTATTAAAAAAATCTACAGCCTTTAATAAACGGTAGAAAATTATGAAACTAATCGTCCTAAATAACCGTAGAAAATAACCTTTCCTTCATAAAAAAATCGAAAAAAATCAAAAACCGCGACGCGTTTAGCCATTCCAAATGCGGTCACCAAATTTTCAGTTGACTTGAAATAATTTTTTTTTATAGATTAGCTTTACTCTTTCTTCTACTGTTAGATTTTCAAATTATGCATTATTCTGCTTTTTTCAACTCATTTTATTTCAAATTCAAAACCGTTTTTAGGAAAATAGCTTCAAAACTGCTATAATTTCTGAATTTTTGGATCAAAAAACAAGAAAAAACGAACTGGGAACTCCGGAGACGAGTCGAAGAGGCCGGAGGACGCGAAAGGCCCTCAACGCTTTCACGTCGAAGCCCTGGATGTTCATTCGCGACAATATCGTACTTACTAATCTGAAACATTCAAAATACAGTAAATATTCGAAAAATAGAAAGTCTAACAAAGTAACTTTTTCTGGATTTCGATGAAACCTGGCTGGATTGTGTTTTAAGATCTTCAGAGTCGAAAAAAAAGGAAAGAATTGATATTTTTCCAAGATTAGAAGCTTCAAACCCCTCAAACCATTTTTATGTAGTTTTCGAAGGGTCCGAAAAGGTTCCATTAAGCTGCATTTTTTCCGCTCTACTATCAGCCTACATTGGCCCTTTTCCTACCTTTTTTGAGCCTTTGACTCTCTATAAAATTTGGAAGGCTTGAAAAAGGAAGAAAGAAAAGAAAGAAAAAGAAAATTTATTTAGCCCATTTCTGATACTTATGACTTTGTCAGTCATATTTAGGTTACCTAATACCATAACCAAAAAAAAAAGAAATTACCCAATAACGACAATGATGAAATCGAGAATATTCCAAGCGTTGCGTAAGTAGGCGCCCGGATGAAAAAGAAAACCCATAGCGATCACCTTCAGTACACATTCTATGGTGAACACCACAATGAACACGTATTCTATTTGTTCCTGAAAATATTGATTTTTTCAGAGATATGTTTATAGTTGATTCAAAGGTACCTCGTCTAAATTTCTCTTTTTTGCACGCTATTTCGCTTTTTGCGTAGAGGGTTTCTTCAAATATTTCTCAAGCAGGTAAGATTCAAAAGTTTCAAAAAAGGAACCCGATTTATTTTCATAATTTAATCTTACTCCAGCTTGCGTTTCTTAAAAGAAACGCACGGCGTTTTTTTGATGACGCCCCGCCCATTTTTTTTTTCGTAAAGTGTAGTGTGTTGTGTGCATGCACCGCGACGCTCTCGCACATGCTACGTTCAAAATGATTTTCGCGAAATTCAAAATCATATTTGAGTTTCTTTGGCTTCAAAACTTACTACAAATGAGATATCAAACTTTCATCGCACTATTAAAAAACAATTTTAAAAAAAAACTTACCAATATCGTATTTTTTGAATCCGAATCTTGTGCTGGATATGGCTGGTAGACGGCCAAAGCGATACAATTTGCGCAAATCATCAACAAAATCAAAAATTCGAATGGTCTAAAATCCTTTTTGAAGAGAAATATTGATTGGGAAACTCACTTCCATTCACATATAGCGATACATAATTTTCGTATAGGGTTTGATAAAGAGAGGCATAATAACGACCGTTCGGACCTGGAAAAAACAGACGTTTTCTTGAAAAAGAGTGATTTGAAGATGGAGCTAAAAACTTGCAAGGCTTTTGAGATTCTCTGGAATCTGCAAACGATTTGAAAGTTTTTGAAAGAATGAAGTGATGGAAAAATAGAACAGCAACCTACATTACTTTTTCACAGAAAATTTAAAATTGCAAAAAGATTGTTGACGTATTTCCGTCTGTGTTTACAATGCAAAACCGGTGCGGTTAAAAAACAAGACTTTCGCGATGTCGCCTGCGACATCGCTTCTACAGTTCTTCCGTCGCGACTTGACAGTTTTCGCGTGTCTGCGTCTCTCTGTTCCCTCACCGGCGATGTCAGAGACATGGAAACAGCACGGGAACATGAGAGAGACCTAGAGAAATAAGGAGGGCGCAGAGAAGTCCCGCCCTTTCAAGTCGCGAAAAACGGACTATATATCGACAGTTATTATTGAAAAGATGAAGGAATGAGAGAATGAGAGAGTGAGAGAATGAGAGAAGAAGATAAATGAATTAGAGAAAAAGAGAAAAAGAGAATACGAGAAAAAGAAGAATGAATTAGAGAATGAGAGAATGAGAGAAAAAAAGAAAAAGATGAACGAACCTCTCGACGACGTTGGTCTGCCGGAGAGGCTTCCGCTGCTGCGGCCGCTTCTTCGTCTGGTCCGTCGAGGTCGACGCCGCCACCGCTGCCTGCAAAAAAGCCGAAATCATAAGAGTCATCAACTTGTGGATAAAATCAGAAAAAGTAAAACTGAGAAAAGAAATGGTAAAAATAAAAGATGTGAAACTGAAAAGCGAGGCCGAAAGTGGCCAGGAAAAAAAAATATTTGAATTTGTATTCCATATTATTCGAAGCCAATATTAGTCAGAGAAAAGGGTACAAATTACTCGCAATATTTTTAAACCACGTCAAATTTTGATTCGAAATGAGTTTTTTTGTGGAATATCAGTGGAGCGCATTTGACTCAACCTTTTAGGGCTATTTTTTTAAAAATTTTTTTGTTGTAGGATTTTTTTGTTCTTGTGTCTTATCTAAGTTGCTGCGGGGGCTATTTTTTTGTGAGTTTTTTTCGTTTTTTTCAATGCCTTTGTAGTCGGGGGGGGTAAGCTGCTTCTTTATGCCGTTTTGAAAACAATTTTAATCTCGGAGTGTTGGAATTCATTTCAATGATTTTAAAAAATAAATACAAAATCATTCTATCAAGAAATTGGGTCAAATCAAAAAGTATCCTTCTGAAAAATACCTATGAAAGGTACGCGCGTTTAAAATATTGCAGAAGTTGAGTTTCAAAATCCTTATTTTTTGTGTGATTTCAAACAATTGATTTCAGTGAAAGCAATTAAAAAAATACTTTTTACTAAAAAAAATACTAAACGAATCTTTCGAATGAGGTCCTTGAAAGTACATCAAAACTTTTTTTCCATGTATTATTGATTTGGGTTTTTTTCATAAAAAAACTTTTTCAGACCAACGATCAAAATTCAAATTTTTTTCACATTCAAAAAAATCTTCGCTTGATGATTTGAAGGAGCATGCGCCGATATGATAAATAAAACAAATTGGAATATTTCTATCTTTTTTTTTTGATAAATTTAAAAAAGACTAGCGAGACGCAGGTGTTAGTTCGTCCAAAAATTCTTGCTGTGTCTAAAAATTTTGGAAAATTTGAAAATTTGAAAATTTGAAAAATTTTGAAAAAAGCGTTTACTTTTTAGAGGCTTTCAATTTTTATTTTAAAAAGATACAGAAAAGTTGAAATACTCCCAGTTGAGTTTTTAATAAATTTGTAGATGTTATAGTTCGTCCAAAAATCCTGGCTGTGTGTAGAAACCTTGCACAACTCGAAATAACACTAAAAACGGCTCATCGCATCGAAATTATTTATCAGTCCTGTCCATGCTCCTTTAAACCATCCGGCAAAGATTTTTGATGCGACTCTCATTCAAAATAAACTGCCGCACATTCTTGTTTCAAAAAAATCAAATAAAGAAACATGAAAATTTATGAAATCAATCTGATAGAATTTCTTTCATTATCCCCAAAAATCCACATAAATGGACTTTATTTCGACGTAGTAGATTTTCCATATGAGGTCATTGAAATTGGATTTTTTTTTGATGATAGTATTATGCCCCCTCCCCCTCCCGTCAGCCATGCGGGGGGCTTTCAAATAATGCAAAGATTCTGTGCAAGCAACCTTTCAAGGAAAACTGAAAACTAATTTTCTTGTCGAGATATTTTATCAAATCTACACATGCTCCTTTAAACCGCCCAGCGAAGATTTTGGATACAACTTTTAATTCCAATCAAATATCGCACATTCTTGTTTCAGAACCTTGAGAAAGTAAAAAATAAAGTTTAAAATCAATGGGATTCTCTTTTTTTGGAAAATGTTCCTATTTCTCGACTTTCGATGCAAGAACACGTGAATCCGGGCGAAAGATGGCCGAACCCACTCACACATTGATTCATTTTAATGAAGTCTTCGCCTCGAGACGTCTCCCCCCTTCCTTTTTTTCCTAGCCATGGGCTTCTCGATTGACGAATTCTGACAGCTTCTCAAGGAGTTCCCGGCTTTTTTCGGTTACTTACTGGGTTGGACACAGAGAAATTCCAGCTAGAGGAAGTTTTTCGTGGGAAGAAGCTGGATGGAGTTTGGAAAAGGGGGAAATTTGATTTTTTGCAAGTATGAGTGAGAATTTTGAATTTTTTTATCTTTTATTTTATTTTTTTCGGATTTATGTTTTAATTTCTTGCGTGTTTTTGAAGTTTCAATTTTGGATTCTCAAAATTGTACAGGCATTTTTTTATCAAGCTCATCAAATCAATTCTAGAGCTAAAGTTGAAAAGTGGAAGCTTTCACACTTTTATAAGCTGAAAACCGGTTTTTAATGCTGTATACTTTTCAATAAAGTTTTTCAAAACGTCAAAAAAAAATAATTTATTCAAAGTTTTACTCAAAGCACAGTAGCTCTAAAGAGGTATGACTAAAGTACAAAAATAATTTTGAAGGTTAAAAAAAGGTTTATTTTTAAATTCAAGCTAAATTGAGGTAACCAATCTCAAAATTCAAAACCTGACGAAAATTCTCAATGAACAGCTCAATGTCTAGGATTTTTTTGTATCTTTCCAGGATTATTCCTAGACTTTCTATCACTACTCGAAAAACATGAAAAAGCGACAAATAAAATCAACATTTCAAAATACTCGGTAGCATCCAAAATCTCTTCTTCAAGAAACTACAAAATAAAAATATGCGGTGAAAAGAACGAAATGGCCCATTTCATAGGGAATCATTTTCTCATCAAAGCATCCCAATAATTTTCGAAGCCAAAAAATCAAATTTGGAAGCGACGCTGAAATTAAAATTCTCTGATTCATTGCTTGTAAATTCTATACCTGAAGCTACAAAGCTATAAATTACTTGGTACTAGATTTCAATGAAAATTACATATTATTTGAAAGAAAGGAATATTTTTTCAGCAACCTTTAAATTTTTTTCAATAGAAATATCTGTTAAGATTTATGCGTTTTTTTCTCAATTTTTTTGGTCATTTTTCAGTGTCTCGAATTCTTTCTTAAAACCTCGATAGATCTGAGTTTTTATTAAAAAAGTAAATTTAAAACTAAGAATCTAAATTTGAAAAAAAAATAAAGAAAAAAAAATTTCAAAAAAAAATCGTTTTTTCTAAAAATTCATCTCGTGACATCACTTTTGAGCTTTTTTCGCTGATAACAAGCTTCAATCTGAACTTCTGAGAAAACTAAATGCAGATTTGAAATTTTGAATCAGATAAATACATGACTTCAAATTTATCGCTCAAACTGAGAAAAAATCTCTAGTGACGTCATTTTCTGAGCTTCTGCTGCTTATAACAAGCTTCAATCTCCGGTTTTGGAAAAACCGACCAAATATTCGAAATCAGCGTAAAATTCTAAACAAGAAAAAAACTCAATGGCATGTTCAAACCGCGGAATTTTCTCTGACTCTCCAAATTCTCCAAAGTTATCTTTTTCTTTCTCTGACGACTGTTTAGGATATTTTAACACGGGATTTGTTCAAACTTGTCGATTTTTTTTGTGACGTTATTTTGAGCTTCTCCTGCTCCCAATAAGCTCCAATATCAATTTCTGAGAGAACTAAGCACAGATTTAAAATCAGCATAAAGTTTTGAATGAGATAAATACATGACTTCAAATTTATCGCTCAAACTGAGAAAAAATCTTTAGTGACGTCATTTTTGAGCTTCTTCTGCTTGTAACAAGCTTCTACCTCCGTTTTTGGAGAAACCGAACACATATTCGGAATCAGCGTAAAATTCTGAACAAGATAAATACTCAATGCCAAGTTCAAATTAATTTCCGCGGAATTTTCTCTGACTCTCCAAATTTTAATTATCTTTTCTTTCTCTGACGGCTGTTTAGGATATTTTAACACGGGATTTGTTCAAACTTGTCGATTTTTTTTGTGACGTTTTTTTAAGCTTCTCCTGCTCACTGTAAGCTTCAATATTAACTTATAAAAAAACTAAAAAGCTATTCAAAATCAGCGTAAAATTCTGAATGTCCTCAAATTTAATGGATAAAATGTTCCCCCCGGTGGGTAAATACTCTGGCCGCACTCCGTTGTAATATCACGTCGAACGAGGGAAAAAAGATGGGGAAATCGGATGAAAAACATCTGGCCGAGGAGCCGTTTTCCCACACAGGGCAACTGCCCGTTCCGCTGAAAAAGCCCCGGAGGGTGGAAAGATCTCTTCGATTTTGATTTATTGGCTGGCAAGTTGCAACCTCTAATGAGTGTAATTTGAACAACTCTATTGCTGTTTCAAAAAAACTTTATAAAAATAAAAATAACGAGAAAAAACAATACTGGAGTTCCCCATAATCTACTGTGATTATAGCTCATTGATTCTTCAAAAAAGTATTTTTGAAATGTTCAATAAACTATAATATACTCGATTCGCCTAACTTTGAAATCTACCGGTCGCATTTAGAATGGCTCAATGCGTCGCGGTCGCGATGCGGCTCGAGAAAAATGTCAAATTTGCCCATGACGTTCCTTCAAAGCGCGCGGAAGCCGTTTTAAGCCGGTTACACTCTTTTCTATTCTGATAAGTGAGCCATACTTCACACGAGCAATTTTTTGAATCTCCCTTTGAGGATAAAAAACTCGTTTGATTTTTTTGGCCGGTCCTTTGCAACTGATAATGAGATTAATAAGAACAACTGTATTGCTGTTTCAAAAAAACTTTATAAAAAAAAAACGAGAAAAAACAATCAATCATTCTTCTCAAATTCGTTTTTATTACAGCTCACTGATCCTTCAAGAAAGCATTTCTTGAAAATTTCAATAAACTATAATATACTCAATTCGCCTGACCTTGAAATCTACTGGTCGCATTTAGAATGGCTCAACGCGTCGCGATGCGGCTCGAGAAGAAATTCAAATTTTGCTGTTGACCATCTTTCAAGAGGCGCGGAAGTCGTTTCGGGTCTGTCGCACACTTTTTTATTCTGATGAATGAGCCGTACTTCGCGCGACCTTTTTTAAACCGCTAAAACTTTGAATTATTCAATCCTGGGTCTTCAAAAGAAAAGCTTAAATTTCACAGTTGAAGCGCATAAATCTCTCATTTTTCCCTACTATTTCGCTAATATCAAGCCGTTTTTATGAGGAGAATTCATAGATTTTGAAAGTATAGATTATATTAAACTAGCGCAAAACATAATACTGCATCTACAAAATAAGAGATTATGTTGTTCTATTGAAACAGAAAGTTTAGGTTTCCATAGAATTTTTGAGTTTTTGTGAGGCAATTTTGAAAAAAACAGTTATTGAAAAAAATATTTTTTTATTTAATAATATACAAAAGTTTCCGAATTATGGTTCTTATAATTTGGGTATTTGCCGAAAAAAATTATTGACTTTTTTTATCCTATTGTACGGAAATTGTTCGGTAGAGCGCACTTGCAAGTTTTTTTCGGCTCCTGTCCGTATTTTTTTAAAAAAATTCTCCAAACTTCGTCAGAGAGTGGAAAAATATAACTAAATTTTTGGAGATTCAGAGATAACTTTGAAGTTTTTTCACTTTGAACACGGTGAATGAACAGGAATTTTTTTAGAAGGTGAAAAATTTTTCTAGAGCTTTTAAAGAAAAAGCTAAGTGAATTAATTTTTGAAAAAAGAAAAAAAAGAACAAAAAAAGTCGAAAAATTCTGCTGCAAACTAAACCTTCTGCTGTTCAAAAGGAGAAAAGCTGTCCTTATTGGTAATCCAGCCGCTTTTCGAGACTAAACTCAACTCAAAAAAAGTCAAATATTGGGAAAATTTTTAGTGGCCACTATAGGGTTTCGACGTTTTAGCGACTTCTATAGTGATCAAAAGAGTGGCCACTTAAGGAGTTAAACATTAGTATCAACTCTAGAGGTCTACCAGGCTACTACTAGACAACTAAAAATTTTAGTGGCCACTTTAGGGGTCAATGGATCAACATAACTGATTCAATCTGTTTGTTTTAAAATTATCAGAGTTACTGGGAGGAATACTGGATGAAAAACTACTGAAGTGGCCACTAAAACGGAAAATAAGGGCCATTATAGAGGTGGGTTTAGTTGCCACTTTAGTGTCCTCTCCAAGTAGTCCTTGGCGAGCCTCTATAGTGGCCACTAAAGAGATTTCCAGTTAGTACCACTTAAACCTCTATAGCGGCCGCAAACCCCTAAGTGGCCACTCAGAATTTTCTCAGCAGCTGGAAAAAACAAAACAAAATGTGTGTAGAAGAAAAGAAAAAGAGCAGAAGAAGAGAAGAAAAATACGGGGGATGCCGGATATTAATGAATTTTTCCCGTTCTTCATTTCATTAGGCAATCCGCCGGCTCGTTTTACCATCAAATTGGTTCTTTATTCTTCGCGTTTTTCCTATTTCAGCTGGCTCGAAACCTTTCAATGAGATTGAAAAATCGGATAAAATGATTTTTTATGATCAAAATTTGTCTAATCCGCTCATAAAATCCACTTTTTTTGTTTTTCGAATTTTTTTCAATTTTTTTCTGTTGTATCGTGTTCAGTATACTCTTGTCCTTGTAAAAAAAGATCTCTTTTTTTAAAAATTTTTAAGATGAAAAGGCTGATTTTTAAATGATTTTTGATCCGTTTTTTTGAAAGTTATATATCTTTTGCGTACGCTTTGAGTCAGAAATTACATAAAACCCCCGCAAATTATACTTCTTTGCAAATATTTTTGCTAGAGCTCCAAAAAAAAAAGATTGTGACCGACTTGAAATGACTTCCGCGAAGGAACTTCAACATAAAATTTGAATTTTTTCTCGAACCGCAGCGCGACCGCGACGCGTTGAACCATTCCAAATGCAAAGAGTAGATTTTAAAGTTAGACAAATCGTGTATATTATAGTTATTGAACGTTTTTCAAAAAAATGATTTTTTTGAATAATGAAAGAAGAAAAAAACTTTTTTGAGGTCCCCTGCCCCCATTTTTCAAAAAAATCTAAAAAAACACGACTTTTTCTGAATTAACATGACTTTTTTTCCCCATAAATTCCATGTTTTTATAATTATTTCCGTATATGGTTTGTATAAAGGACATGTAAACGTGTGGAAAATGAAGAAAATAGGAAATTCTGAAGCCAAAAATGGTTACCTCAAGTCTGTTGGATGATGCTGGATGAGAATAAAGATCAAAAAAATATTTTAGTGTAAGATGAAACAGAAAAACAAGATAGAAGTAACAAATAAGGAAAAAAGGAAGGGATACCTGGAGGGTCTGCTGCCAGAGGTCGGTGCGTTCCTGGTCGCCGTCCGCCGGCTGCTCTTCGTCCTCTCCCGAGGACATCATACTGGCTAGCACTGAAAATCAGACATTGAACTACGGAATAATAATAGTTTGTTCCCTACTGTTATGAACAGTCAACACAGATTTAGAAAGGAGTGAGTTTCAAGATATGGGCAGAAGAACATTTTTACCTCATTCCGAGGTTCAAATCATAGAATATTGGTGGCGAGTACCCCTTGTGATCATTATAGCTTTAACTTGCGCCTCTAACAAAAGTTGCCGCGCACCCCGCGTCGAACTCTCGGTGCACCCCGCAGTGTAACCAGTGGCGCACCCCGTTTAGCTCTAAATGCCTATTAAGGTACTTTTTCAGTACACGTATTCTAAGTGGTTTGTTCCCCAATATCACCACTGTCTACAGTTTTTTCCTAGGCTGTTCAGGTAGCTCAAAAAAATTTTTTTATTTTTGACTGGTCGCCCCAGGGGTTCACCATATTCAGGTTCAACGCTGGGTGCTGCGCAAACATCAACGAAAAGCTCACCTTTTTCGGGGTTCACTGCGGGGTACACCGCCATTTTTGTTAGAGGCGCTTAGCGAAAACTTCTCTAACAAAAACAAGGCTGTAACCCGCAGTGAGCCCCGAGAAATGTGAACTTTTCGTTGATTTCTTTCGGTGCACCCCGCGTTGGACCTGGCTGGCGTGCACCCCTGGGGCAACCGGTCCAAAATAAAACTTTTTTTGAGCTATCGTTACAACCTAGGATGAAACTGTAGAAAATAGGGGTAGTGGGAAGCGAACCACTTTGAATAAGTGTACAGAGTAAGTACCTTAAGAGGCATTTAAAACTAAACGGGGTACACCCCTGGATACAAGGCGGGGTGCACTGCAACTTTTGTCGGAGTTGAAGACAAAAAACTTCGCAAAGAGGCAAAACTCTGACCGCTTCGCGACCGCGTCGCAGGCCATCTGGCGAATTTCGGGGAGTGTACAATTTATCACCCTTTACTGTTTCCAAGCTTGAAAAAAATGTTTACAATTCTCAAAACCGATAATTAGTCCTCTCCGTGTTTATAAAAAAAACGCTTGAATCAAAAAAATGGACGGGATGAGAAGCAGGGTCTCCTCCAACAGGGCCCCATTTTTTTAATTAAAAAGATTTTGCGAATGTTTATAAAAAAATAAAATCGAAAAAAAGGCATTAAAATAACTAGAGACCTGCTCACGCTCCTTTAAAAACTCTGACATTCCGGTTTTTCGGGGGAAAATTTTTTTTAATCACGTCAGCCTATACAAACACAATTATTTGTATCGAAATTCATGTTTGTAAGGACTTTTTGATTGTTTTTCAAAAATGAAATCGAAAGAATGCACTGAAAATGGCTATTCTCTTCAAGGCCTGCTCTAAATTCGGCTATGCTCCTTTAATAACCTGTCCAGAAGATTTAAAAACTTTTCGGAAAAAAAAAATCATTTTAGATACTTTTACGTCAAAAATCACAGCTACCGGTATCGAAATCCCAATTTTAAAGGATTATTGGATATTTTTCAAAAAAGAAATAGGAAAATAGTCCAAAAAACAAGGAAAAGACGAGGAAGATTACTTTCTTCGTGTTAGGTCCTCAGGAATCCCCAGGGAGCCATTGCGAGGGTGGCGAACCGCCGTCGCCCCAGGCCATTTATTTTCGACATCAGCCCTTTTTTCTCGCATCCTTATTGACAAAATTGAGGATAAATTCGTTTCAAATGTTCAATTTTGTTTAATTGAAACCGTTTGTCTCTTTTTCCCTTATTTTGAGGAAGGTATTGGTTTCGAGTTGTTTATGTTTTTTTTGTTTACAAAATATCGCAAAAAAACCCTAAAGTGACAAAAAATGACCACTTTTTTTATTTTTGGAGCTCTTTTTTCAGTGTATTCAAAAAAATCATGGAAAAAAACTTGGTAGCAAAAAAATATAGACCAAGAAACAAAGGACTTAATCATGAAATTTACGATTTTTTTATCGTCATTTTGTGTATAATTTTTTTCTCAATCATTATCAATGGAGCAAATTTTTTTCCTTAACTTTGAGGCCTTTTTTTCCATGATTTACAAAAAGTTTTTGAAAACCTAGATTTTTTTGCTACCCTGTTCTATTTTGAAAAAAATAAACTTTCAAAAAAATTCTTTTTAATAAAGCAACTTTCAAAACTGCACAAAAAAATCATATATTTCAAGCATTTCCGGAATATAAAAAAATAGAGAAATAAATTTAAAAACCTCATTTCTTCCGATTTTTCATCTCATTTTTTTCCCAATTTTTTCGGTTTGCTGTTTTTGTGTTTCCATAAAATCCTTTGCCTTGAAAAAAAATTTGTTATTATGATGTATGTGGGTGCCACTTTTTAGGAAATGTCCTTTTTCGAACCAATTTGTTTCAATTCCGTTTTTCAAAATCATTATTAAGATCAGTACGTATTTTTGGTTCACTAGATAATTTTTTTTCGAAAATTCTGCTTCAATTTTGAATTGATTTGCGATGATTTCAATTGGATAGTCATTATTTATTTCTTGGAACTCGGTAACGGAAACCGGACGTTTCTGAACAGTTCTAGAGATCATTTTAGAGTTCTGAAGCTACTAAAGTGCTCACTGGAAAAGCCACAATACGTCCGAATCGCGTTACCAAGTAAATATTCCTGTAAATTCTGTAAACTGGCGTCAAACGAGTACTTTGACTGCGCTTAAATGCAAAAATAAAACTCTGATTCGATCGAAGAATACAGATTTCTGTGCTTTTTCAAGCGCACTATTGAAATCGCAATGGAAAGCTCTTCCATCTTTTTTTCGAGCCTGATTTTTTTCCCAGACCATTTTTTCAGTCTGTTCCATTTGAATCATAAACACGATCTACAAGGTCTCAAGCCTTCTTTTTTCCTAACCATATTCAAAAAAGACCCTAAAAAACTGGTATATCGATTGAAAATCTCTAAAATTTCTCTAATCTCCTTTTAAGACCATAATTCTTGGAATTCAAAAAATCCCAGTCAAGCTTCACAACTCCCAGTTCTAATTGACCCCGAAAAAAAAAAACTAAAATTGTCCAGTCTATTTATCCCATTCGCACCATATCTACTACGGATTGTTTTGAGAGCCCTCGACTGGAAAAGTAGAAAAATAGGGACAGAGAAAGCCGCAGACGCTCGTCTTCGAGTGGGTCCTCCTCCCCCCTCTTTCTCAATCGTTTGTTCTTCCACCTCCAACTCCCACTTCATTAGCTTCCAACACAATTGCCAGTCTGTGTGCAAAACGCCGTGTGACCCCAACTCATTATTGAGCAGGGCTCGATTTCACTCGAGAGCCATTCAAAAAGCGGAAAAAACTTCTGAAATCATATCAATGAGATCTGTTGATTAGATTGATCTAAAAATCGAGGGATTCAATAGGATCTCTAGACGCATTGATTCGGATATTCAGACGCTTTTGGGCAACAACTAGACAACCAAACATGAACATTTCTAGACTTCTAATCACACTGAATCAAAATGAAGCTCTTGAAATTAAGTTCCAAGTTCTAAAACGACCATTATGGGATCGATTAACGAGCTGATTTGAATAGCTACAAGTCCTTGGGCGAAAAAAATCTACAATGATGTGAATGGGATGCGCTGATCAGATTGAATGAAAGTCAAGAAAATGAACGATTAAATAGGGTACAAAGTTAAATATTCAGAAGCTCTTGCGCAAAAAAAAATATTTCTGGAAAAATATGAATGAAATTTCTCGACAAGATTGATTGAAAGTTAAAATTAAGGTATGAACTGGAGGAAAAAAAATAAAATAGAAACCCTAAAATGACATCAATGGGTTTTCTTGAAAAATAGAATTTAGAAAAAAAAATTCATTGGATGTTTAACCTCTAAAAAAACAAGATAAGAATCCTGATGAGGATTTTTTGAACTTCAAATATTATTGATTACTCTTCATTCGAAAATTAAATCGAATTTCGCCTGGGAAAATTTTTAGTGGCCACTATAGAGGTCTAAGTGTAGATCACTAATAACATTAGTGGTCACTTTAGGGGACAATGGATCAACATAACTGGTCCAATATTTTTGTTTTAAAATTATCAGAGTTACTGGATGAAAAAAATACTGAAGTGGCCACTAAAGCGGAAAATAGTGGCCACTATAGTGTCCTCTCCAAGTTGTCTTTGGCGAGCCTCTATAGTGGCTACTTAAAATTTTCCCAAAACTGTAAGTTTCGAAGTACAATATCAAAATAATAAATTTCGAAAAAAACATATACTGTTTGTATAACAGCAAGGTTATGTTTATCCCAAATTTTGAAAAACTCAAATCATAGTTTTCGAAGAAAATTCATCAAATTATCAAAAAAAGGATACTCATCCAAGAAATTCCAGTAACAGATCAAAATCAAGTCGATGAATATTTCGGAACATTTATTTGAATCAATTATAGAAATTGAGAACTTCTGAAGTCATATAAATATTCTCGTAATAAGATTTTCCAGATTATTCATCAAGAATGGAAAAAGTATAAAATTACCTATTTTTACACAGGAAAAAAAAACTCTGACTCAGAAAAAACATTCAAGAAATTGACAGAAACGCGGAAATTGCAGGAATAACTTCATTTCTCCACTTTTTTTTTCAAAGGCAATAGCTTCTCTACATTCTGCTTTTTTATACAAAAAACAAACTCCAGATGGTTTTTTAGGCTGTTCAAAGGAGTCTAAATAGCGATGAACTCATAAAAATGCTCAAAAATAGAAATAATTATAAGAAAAGGCTGGAAAAAATTATAAATTCGATAGAATGCTCAAAAAAAAGCGAAAATTTGATGGAGCTGCTCAAAAATGTACTGATTTTATGAAACGACTCAAAAAAGTGTAAAATTGAAAAAAAAAAAAGGTAGAAATTTCATAAAAATTAGCTCACAGAAAAGATGACTGTGGAAAATAATTTGAAAAACGTAAATATTCTACGATAAGTTCATGAAAATGCTCAAAAAAGGTAATGACGGGGAAAATTTTTAGTGACCACTATAGAGGCTCGCCAAGGACTACCTGGAGAGGACACTAAAGTGGCAACTAAACCCACCTCTATAGTGGCCACTTTTTTCCGTTTTAGTGGCCACTTCAGTAGTTTTTCATCCAGTATTCCTTCCAGTAACTGATAATTTTAAAACAAACAAATTGAACCAGTTATGTTGATTCATTGACCCCTAAAGTGGCCACTAAAACTTTTAGTGGTCTAGTAGCAGCACTTAGACCTCTATAGTGACCACTAATTCGACTGCTATAGTGGCCACTAAAAATTTTTCCAGGATTTTATAAAATGACTCGGAAAAAGTATGTTTAATAATAAATTTCCTACAAAACTTCTAAATTCATAAAATAGCGCAAAAAAACTATAATAATTCCATAAATTGACTCAAACGTCATCAATTCATAAAAATATCACGCAAAAAGGAAAATTGCGATTCAACGACTGAAGCACTAATAAACTAGCTGAAGAGCAAAAGCGCGACGTTCATTATTTTTAATTTCCGCTGGAACAGTGGCAAAAAAAAGAAGGAGAAAACGAAATTGTCCAGCTATTTTTGGGGTCGTCGTTTTTGCACGTCATTCAAATTCAGTTTAGTTTTTTTGTTGGTTCCTTTTTTAGTGCGTCAGTTGTGAATCTCAGTTGGTTTCTCGTTACGTTCAAACTAAATTTATCAGAGATTTATAAATAGAGCGCACTTTTCTGGTAAAAACCGCTTCAGAAAATTTTTGAAAATCAAATATTTCAGAAACCACAGTTTCAGTTTAAAAAAGGGCTACATAAAAACTTTCAAACGAGTTTTTATTGGCTCGGAAAAAAAAAATTTAAAACTCAATATTCATTATTTATTTCTTGGACCTTCTTAAAGAAAACCGGACGCTTTTGAACAGTTCTAGGGATCACTTAAGAGTTCTGAAGCTACTAAAGTGGTCACTAGAAAAGCCCCAAAACCCCTGGTTCGCGTTACCAAGATTCTAGTTCCTCCAGATAGAAAAATTATCATTAGAGAAACATTTTCAGTAGAAAAAACTTCAAAAAAAAAAATTATGAAAACTTTCCGAACTTTCCAGTTTCTCTCACTTCATATAAAATTGTAAATTTAATTTTTCGTTTAATATCGTAATGTTTGCGGAATGATTTCGTAAAAAAAAATTGCCTAAAAGTCATTTTTTTGTGATAAATTTCCGATGTATGACAAAAATTTTACCCTTAGAGCACATTTTTCCAATGAAGAAAAAAACTTTTTAACATCTTATGAAAAAAACTTTGAAATGAAATGTAGATTTTCCGGACATAGAACCATTAGGAGGTTATCGGAAGCTGAATGGAAATTTGAAAAATTGACCACAAACTTTTTTTTAAGAGGCCGTTTTTATAATGAAACTTTGCTCCATCGATAATCTCCTTCAAAGAAAAATAATCATAAAAACTATAACTTTCGATTTCTTAGAGATTTTTCTTTATTAAAAAAAATTTCTTTGCACCTTTTTGAGCAAAAAGTTTGAATGAAACACATTTCTAATATATCTTTTTTTAAACATCGAAAAATCGTGCAATTACGCGGCTTGTCAAGTTTCCAAGTAAGAAAAAAAAACGGGGAAATCTCTTTGAACGCGGCAAAAAGCTTAAACTTGGCTTACTCATTCTGTCAATAGCCATTCGTCAGGCTTTCTCGGACTTTTTTCGGCTAATATTTCATGTGGAAATTCCTCGACTTTTTCTTTTTTTTTTATGAAAAAGTAGAAAATCCGCACTTTTTCAACATTTTCGAAACAGGAATAGACCCTATCTCGGCTTCCGAAAAATGTATCCAGAGAGTGCATCGGTAGAGATAATCTAATTACGATTCCTTACAAAATGGGTTAATTATAGGCGTCTATTGACGTCATTCATTAATTAGGAACAAAAAGAGGATTGGAAAACAAGGATTTCCGTCGAAAAATAAGCAGAAAATTGGCCTTTTTTCAATGATTTTTTTGGTTTTGTGATCTCTTTTTAAAAATTTTTGATTATCTAGTAATTTTGGGACAAAATGAAGGATATTTTTTTCAAAAAGAAAACTTCAGAAATTTGAAAAGAAAAAAACCAGCTTTTTTTCGGTTTTAGGAAAAAAATTTTTCGTTATCTATGCAATTTCGCTCCATTGATAATTATGTCGAAAAGTTTTCAGCTTTCTAAAAACTTAAAAAGGGGCTTTAGAAGAACTAAATTCGAGCCAAAAAATAGCAAAATCCTTCTTTATTACTTCAAAACCAAAGAATGAACCAAAACGATCAATAAAAAAAATTTTCGAAGCTCTCAAAAAAAAGAAAAAGAGAAAAGTGCGAAAAGACATTCCGAAAAAATCATTAACTTATTCAAATTGCTCGACACGCCAACCATTGGACTGAATATATTCATAAACTCAAGAATCGCGCTGACATAGGAATATATTAACTGGAGAACTTTCTCAACAAATTTCTGATCGGTTAATTAACAAAAAAAGTAGAAATTCAGTTTTAAAATTTGAGTCATTTTTACATGCGACCAGAAAGTACCTGGTATTCATTAGAATCCTAATAAAATACGAAAATCCATGTTATGCTTGAGAAAAAAACATTCCACTGAACAAGAAACCGATCGATTCAAAATTTCGAGAAATCGTGATAAATCTGGGATGAAACAGGAAAGAGAAGAGCTTCTCTTATTCATGAAAAAAACATAGAAAGTATTATACTAGACGAAAAATTTGAAAAAAAGGGACTGTTCAATCTGAAGGAATAAACACAATAAAAAAATTCTAAAGGGTCCCAAAAAAATAATAAAAAAAAGTTTGAAGTTAAAAAAAGTGGAAATTCTGAATACCCTTACATAAGGCCTCCCCCTCACCGCCCTTAAAAAAAGATTAAAATAAATAAGACCCTTTAATCACTTTTTCCAAGGTTAATTAGTAGTGACTTTTAAGTTGAAAAAAAGTTAAAAAAAGACTCAAAAAATCAATAAAATTAGCAAAAAATGGTGATTTAGGAATATTCGAATCGAATAAAGTTAAATTCCAATTTTGAGTTTTTGCATTTGAATTCAAGGTTAAATATTCCAAATTACATGTTTAGTGACCTGTTGAACAGTTAATTCATGATTCAAGACCTTTGAAAACATTTTGAAACAGAAAAGTGCGAAAAAAATAAAATCTGACCGCTTCGCGAGCCGCGACGCAGCTCTGAGTTGAAACAAAGCAAAAAATCAATGAAATCGATAAAAAATTGAACGAACCCGACATCTCGGCTGAAGCATGGGACTGCTCGGCGGCAGGTCTGCCTCTTTTTCGCCGTCGCCGTCGTCAAGATGACGTCTTCTTCGAGATGACGTCGTTGCCCCGCCGCCGCCGCCCGACGTCTTCTGATGCTCCGACGACGTTCCTCTTCTTCCACCAACGAGAAGAGTCTTCGTCGGGGAGCTTTTCTCGTTGGACCCTGGAGAAAAGATTCATTTTTTTTTCGGAATGAAAACTTCAGAATTCAAAAAAAAAAGACTCGAAAATGAATTTTGAAAAAGCCCTATCCAGCTGTAAAATTTAATAAATTGGGCTGATTTTTTTCTATTTGAATGCTGAAGACGTCACAAAAATATATTAAAAAAAGATGAAATTAAAAACACAATAAGGGCGAGAAGTCGGATGACATGGGATCGATGAGTCACGGGAAAAAAACAAGGAACCGAAAGAATTCAAAAAAATCATAAAGTTTAACATTTTTCTCATCCCTACAGCTTCCCGTTGAATATTTCCATGTAAAAAAAGAAAAAAATCTTTGACAAATGGAGGAATCGCTGATTAACGTACGAATTGGAAAATGAATAGGTCAGAAAACAATTTTTCAGCAATCCAAGAAAAAATTAATAAATTAAACGTTCACCGAAAAGTCTAAAAAAAATTTGATATTTAAACAAGTGAATAAATGATCAGAAACGGCTAGACCTATTATAAAAAAAATTTTGGGCAGATACATTTATACCAAATTAAAGCTAAGGAACCCTTCTTGACCAACGACAGTTTCGCGAACCGAAAAACAACTTTTCCGATATTTTATGATTCAGCAGAAAATCAACTCTGAAGACTGGCTAAACTGATAAGTTGTAGGTGGGGAGCAAAGAAACGTCGCAAAAAACTTTCAAAAAAGTAGAAAAAAGAGAGATTAATAACGTGGAAACGACCGTGCCGGTTTGAAACTTCCTCCTAGAATTCAAAATGATTTTCTACTTTTACGGAGCCTTTCATATAACTTTTAAATACAGGGATAAAAAATTTCATGATAAATAGTCCATCCCTTTCTATTTTTTAACATTCTATAATTCATACTATATCGGAGCTGAACATATTGAAAAAATCCTTCGAAAAATTCAAGAAAAGGGGGATCAATAACGCGGAAACGGGCGGTTCATAAATGACTTTCAAAATCAAAAAATCGTTTTTAATAATGTCTCAAAGTTACACCAAATCAAGGCTCGAAAAAATCGGGAAAATCTTCAAACCACTCGAGAAAATGGAGATCAAGAACACGGAAACGGACGCGACGGGTTTAAAAATGTCATTTAGAAGTAAAACGAGTATTACTTGAAATTAAATTTTTATACCATATCGGAGCCAAGAAAAGCCATAAAAATCTTAGAGAAAGTCGAGAAAACGAGAATCAATAATGTATAAAAAAATGACTGGAAATGATTCAAAGATGACTTTCAAAATCGAAAATGATTTTTTTCACATAGAGGGCTACTTGGTAGACCGGATACCACTTTCCAAGTTTCGAAGATTTTTTTAATAATATTATTTATTTACAGGAAAAAAATAAATAAATAAAAAAATTTCTCAATTTTGAAATTCTCAATTTCATACCAAGCCAGAGCTCAAAAAATCAGAGAAACCTTCAAACAAGTCAAGAAAAAGAGATCAATAACGCGGAAACGGCCGGGCCGGTTGAAACAGAACCGAGTAAAGGTGCGGCGCGTTCTTTACTGCGGAGCAGATCTCGGAGAGCCGAGAGCAAAAAGAATAGGAGAGAAAGGCCTCGAGCCGGGGGGCGACTGATTTGTTTGTCCTCCACGGGACCAACACCCCACGGCGGTTCGTCCCCTTTTTTCTATTATATTCTTCTTTTTTCCTTCTTCTTCTTCTTCTTATCCTTCACGCAGCTTAGCCTCTTCTTGGAATTTTTCTTCGATTTAAGCTTTTCTTTTGTTTTTGATAGTTCTATCGCTCAAAATATCAGTTTCCGACATGAAAATTTCAATTTGGCAGAGTATAGTCAATGGTTCCCGAATTGAAAGACGAGGGAGGTGGGGCAAGGGGCGGGACGCGTAGCGTGTGCGTTTGCGGTTCTTGGCACGTGTTCAATTCAATTGTCGCCGACTATTTAAAAATCTGAGCAACGGCTCTTTTTCAATGTTTTCTACTTTTTTTGATGCAAACATGAACATAATCAATAAATAATTGAAAAAGGAATGAAAAAGCGAAAAACGGGATTTTCAAAGAGTCAATGGCGGTTGAATTGAACACGTGCCAAGAACCGCGAACGCACACGCTACGCGTCCCGCCCTTGCCCCTCCTCCCTCGCCTTTCAAGTCGGGAAACACATTGACTATAAAAGCATTTTAGAGTTTAATGGAATGATCGGCATAAAAAAATAATGAGGAACTCGGACCTCGGTAACGAAAACCGGACGCGCTTCGGACGTTTATGAGCAAGTCTAGAGGTTACTTAAGTGTTGTGACGCTACTGAAGTAGTCACTAGAAATATTTTGCGTTACCAATCTCTGAGTTCTCGGATCTTGGTTACGCGCTTGGACATGTCGGAGCCTTTCTAGTGACCATTTTAGTAGCGTCAGCACCCTTAAGTGATCCCTAGAATTTGCCAGGAACGTCTGTTTCGCGTTACAAATATTCGAGAAGATATTAAGTTCTATAGAGCGCGTTTGACAGAACTTTCATATTCTCAACAATTTGAAGGTTATTCTGAATCCATTCCATCGCAAAATAACAAAAATCGTCTAATTTCAAAGCTGTATACAATATTTCTTAAATTCTTCACGTTTTTCACGCTTTCTTTGTACAATCAGACCTTCTCATATTATTTCACCCGTTATTCGAATAATCATCAAAAAAAGGAAAAAAAAATCATCATGAAAATTAAAAACCATGAGGAAAAGAGTACGGTAGAGCGCATTAAATAATTTCGTGAGGCTTTTATTTTTTTGTTTGGTCAAAAAAAGCTCAATGAATTATTGATTCGCATTTTTTTGAAACTTTTTTTAAATTCCTGCTCAAAAAAATGAAAAATAAAAATCAATTACGGGTTTTTTTGGAAAAATTATTTTGTTTTTTTATCAAAATAATGATGAGTCAAAGCTGATTTTTAGCATCGAATTGAAATGAAAAAACTCGTTTTCTTTTAAAGCTGTTTTGAAACGTTATTACTGTACAAAAAGGCAAGAGACGCAGATTTTTCGATTGATTTCAGAACCAAAATTTTCTAGAGCAGCTATCTTTCAAAAAATCATTTTTGTCCTTCTTATGCACACAAATAAACAATCTCACTTTGATTACGGAGTAAATTCAACAACAGGTTGTGTGCCTGTCTACGGTCCACAGGGTCACAAGTCGACTTGGGGCGCCGACGCCGCTCAAGCGGTACAAAGGCGTAGGAAGAAGAAAAAGATTACAGAGAAAACTATTTATAAAACAGGATATTTCAACGTTTCAAAAAATGCATTAAATAAGCAGATTCTTTCCACGTTTCTTTCTGCAAGGAGGATAAAAGGTAATTTGGAAGGAAAGGTCTTCTCGCCGTCTTTTTTTTCATGACGAGCCGAGGCAATTATGAAAACGGCTCATTGGATGGCCGGGTATAGAGGATAAATGCTGGGTGCAATGACGATTCTCTATGATTAAATATGCAAAAATTCCTCAAATTGTTCGCGTTTCTTCCATTTTCAACGTTTGGATCTTGCAAAGGTGAATCGGGAGGTCGATAGAAATAACTACCGGGTAGCAATTTTTGAAAAAGGCAATCGGCGTATGGTAATCGGTAGTCATTTGTAGGCGACCGGGTACTATCTCTATGGTACCTGGATAGTATCTGATCGGTATCTGGATGCTACCGGGTATGTACCTGAAATTCGCGATTGCCACTGGCTGGCACATCGGTCGTTTATATACCATCAGTGTTTTTACACCTTCCCAAGTCTTCCAGGATCTTATTGGTTAACGCTGAAACAAAAAATAACGACCCGGGAAGCAATTCCAGACTTTCCGAAATAAATCGCGAAAGTCAGGTGGCTACCCGGTAGCTACTTGTATCGAGCTCCCGATTCACCTTTGTTTCTACAGGAAAGTCTGGAATTGCTTCCCGGTGGTTATTTTTTGTTTCAGCTTTATCCAATAAGATCCTGGAAGGCTTGGGAAAGTGTAAAAAAAACAGTGTTGGTATATAAACGACCTATGTGGAAGCCAGTAGCAATTGCGAATTTCGGGTACATACCCGGTAGCATCCAGATACCGATCAGGTACTATCCAGGTACCATAGAGATAGTACCCGGTCGCCTACAAATGACCACCGATTACCATACGTCGATTGACTTTTTCAAAAGTTGCTACCCGGTAGCTTTTTCGTATGGACCTCTCGATTCACCAGTGTGAGCAGTCTTTTCGAAACTATTGAAAGATGAATGAGAACGAATTTAATCTTGTTTTTTTTTTATCTCCAAAACGCTTAGAAACGGTGAACAATAAAAAAAGAATCTCCTTACGACACCAAAATTTTGCTTGTGATCGTTTTTCAATGAGCGAATTTGCTATAATCTTTAAAAGTCAAGGAAAATTACACATTCAGGAAATAAACCCCGAAAAATTAAATATATATTTCTGGAAATATTTCATACTTATTAAAGTTCGAATTGATGGAAGATGTTAAAAATAATAAATAAAAAAAATCTTCTGGAATTTGGAAAGTTTGAAAAAAATTAGAATTCAAAAACACACCAACCAGAAATGACTTTCTACAGTGGCGCGGCTCAATTTTCTGTTACAAGTCAAATCTCAATAGTTTCTGTTTCAAACAGAATTGAAATCATTCAAAGATGATTTTTTTATTCAGTGAGGGTAATAGATTCTCGAGAAAAAAACAAACGATGTAAAAATATTAAAAAAACGACCGCGAAACAGGTTGTTTCAAGAAAATCAGCTGATTCATGATTTATTTTTTAATTATCCTTCTTTATTGAATCCAAAATCCGTTTTCATTTTATTTGCTTTCATACAAAAAGCGTTGTCTAACCCTCTGTTGGCTAAAGTAATTTCTTGATTTTGAGCTCATTTTTTGAATAATTTTCTTTTTTCGTGGATGATACATAGGACCTTTTTGCCCTAGAGTTTTCGATGTCAGGTTTGAATTTGAAAAAAGCATGGGATTTTTCTGAAAACTGGCCAGAACACTCCTCGATGTACCAGAAAAAGATCCTGAGAGTCTCAACCTGCACAACTTCCTAGTTTTCGATATAGGACACCTCAAAGTCGAAAAAAAACCCCCAAAACTCGTTGAAACAAGCAATTTTGCGGCTTCGATTCCTTATTTCTCGAATTGCATTTTATGCCTTCAAAATTAACTTATTAATAGCCTCACTCTTTACGACGGTTTGCAACTTTATAAACAAAGTCGGAAACAAAGTTCTTTTTTTGAGTTGACCATTGAAAACATAACAGAGAGGTTTCAATAACGAAAAACCTAAATAAGTGCTCAGAAACTATAATATTTTCTCAAAACTCGACGAAAAAAGAAAGAAAGAAAGAAAAAAAAGTCAAGAAAACTCGAGACGCCGCCGCGTGGGACGGGCCTGGAAAAACTCCGAACGTACATAAATTCAATCAAACGACGTGTCTGAACGAAGTTTCCGTCGGCTTTTAACTGAATCCGAAACACGGAGTGCGACTTAAACGTGATTTTTCTCCGGGAAAATGGAAGAAAAACACAGTTAACATTGGCAATGATGAGCAAGACGTTCAAAAAGGGCTAGAAAAACTTTGGGGGAATTTTTGCGGCTTATTGGTGGTTAGAATGAAAATGTTACGAGCAAGAGAGTACTTTATTTTTATTTCTTATTTGAAAAATAAAACTGAAACAGAGAAATGAGAAAAAAAGAGAATCGAAGAAGAGAATGGAAATTTTACTTTGAGGAATTATTTGGGCTCAATGGCTATTTTTTCAAGTTTTTAAGTTTTTTAGGGTTTTTTAAAGTTTTTTAACGCTTTGAAAGTACGTATTTCTTCCTATTATGACCAGTTTCGAAGTCATGTTTTGAAAATTCTGGTCATTAAATTTAAAAAAATTTACTTTTTTTAAAAAAATTTTTTTCCATTTTTCGCCAAAAAAATGCTCTCAAATCAAAATGTACACTATTTCGCTCTTAAAAATATTTCGATTCCAAGCCAAATTGACAGGAAATTTATGAAAAAAAGAAAAAAACATCCTATTTTTGGGCCCCCAATACTTTTTTTCACTTAAATTTAGCCACAATCGAGAGTTCTACGCATTTTGGACCCTCAAACCATTAAGAACTATAAAAAAATTTCAAAATGTTTAAAAAAACTTTTTAAAAAAAGCGAGCGATTTTTTTAGGGCCAAGATTTCGATTGGTTCTTCAATTTATTTTTTTATTTTTTTGACAGATTAACTGAAACAGAGAAATAAGATAAAATGAAACTTTTTTTGCCTGACATAGAATCGAAGGATAGAAAATATTTCTTCGTTTGGAGATCAACTGAAACAGAAAATGAAGTTAATGCTCCTGTTGAAATCATGAAAAAAATTTTTCTATTTTTTTCTGCCAGGAAGTCAAATCTCGGATAAAAGCGTAGATTTTAACTGTTAATTGAAAAAAAGACACTATAAACCTTTCTAGAAACTTTGAAACTCCGAAAAAAATGAAGAATAAAAAAAGCCATGACAGAAAAAAAAAACGGACTAAAAACACATGTGGCCTAGGGCAGACTTGCTTTGTTTTAAGTATCGAAGCCGTTAAAGTAAAAAACAAAGAAAGAAAAAATCATTAATAATATTTTCTTCACTGCAAATCAGATAATAGAATAAAATTTTAAAAAAAGATGGGATTAAAAAACGGAAAAATTCACAAAATGGAGAGAAATCTTCAGATTTCACCGTTCAACGTCCAATCTTCATTTCAAACTCGAAATAAATGTTGCTATCGATTTCATTTTTTTTAGAAAAAGCCTAATTATTACCAAAAGCTCATTTTCAACCTCATCATCATCTTCTCAATGGATGACCAATTAAGCCATAATCATCTTCATTTCAAGAGATAAATGAAGAAGAGAAATTTTTATTCATTATTTTTTTCTAATAACGCGAAAAAAACACGAAATGAGGCTTTTTTTCAAACAAATCTGATGATTCCTACAAAAAAATTGAATAAAATCTTCAAATCGAGAAATAAATATTATAAATTTATCAGTCAACGCACAAAACCTCAAAATGAACATCGAAAACCAACCAATAATTTAAACTAAATTTGAAACGGGGAATCAAAGGAAAATGTTTAATACATTCAAAACAACCAAAAAAATCAGGAAAAATTATTGATCGGGAAGCTTCGTGAGAAATCTACTGGTAAATTCTAATCAACTTAAAAATTTTTTTATTCCTAGCAAAAAAATCTGAAATTACTAAATCAAAAAAAATCAACGTCGAAAATCTTTTTTTATTGACAATAATCCTGAAAAATCAAGGAAACACATAAAAAAATCACCTTGGTAACCAGAAAAGTTCATTAAAAAAACTAGATTTATCAATAAAAACGAGCAACAAGGTCACATTTGCAAAATGACCTTATAAAAATTTAATTTAAATCTCTTTTTGAAGTGTTTGTCTGTTTTTTTGAGGGCCCAAAAAAATCGGTAAACAAAGAAAATTTCGAAGCTAACGATAAACACTCAATCAGAAAATGATTCGGGTCAAAATAGAGGCCTTCGAAACTTTTTTGACAGTTGGAAATGGGGAAAACATGAAATTCGACCCACGAATTATCACGAAAAAATCAAACGAAGAGAATAAATGTAATATTGGAAACAGGTAAATCATTGAGATGCTCAAATTTCAATCATACGGGATTTCAAATTTTGTATATTAAATACAAATCAACTTCAGTCTATGTCTTTTTGTATCCAGCTAAACAGGTTGCAATTTGATTTCAAGCAGAGATAAAATCGGAAAAAGATATCTGAATTTTTAATAAAACAAAAAATAAATACAATATTCAAAGGTTAGAACTTGAAAATTTGTTCAAACTTTTTCTTGTTTACACCAGCGACCTATTAAATACGTAACTATAGAAATGAACCTTAACAATCTTTTGAAACTTATCAGAGCCAAGTTTGGAAAAAAAAAATGAATATGCGTCCAAATCGATTGAATTAATCTGTTCTTTTTTTTCAAGGCTTTTTTAAGCTCAAAAAAATCGAACCAAAACTCATTATTTTAACTTAGAATTAGCCTTGATTATTGTCGAGAGGACCAAACCAAATCATTATATCTTATTTCAAAAGGAAGCTTCAACCTCAAGTTCATTAGCCTGAGCCAATAAAGCGAATTATAACAAGATCCAGGGAAAAAGCTACGCTTTAAGAAAATCACTCCATCTAGCCGGCAAAGGGATAGCACTGTTTTTTTGTTGCAACTGGGGATCTTCGAAAAAAGTTTAAATTTTAATTGAGCCTTATGAATCACCGACAGTACCAAATGAAACAACTGGTTTCAGAAGTGAAGGCTAACTTGAAACAGTTAAATAAAATTTAGAGTCGAACAAGAACTTTTTCGTCTCAAAATGAACCTCATGAGTCACCTACAGGACAAACTGAACGAATTATAACACGATCAAGGTGAAAAACTTCAAGCTCAAGGCAATTACTCGGGGCCGATAAACGGTTGAGACTTTTTGGGTTGCAACGAAGGGGGGTTGTCAGAAAAGAAAACCATAATTTGAATAGCAGTAGCCTTGATTAGCTTTTGATTGTCACCACCAGAACCAAATGAGAAACTACAAAAAGTTTTGAAGATGAAGTTTCAAGCTCAAGGAAAACTTCATAACAGTCTGATCCAATTAAAAATCGAGAAAGACCTTTTTCGTCTCAAAATGAACTTCATGAGTCACCGACAGGGTCAAACAAGCGGATTATAACACGATGAAGGCGAAAAACTTCAAGCTCAAGGCAATTACTCGGGGCCGATAAACGGTTAGGGCTTTTTTTTCGGGTTGCAATGGGGGTTGGCAGAAAAGAAAGCCATAATCTGAATAGCTTTGATTGTCATCACCAGAGCTGAATTAGCAAATTATAACGAACTTCAAGATGAACCTCCAAGCTCGAGAAAAACTTCATAACAGTCTGATCCTTTTTTATTTTAAAATGAACCTTAGGAGTCACCTATACAGGACGAAATGAGCGAATTAAAACATGAGTCAGGAGAAAAGCTTCAAGCTCAAGGCTATTACTCGGGGCCGATAAACGGTTGAACATTGGGAGATTGTGAAAAAATAAATCACAGTTTTGACATCAATTGAACCTTATTTCTCACTTACAAGACCGAATTAAACAACTGTATCTAATTTCAAAAGTATCAACATCAAGCCCATTACTTTGAGCCAATAAAGCAAATTGTAACAAGAAGCTACTCTTCAAGACATTTACAGTAAATAAATGATTTACTCCATCTAGCCGGTGAACGGATAAGACTTTTTTTTGTTGCAACTCGGGATCGTAAAGAAGTCGTTTCAACTCTGAATGAACCCAAGAAGTCACCTACAGGTCGAAATAGGCGAATTAAAACATGAGTCAGGAGAAAAGCTTCAAGCTCAAGGCTATTACTCGGGGCCGATAAACGGTTGTTGAGATTTTTTGGGTTGCAACGAAGGGGGGGGGGGGGTTGTCAGAAAAGAAAACCATAATTTGAATAGCAGTAGCCTTGATTAGCTTTGATTGTCACCACCAGAACCAAATGAGAAACTACAAAAAGTTTTGAAGATGAAGTTTCAAGCTCAAGGAAAACTTCATAACAGTCTGATCCAATTAAAAATCGAGAAAGACCTTTTTCGTCTCAAAATGAACTTCATGAGTCACCGACAGGGTCAAACAAGCGGATTATAACACGATGAAGGCGAAAAACTTCAAGCTCAAGGCAATTACTCGGGGCCGATAAACGGTTAGGGCTTTTTTTTCGGGTTGCAAACTGGGGGGGATCGTAGAGAAAAGGAGTTGTATGTGGGGGAGGATGGCCGGACGGCCGGATGGACGGAGAGCAGAAGCCATAGAGAAGATAGACGAGGAGCTTCGATATCGGGGCGCTCACCCGGCGCTCATCCGCACTCACTGCTCTCGGCCGGCCGCTCTGAGGCCAACTCAATCGATATCTCCTCCCACTCGGGGGCTTCTCCTCCTCGCCTCGAGGCTGGATAGTCAAAAGCTTCCGTCTCTCTTTGTCTCTTCACTCTCTCTCACTCTCTCTCAAGTCTTTCTCTCCGAGTGTATTTCCACTCCCGGGCTCACCCTCACGCAAAAACGCACGTTTTGATTTACAAACTTTGATTATAGTTTAATCGACTCTAATCCTAATATTTTTCGGATACTTCTTTTTCATAGTTTCGTAAGACTTAAAATGCTTGAAAAAAAAAGGAAAAATAATGTTTTTCAAATTTTTTTCACATAGTTCGATTAGCTCATGTCACGATAGCTTCTGACATTTCAATTTTGCCATAAAATGACTAAAGAAAAAAACCAAAAGATTGGATTTTTTTGAGCTTTTTCATAAATTTTCTGTTATTTACTTCCTGAAAAAGGCTCAGAAAAAAATTTGACAAAATCAAAAAAAATATATGAAATTTTTCTATTTTTTTCAACATAGTTCGATCACAGCCGATTCAGCTCGTTTCCCGCCATTTCTTAAATTTTTCAAAAAAATATTTGTACTTCTTTTTCATTTTAAAAAAATACATTTTTTTAAACTTAAAATTAGACATTTTTGTCATTTTTTTCAGATTTTTTTGCCTGAAAAAAACTGCAATGAGTTTTTGAAATCTCTATCAATTATAGTACCTAAAAAAAGAGCATTTTTTTCGTGAATTCAAGGCTTTATTAAATAAACTTTTTCAAACCAACGGTGAATGAACTTTGAACTTATTAAGATTTTTTTGAAGCGGATTAATAAAAAAACTCCGATTGAAAACTGTACACTTTCTTCATTTTCAAAATTGGCCTTGAAAAGTATCAAAAAAACCAACTACAGTATGCTATGAACTCCTAGGAACTAAAAAAATGTATCTTTTGAAATTAATTTTTCGAAACTATTTTTTTGGAAAATCAAACATTCAATTAAAATGCTCAAGTCAGCTGTCAATGGACTATCAAACAAATTTGTGAGGATTTTATAATCATTTTAGTTTTTTTTTATATTAGCCACTAATTTCAAGACGACTTCTCCATATTAAAAGTAAATAAACTACATTCAAGTTTTAAAAAATTGTCAGCCTACTGTAGATTTTAAAAATCGCTTCGAGACCGATATTGAACCACAACAGTTCGTAATCGTTATAAATCAACGCCAAAAAATCAAAAAACTTTATTTTCACCGCTAAATTTATCCAAACTTCATCATTTTCTAAATTTTTACATGGAATAGGCTTGATACGACGAGGAATCTTACAGTGATCTAGGAGTTTTTCATTCAAAAATGAAGGTTAAACGACAAAAATAACCGCGGATTTTCTTGTTTGACCTCATTTTTGATTATTCAGGTGGTTTCCATGACGATGGACAAAACAAGTTTGGGAAGACCCGATCGAAGGAAACAGGAAAAAAGAAAAAGAAAAAGCATGAAAAATGAAAGGAAATGTTTTGAAAAACTACTTTAGTGATTGAAAATCAAAAAAAGTTGGATCTGAGACAATTCGAAACATCTAAAAAAAAAGTTTCAGTGCTTCAAATAACCTAAAATGAAAACTGACTATTTCCTTTTTTTTCCATAAAAGCCTTTTTACGCCTTTGAAGGAAAAACTTGATCTTACTTAAGAACTCCATAGTGATCCCTATAGAAGAAAACTTAGGGGCCCTTGAAAATTCCCCTCGAAGGACCACCTAACATCCACTAGAGGGTGCGCGGAAGCTCGAAGAAGTGGCCACTCTAGTGATTATACTCTAGTGATTTAAGTGACCACTCTATACGTCTTTATATCTTTCAAATCATGATAAAAAATAAATAAATAACCACTAAAGGGACCATTTGAGCTTGGGGGTCACGCCCTAAACCCCTCTAAAGACCACTTGAAATTTGGCCCGCTAGGAGGCTTTTTTTCTCCTAAACGGGGCTGTTTTTTTCCCGTTAACCCCTCTAATGACCACTCTAGCATTCCTGTGAAATGAAAAGTAACCCCTAGAGGGACCACTCTGGCGTTCCGAAGTAAAATAAAATACAGAGCCACTGCGAATCGAAATTCGAAAAAAAATTTCAGGTGGAAAATATTTAACTGCTTCATAAAAATCCAAAAGAAGCCTATTTTCAAAAAGTTTACCATCAAAAAGATTGAAGATTTCTGATATTTCGATAATGGTATAGTTCATTCATGACGAATATGAACAGTCTGGCCGTCTGCACTCTCTTTTCTCTCAGCGGGAGGTCACAGAAACATGAAAATAGCACGTAAAAAGAAGGAGAACGTCCAAAAATTGGAGAGGTCGCTGAGAAATCAGCTCGTTATTAATTAGCGCACTTTTTTGTTTCTTGAAAAAATGATAAAGATTTTGAAAGAAAATGGTTTAGTCAAGCTCTCGCGTGAAAAGTTTGACAGACTATAAAAAGGAATTGAAAAAAGCCCCAGAAACATAATTTTGAAATTTTGTGTTTTTTTTCAGTAGATTTGAGGTCATTTTTTTTTTTAATTTTATCTAAAATTGGAATATATGGCGCGCCAAGCAGTTTCAAACAAGATTTGGGAGATTTTTTTGGCAAAAAAAATAGGAAAAAAATCGGGAAAAAAAGGGGGGGTTATATTGGATGACTAGAAATTGAAAATCAAGCTGATCATTTCATGGAGAAAAATGCACTTCAAATGATTGAAAAAACAATAAAATTTGAAAAATATTCAAACCATGAAAAATGGAAAAAATAGCCATTATAAAAACCGACCGATTTTTCCAGAAAGCTTTTAAACAATGTGGAAACTTCTTGAAACACAGAAAACAAAATCTGAAGCCATTTACTAATTAAAAACTGCTTATTCTGGACGAAGAATCAATTCGAAACATTTCGAGAAGCCAAAAGTCCAAAACTACTCTTTCCAACCACACGACTAACAACTTTTTGGTGTGAAATTTGGAACTTACGCCCAATTGCGTTAATATTTTCACGGCGGACTGAGCTTGACCTTACAAATATATATTTTCGTTTCTGGAGGGGCAAAACAAGTCCTCGAGGGCGAAATCTTGATTATTTGTTTTGAAAATTTGGTTCAGAAGGATTTCCGGTGGTAAGATGATTGGAAGATGATCCAGTCAATGACGAGTCAAAAGTGATTCCGCTGAAGAGAGAGTGAAAAAAGATGATTGAATTTCGGAGAGTTAGAGAAAATTTTAAATTTCGCGCAAATTACTTTGAAATTTTTGAACACGAAAGCCGACTTCGATACGATGAAATTTCCTGATTTTTCTATGTCACTTTTGTCTTTCCATTTTTTTTTTCGGTCTAAAAATCGTTCAGCAGTATGTATTTATATGGTAATCCGGGCAAGACTGTCATTGAAAAAAGCAGCCAAAAATCCTACCGTAAACATTACTTTCCTAGCACCTTCGCTTCAAAAAACCGCATTCGAGGAAAAAAAAATGGTCTCATAGCGAAAAGTTCACTGGAGGTGTACGGTTTATTTTAAAAATCGGGAAGATACTGTGTAAATATGTATTTTCAGCAAGCTGCCTAGGTGTTTTCTTCATTTCTCGGCTCTCAAAGAACAAAAATGAGCAAAAAACCACTGCAAAAAGGTCACAAAACGACTCTTTTTCAGAAGAAACGGTTTTAGAAAGCTTAAAACTAATTAAAAGGTTCCATTATTAGACATAAAGATGCATCATGATTATTAAATAAGCTGATAATACCTTTATGACTCCAACAAGGAGGTCATTTATTTTTTCGCGATTACTGAAAGGCGTGAATCTTTCGAAAATCTCAATTTCCGTGGCCACTTAAGAGGTCCCTCAAGTACTATTCGGAGAGGACCCAAAAGAGACCTCTAAATTGTCTAGTTAGTTGAAAAACTAAGATTTCTAAAAAAAGCCTACTTTAGCCGCTTGAAAGGCCGCTATTTCGACTGCTATGATAGCCCTTAAACCATGAAAAAACCCTGTAGTGGCCCCTAAATTCTTTCCGAGTCAAATTGGAAAACATAGGATGTTCCGCTGGTTATTATTATAATGATGCCTCGGAAAAGGGACGAGGAAAAATGGAAAATAGTAATTTGATGCCTATAAGGGGCAAGGGCCACAAATCACGCGAGCAAATCTTCATCCCGATTAGACGCCCACTCAACGAAATTCGAGACTTGTGTTTGGGCCAAAATGAGCAGAAATGACATATTTTGTAGCTTGATTTTGATTATTCTCACTGTTGGAGATTTTATACAGTTCAATTTATTCAGAAAAAAAAAGCTTCCTGAAAATGAAAAATGTGTGCCCCTGGGAAAATTTTTAGTGGCCACTTCAGGGTTTGACATTTTAGTGGCCGCTATAGTAGTCAAATTAGCGGCCACTTAAGGGGTTAACAATTAGTGGCCACTGTTGAGGTCTAAGGGCTACTACTAGTCCACTAAAAACTTTGGTGGCCACTTTAGGGGTCAATGGGTCAATATAACTGGTCCAATCTGCTTGTTTAAAACTTATCAGAGTGACTGGAAGAAGTGATGGATGAAAAACTACTGAAGTGGCCACTAAATAGAGAACCTCTATAGCCTATAGGGGCCATTAAAACGGAAAATAGAGGCCACTAGGGGGCGGGTTTAGGGGCCACTTTAGTGTCCTCTTCAAGTACTCCTTGGCGAGCCTCTATAGTGACCACTAAAAAAATTTTTCCCAGGAATTGTCTCTATAGAAAATTTTTGAAAACAGAAAAAAAGGTAAGGGACAATCCTATTCAAAAAAATACTGTTAATCTGTATCTTGACTTTTTGGAGAAATCCGGGAAAAGTTCCGAGAAAATGAACGAGAAACAGTTGGTTCTCGGAAAAGTTTCCAGAAAGTTTCCAAAACGAGTTTTTCCTATTATTATTACTTTTTTCTGATATAAGTTATATAACAAAAAGATTGATTTAGTCGACTTTCTTATAGATTAATCAAACACGCAAATGAAACTCAGTAAACAAAAAATGAAAAAAAAAACTCACTAAGTTTTTCTTTCATCTTCAATTCAACCGTTTCTATTCAGCTTGACGCTAAAAATTCTTAAAAATTCAAGAATTTCTTTGAAACACCTTGCAGATATGTCATTAAATGAATATTTTCGAGTTGAACCACGAGAAAAGCCGAAAAGAACACTTTAATGGCCAACGGACAGACAAACACGTGATGATACTTTCAGAAGGGGTTCCATTCCAGCAACGTTTGGCTCATTAAAAGTTCCCGGGGAAGATTCAACATCTCAGAGATTGGATTCGAAAGGCAATAAACAGCAGAAATATAGATAGGAAAACCATAAAGTGAATCGAGAAATACAAAAATCCGGAAAAAATCATTTTTGATGGGAGAAGCCAGAGTTGGAACGGTTTTCTTTAATCCTATTTTTGAAAATTTAATAAAATTCGGTCCAACTCTAACATTCTCCTGGATTTATGCTTGACAAACTAGCTAATTACCATGTATTTGATTAAAAACACGAGAAAGGAGAATTTGTCTCTAAAGGTAAAGCTAGGCGAAAAAGCAGGTTTTCAGGTGTCAAAATGTCAAAAAAACAAAAGTTGGTTTTCGGTTTCAATTTAACAAGGCTGAAAAGATCGTCGGTGAAGGATTTTCGTCGGGGGAATGCATTAGACAGTAGAAAGTAAGGCAAAACGGATAAATGCGATAAGGAAGTATAAAGCCCAAAAGGAAAAATCAACAAAAAACGGGGGAAATGTTACTCGAACCAATGAAAACCTGTAACTCATAATCTGATAAGAGGGAATAAGAATAATTCAACAGAAAAAGAATAATAATAATGGTCAACTAAATCATTCAACAAGGTTATTAGGATAAATGCATTTCGAACAAAAGAAAATTATTATTATGATTTTGGTGTGGGATGCGGAAAAAAGGAAGAAAACTAACAAAAACGAGATGGATCCTACTTTTACTTCTAAATTGTCCGGGAAAAAAAAAATCGTAATTGAAGGCTCTCCAAAAATTGGAAGCAGGCCAAAGAAAAGAACAATAATAAAAATAAAAGCAAAAATTGGAGATTCTTTAGAAGAAATATCGAAGAACTGAAGATTCGGAGGATCCGCCAAAGCCGTAAGTCCACATGTGGAGAGCCGTCATCGTGCCCGCCGAGAGGATACCTAAAGATGGAGGGTTAGAATAATTCAAGGTTTCTAGGTGATTTCAAATTTTTGTTCAATTGAACAAATCCGATCAAATGTGGATATTTAAAATTCCTTCGGCACAATCTTTTTTTCTAAGGTCAAGTAAACAATTTTTAAGCAGAAAAGCTAAAAAAATCGAAATCATAGGAATAAAAAAACGAACTGAATAGTTTTGACCATTTGAATTTCTTCTAAAAATCTCAGTTTTATAAAGTAATTTTTCAGCCACTCCAAAATTAAGCAGAAAGTCTGAATAAAAGTTTCAAAGTTTCTTTTTCAAAATCATCAAAAAAGGATGAAAACTCAGTGTTCGACGTCAAAAAAAACTTTTTTTTAACTTTTTCAAAACGAGTTTACCCTTTTTTTCGAAAAAAATCTTTACGAAACTCAAGTTGACACCAAAACTCACCGGCGACGGGCATGGTGACGATCCAAGAAAGGGAAATGTTTCTGAAGACGGCCCATCGGACGGCGTGGTTGGCCTGTACGAGGCCGACGGCGACAACCGAACCGACCTGAATATATTCAATAAATTATTTGAACATTATTTTTATCTATCAAATTCACAGCAGTCTTGAGTTTCCACTGGAAAATTTGAACCAATGCTTTTAGATAATGAATTTGAAAAAATATTCATGAAAACTGAAGCAGGATCTGGGCTAAAGGAAAAGCTTCATTCGGCCAGACATTTGACCAAAATTTAAAATTTCATCGAATATTTTCCTTCAAATTTTCCATTGTCTTAGAAAAAGTTGAACTTATTTATTAAAAAATTCGTGATAACCCTTATTTTTTCACCCTACGAAACAGACCTGGAACAAAAAAAATTGATTAGCGAATACAACCCAAAAATGAGATCTATCAAAAATTCAATGATTCAATAATTCGTCAGATTTGTTCTTCTCGGATCCTACTCCGGGGTGCGGCCTTCCCCCCTTTTTTTCGAGCGCAAAAGGCTAAGTGTATGGTTCAGCCGATGTATGGTTCTTCTTCACTTATTTTTTTAAAAAAATAAGATTTTTTTAAGTCAGTAGGAAGAGATTCACTAGGAAATCTCTTGAATAACGGAAATTATTCTCTCCTCCTTCTTCTACTATACCTTGCACTGAGTGGACGAGATGGGAAGTCCCATTTTGGAGGCGACCAAAACGGTGACGGCGGCGCCGAACTCGACGGCGAATCCAGAGGCAGGAGTGATGCGGGTGAGGTTCTCGCCGACCGTGTAGATGACCCGATGGCCGAGGGTCCACAGTCCGACGCACATGCCGAGGGAACCGAACACCAGGATGTACCTGGAGAAATATTCTGTTTTTTTCTTTCAACAAGATCGCAGTTACAGAACCGTTTGAAAAATAAAAACATTTTTCTCATAAGTTCCTCGCTTATATCCATAAATCATTGAAACTTCATGAAGCTGAGGTTTTTTTTTCGTGAACGGACTAGAGTGTTACAAAAACAGTCATTACAACACCAGAAGAATTCAGAAAAATTAAACAAGAAAATTTTTATTAAAAAGCCGTTCTTTGTTTCTATTTTTTCTACGGAACCGTAGGAATCCTTCCCAAAAAGTATCTCATAAGCTTTAATCTGTGTTTTTTGACGTATTTTTGAGCTATTCCGTTGAAAAAAATCCGGATTTTTCGAAATATTTTCGACAAACGATACTTTTTGAAAAATTTTTCTTTCTTTCATATATTTTCGACACGATTCATATGTATCCAACTAACTCCATTTTTCTTCAATTCAATGCATATTTAATCTCAAATTAACTAAAATCAAACAATTCGAAAGATCAAACATGTTGTTAATCTTTTAACATGGAATTACCTTTTCTCGGCTTTCATAAAAGTCTCTTTTCAAACTATATTCAATGAAGTATTTGCTATCCTTCACAAAAATTTTTTTTTAGAATTTTTGCCGACTTCTAATCTCATGGTGCCTCAACGGGTGTATCCGTATTAAACCCGTGTTTCTGAGGTTATTTTAGTCTCAGTTGTGCTAAAACGGGGAAACAACGGGTGCAAGAAAAACTAGGTGACCCAGCTGTGCTTATTTCGAAAATCTGTGACCCACTGTGCTAAAGCGGTGCCTCAGGTGGGGTGAAACTGTCAAAAAGATCTAACAGCTAGGCTTATACGGCACGGCGTCCCTAAACGGGGTTGGAAGACGTCAAACAAAATTTTGGCGCGAAAATTGAAATCTCAAGTACGCAGCCAAAGGCGATCGAACATTTACCATTAATATTCAGTGTAATTATGACGCCATTTTATCCGAAGCGCGCACTTACTTTTTTTTTGTAAATTCGACGCCTCGCCCACCTTCCCTCACCCCATTAGGAATGCCTTGTACGGGTCTAATACGGGTCCACCCGCTGAGAGCCCGTGACAGCACGGCTGGGCCACCCTCATCAGCATGAGTGATACGAATTTTTCGTTGATCTTCACATTGGATTTTCAAAGTTATACTCAATATAATATCTCTTATCGTCTCCTAGAAACGCTTCAGAATTTTTGCGAGCTTCATAGAAGAGGTACCCTATTTTACGTTGGTCTAGACTAGCGACATCGCTTTTTCTTTACAACTCACCAAGGCGTCTCCATGCTCGACGAGGCGATACCGGCACCGGATCGCATCAAGACCAGAGAAACGAGAGGAGCGATAGCGTTACTGGAAATCGATTTATTCTAATATTCTGCCTGATACTCGATGCGAACCTGACGTCGTTGCCGCCGTGAGCGAAGCCACCGAAGCAGGCGGTCATGACCTGGAGGAGGGAGAAGAGTCGGGACGCCTGGGGGTCTTCCGGCTTGCAGGAGCGGAAGAACGAGGCGAGCGACGACGACGGGGCGATCGTGTTCTTGGGCGCGTAGCTTCCAGAAGCCGACACGGGCAGGGAGCCGTTCGTGCTGACCGACGACTCCATCTCGTTGTTGATCGCCTCCTTCTCCTTCTCGTTGGGCGTGACGACGATCGTCGGCTGGTCGAGCAACGCTTTTTCTGGAATCCCTTGGTTCTATTTTTTTCAACTGACTATCTACTTTTCTACTCTATTTTCTTATTCTAGAACAAGAAAAAAATTCCCGAAGTTTTCGAGTTGCACGCATGTTTGAGACAGTACTACGACGGCCGGTGGCCGATCAATATTGCGCACTCAGTTTCGGAGCCAGGAAATTTTTTAAATTTTCTTTCTTTTTTTGCAATTTGTTAAGGACCTATTTCTCGAGGTTACAAGGTAAGTTAAGTCACAAAAAGTACGTAAGATTTCATTTCATTATTGAAAAGCCTATCCAAACTACCGTAATACGACCGGCCTCCTTAAACAGGCGTGGAGACTCTTCAAAAGCTTGAAATGGCTTCTTTTTTTTTGAAATTGGCGTATGTACCAAACTTTGAAGCTTCATAGGTCGAAAAAAGACCTACTGCAAGATTTTTTTTATTGCTTTGGAATCAGGAGTTCCTGAACTGCATTTCAGTCTCATCAGAATTTCAACCGGTAGTTAAAAAAACTAGCCGAAAAATTCCCTTAAAAACGGATATATTTTACTTTTGGTTTTGATTATTCATACGCCGTGTAAAATTCGAATCGCTGTGAAATTTCCGTAAATCTACACAAAAAAATCGGGCTTGTGCGCCCTACTGCACACTTTTTCCTCGCGAGACCCATTATATGGCCTGAAATGTCCTAACATCTTCTACTATTGATCCATTTATGATAAGTTTGTATAGGCAAAAAAATAATAATATAAGTGGCTCAGGGAGAAAAAGTCAAAGTAATCGGAAAATTGAGAGAATTTTAGACTTTTGAGCGTTTATACACTGTTTTCTCTTCATTTTGGCCTTCAAAAAGCCAATTTCTTGTTTGGAATATTATTTTCTCATCGAATTCCTGCCCAAAAACGAACTCTGTTCGATGGTGGCCAGTTCCAAGGGGCCCGTGTTCGGAATCTTCTTGTTATTATTGCACTCGTGAGATTTCAAAGGCGTCGCGATCGGCACCATTTCGCGGGTATCTGAACAAAAATCCATTATTTTGATCTTCATAGTCACATCAACTCACTCAAAATGTGATTTTTCAGGTAGGGAGCCAGGATGAAGTTGAACAAAACAGCGCAGGTCAGACCCAGGGCGACTGAGATTCCCAAGCAGACCGGCAGGGACAGAAGATCAAAGTTGAGGACTGGAAAAAGGGGGATAAAATGAGGAAAGTTCGGTTTTCACTGACAAGAAGGTCCTTTGTAGACGACAGCGAAAATATTGAACGAAAAGCAGAGGAAATAGAGAAAAGGAAGGACGCGCATGCCGCTGTTGAACGGGCGGCTCTGAAATGAAAAGTTAAATTGTTTTGGATAACGAATAAATTTTTAAAAACTCGGAATTTTCCTGCTGAATATATGTGAGATATGTTGAAGACTTTTTTTCATTCAATTTAAAAAAATTATTAACTTCCTAATATTGTTTTTTTCAAACATCCTTATGCCGTATACAAAGTCATTTCCGCGAAATTCAAAATAGTCAGAAAATGGAAAAGATGACCAAATTTTGGAGAGTCAGAGATAATTTTAAATTTCGCGGTGACACGGCAATACGATTTGCACTCAAATGTATATGAAAATCCTATTTTTGCCGATAAGTTGCGTTCAGATGAATTTTAATACCCAAAAAAGATCAAAAATAGGTTTTAAATAACGGAATTTTCTCATAAAGCCAACATTTTTTTGAATCATAGCTTTTTTTTTCACATTTTTCATTCTATAAAGCATTCACACAGCAATTTTAAAGAAATCCGGAAGATCTCTTTTTTGTAAACTGAAACAGAAAGCTCATCTTCCATCAAAAATAACGCTCAAATCTTCCAAACTAAAAAAATTTTCTCAATCAAAGAATATCCCCTAAATGAAACATTATTCATTGGACGCACTTTGCCCCGCGTAAAATCCGCTCGTCTTTTACACCTTTCGGTTCTCGCGACGACGCGTCTTTGCTCTTTAACCCGTCACAAACGCACAATTGCTCGGAAGTTTCAATATCAATCACGACAAATCGCTCAGATCATTCCATTCTTTTCAACAAAAAAAAAACCAAGTAATCTTGGCCTGATTTCTTGAAAACACCACAAAAATCCTACTTAGCAGGAAAAATTGGCAATGGCGCAATAAAAAAAATTTTTTTCAGCTTCTAATAAATTATTTCAACTGTTATAACCTGGAAAATGTTTTTGGAACCAAAAAAAATTATATTTTCGAAAACTCAGCATATTTGTGCGTCAGAAAAAGTTCTCATTCAAGTTTTAAAATGAGATTTTTTTTAAATTAAAAACTGAATTCGAAAAATATACGCGCTTGATTTATACAAAAATCTACTTATCAGACAGTTCGGAAAATTGATTCGATTAACCATTTTTTTTCCATGAAATTGGCTTATCAAAAATTTGGAGAAAGGAGAATATTTTTTCTGCAGCCTTTCTTTTATCAAGACCTTATTTTTTCCCTCATGAAACTCACGCGTCGCAAGACGAGATGATCCAAGGCGGAGTAAATGATGACAGAAGTGATGCCGGACGAAAGCGGCGAGATGATCCAGGAAAGGACTGCAAGATGGGGAATTGAGAGGGAGGAAAGAGGGAATTGAACGGACAAATGCGGTAGATCTTGTTCCACACGATGGCCCTTGCGCCGCCGAGGACGAGGGCGAAGCCGATGGTGGCTCCGACGATCGAATGAGTCGTCGAGACGGGCAGTTTGAACGCCGTCGCCAACAACATCCACGCCCCACATCCTGCAACAATCCAAATTACGCTTGATTATTTGATAGTAAGCATCAGAGATGCTGATATGACGGGTCGCCCCGGGGTGTTCTGACCCGTGAAGTGGTCCTTTTTTCAAAAGTCATTTTTTTTTTTACTCTTTTGGCGTGTTCATCGGAGAAACGGAACATGCTTTAAAACAGAAAAATCGTGTTTCATCCAAGATTGCTCTAAAACATCACTAATTTTTTTTTTGAAGCAGTTTTCGTTTTGTACGATGAACACGCCATTTTCTTTTCTGCCGATTTTCAGCTTTCGTGCCGTTTCACCCTGAGGCGCCTTGTCGGCAGCTCTGGTAAGGAGGGGCGGACCATTTTTTAAGGTCGCCTAGAGCCCTCCTTCGTAGCTTGTCTAACTAAAAAGTTATTACTACCTCTTCAGCTCAAAACTCTATTTAAACTCCAACAAAAAAAAACTATCCTTTAACCTTATTTTTCAAGTCTCTCATAAGTCAAACCCTCCTCCTGGTCTGATTGAGCTCTTTACTTGCCAAAGTACAGTTAGTACAACCTCTAGAGCTCAAAAATTGATTTTTTTTTTAGCCCCACTTTCTGGATTATATGGATTCTGTATTCCTCCATCCACATATGGTCAGTTCAGTGTTGCTCCTTTATTCATTTTCGAAAGATCCTAAGTTTTTCTAAATATCCTTTTTTTGTCAATTAAAACAGGGGTCAGTTATGTGGAGTTTCATTTGCAAGACTTATCCTTTGAAATATAATTAAAAATCTCAAGTTCCAATGAAAATTTTTGAAAACCTGAAGAAAAAAATGTGACGCAAGAGAGAACTAAAAAAACTTTAACTTCTTTCTAAATGTATATCTTTTTCCTTCATTTTAACGAAAATGTGATTTTTTTGCACTACTTCTTATACTGTTTTTCCTATTTTATCCATATTTTAGAAGCAAGTAACTGACCAGCAAGAATGGAAATCTGTCCCAGCATGAGTTCGTAGCCGATCCGTCCGTGGTCGACTTCGGCGGTGCCATTTGTGGCAGCCGACGCCGTCAGAACAAACGAATCGAAGTCGATCACGCCCTTCCTCATCGTGTCCGTCACTTGGTGCCCTGAAACAGTCGGAAACGTGAAGCGAAAGTATTCAAATTTTTTTAAAAACCTCATCTTCCCGTAACGAGAAATTTATAAACGCAATTTTTAACTATTCATTTTCGTTTACTGCTTTCTCTCGTTCAGAATTTAATTATTAGCTCTTTAAAGATTATATGAGATCACGTTGTACAACAAAAAAATGCTTCAATAGATTCCTAGTCGTCAGAGAAAGAAAAAGATAACTAAATTTTGGAGAGTCAGAGATAATTTTGCATTTAGCGGGAATTTTGAATATGGCATTAGAAAAGCTCATAAAATTGAAGACTTTTCTATAATTTTCCATTCTTTTTCTATATTAAATTTCTTGAGCATTATTTTCTATTCCGTCAACCTCTGAGACGCTTCCTCGGAAGCTTCTGACTCGATAAAAGTTGACGAGTTTGGTGATTGGTTCCCGATTTTAATCAGTTCACCGAGAAATTATCGTCCCGTTTCTATTTTGACAGTTCCACAATTGTTTGTTCCCAGTATGTTCTTTGGAATTTGAAATTGATGGAATTTGACCTACTTATTAGTTTTTTAGGCAACAATTGAAAGGAAAAATTCAAAGTGACGGAATTTTCAACAAATTGGGAAAATGTTTAGTGGCTACTATAGTAGTCAAATCAGTAGCAACTTAAGGGGTTAAAAATTAGTGGCCACTATAAAGGTCTAAGTGCTACTACTAGACCCCTAAATATATAATGGCCATTAAAAATTTTCCAATGAAGAGAAAAAAGAGTAAATTTGAACCTTTACAACAGAAAAAAAGCAAGTTTCAAGCATGAAATTGTGGAAAAATCAGTTGAAAAAATAAATACTGAGGACTTTCTCTGAATTCTAAAAATTCACTGTCTTCAAATTAAATTTAATTTTTAGGTTTAAAACTTTTGAAAAACTGAAATTCGGTTAGACTTATCTTGAAAAATATATAATACCAATATTTAGGGGTTATTCTAAACTTTAATTAATCAGCATCCAAATACGTTTTTTGAAATTTCACAATCAGAGCTCCCGATTTTGTCCCGAAACTGACCAAGAAGGCAGGCTCCGAGGGTCTCGAAGATGCTTGCAAGTACATAAGCCGTTCGTAGTTTCAGGACCTGAAATATCGATTTTTCCTTTTTTCTATCGATTTCGCCGGCACCTTGCTGCCGACAGATGTTCCGAAGGAGTTGGCCGTGTCGTTGGCGCCGATGGCAAAGGCCAGGATGAACGCGATGACGGCGCCGATCAGCACCAGCGTGTCCGGGGTCAGCATCGTTTCAGGCTTGGGGTCTTGTTTTCACTGAAACTTTGATGGTTACTGGAGGTTCTATCAATAAAATAATCGAGAAAACAACGAAAATTGGAACAATTCCAAATTTTTTTGATGGATTCAAAATTCTGTTTTTTTCTTTATTAAAGCAGTGAAAGCTTTTTTTTCCTCCTGTTTTACTTCTATCTTAAAAATTAGGCTCAATTTTAGAAGTGAAAGTATTTTTTTTTAAATCGAATGGTAAGAATTAAAAAAAATTAGCTTTTGAAGACATTTTTCCAGCATTTAAAAAAATTAGTCATTTTTTTAAAAAGTCTCCATTTTTTTCTAACATAATTACACGAATTTCCGAAATAATCTGCAATTTTAATAGCAAGGCAAGATTTGTTCAAAAAAAAATAAATAAATAACCCTAAAAAACTATTTTCCAACCGAAAATTTCGGCCCAAAAAATCTACTTATTCTAAAATAGTTATAAAAAAATTTCGAAGATAAATTTGCAATTTTATGAACAAGGGGAGGTTCTTCGAAAGAAAACTACCTAAAAACTATTTTCCGACCGGAAATTTCTAAGCTCGAAAAAAAATGTTCTACGCAAACAGCTTGAATAATAAAAGTGATAAGAGATGAGATGATTTCCGTTTTTGTACAGCTGCGCAATGAGATAATCAAATTTATCATGTGATTTGTTTGCACACGAGGTGGAAAAGTCGAAGGTAAAAGTGGGGTCTGGAGGGACAGATTCGTCACATTTCTTCGACAAATTCCGATCGCCCACGTCAAATAACCGCTTGTATTTGCGTCAAAAGTCAAGTACCCTTCCAAAAAACGTTTATGACCAATAACCTGGCCTTTTGGTCCGGAAAATTCAAACAAATAGTGGGATTTTATGACTTTCTTTTCAAGTCGCTTCAAAATTTGGGAACTTGTGAGTTTAGAAAACCTTTGCGCGACCTAAAATAACATAAAAAAGGCTTTTTTTCCGTATTTCTTTTTGTCTGAGAATTGACAAGACTTGAAAAAAATCTTGACTTGAAGACTTGAAAAAAATCAAAAAAACATTTTTAGAAAGACTTGAAAACATATCGAAAAACCATGTATTTTCTCAAAATTCGCCTATATTTACTCCGTAAACTTTAGTACTTTTGTGTCAAAAATAAAACATTTTGATTGAAAAAAAACTTGATTTAATCAAAAAGCTTCCTGGTGTTTTATTCAAATAGAAATTCAAAATAAACGTTTCAAAACCTGATACCCACGGATATAACTCCCACAATCACAATCAAAAAACTCGTTTTACCTCGAAACTTTTGACGAAAAACGGGACGATTTGAGAAGATTTTTTTGACTGGTTTTCTGTTTGTGTGTCTGTGTGTGTGGGGCAAGCTGAATTTGCACGATTTGAGCGAAAAAGATGCGACTTTTTCGTAATCAAAAAGAGCGTGGATCTTGCGGCTCTGGTTTCAGGGCCTTATCGCCTAATGGTTAGGCGAACACGTTAAACAAAATCCGAACACTCTCGATCACGACACTTGACCTTTCGGCTCAAGAATTACCCCTGCAAACAAGTTATAAGCAATCGAAAGCAGTTTCAAACGAGAAAAATCGCGAAACTATACGAAAAAGTGGACGAGAAAACTTTAGAAAAATAAAAACTGTAAAGCGAGGGCTCGCGGAGGAAAATACGGCGCCACCCGTCAGACAATTGAAAATATTTTCCAACAGCTCGGAAGTAGGCTCATAGAGGTAAATAGCCGAAGAAGAATCAGAAAAAAAGATACGAAAAAAAACAAGTAAATATTGATGATTTCACAAAATAATCAAAATGAAAAGTAAACCTAAAATTAAAGTTATTTTCGGGAAAAAACAGTTCTAGAGTCTTTTCTTAAGACTGAATGAATTTTTTTAAATGTGTGAAAAAAATGAGTTTTAAAGGTCCTAAATGAAAAAAAAAGGAAAAAAAAGGAAAAATTCGAAAATTTCGAAAATTTTTTTCCAAATTGACCGTAGAGCAAACTTGAACGCTATGGCGCGTTTTTTCAGATTTTTGTAGTTTCCATTTTTTTTTTTCTCTTTTTTTGGAAAAAAATTCCTTTCATTTATGATATTTTGTTGTGGATGCTTAAAAAACGAGAAATCCGTCTGGCAAATGAATAATGATGCAAAAGCGAGTCAGTCAGTTGTTCCAACGCCAGTCGCGGAATGGGACAAAAATGTTTCCTCGTCGTTTTTTTTTTCTCTTCTTTTGATTCCACTGGGCTCACGAGGTTTCAATAACTGAATAATAGAAAACAGAGGAGCTATAAATATCAATAGCCGAACGGCAGCTGCAAAATCGTGCACAAAAACAAGTAAATAACTGGGATGAGGCGATTTCGAGCAGATTCCTTTTTTTTATGGTGTGTCCTTTTAAAAAGAGGTTTTTCAAAATTTGGCCCCTTCAGAAGTGTCAAAGTATCTGTTTTCTGCGTGATCGCGACAAAAACAATTAACTTTCGAAGGACACACGAGAGAAAAAGTGATAAGTTCCGCAGAAAGAGACCTGTCTGGTTGGTCAGTAAGCGGCGGCTGTGTTATCTTTCGCAATTAACGAGTAAAGAATCGGAAGATTAATTGCGGTTTGCGGGTGGTTTTTGGGAAGAACTTTCTTCGTTAAAAGTAAGTGATTTCAGATTTTTGTGATGTGTCTAACTTACAAGGAACGTAAGGGTACTCTGAAAAATTCTGAAATACTCTGTTAAGGTTGAGATAAAGTTGCTATTTTCGAAATTACATATCCTTTCAAGAGCTGATTCTAAAGAGATCGATTTTTTGAGATCCGGTCCTTTTGCCTAATGACTCGGACATTAGTAGCGCGAAACGGACGTTTCCGGGCATTTCTAGTGACCACTTTAGTAGCATCAGCTCTCTTAAGTGATCCCTAGGATCGCCCAGAACCGTCCGTTTCGCGTCACCAATGTCCGAGGAGATATTTCAGGTTTTGTGAAACAGTTTTTTTCCGCTAAATTTCAGAAAATCAACAACTATTTATAAAACCGCTTCAAATTGCTCTTTTGATAACGACCTGGAAAGCTAATAATGTCTCAAACTCCCGTAAACTGTTTAAATAAGTCGTTTTTTCGATCGAAACCTAACATAGCTTCGAAAACCGAGCTTCTCAAGTAAATAGAATAGACTAGAGGCTTCCCTTGGCCTTTCGAGAGCACAATATGACGGCACAAAGAGCGGTTGCGTCTTGTTTGTCTTTGTCTTTGCCGTATCAAACAGTTCAAGAAGTAAAGTAAAGCTCAAATAAACGTTTCGTCAGCGGCTCTTTTTTCTCCAACTCGGGGTGTTCCGCACAGAAATGAGACGCCTTGAAACTCGAGAAACACATTCTCCGATGGCTTTTGCAGATGTTCATGGGTTCAAAAAGCGAAAATCCTGTTGCTAAACTTGAAGGATTGAAGAATTTTTATGAAATATAGGTCGAAAATGTCAATACTGTTGAAAAAGTCTACGTGAAAAATGGAAAAACCCGAAAAGACGTAAGAAAAAAAGAGCTCAACGTCAGAACAGCTGTCCCTCTTGGTTCGGAACTTTTTTTCTGTGTTAGAATGGGAACAATGAACGACTATGTCGGAAGTGATGAGTAGAATACGGAAAAAGAAGCTCAGAAAGTTTTTTTTGTATTCTCTTTACAAGCTTACTGCTAAAATTTAGTACCATAAGGCTCAAAATAAAGTTTTTTCTTAAGAAAAAAAAAAAACTTTTTAGCACTTTTAAGCGTTTCAAAGCCTTCCGGAAATTCTAAACCCTATTAGTAAGGTTTTTTTTTTCATAACTACAAGTCATAAATTTTTCAGGCTTCCAAAAACCTTTTCACCAACTTGCCAAGATCCTCTAGGACCTTGAAGACTTACGAAAAATCGAAAAACCCCATTCTTAGCCAGAATTAGAAACTAAAGTACGTTAAAAGTCTCTTTTTGAACTTTTCTTGAAAACTTCAAAGCCAGAACTAACAGATAAAATCTTTACATTTTTTTTTAATCGAGAAAGATTATTTTTTCACTATCATGAAGCCAAAAATAGAGAAACCTTGAACTCTAACAGGGGAAAAAGGGGAGAAGGAAGAGCAACTAGGCGGCTGGACGGCTGTGAGGCGCCGCCGCCGCCGTCGGAGAGGAGGTTGTAACGGACGGAAGAATTCTCCGTCGGCTCTGCGCGCCACGGAGAACGATCGGCCGCGCGCCCTTTTCCTCCTTTGTTTCTTTGGCCCCAAGGAGTTGTGACTAACCTTTTTGTTCACCAAATGGCTGGTTTTTTCGAAAAAATGCGAGCAGAAGGGGAATCAACTATGTTTTGTTTCGAACATAAATAATTTGTTTTAACTTTTTAAAAAAAGCTTCAAAATTTAAAAAAATGCTCTACAATTGGCTATCTACCTCTAATAAGTCTGTTTCAAAGTTCTTACTAGAGTTTCCAAAAAAAGACGAGTTTCCGAAAAAAACCGAGAAGTATTTTTGAATGATGCAATGCTTCTGGATCTAGCAAGAAGCTTTAAAAATGAATATTTATATTTAAAACCCCAAGGTATTTTAAATGAAGAAGTTTATTTTCCAATTATCTCGAATCAGACAATAATTGACTCTTTTCAAAATAGTATCAAAAACGTCTCTAGGAACCGCGATGTGTTCTTGACCGTTTGCTCACACAATCTAGAATCATCAGTTTCAAAGGAATGATTGAAACCTTCTCGAAAACTGTACGATTTTTCCCCACGGACATTGAAGAATTACAAGTTTCATACATTCTCATGCAATAAAATGATCGCCGAAACGTGGGAAACTGATCCGACCGAGAAAGACACAAAAAGAACCACGGAATTTGCAAAAGTGATCCGAAAATAGCTTCAGAAGTCAAGGAAAAGAAAGAAATACATGCGATGAGCTACCTGGATGGCAGCCAGAAGGAACGCCTGCTGTAAAATGGGCGGGGCCAATGGGAAACTTGGCACCTTTCCAGCTCCAAGACGCGCCAACAGGAAGTTAAGAATCTTATCAAAAAAATAGGATATCTTATCTCGATTCTAAAAAAAATAAAATGGAAATGATAACTGTCTTTTTGTGTTTTTCATTCTCATGACGTGAATCACTTGGGAAAGAAAAATGATTCTAAAAAAATAGCCGCTAAAACTTAAGAAAAAAATTTTTTTAATAGATGAACTGATTATCTCTTTCTCATTCAATTGTTTCATTCTAAATTTAGAATTCTTTAAATAACATTCAAAGGCCAAAACAATCTGAACTCTTAAAATGCCGTCAAAAATAGCTTTTTGAAAGGTACCGTAGTTCAAGGAAACATAAAAAATTTTTTTTTGAGAAACAACTGCAAAAATGAGAATCAAGCTTTTAAAATTTCAAAATGCATAAAATGATGTTTCATTGCATACAGAAATTCATATAAAATGTGGAAGTTTAAGAAATTTGAAGGAAATAACAAGGCTAGGATAAACAGGAATGAAACAGAATCCGGAATCAAAACCTTTTTTCAATGCCTTCAAAAACCATTTTGACTAGGGAACGTTTCTTGAGCCCCCGCAGGTCTTGTTTTTCAAGTTATGAAGCTTCAAAGTTCGTAAAGTTTTTTTCATTGTTCTGGCATCAGGATCATTTCAGCAAAAATTTCATCAAAAGTTCAACGGGGGGGGTAAAAGTTCTATCAAATGAGAAGCCTAGGACTTCAAAATTAGACTATCAAACCCTAAGCCAAAAGCCGAATACCTCAAGACAGAAAAGGAAATAGAAAAACCAACCGATCCGTCCTTGGTCCGAAGGTACCGCTTCGTCTGAAATCCATCTCCCGTTTTTCTTCGCCCAATTTTTGACGTTCAAAAAGTGGGCGGAGCGACGGATGGGGGGCGAATTTCACGGACAGATCGCTCGTTTTCAGCGGCAGAGAGCCGTTTCTCTGGCACTCTCCGCCTTTCCCACGCTCTATCCGCCTCGAGCGTTGTGAGCGTTTCTTTGTGAGCTCCGTGAGGGGTTTTTCTGCACTCTTGGTGCCGCTATTTGATTTCGGATGAGCTGCGAATTCGACGCGTTGAAAGCTTTTCCGAACGTTTTGGGACTATTTTTTGATGGAGAATATGTTGATAATTGACATTCACATGAGAATTTTTCAACAGAACGACGATTAGAAGCAAAAAAAAGTCCGAAATTGCGTCCTGAACCGTCCATGTTTGAAAAAAAAAAAAATTATAAACGTTATTGGATAAAGATTGGGGAATAACAAAGTCAGAAAAAATCAGAAAATCTTCAGAAAATTCAAAATGCTCGACAAAATTAATTTTGAAAGTTTTCCCTTTGAATATAAGCTAGTAGTTGGGTAAAGACCATTAATTTCAAAAAATTATGACATATTCAAAAAGATGAAGCTAATTTAATTGAAAAAAAGCTACTGAAACAGTTTTTTTTTTTTTTGAAAAAAAAAATCACAACTAATTTTCCGTTCAGGTTTTGTAGTTTGATCATCAAAAAAGAAAATTAAAAGATAAATGAATGAGAAAAAATTAAAATCGCCTCTCATGACAATAATGTTTCTAACCTAATTATAAGATACCAGAGTCGTAATCAAAATGATCGCAACCCTTTAGTGACAACTTAAGAGGTTTTAACTTATCTTTCATTGACCTAACAGACAAAAAAGGCCTCATGACCTTAAAAAATTGTAGAGAACGATCTGGAAACATGAAATTCATTCCAAAAAGTGCTCTTTTCCCAGAAATTGCAGATTTTTGAACATTCTCAATATTTTTCAAATGACGAACTTAAGAGGCTTTTCTCTTTTCTGAACGTTCTCTGAGCTCTGGAAAATTGCGAATGCCTTTCAGATGCTTCAAAATAAATCAGAAAAGGAGCATCTGAGGGTGGATTAATCCGAACTGATCCAATAGTATTTGAGAAGTCTTTGAGCCCAAGAGTAACATCGGGTAATTGAATGTCGGGCCTGAGCCGAAGATTTAATAAATCAAAGGAGTAAAGAGGATTTGCGAAGGTGGATGTTTGGATATTTCGAGTTTTTCGCTTATCGAGAAATCTAGTAAAAACGCAGATAAAATGTCCAATTGCAATAAAATGAGAAAAAATGGTATATTTTTCTGATTTTGAGGTAAGAAAAATTCTGAAGGGCTCAAAAGATTTCGTAATTGATACTTAAAGCTTGCAACATTTTGCAGGCTGAAAAAACCTTTCAATTTTCGTCTGAAAGCCCATTTCGCAATAGTACAGCTGTTTCTGTGAGTCTTATTTGTTATATAATATTTACTTTCGATATTTTTTATTAAGAGAGGTGAGTCATAAAGTTAGTTAGAAGAAAAAAAGAGTTACAAAATCAAAATTTTTAGGTCAATGAAGTATTAAGCTTTTTATTTTTTTATTTTTTTAAGGTCACAGAACTTTTTTCTAGGAGGTTTTAACTATTGCAAGCTTGCTTCCATTTTTTTGGTTTATTTTTTTCGAGAAAAAAATGAATATTTCGTGAGAAAAAAATAAAATCGCGGGGGGCGCTTTTTTTGGTTATATTTTTTTAGCCTTTCAAAGTTGATCCTTTTTGAAGTAAGATTGGTGTTTTGATGCCCTACTGAACTTTATTTATTTCACTATTCAACTTCAAAGCTGAGTCATAATTTTTTTTTGTTTATAAAATCTATCTTTCAAAACGTTGCAACGGTCTGAAATGCTGGGAAATTTCAATGAAAGGACAGAAATAGATCCTCCAGACGACACAAAATAAACTTTTTTTTTTCGCTAAATATCTTTTTGGCTTTTCATCCGCAATTCAAACCTTCTAAATGAGAGCATGTTTACGTCAGCAATTCAATTAAATTTTAGTTAATAATTAAGTCATTAAAAAGGCCAAAGATGACCGTTTCAGTTTTTTTTTTAACTTGCAGAAGGTTATCCCGAAACAAGCATCTGAAAAAATTGAGTCTAAAAATTTCAAGATCAAAAACCAAAACTTGACGGCTAAATTTTCAATTCCACCTGTTTTCGTCAACACATTTTCCAAGTTTTTCGTGGAAATTTCATCTTGTTTTGGATTTTTTTTTCCTTCTCAAAATACTTTTTGATGCTGCCGCCTTTCCCATGGAATATTTCCGTTCAAATGGTGCAAGAATTTTGATTCGCTCGAAAAGTTTCTGGGAACCGTGTTGCGGCGATTTTTATGACCCAGAATTGTAGACTTTGAGGATGGACTCTGAGAAAAGGTAGGGTTGAGAATTTGAAAAGATAGGAAGAAGGTGGAATTTGGACACAATTACTGATGAACTTTTTAGAAATTTCTTTATTTTTTTCGAAAATTATAGCTATTTTTTTGGTCTCTCAAGCTAATGAGTTAATTACTAATGCTAATGAATAAGCTAATGAGTTTCGAAAGAAAAAAATTGTTTATTCAAAAATTCATAGACATTTTCAAATTTGAAAATGAAGGAAAAAAACAAATAAAATATTAACGCCCATTTTTTTCTGTTACCGTAAAAAAATTTTTCTTTTTCAATTTTTCACAAGTTATCTTATTATATATTATTCTGAGAAGTTATTATTCTGAGAAGAATTATTCACATACACAGAAATCATCCATTACATGGATGATTTCTGTGTATGTGAATAATTCTTCAGAGAAATTGCAAAAGAATCATAAATTATTAAGAAAAAAAGGCGCTCCGAAGCCTCAGAATATGATGCAAAATGTCAAGAATCAACAGACGCGCTACCATGTTCCAGTAACTTTTTTTGCGAATTATTTTTTTAAAAAAATAAAAAAATGTGAAGAATGGACTCCTAAAAGACGTTTTTTTGTTGAGTAGAATCGTGTGAAAAATTACCAATTCGTGTCCACTTTGCAAACTTTTTTCGAGTTAATTAGAAATGTGCGAAAAGGGGACAAAAAGGCCGGAACAATTAGGAGCCATGTGCACGACACGTGCGCGAGAAAAGTTATGGGGTCCTTTTCAAATTTCAGAGAAAGTGTGGCTAAAAGCTTTATTTTACTCTTCAAAGATATCTTTCAGAGACACGCAGATGTACTTTTCGAGTCATAAAGCGTCTGAAAGCTCAAAAAAAGAAATGATAAAAATAAAGTATGCGTGAACTTTCCTAAGCCAATCATGGACTATCCTCAAAGGAATTTTTTCAGACTCGAAGAAAAGTATTATTAGCAAAACTGAAAAACATTTGAAGAAATAGAAAACAAAAAATTCGAAAAATTTTCACAATTTCATCAATTTTCAGTCCTAATTGAGCTCATAAACACACAACAAGTTACAGCCAGAGATCAAAAATTTTCTCACTTTGTTTTCAAAGGAACTTCTACCCATTTATAAAAGTGAAAAGGTGAAAAACAACATTTTTGAACTAGTTTCCAAAGATTTGAGTTATGAATCACCCAAGTTTCGCAAAAGAATGATGTCATGGACAACGAAAACACACTCATTTCCCGAACTTGCCTCTTTTTCACCTCCTAAGGGGCCAAAAAAGTTTTTAAAATAACATTCAAAACAAAAAAGCAGGAACTTCAAGTAAATCTCTTCAAAAAGAGGAAGCTGAAAAGTTCGAGGAAGCTTTGCGGGAGGCCTTCAGCAAATGAAATAAAGACTCGAAAGAGAAAGCGAATTAAACTAGGAGGAAGTTCGTTGAGCGAAATTTTGACTGTGCTGGATGAATGGGACGAGTCGCCACTCAAACTCTTGCAATAGTTTTCTTTTTTTAACCCCAAATTATTTTTTCGGAATATGAAATTTCAAACCTATAAAAATGTAGAGTTGCTTGAAACTTCAGGATCTCTGAAAAAAATAAACAAAAAAACCAAGAAATAGGATTAAACTCTAAAAAATTATTCAGAAAATGATGCAAAAATCTTTCAGAAAAATCCATAGATTGATTGGATAACATCATGAATCACATTTAACTGAAATTTCAAACATTTAACAAGTTTTTTTCTTCATTAATTCCTCTTGTAAAAGGGCTCTAAAACCTGTAAAACATAAATAAATTGATTCGGTTGAAATTTCTGGGCAAAAATGAACAGACCAGACTTCAAGAAAAATCAAAATTTAAATTTTTCACGATTCATCATGTGGAGGGAGGTTGAAAGAAAAGTTTCAAAAAAAGTTTTAGAACGCGGCAACTGTTCGGTTCCACCCTCACCCTTAACTATTTAGCTGTTTCCTCGCTATTCAACATCCGATCGGAAGACATTTAGTTGAAAATATTTACAAAACATTTCGGTAAAAAAAAAGAAAGAAAAGAAAGTGAAGAACCTTAAGGTAGGTAATAGCTTTTTTTACTATCAAGTAAGTTTGATTTTTTTCTTCCATTAACACTTCTAGGCTTTTTTTCCAATTTTTTTATGGAAAACTTTGTTTTCGATTCGAAAAATTCTGTGATTTTTCTTGAAAATCGAATCTCAAGTCCCGAGACGCCCTACAAGAGACCAGATGGCTCAAAATAGAACTTTTTTCATCTAAATTCTTCCACAAGACGCCAACATGAAGCTGAAAAACATGTTTACAGTGGACGGAAAATTCACAAATTGACTTTTGGCACAGCTGATGTCGCGTTTGGAACTTCGAGAAATAGCTATTTTCAGACAATTACCTCAGAGAAAACTTGAAAGTTCGTCGTTAAATTTTTAACACCCCAGATCATTCATCTAGAAAAAAACGAATGTCACGTGGAAAATAAAAAAAGATTCGAAAATAGTATATCTGGCGGATTATTCAAGGATTTGAGCATGGAAAAAAAAAAACAGGGATGATGAAAATAAAATAAAAAGAAGATAATAAGAAAAAAATTTTTTTAAATTCGAATTTCAAATTGAAAACCGGCAAAATGTGAAATTAAAATAATATACAAGTGTAAATAAACGATTTTTCTTATTTTTGGTGTTTTTTTCGGAGTTCTAAAAAGATAATCAGGCAAAAAAAGGCTTCTGATACCGTAGAAAGAGCCATTTTTCGGCACGTGCCCATGTTTAAAAAAATAGACTAAAGCTTGTAAACAAAAAAATATCGGACCCTGATTCACACTTTTTTTCTTATTGTCCATTTCTTTGTAATTGAGCTAATAATCTCAAAATATCCTACTCTGAAACAAATACGCAAAAAATAGTTGAATTAACTTGAAATAGAAATGATTGAACTATCTTTGATTCCTTCTGAATTTTTCTTTTTTTTTTCGAATAAATTGACACGCTTCATAACATCCAACCGAAAACATGTATCCAAAAATATGAGAAAGCTAATCAAGCCCAATCGAGCGCAAAAAGTAGAAAAACATGCACAGAAGGATATCGAACGGATGTTTTGGGCCTAAAAATACTGGGCGAAGAGCCAAAAAGGCTTGGCGTCCGAGCCGCGGCGGCCGAAATAGCGTGGCGCCGCTTGGAGGGTGTTAGACGAAAATGAGCTTTTCCTGTCTGGCAACGTGCCAGCAAGTTTTTTTTTTCCTGAGGGCAGGGGCTCGATTTCGGCACGTTTAGATGTGAATTGAAGGGTAAAATAAACAATGCGACGTTCATAACTGTTTTATATCGGACAAGGGGTTTGAAACTTATTTAAACTTTTAAAAAAATGAATAAATAATAAGCAGGATTTTTAAAAAGAGAAATTTTTTTATTTTTCTTAGCGCTTTGCTTTCAAAAAAAGTTTTTTTAAGTCGGCTTAATTACGTGAGAACAGCTCCATTGATATAATTATAGAATTAACAAAGATTATCCCTTACATACGATTATCCCTTACATAAATAAACGTAATGAAATTTTTGAAGAAAAGAAAGAGAACACGTACTTTTGACTAAATTATTTTTCCAGGTGAGAATGATTTCAGTCAATGAAGTGATAAAATAAAAACACAGAAAAGTTTAAAAAGATAAAATTTTTAAAAAAATTACGTGGAAAAAAAATTGAAAAATTACGTCAGGGGCCTGTGCCAGTTTTCAGTGCGCCGTATGCTCCTTTAATAACGGTTTTCAATTTCAGTTTTTTTTTGTTTTTTGGTTTTTTTTCTAAATTCTTCTTCATTGTTATCATCCTCTATTCTCGGGATTTTTTGAATTCAGTTCAAGTTTGAAACAATGTTTTCCTACAGTAATTTTTTAACATCTCAGACGAATTTCCACCTTATCACTAATTTACTTTCGCGCCACAGTGATAATGTTTTGATAACGATTTTGTTTTTTATAGCGTAGGGTGAAAAAGTTTTGATGAAAAAAAAGGTGGTCGGACTAATAATTTTCTGAGTTTTCTCGATGATCATTTGTTCTGCTGCAGAACTTCTGCACTTATTTTCTTTTCTTTTGTGTTCGGAGCTTCCGTTTGTTTAAAAGCTTTTAAGATTTAAAATACGACGGAAAGGTGGGCGGGGATTTCTTGATGGTCCGTGGAGCGCAATTGCATTTTTTTTCCGGTGGCTGGGCCAGTTGTTCTACGTTTCACACGCAATTCTCTCCTATCTCGTATTTCATGCATTTTATTTCGCTTGGAAGTTTCAATTAAATGTAATTTTAGACCTTCTTGCATAAAATAGTTATTTTCTAGTTCATTTTTATTTATCTTAATCTACATTTTCATGATTTTTGAAGTTTTTATTTGACAGTGCAGTAAATAAAAACACATGTCATGTTTATCCATATAGTTTTATACAGTAAAGGCGTCAAAAGGATCGCTTGAAAAGCATTCATCATTTCTAATTTCTTATTAACTGCCGTCGAGAGTTGCAAGTACAACCCCTTCAGAACCATCAAAATGCCGTAAGATTCATACATAAAATTTATATTTATAAAGTTTATATATTTTAAAGTTTTCTTATTACAATTTTATTATTCTTCAAAACTATTTATTTAAAATTGAAGCTGACTCGAATACATTTGAATAAGACTTTCGTAAGATGGAGAAAGCGTCGTAAAGTTGCCAAAAAGGTCCTGACCTATTTCGCAACATTCTTTCTTTTTTGACCATTTCAAGATAAAGGAGTCTGACTTTTTCTTTTGAGATTCTTAGATAATTACTTTTTTTTCATTTTTCGGGATACTCGATCAAAAATCATATGTATTATTTTGTATTTCTTCAAGCCATCACTTGTAAATACGACAGAAATTTCCTGCTTTGAATAAGTTTCATCAAAAAAAGAACACTAATCAGCCTGATTCCTTACTTTTCTACCTCCTGGAAAAGAAACCCATTTTTTAATCGTTTTCGAATCCATTACATGTGAATTATTATATAATTGAACAAAAATCGAAGGTTCGAAATTGCGTCGCCACTGAAAAGAAGTACGCCGTCGCCGGAGGTGCCCGCGAAGCAGCCGCAAAATCTTTTTCTGGTTATGGCAAGCTTCCTCGACTTTCTCCAAGTCAACAAGCACAAGGTAAAGAGGAAAAGGGACAAGAAATGAGGGATACTTTCAGACCTTCCGACCGAAGAAAAAGTTCCCCCAGGGAACGTTGCGGTACAATCTGCACAAACAGGCCGAAGCGACGCTCCATTCGGGTCTCGACTTGAAAGCCGCCGTCAAACTGCCCAACAATGAGAATTTCGACGATTGGCTCGCAGTTCATAGTAATTTCATTTTTTTTGGGGAATTCTTCTCAAACTCATCATTATTGATTCTCTTCAGAACAGTGAAAAATTCATTTTTATAGTTGAAGAGAGTAATTTCATTAGAAATTTTGTTAAAAAATCCCTTATTCTAGATGTTTTCGTACAAGGAACGACTACATAACTTTCAGGTTTATGAAGAAAAAATTTTAAAACAGGAAACTTGTTTTCTGGAAGTTTTTAACAAAATTTTTTTATTGAAAATGTGTACAAAAAGGTGATTTTTTTTTCCAGCCGTTGACTTTTTCAACCGAATCAACTTGATGTATGGAACGATTTCGGACGTTTGCACCACTTCTTCTTGTCCGACGATGTCTGGGGGCTCTAGGTAACTTTTTGAGTGATTTTTAGGGTTTTCCATGAAATTTAATGGTTGTTTTGCTTGTTTGATTTGCTTCAAGTCAACAGATTCCGCGTGAAAATGATAAGAACCCTTTTCGGACTTTTCCTTTTTTTCAATATAACGGACTTTTGTAATATTTCTTAAATCTTCTATCAATTGATGAAGTTTTTCACTATTTTCCCTGTTTTTTCTTCTTATCTACACATTTTTGTTGGTTTGTTTACTTTTGCTATCTTTACTATCAGGCCTTCGATTTGATATGCAACTTTGAATTTCCCGCATTCTTCGAAAGATTCGAACTTTTTAATTTTTTAGATACGAATACTTATGGCAGGACGGCGCCGAGTACAAAAAACCCACACGTTTATCCGCACCCCAGTACATGCAGGTACCCTTTTTAGGCTTTTTTTCAGACTGAAAAATGTTAATTAGAAAGATTGCTTCAAGTATGGAAGTTATTTTTGAATTGTAGAAAAGTTGGTGATTTACAATATTTATTGGTTGTTTTAGTCAGATGGTATCGACTATTTCGAAATTAAATAAAGTTATAATGAAAAAAAAGAAAGTTGACGGCAACTTTTTAAAAAGCATTTATAAAATTCTTCCCAACCAGTTATGATCTTTTAACCAATAAAAATCATTATTTGGTAAAAATTTGCTTTTTCGAGGTCGATTCGGAAATTTTTCCATGTACTAGGAAATTTTTCAAGCGTTTTTTTCTCACGAAAAATCAAAAAAATATTGAATTTTACAAACCGGCCAAACAAAATCAAGAACTTGTTTAAAATTTTTGAAGATTTTTTTGAAATTTCATTTTTTTATCAAAATAGTTTTTTTCCAGTTGCTGATGGATTGGATCGAGATCAGAATCAACGATGAGACGATTTTTCCCTTCAAACACGAGTAAGTTGGGATAAATTTGAAGTTTCTGTGGTTTTTTTAACGTTTCGGAGCTCAAAGGAGGGTTTATAAGTTTTTATAATTTTTTCTTCAATAGATTTATTGTTAACAATGTAGTTTCAAGCGATTTCGACGTCAGTAATAGTTACTCTGACCGGATTTTCAGATTGAATTTTTTTAAAGCGTTGCTTAAGATTTTTTATTGATTTTTAAGGATCTCTGAAAAAAAATTTTATGTGGATTTGTCAAGATAAAATTAATTACGATTATTTTTTTCGATTTTCAAAGTTTTCTGACAGAGTTTTTTACGTTTTTGAAGATATTACAACGTTTGATGTGCAGGGTTTTGATCAATTTTCGTTTTCTTCGACCCTATCCAAACTTTTGCAGGCGTTCCTTTCCCGAAAGACTTTCGCCAAATCTGTAAAAAGATCCTGACGCGATTGTTCCGCGTCTTTGTCCACGTCTACATCCATCACTTTGACCGGATTCGGGAGCTCGGAGCCGTTCGTTTTTACCTCTTGAGTGGCCACTAGAGTTTTTTTCGCATATTTCTCTTTAGAGAGTTCGAGAAGTTACTAGTGTATTTAAAATCCCCATAGGAACCTCTAATAACTTCAAATTTCAATTATTTCGAGCAAAATTTTGAAAATTTCCCTTTTTCGCCATGTTTTGCGAGTTTTTTCAATTTTTTACAACCATCGCTTTTTGTTCTCAGCGTGCATTCCTTGTTTAGAAAACTTGGGACGATCTCACTAATTTTTCAACGAAAAGTACTAGCAACAAACATTTTTTTTCAATTCTTGTGGTGGATTGTCATTGGGGCGTGATTGATGGGGATTTTCGTTTTTCGATTCGTCGGCACTTTTGTTGGCGAAATGTAATCATGTGGTTGCATCAATCCATTTCGTGTTTCGCGGAAAAATGAGTTGTTGAAAATTTTTTTTGGTTGGGAAACATGATGGAAACTACTCAAAAAAAATATTTATATATATAACATAGAAGGGATCAAATTTTTCAATAAGCAGATTTTTTTAAAAACTTTTTTTCAGAAAAAGCTCAATTTTTTTAAACGGGCTTAAATATTTTTAGGATCTTGTACTGAAATGCGCTGATAATAATGAAATCTGTTCACAAAAGTTATATGAGGTTTAAAAAAATTGAAAAAATATTTTAAAGGAAGTAATATTGAAACTTTAATTTTTAGCCATATTTAATTTTCGAAAAAGCTTTTTTCGAACATTTTGTCATTTCCGAATTTTTATTCTTCCTGAAGACATTTTTCTTTGTAAAGTTTTCCACTGTCCTCAAAACAACGACACTTTTTTCCTCTTTCAAACTATCGTTTTTCATAACCCGACAGCTCGGAGTCGTTTTGCACGTCATATTTCCGTTCGCTAAGCTTTCTCGAGTTTGAAAAAAAAACGGCTTTTTGCCCCCCGTCATGTGTTGATTTGCGGGCGTTTGAGGTGCGTTTTCAGCTGAATTTCACGTTTGAAACCAGAAAAAAAACGCTGATTTTTTTTTTTGCGGGTCTTTGAGCGCTGTGGCAAACTAACTCGGTCTCAAAGTAAATATAGGATGCAGAAAAAGAACACTGAATTATTCAAGAGTGTGCGAAAATTGATTGACGAACTCGACGGCAAGACGATTTATTACACCTTCTTGCCGTATTTTAATTTAAGGAATAGGAAAAGAAGCTTGGATTTTCTTGAAAGAACAGTAAGGAAGTTTAAAAACTTGGGTTGAAAATTATGAGACCTTTATAGTTTTTAGGAGATTTTTTTCATATTTTTCTTTCGAAATAAAAAAAAAATTAGGAAAAAAGTTACTTACGTGAAAGTTAATTTTCTTAAAATCGGCCAAAATTCTTATCAATTTACCAAATTTAGTTTATTAAAGCAGGCTACTTTAAGGGTCATTAAAGGTAAAAAAAAAGACTTCTGTAACTTTTTTGATTTCGAAAAAGATCACTTAGGCAAACATTTTGGAATATTATCCTTCCTTTGTTGGAACATACAAATTCAATTTGAAGCTGTAGGTCACGAGAATATATCAACATAGATTTTTGTATTAGTTTAAAACATTTTCTGTTTCAGGAGCCCCACGCGAACACACTCTACAAGCATTTCTATTACTTTGTGACCGAATATGGCCTCGTCTCGACCAAGGAACTCGATGCCTTGGTTCGTTTGATTGTACTTTATTGAGCAAAAAAAAAATCATTTAATTTTTCGAAATATTTACAGAGACTTTTGTAGCTCAGAGTGAGTTATTTTCCGCTTTTCAATTGCTTTTGAGTGTTTTTCGGTTTTAAGTTAATTTGGATTTTTTTTTCATTAGCTTTTTCCGCTGTTTCTCCTGCTTTTTTGCATTCTTCTTCTGATTTTTCTAAAAAAATATTGGTTTAAGAATTTTTAAAGAGCATAGATTTGAAAAATGCTCTTTTGAATTGGCGATCTGTTTGATTAAAAAAATTCCTTTGAGGTATGAAAAAAATTTTTGAAGCCTTTAAAATGTCTTAAGTAACTTTTTCTGGCTTTCACAAGTAATAACTTAAGCAATAATTTTAAAATTCACTTGTAAAGGATAACTAAGCATGATAGTTTACGAGATTAAAGTGCTCTAAAACAGTGGTTTTGAAGGAAAAATCTTACGTGACTACTTTAGAGCCCATTAATATCAATATAGCCCTATAGGGGTTTTTCGAAAGGTTTTTTGATCTTATACGATTTTCGAAATCTTTGAAGGCCTCTCTGAAGTTTTTTTAAAAATCAATTCCATAGTTGCAACTTTTTTTTCGCTTCTTGCTGTAATTTTTCATTAATTTAATGAGGACTAACTATTTTCCTTCCAGAAAGACATGACGGAAAGGCTTCTGGACAGCAGCCAGTCCCGCCGAACTTACGGCGGCAGTCGTTGATTTACAGCCAATTCACCCTTTTTTCCCTCCCTACTCAGTTCAAAATTTCGTAAATTGCAATAAATTAGATTATTTTTGTCGAAAGCTGTCCATATTCTGCCTCTATTGTCTCGATTTGTATTTTTAATGTGTCCAAATTACGTTTTTTGAAAAAATGGTTGTGATTCTCTGAGGCATTCCCGATTTGAGATTCTTATTGTACTTCCCGTTTTATTTCTTCTTGACTTTGATTTTTAAAAGATTCTTGCCCATTTCCCACATACGCAAAAAATCTTCAGTTCAATGATTTTTGAGATGAAAACTATGCAGAATATTGTCTAGAATTATATATTTTTACCTTTCCATCATTTCATCATTTTTCTATGCAAGCTTGAACTGTATTTTTACCTCGATTATGAGTTCAAATCAAACTTTTTTATCGGTATTTTTGAAGTCGAAAAAAATGTTTTTTTCAAGCCCTTAACTTTCTCCAAAATCATGCCAAATATCAATCTTGTGGCTTATGAATCTGTGCTTTTGACCAATTTCCCCGAGTTTTATCGGATTTTTATTTTGAAAACTGTGGTTATTGAGATTATTCGTCTAGGTATCGCTTGCCGTTAAGAAAGGTCTACTTTCTTAATAATTTTGTCAACTTTGTAAAAATTTGGAAAAAATAATAAAGTTTTGAATTGAAATTATTTTCCTGTTTGAGTTTGTATTTAAATTTGCAAGTTTTATACTGTGGTTCAAGAAATATATTCAAAGTCATTTGAAAGTTTCTTCCTTTCCTCGTCCAACTCCTTCTGTAGCCTTCTCAGCTCTTCCTCCTTCTGTTCCAATCTTTTCGCCTTTTCCTCCAAGGTTTCTTTTTCTTTTTGAACGTTTGCGTTAGAGTTTCCGCTGGGCCCCTGGAAAGTTAGAAAACTTTGAACAGTTATTAATCTTCAAATTTATAGCTGATTCACGGCTAGCTTAGGACGAGGGGGCGTGGCTTGTCTGCGCTCTCCACGAGCCAGACAATGTCTCGTGCATTATCGTGTCAGGACCCTTTTTTGATGGCTCAAGCCAGCCGTGAATATATTCCTCGATTTTCTATGGTTTTATTAATTTTCGGACTTCTTATCTTCTTCTGAATGGTTAAAATTTCTAAAGTAACATCAATTTTCCCATGAAGCTTGGAGGAATTATTAAAATTGCTCGAAGTTTTTCGATTTTTAGCGTTCAAAATTGAAAAATCACAGGTTTCAGTACTTCACAAAAAGTCGATTCAAAAATAATTCAGAGCAGAGTTCGAAAAAAAAATTAGTTTTTTGACAATGTTTTTTGCAAAAACAGGATCAAAAAAAGTTTGGAAGCCATCGAAATTTGGAACTTTTGATCTTGATTCTTACATATTTCAAGGCTCGATTAATAAGTGAAAAATTTAAAAAATCTACCGAGAAGCTGTAAAGATTCTATATTTCTCAGGTAATCTCAAACATTTGTTATGCCCCCCAAGGTTGAAAAAAAGAAATACCGCTCCAGTAGGCATGCGCTGTAGAAGCATGGACAAGTAGCCCATGAAGATGGCTTCGCAACCGCCGGACCTCTTGGCCAATTCAAAGGCTGTCTGTTTTCTCTTAAAACCTTCTTTCATCAGAAAATCAAGGCGTAGTTCACTGACCTTGTTGGGAATGTTGATATCAGCTCCGCCCGTCAATAAAGCCTGAACGATTCCCGTATGGCCCTTTTCCACGGCGAGATGCAGGGCGGTGTCTTCGTTCTGAAGTTGAGAATTTTCCTATAGTCCAAGGTTGTCACGAGTTATTTTCCCTCGAGGCTACAGGATCCTTCGCTGTAATGTGAACAGACTGTCTCTGTGCGTGCGCCTTTAATTTATTTATTAAAGGCGCATGATCAGAGACAGGCCGCGCGCATAGAAGGGAACCATCCCCGAAGGGTTCTGTAGTTTGGAGCGGAAAAGGCTTTCCAGAACAATTTTTTCAGTGAAAAATTGATACAATTTATTATCTCGCACCAGCTTGTGTTGATTTTCGTTTCCCTCCGAGCTAGAGAATCATTTTTTCGAAGCTTTCTCTGCCTGCGGATCTTATAGTCCGTCCACCGCGACTTGACACTTTTTGCGTGTCTGCGTCTATCTGTTCCCTCACCGGCGAGGTCACAGAAACGCGAAAATAGCGCGTCAACAAAAGAGGGTCACCGAGAGACGAGGAGGGCGCAGAGAAGTTTTTCAAGTCGGGAAAAAGGACTACATTTGGCCTATGACTTCAGTTATATTAAAGGCGCAGGCAGATATAAATATCGCGCCCTTCGAAGGGAATTTAGCTCAAAGGAAAACGGAAATCGTGACGCGGAATGGGCTATAAAGGTTCGGAAAAAGTTTCCGACGTTTCTTTAACCTGGATTCGAATTCCTTAACGTAAGAGCCTTTTGACCGGTCATTTTTGTCTCTTGAAAGCTTTTTGACGTGTAATTTGAGCAGCAAATTTTATAGTTTTTTTTTCATGAGTTCGGTGTTTTCTTTCAAAAGTCAAGAAGTGGATTTTAAATATTCAAAAGTTTCTTACTCGATTTTGTCATTTCAAACAAAAGAGCCATTTTTTGGTTCGCAAGAAGCTCCATTTGAAAGCCTACCTTATCTTTTCGATTGACGTCGGCTCCTTTTTCGATTAGAAGCTTAGCAGCGTCCAAACGGCCATAGTAAACCGCCGCGTGTAGCGGAGTTTGATCATCCTGGAAATCTTTGTTCAAATGGTAAGAAGTAAAATCCCAGCGTAATAATTAAATTTGTTGTTTTTGTCAGATGTAATCGACTAGGCGATGAACAAGGACTTTTGAAATATATTCTGTGCCACGACTTGAAATTTCACGGAACGACATTCCGCTGTTCCGCTGCGTGCGACTACACGTTTGGACTTCTAGTTCGCCAAAGGCGGTTTCTATATGGCTTTAAAAGTCTTTTTTTCACCGCCTAGATCTGACTAAAGTTAAAAATTTGAAGCTTTTCTTGTGATTTTCGACTGACCTTGTCCAAAACGTTTATATTGCATTTATTATCCAGCAAAAGCTGAATAGTGGAACAGTGGCCTCCCGACGCTGCAAAGTGGAGAGCAACCAGGTCATTCTGTAAATAAAATATTTAAAAATTAATTCAGTGTTCAGAAGGATATTCATACATAGGCAAAGTCGGAAAAGGTGGAAAAAGGCTCCTTTTTTGCTGCCTTTTACCGCCATTTTCTCGGCCCTTATGCACCATTTTTGCTACCTCTCACTTTCCACCATTTCTTAGGCCTTCAAAATCCCAGAAAAAAATGGAAGGCTCGGTAAAGGGACCCTTTTTGCTGCCTTTTTTGAGCCTCTCCCCTTTAGCGGCCATTATCTACCATTCCGACTTTGCCCGAGTTCAAAGAAGCCGTCAGAGAGTGAAAAAAAGATAACAAGATAAAAAAATTTTTGGATTTTTGGAACTACTTTGAGAATTGCAAAAAGGACAGTTCTAGATATAGAAAACTAACATTGTCTTTTTTTGTTGATGTCATATCCTTTTTTTGATGAAAAAAATCGACGACTTCAATCTTTCCGTTGCTCGCCGCGTCAATAAGAGCCGTTTCGCCCATCTAAATTCTTTTTTTTTTCGAATGAATTTAATTTTTACAACTTTATATATGGAACTCTGGCTTATGAAGGCTAAAAAAAGCTTTTTTTTAAATTTTTTTTTTTGAAACGCGACCAAGAGGCAAAATAGAGTTTTTAGTGGCCATCTAAGTGTCCTTGAGAAACCTCTTAAGGGACCACTAAAATTTCTCTCAGTCTAATTGAAATGAAGAATGAACATAGTCCGTTTTTCGCGACTTGGTAGTTTTGAGTGTCTGCGTCTCTCTGTTCCCTCACCGAAAAAGTCAGAGAAAAATGAAAAGAGCACGTAAACAAGAGAGAGACGTAGAGAGACGAGGAGGGCGCAGAGAAGTCGCCAAAAACGGAGTATAAAATATTCTGGGAAAATTTTTAGTGGCCACTTTAGGGTTTTGAAGTGTTAGTGGCCGCTATAGAGGTCTAACTGCTACTACTAGACCACTAAAAATTTTAGTGGCCACTTTAGGGGTCAATGGATCAACAGAACTGATCCAACCTGTTTGTTTTAAAATTATCAGAGTTACTGGAAGGAATACTGGATGAAAAACTACTGAAGTGGCCACTAAGTGGAGAACCTCTATAGTGGCCACTGAAACGGAAAAAAAGTGGCCACTATAGAGGTGGGTTTAGTGGCCACTTCAGTGTCATCTCCCAGTAGTCCTTGGTGAACCTCTATAGTGGCCACTAACAATTTTCCCAGTTTACACCATTTTTCTCCGTTTATTCAGTTCTTCAGCGAAAGTATATCTTTGGTCTCTACTCTCAAAGTTTCAATTTTTAAATACAGTGTTTTTTTTTTTTGAAAAAAAGTTCAAATTCCACATTTTTCACATGAGAAAGGATGTAGTCCCCACCGATCCAACATTATTGAAATCGGCGCCTTTTTCGAGAAGATACGAAACACAGGAAACGTGTCCATTTTCTGCTGCTAGTCTCAAGGCTGTTCGGTTGTGCTGCAATTTAGAACTTGATAATATTTAAATAAGTTTTAAAATATTATTTTTTTCTAACTTCTTGGTTATCTTCGAGAACAAATAATTCTGCGTCACGCAAGGGATATTTTTTTCTCGAAAAGTCGATTATAAATGGGATAATGATATGAATCTACTTTTTTTGTTTAGATTTTCAAAAAAAGCCTCCTGAATTTAAAAGCATCGTAGTTTTTTGTTTCTTAATTTCAATATCTGGAAAAAAAGCCACTTTTAGAATTCGAAGAGGCTTTTAAAACCAAAACCCACCAGATCCTTGGCTTCAATGTTGGCTTTTGCCTCGAGCAGAACGCAAAGGAGCTCTAAATGTCCTCTGAAGGCGGCTTTTTGGAGGGCGGTTTGTTGGGAGAAGCCGCCAGGAATCGCGTCGACTTCCATTCCTTCGCTCAGATACCGTTTCACCACGGCCAAGTTGCCTCTTTCAGCGGCATCCAAGAAGCGAGCGATCTGAAGATTCAATAAGAATGGAAGAATGAAACTAAAGTCTTTAGCCTATTATTGATCACTCTTTTTTGATCTGAAGGCAATAAATAATCTTCAGGTGAAGTTTTCGAAGTCAAGAGTTTTGCGCTTTTTAAAAAAATACCAAAAAAATATTTTTGTTAGGTTTATATATGCTACTTAACGCTACCTTCCAAAAAAAGTCTTACATAAATGTCAAGATCTTCTTTATGAATACCATTTTTTTAATATTTAAAATAGTCTCTACTTTTGCCTCAGGCCTTGTAATATTTTTTTCACTGATTTTTTTCATATACTACCTGAAGTTTTTTTATAGGTTGTAAAAATTTCATACCTCTTCAGGTACAGCTTCTGAGGTTTTATAAATGATATATGCCAAGTTCTTTTGAGAATTTAGGGCTTATGAGCCTAAAGGCTTGCTAAAAATCTTTCTTTTGAGCCAATTTTCGTTAATCGTTCAGAGCTTGTCTAAATTATGCATTAGGCCGAGGCGAATGGACTAAATGAGCTTTTCATCGATTTTCCTATCTCAAAAAAATAAAAAAACCAACCTCCTGTCTGCCGAAGAGACTCATTATGAATTTTCCAACTTCTGCAAATCTCTAACGACGCAAAAAAGACGTGAAAGATCAGAAAAACAGTGAAACGAGTCCCTTTTAAGCGTATTTATCGATAGCTCTTATCAATCGACCTTTCGCGTTTGCCGTCGATTCGTCACGTTTTGCAAACATTTTAAATGTCAAGGATTTGAGCTGTGCAGAAGATTTTTTCCTTTCGTAGTTTGGTAAAGCTACTGCGGGAAATTTCGCTAATAATTTGCAAATTGTGTGAAAATTGGTGAAGTTATTCATCGAAAATCTTGATTTCCATGAAAACTACTGGGAAAATATTTAGTGGCCAGTATAGTAGTCAAATTAGTGGCGACTTAAGAGGTTGAAAATTAGTGGCCACTATAGAGGTCTAACCAGGAAACGTTTTTTACCCCCCCGGTTGAACTTTCGCTGAAACTTTGCTCGAGTGTACTTTAGGACCTCCTGATTCCAAAACAAGAAAAACATTTCTCGCAATAGATCTGGTTTCTGAGTTTTGGAGCTTCAAAGTGAAGTGTGCAAAATACGCAAATTAGGCCAAAAAAGCGCTATTTCGGGCTTTTGAAGTGTCCTAACTCGAAAACGAGATCTAATGCGAGAAATTTTTTTTCTTGTTCTGGAATCAGGAGGTCCTAAAGTACACTTCAGCAAAATTTCAGCAAAAGTTCAACCGAGGGGTAAAAAACGTTCCCTAGTAAGTGCTACTACTAGACCACTAAAAACTTTATTGGCCACTTTAGGGGCCAATGGATCAACATAACAGGTCCAATCTGTTTGTTTAAAAATTATCAGAGTTACTGAAAGGAATACTGGAAGAAAAACTACGGAAGTGGCCACTAAAACGGAGAAATGGCCACTATAGAGGTGGGTTTAGTGTCCTCTCCAAGTAGTCCTTGGCGAGTCTCTATAGTGGCCACTAACAATTTCTTTGTGTCCTCTCCAAGTAAGGCGAGCCTCTTTAGTGGCCTCTGTAGTGGCCACTAAAAACTTTCCCAGTAAAAGGAAGAAACTTCTCTGGGTTGCTTCTCTTTGACGCCGTGTTCAAAGTGAACCCCCGAAACTATGAAAAGCCGTCAGAGAAGGAAAAAGATAACTAGATTATGGAGAGTTAGAGATAATATTGGATTTCGTAGAAATTTAAATCATTTCTTGTACATGTTATTTTGTTCTGCCTGTAAATAAATATTATTATTACATTACTTTTTGAAAAACCAGCTAATAAATATGTTTTCCGTGCTTGGAATTCTCTTCGAACAGCGCTTTTAGCAGTGAGGCCATTTTATTTTTTCCTTCAAAATACACATTTTATTGATAACACGGCTTTTTTTGTCAACAAATCCTTACAAATTCAACAAAATAAATATCGATTCAAAATCATTCCAACGGCGTCAGCACCACCATGACGCTGCCGATCGCCGAAGAAGTTACAGAGTAATTTCTCGGATCTTTTTTCCTTCTTCTGTCTTGAAGTTGGGCGATCGGACCCATGGTTTGATGTTCAGGTGGAATGGCTATTGCGGCTGTTTCCATATGGGGAGGTGGACTTGGAATAGTTTCTGAGATTGGTTGAGGCTCTGGTTGTGGAGAGCCACTTTCTGGGGAAGAAAAAATAGCGCTGCTCTTTTTCGCGGCTGATTCTGGAGCTGGATGTGGAGATTCCACCACGGACGGCTCGATTGTCGAAGTCTGGAGCCGATTTTTCTTCTTGACCGCCTTGATATGTCGGTAGTTGACGCAGCAGCAGAACACGGCCGATCTAAATAAAAATTATTTTTTAAAAGTTGTTTTGAGGTTAAGATTCTATAGCCCGTCCGCCGCGACTTGATAATTTTCGAGTGTCTGCGTCTCTCTGTTCTCTCATCGTGGAGTTCAGAGAAACATAGAAACAACAGGCCATTATGAGAGAGTGTCCGAGAGACGAGGAGAGCGCAGAGAAAAGACGACGCGAAAAACGTAGAAAAGCGAATGACTAATACCTCCGCGTGCAAACCGTTTCTGGTCTGGCGCGACCCGTATTCGCGAAAAACGGAGTCTATTGATCATATCTGACTCATAAAATTTTGAAAAGAATTTTCAAAAAATGAAAGTTAGTATAGCCAATCCTTCCCGACTTGAAAGGAGAGATGGGCAGATTGGCAAGGGTGACGCGCTGCGTACGCGACGCGGCTCTTGGCGGGAACTTCATATTCATTTAAAAAAAGTGCAGAAAAAAATTTTTATTATGTATGAATTTTTGTCATTATTTTCGGTCAATTAACTTTTTTAAACCGTAAACGATTGAATGTTATTGAAAAACTGAAAGAAAGTGGGTTTGAGCTGGAGTTTCGCGCCAAAAGCCGCGTCGCGTACGCAACGCGTCACCCTTGGCAATCTACTCATCTCACCTCCCAAGTTGCACTGCGCATTGTTTCATGGAAATTCGAAGAAAAAATACTGGAAATATTTTGATTTTTGATACGAATCACTTGCCACACACACACACCTATTTTCCGTTAAAAGTTCAGAAATTCTTTGAATATTCACTATATTTTTTTTTCTAAACTTCTTTCAATATTATTCTTACACTAACCGATAGGCTGGAAGGATGAAAAACACAGAGATGGACAAAAATATCGGTACAAATGATTCGAGCGACGAAATAACGAAATGATACGTTATCCAGTCTGGTGTTGTCGGGATGTGGAGTAGAGCTGGAACAGTGTGCTTTTTCGATTTTTATGATGAAAAAACCAATTTGCGGGATGGTTATGAGGACAAGGACCAAGGCGAAAATGCAGGCCCAGAAAAGTCGGGAAGAGGCGTTGCTGACAACTCCGTTGGCGGCGGTCAACTCGTCCGCGGCTTCCAGTTGCTTCCATTCCGAGTCTTTTTCGCTTCTCCGCTCGAAAATGAACATGAACTGGAAAACAGTCTTATTGCTATATTTTCTGCTCAATTTGTTTTCTTGAAAAATCCTCGAGACTTTCCTAGAAAAGAAACTGTTTATTGGAATCTCATATTAAATCTCATTTTTCGCGATCTTATTTTTTAACATCTTTTTATTTCATAAATAACGTAGGGTTTCTTCTATTAGATTGGTAACTAAGTTTCCGATATTTTTGGTGTAATCAAACTTTATTACTTTTAGCAGGGGAATAAAGGAGCAAACCTCAGAAATATTCTCCATGAGCATCTATGGTCTGTTGCCTTGGGCAGAGCATGAATGCCCTGCCTTCAGAACGTGGCAGACTGTGCCTTAAACCAGTTGGTAAACCAGCGTCTGACTTGCTTCTTGTCGTCGAATTTCTGCCCCGGTAGGTCTCGTTGAAGGTGGGAGCAGAGGTGATAATCAGAAGGGGCGAGGTCAGGGGAGTATGGTGGGTGAGGTAAAACATGCCATCCGTACGTCTCCAACCCAGCCTTCGTCGATCGGGCTATGTGTGGTCGAGCGTTGTCATGTTGGAAGTAGATAACGGCCTGATTCCCGCGTCTGTTTTCGTTGCCGAGTCTCAGTTTTTGCAGCTGACCAGTGTAGGGGTTGGCGTTGTTGTACGACACTTTTGGTAAAAGTTCCCAGAACTCCACGCATCGAGCCAACCACCAGATCGACAGCATGACCTTTTTGGCGTCTGGATCCGGTTTAGCGACGTCTTCTGCTTTTCCATCTTTTTCTACTCACTGAGGACGGCTCTCACAAGAAGTTCATTCAGCAAAACGTGGGAGCTAACCAAAAACACACCTCAAAAGTATCGGGAACTTAGCTACCAACTTTACGGCAAACTCACCACTAGAATTTCCAGCAGAAGGACGATGGAAGCGACGGCTTGTGCCGCAAAAACCAACAGAAGACCGTTCATCTCATCGAGAAAATAGTGAGACAGACAGACAAATGCGATTTCCAGAAGAAGGAGGACACAAAAAAAGATTCTGAACTGGTGAGAATTCCAAATTTTGAATAAAAAACGGTAAAGAAGTAAATAAATATCAACAGGAGCGAGAGATCACGGCTATCTGAAGAGACGCGAGAGAAAGAGAGTTTCTTCATCTCTCTGTCGGTCTCTCTTTAATTGCTGATCTCTCACTTCTCTCACTTTCTCTTGATCTTGCAAAATTTGGTTCCGCCTGAATTCCAGAGTGATCCCTAGAGGGGTCCGAGAAAAAAAGCCCTTATAGGGGGATGATCAGGGCTCCCTAGAAGGTTAAATTTAAGTGGCTCCTATAGCAAACTTCAGTGCTTTCAGAGTGGAAAGTGAAGTGACCCCTATAGGGGAAACATCAAGTAAAAAGATGACTAGATTAATTTATCCTCGGTTACTATTTTTTTCATTCAAAAAACGCTAATTTATTGATTTTCCGCATTTCAAGGGCCCCTAAAGTCGCCCCTCTAGGGATCACTCTGATGTTTCTCAAAAGGAAGAAAAAGAAGAAATTCTCACGTCACGAAAACAGGAGAAATTTGACGACGTCGATGGGCGACATAAGCACACATTCCGAGATATGCGATGGTTCCGAGAAGAATCGCGGTAATGAATATTTGGTTGACGATGCTGTTGATCAGCCAGAGTCTGAATCGGAATCCATTTTGAGAAGTTCGAAAAGAAAGCCCACTCATAGTCCAAACTGTTGGTGAAGAAAGATACAATGCGACAGATTTTCTGAATCATACAAGGTAGGTAGACTTTGGATAGGTAAGTGGTTGAGAAGTCGTTGAGGATGAAGGAAGAGACGACAAAGTGGAAAATGGACAGGATGTTGTCGACGACGAAAAGACCCAAGGAGATTGGACTGTCTGAAAATGTCGGAAAGGGTGGAAAAAGGCTCCTTATTGCTGCATTTTTGCGCCCTTTCATCGGCCCTTATGCACCATTTTGGCCGCCTCTCTCTTTTTCCACTATTTCTCGAGCCTTTAAAATCCCAGAAAAACAGCCTTTTTTCAGCCTTTTTGCAGCCTTTTTGCAACCTTTTTGCAGCCTTTTTGCAGCCTTTTTGGGGACTTTCTGCGGCCCTTCTGCACCATTTTTGCCTGCCTATCCCTTTTTTCAGCATTTCTTGAACCTTTAAAATCCCAGAAAAATCGAATGCTCGATAAAGGGACTTTTTTTGCAGCCTTTTTGCCACCTTTTTGCTACCTTTTTGGGGCCTTTTTTGAGCCTGTTCCTTTTAGCGGCCATAATATCCCATTCCGACATTGCCCGAAAAGTGGGGGAAATTGAGAATGGTTCCAATAAGCCTTTTTTTTTAGCTAATCAACCACGTCTAGAGGATATTGGTCGCATGGAGAATGACTCAACGATTTTTTTGAACCAGAGAAAATTTGAAAAAATTCAGAAAATTAGTCAGGAAAATTTCTGAACTCAGTGGGACTCCCGGAATTGGATAGTTTATTTTGCGAATTTACTTTTTTTGGCTAATTTTAGTGGAAGTCACAACATAAAAAGTCACAACATAAAAAACGGCCCATCAGAACATTCGTTAAATCTTCAGGCCTTTCGTTTATCAAAAAATGCATTCAAAATCACTCACTTGGGGCCAAAATGGTCGAAATCTGCGTCAAGAAGGCGTTCTCCTTCATGACGACGTCGTCTGGAGGAGCCCATAGCGCTTCTGGCGCCATCGACGTCGTCAGAATCACAGAATTCGACGTCTTCATCACCCGTCGTCAACTTCCCATTTTTCCAAACATTTCCTGCTTCCCCCAAAAAACGTCTCCAAACTTGCAGCTGCCGTTTTGTTCTGTTACTATGGTAAAAGCCAAGTGCAGATGTTTTTTTGATGATTAATCATTAAAGAGGTCGAAAACTAACACAAAAAAGTCGCTTTTATTTACAAAAATGGAAAAAATTTATGCATGAGGTTTAAAGATTATTTGAAGGAATCTGGAAAGTTAGTACTTCTTTTGGTAATCGGGATGTTCGGCGGAATGGTTGAAGGATTTCGAGCGGCTGAAGCTCGTCACGCTTTCTGGAAAAGACGAGAATTTTTAACTTTTTCGAAGTCCGGTGTATGGAAAAATTAAGCTCTTCAATTTGGAAAAAAACAATTTAATTGACAGAAGCCTTAAAAAATACCCTTTCACCAAAAAAGTCATTCATTTAAAAAAAAACCTCGTTTTGTGTTGTCGACACTAGGCTTCAAACCGTCTTCCCCATCTGCAAAATCATATTTATATTTTCAAATAAAAAAGAAAAAAACTCACCCATTTCTACGAGAAAAGTGGGATTGGTGTAGTTGGGCGACAAATGATCTTGTCGGTTTGAGATTTCAGAAGAGCATCGATCTCTACCGTAACCATTCGGAAGGTCCAGAGTACTGTAAAAATTATTTTTGATATTTCTTCTTCGGTTGCTCCAACACGAATTTTTTTTTCAAAAGTCAAAGATCAGCATCAAAAAAATTATTTTTAAAACCATAGCGAAATATCCCTTGTTCCTAAACGCATACCCCAAAAATAGCATTTGTCTAAATTTTGAAGCATGATAAAAAATGGAACAACCGTGGAATTCTTTTGATGTGCCGACTGGACAAAAATCAAGCGTTAAAAATCGCCTCGTGCGAAATTTTGGAGCAAAGTACATGGAAAAGCTGATAATCTATAAATTTGGCAGAAAATAGCTCCGAAAAACATTTTCTGATATGTTACGGTAAGCAAGCGTACTGTACGACATTGATACGCGATACGCGAGCACCGGCAGTTCAACAAAAATTTTTCAAAAATTTTTTTAAAAAAAGTTTTTTTGAAGTTCTTTTTTTCTTTTTTTGATTATATCTAGCATGTTCGAAAGTATTTGCTAGTATGTAAAATATTACTTTTTGCCTTTAAAGCATCATGAAATTTGTATACGATCTTGAAAAATATCGTAGCGCTTAGCAAGTGTTTCAAAAAATATTACTTAACGTGTTTAATTTCATTGTGTTCATCCTGTTTTTGGAAACTTCAAGAAACTTGTTCAAATTTGTGTATTAGAATATTTCTCATTATCAAGTCGTTATGTTGCATTGCTAGATGTTGATGTACAACCTTTAGTCACCTAAAAATTAAAATTTCTTTTATTTTATTAATGAGCTGTTAAAGTGATGAAATTAAATTTTTCCCAAAATATTTGCAGTTTGCTTCATTTCATTTCTCAATCACGTGATCTTCTGTGAATCTTCGCATATACTTGACCTCTAATCTTTTTTCTCGTTCAAACTATCAAGCAGGTTGAAAGGTGGCAATTTCGCAGGTGATAAAAGTGCCCCAAAAGACAAACTTTGACGTCCGCCGTCGGAACAAATTGTTGATGGTCGTGCCAAGAACGCTTGTCGTCGAATTTTTCCGTTGCATCGGTGGAGATCTGGAAAAGAAGATTGAAAAACTGTTCATTTCAGAGAAAAGGGAATACCTATCGTTTTTGACGACAGAAACTGTGGTGGTTCCAGTTCTTCTCGCCGGATTTTTAGCGTATCTATCGTGTCTCTCATTGGTCGGATGTGGTACCATGGTGTATTCGGTGACTTCGGGAAGTCTGCGAAAGTTTGAATGAAAAAAGGTAAATAAGTTTCAGTCGAAGCGGCTTCTCTTTTCAAGGTTTTCAGAACAAAAAAAATTTTTTAAGCAATGATTTTTTGATATATAGTTTTAGAAAACTTCGGTAAAATGTATTCAAAATCAAAGAATTAAAAAATTGAAACCAATGTATGTGATATTATACAGGACAATAAATATCAAATAAGTGTCTTTTCAGTATTTTTGGCACAATTTTGTTCATTTTTCTTGTCTGAAGTTTTCTCCATTGTTTTGAACCCTTTTTTTCTGATTTTAAACATCTTTCTTCGCTGTTTGAACCCAATTTTGCTCTGATCATCATTTCCAAAACTCACACGGCATTCGTAGCACTGCCCATGTAGAAGTTGACGTTCTTTTGAGCGGCTTCGGAGGAATAAAGCGGAGATACGGTATCATCCCAGAACATGTCTTTTCTGATCTCCGGAAGATCGTCATAAGAATCGTCAACGGCCGCCATAGAAACTGTCAAGTTTCTATCGATCAAGAAATTACAATCGAAATCGTCGTCGTCTTCTCCAAACGGATTCAGAAGGTCCATCGCTACCTAATCAAGGAGAAGCTTAAAATTTCCGTGGTTTCCGGAAAAAACCTTAAGCCATCCCATGTAGAAAAGGAACTCGATGATTGTCATGAACGGAATCCACAAGTCGATCTGGAGAAGCTCTTCTTCAACTTGAGATTCAAAGCTTGAACCTCGGTTGAATTGACGGCTTCTGGTCGGATAATGAACTGTCTGCCAATCAGACAAAGCAAGAAATAGCAGTGGACAGCCATGAAAACGAGTTGAGGATACCTAGAAATCTTTAAATCTTCATCAAAACTTGAAGTTTCTCACATAAGTGGAAGCGGCACCCAATCATAAGTCCAAATAAGTGAAAGACCCGTCCTGAAGGTTCGAATTTCCTGAATCCCTTCATAGAATAATTTATAAGGTGAGCCAACCTGAGCAACAGCGTCTCTTGGAATATCGCCATCGATTCTTCCCTCTTTCTTGGCCAAATTGAGCAAATGAAGCGCCCAGTTGAATCCTAACCAGTACTTGGCGTATCTGAAAATGGCAAAAACGTGGGGAGGAGTCGAACTTGGATACCTGGTCTTGACGTCGTTGAACTTGTGGAGTTCGTGGGGCATCATTATGCCGGCGGCAACCATGGTTTCCAATGTTGGGAACCTTTTTCGGACTCCGAAATGGATGTCGCGGAAGACCATCGTTTGGGACATGACACAGTACCTATAAAGTTTTTTTAAAGACTTTTTATTGATTTATTTAGGGACCACAGACCTATTTTTCGAACTTAAGCTAGCTCCTCGTTTTTGTTATAAAAATAATGATTTTAACATGTAGTATGCGAAAACAGAAAAGAAAAACGAAAAATATTAAGATTAAGAGGAGAAAACAATATTTAAAAGTAATCGAAAAGCAAAACTTTTTGCACTGAAATTTTGGTTTTGCGAATTCGCATGCAATCTGCGCGCACCCTTATTTGCAAGGTCGGCACGGTTTCAGGAGCCAAAAGAGAAGGTTTTACGAGCTGTAATCCCACTTTATCATCATTTTCGTCTCAGTGACTGCACAAAGACAGCCTACTGTGCTCTTTGAATCCCATAAAAATGTAATTTCGCCTACTTTTATTCACCTTTTTTTTTAAGAAAAATTTTTCGGCGATCTTGAATTTTTGATTTTATTGCTTTGTTTGTTTGAAAATTAAAAACTCTTATAAATGAGTAGGAAGAAACGCGTGTCCTCGACCGGGAAATGTTTCAAAACAACTCGCAAAAAATTCTCCAGCTTTTTTACCACTCAAAGCAGTACATTTGCTTGTAGTTGTCAACAAGTATTATTTGAGCAATGTTTTTCTCAATATGAAAAAAGCATAAACATCTTCCAATACTGCATTGCAATTGAGAAAACAATTTTTGACTTTGCGCGCCTCTCAATTTTTTCGGCGATCATAGAAGTTTTATTTTTTGGGCTTAAACAATTTAATTTACTGTTTATAAGTAGTTTTCAAAAAATCAACTTTGTCCGCGACCTATATGAATATCAAAACGCAAAACTAAGTTTATTTTTCGAACTCGCGTCACTATTCCGTACGACACTCCGTTGAAACACATGGAAAGTACCTAAAAACCTTTTCAACGGAAAGAGGAACCTTTTCTACATGTATGCTTAAATTTTCATCATTTTTCATTGTTTCTATCGGCTGTACGAAACAATCAAAAACGGAATACCAAAAAAATGGCCTTTTTTCCCTCGCGAAAAGGGGCGGGGCTTTGCGGTCGCTAGATTTATTAAGATTAACAGGAATAAAAAGAATGTAGGGGAGGCTCCTAGGTTTTAGAAAAAAGACCAGAAAAGGTGGAAAGAAAAAAATGAAGGATATAAGCTTAAAAATATTCTAAGCTTTTTCTATCACCTTTTCGTAAAATTTCTGATTTTCATACTCACCTAACAATATTTCTCCGGATATTTCTTGATCTTTCATCTCTCCCATTGACGTAGGCCGATGTAAACAGAGCAATGCTGAAATTTTTTTTTCCTAATTTTCCAATTTTTTCTTACTTGTCAATCATCCCCAAGTTTCCAAACTGCGTGGTCCATCTGTTACTGACAATCGTGACGAAAAATCCGAGCATAAAATTGACTGGAATGTACCCCATTCGCTTATTAATGAACAGTACGAATCGCTCGAATCCACTGAAAAATGACATAAAATAGATAGAGCTTTCATTATTTTTTTTTATTTTTATGATCTCATAACTGATTGGAACCGTTTTGAATCGAAAAAATATGAAAATTCATTATTATTTGAAATTTCCTCGTTCCATTTCCAGGAGCTGATATCGTGAGAATCAGTAACCAGCGGAAAAGTAATAAAATTTTCAGATTACCAGTCTATTTTTGGATCTTCTACCGATAATGCCTAGTGACGTTTCTCTAAAGAAACTCACTCTTGTTGCTTTTCATTGAGGGCGAATCGATAAATGATGGAGATGAAAAAGTAGAGGAAGCACCAGACGATAAGTTCTCTGAAATCAGAAAAAAATTCTTTAAAAAAAAACTAGAAAAAAAATAGAAAAAAAAATTAGAAAAAAATTGTAACTTATAGCCTGTGTACCACAGCTTGGAATTTCACCGAACGACATTCCGCTGTTCCGCTGCGCGCTTTTGCGATCCTAGGTCGCACTTTTGATTTTTTTTTCTTTTATTAAGGTACTCCACTTTAATTTGTACCTAGAGCGATAAAAATCAATTGAAAACGTGACCTAGACTCGAAAGACGCTTCGCGAACGCACGCAGCGGAACAGCGGAATGTCGTTCCGTGAAATTTCAAGTCGGGGCACACAGACTACATCGTCAGAAAAAATAATGAAAAACGCGACTTGGTCACAACTTTCTTGTAAGGGATTGAATATTTCTGAAAGTTTCTGAAACTTTGGTTTTTTCTCTGAGCTAAAACTACATCAGAGTATTAAAAATAAAAATCATAAAAACTCCAGAAAATATCAGAAAGATTGAGTTCCTGACGTGACCGAAACCCCATCTGACTTTATTTAAAACTCGTCCAAAAAATAAACTTCATAGTTGCAAGTTTGAAATGAACCAACCCATAAACTGCTTTCCAAATTGAAGACTTCCATTTAAAGATAAGCTTCAGCAGGATCTGAAAAATGAAAGATCAATCTCTTTTTAATAGTTTTTTTGCGTATTTTATTACATCCAATTTCTTGATATTTCGAAGAAAAAAAACTCTCTTTTCCATAAATTTTTAAAATAAGCACGAATGAAAATTAGATGAACTTTCCAAGTTCTAGTTTCAGAAAAAAAGACGAACCTTGCCCCTAGAAGAAGTCGCGATGTCGAAATGGTAGTTGTACGCCATTCCGAAACCTTTCCCGTCGTTTCAACCAATTTCACAGCTTCGATCTTTTCGTTCCGCGCAAAACCGTTCCAAAAAAGGCTGGACAGCGCCTCGGGGGGCGGCGAGGAATGAGCCTCATGATAACGCAATCGTGGGGCGAGCCGCTTTTACGAGCTTTTTGTGAGATTCCATCTGCGTTTCGTCTTCTGCCGACACCTTATGGTCTTTAAAAAACCTTAGGGATCCTGAAATAGACTTTTTTGGAAGTGACGACGGTAAAATTAGAGATCAAAGCATGGGGAGAGATATCGAATGGCGTTATCATGGGTGGGGGGGATCCATATTTAGTTTTTTTATAATGAAGCAGGGGTAATAGGTTTTTTTGTGAAGTTCTGAGTGGTTTTTTTAAAGTCAATTTTCATAGAGTAGCTGTTCTTAGAGACTGTTCAAGCTTTGAAAAAAATGTAAAATAATTAAAATTTTTGAAGTGTGTTTTTGAATTTTTTTCAGAGATCTCTGATCGGCTCTGATTTTCGTAATTTCTTCAAAAAAATTAAAAATTAGTATTATTATTGGTTCTCGAAGGCCTGGTACATTTATAAATATAAAATCGAAAGGTACAGCTTGATAGATATTACCGACCGTAAACGGAAAAAAATAGACACTTTTTTTCTCAAGATCTCAATAAAATATCATTTTTGAAGAGTTATAATCAAGGTTTTCGAGCTTAGAAAATCTCTAAATTAACGTTTCAAAAGTCTTGAACGAAGTTTTAGTTCTACGATCGTTTTCCCACAGTTTGAAAGCAACCGAGGGAAGCCAGAGTGGTCCCTGTAGGGTTCAGGGAAAAAAAAAATCAAAATGAAGAAGAAAAGTGGTTCCTACAGGGGTAAAATTTAGGTGGTCTTTTTGAGAGATTCAGACTTTGACCCCTAAACCTTAAAGTGGTCTCTATAAGGGCCTATCAAGTTTTTGCTATGAATAGAACGTTGAGAAGAAAAAATTGATTGATTATACTCTGTTGATTTTTTTTTACGTCCAAAAAAGCTAATTTATTTAATTCTTTTTTTGCATGGTAACTTTTGGGTTGCCCCTATAGAGGCCCTTCTGGCATTCCTAAGCATAAGAGGTTATAAAACGACATATTTTAATTAAAATAAAAAAGCGAAGCTCAATTTTTCCATCTAACTTTGAACCGGAACTCATAATCAGACGGAAATCTGCAAACTTACACGACCGGACAAGATGTTTTACGATGCTGATTATCAATCTCAGTTGGACTCATTACGCAGTTATTATCAATAGTTCGTCAGCTGATAACTGACAGGAGCTATTCGTGGAAGCAACTTGTCGTGGAAAATGTTTCCTACAGAAAGAAAAGTGGTCCAGGAAGTGAAGGTGAAGGCGATTTTTATAAAGCTGTGGATAATAAAATTGTGAGATTTATTTGAAAGATTGGTTCAAAGTTTCAAGGCGGATTCAAAAGCCAATAAAACCTTCAAAATTAGTGTCGTGTAAAAATTCGATAAAAAAAATACTAACTTCCTTCTTTTAAGTTGAACTTATATCGACACAGGCTATACCAAATTTTTTCCGACTCAAAAATTATTGGGAAAAATTGCTGTACGTATAACGGCTTCACGGTGATTGATTCAAATTAAAAACATCGGGTTTGGAAAAAAATTAAATTTTTTTATTTAATAAGGGAAAAGCTCAAGTATTTCTTTCTGGAAGCGAGAGTAGTTCTCAAAAATTCTAAGACCCCCCTCTAGACTTTTTTTAAAAAAACACAATGAGCTTCCATTTTTTTCAAAATTCGAGTGAAATTTCTAAGGATTTTTCTGGGAAAGTGATCGCTGTTTTTTTCAGAACGTCCCTCACTAGTAGAAATAAATTTCACGAACCTCGACATCTTTAAAAAAATTCATAACGCCCCCCTCTCCCCCTAAACCAATAACAGATCTTTGTGGAGCTCCATAATCTTCCCGAGAAGCTCTTATCTTCTAAATTTTAAATCCCGACACGCGACGCGACCGCAACGCGGCTCATTGACCAATTGCAGCTCCCCCTCGCTCCGCCCTAGTATTCATCGAACCGTTGCGTTCATTTTTTTCTAACAAGGGAAACTGTAAAGTGGGCTCACCCGTGTTATCGCGGCTCATTCGTCGCCTGGTCGTCGGACCGTTCTTTTCACGCCTTTTTGGGACTCTCCAAACAACCTTAAGTACTGATTTTGGCGCCTGGAACGGCGAAAAATGGCGTATAACTATCATTTCGATATTGCGACCTCTTCAAGGGGAAAGGTTGGTTTAGGAATGATTTTGGACAGAAAATTGGAGAGATCGAGTAGTCGAGGACGGAAAAATTGAATTTTTGAGGTCAAGAATGAAAAATAGATAAAAATTGAAAGTTAAACTTGATAAATCGGGTTTTAAAACCATCCATCAATTTATCAACATGTATCCAAATTTTTTTCTCAATTCCTCAACTTTTCAATACAATCACCGAAAAATCGAAAACTTTAGAAATTAATTTTCTTTTAAGATTTTGCTGAAACTTATTTTCAAATGGAAATCTTCGATATGGAAAGCAATATATGGGTTTGTCGCCTCCTTTTTTTTTCGAATATGATTGAATTTTTCAGAGAACTGATTGTTTGGTGTATGATGTATTTCTTTATTTCGATTATCTATAGATTTGCGTTGAGTCCAGATCAACAAGAGTGAGTGAATATCCTTCTTTTGGTCGCACTTGGAATGGCTCGAAGCGTTGCGGTCGCGTATATGATTCCCTATACTTCCTTGATGAAGTCGTTTCAAGTCGGGCGCGTCTTGAAACAACCGCTTTGCAACCTGAACGCCTTGAGCCATTCCAAATGCGGACATGAATATCTATTAAATCGGGGCATTCTCATTTTCCGCAATCTGTTTTTTTTTTTGGCCAAATCGACCTTTTTTTTATCCAATCAATATTTTCTGTCTCTTTTTCCGAAATTTCTGAGTTTCTGGAAACGCCCCTAGCGTCACAACCAACTCAGAGAATCCAAAAATAGTCCAATCACTTATCAATTTGGCTGACCCTAAAAATAGGACCACAATCACAGAATTTTACTACCAGCGGCTGATAAGTGATTCGCAACTAGAAGGCTCCTGGAAAATTGAGAAAAAAATTATCTTAGGTTTTCACGTACCTTGGAACGCCATAGTGGTCCCTATAGGGCTCAGGGTAAAAAACAGCAACAGGGACGAAAAGTGGCTCCTATAGGGGTAAAATTATGTGGTCTCTATCGGGGTTCAGGATGTTACCGTTACGGCCCTCAAGCTCAAGTGGCCCCTATAGGATCTTCAAATGGTTTTTTAGACTTCAAAACTACTTAGGTAAACTTAAATAGTTTTATCATCATCCCTTGATTTTTTTTATTCAAGTAAAGTTAAATTATTGATTTTTCGCATTTAAATGCTTCTTCTCAAAGAGTTCATAACGATAAACGAGCTTTAGTGGCCGCTATAGGGGACAGGGGTTAAGTTGTCCTAAAGGGGAACCTTCAGAGGCTTCTTAGGTTGCCCCTATAGTGACCCCTCTGGTGTTCCAACCTAAGCGTTCAGAAATTTTTAATATGTTTCGACTTGGAAACAAATATACAATTTCAAAAAATCTCTTTCATTTTTTCAGTGGATTCGAAAGATTTGTACAGTTTATCAATGCTCGAATGAAATATATTCCGATGGATTTTATGCTCGGATTTTTTGTCACAATCGTCAGTAACAGATGGATCACGCAGTTTGGAAACCTAGGGATGATCGACAAGTAATTTGAAAAGTCGGAAAAAAAAAGGAAAAAGGAAATTTCAGTATTGCTTTATTCACATCGGCCTACGTAAATGGAAGAGACGAGAAAGCGAGAAATATCCGGAGAAATATTGTTAGGTGAGAAGATTTTAGTAACTTGTAAATGCTCATTTCAAAGATTTATGAAATGCTCTCTGAGATTTTCGAAAATTTCTTGGTAGTTTTCCATTTATTTTCGAACTGAACTTCATAACACAAGTTTCTTTAAAACCATTAAAGTGGGCGGAGCCTGCCGGAACCTAGCGCCATAAGTTAAGAAGGCTGCATATTATCTGTGATACAAACCTTAGCTCCGAAAAACAATATGAGAACCGGTGATATAACGATAGCTAAAATCAGATTTCTAATAAGCAATTTCCTGTGAAAAAGTGGTCCGTTTCCCACTTCAAAAGATACTTTCAAGGTACTGCGTTTTGTCCCAAACGATGGTCTTCCGCGACATCCATTTCGGAGTCCGAAAAAGGTTCCCCACATTGGAAACCATGGTCGCCGCCGGCATAATGATGCCCCACGAACTCCACAAGTTCAACGACGTCAAGACCAGGCATCCGAGTTTGACTCCTGCCCACGTTTTTGCCGTTTCTAGATACGCCAAGTACTGGTTAGGATTCAACTGGGCGCTACACTTGGTTAACCAGGCAAAGAAAGAAGGAAGAATCGAGGGAGATATACCCAGAGATGCTATTGCTCAGGTTGGACGGAAAATAATAATTCATTGAGACAAGCTTTCTCAGGAAATAAAAAACTTCCGAACCGGTCTTCAACTCATTTGGACTTATGATTGGGTTCCGCTTCCCTTGATGTAAGAAATTGGCAGTTTCGAGGAAATTTTGGTTCTTTTAGGTATCCCCAACTTGTATTCTTGGCGGTCCATTGTTATTTTTTGCTTTGTCTGATTGGAAGACAATTTATTATTAGGCCTGAAGCAGCTAACACGACGGAGGTTTTTGGAAATTTCCAGACTTAACAAAAAAAAAGACTTAAGATTGATCTCTGGATCCCGTTCATGTCAATCATCGAGTTTCTTTTTTACATGGGATGGCTCAAGGTATCCAAAATGATACCATTTTCCGGAAATTCTTGATTAGGTAGCGATGGACCTTCTGAATCCGTTCGGAGAAGACGACGACGATTTCGATTGTAACTTCTTGATCGATAGAAACTTGACCGTTTCCATGGCGGCCGTTGACGATTCTTATGATGACCTTCCGGAAATCAAGAAGGATATCTTCTGGGATGATACCGTATCCCCACTCTATTCTTCTGAAGCCGCCAAGAAAGATGTCAACTTCTACATGGGCAGTGCTACAAATGCCGTGTGAGTATAGCTAAACCACGGCTAAATTGGCCATCGAAAAAAGGGTCCTGACACGATAGTAAAAGAGATAGCGCCTGGCTTCTGGAGAGCGCAGACAGGCCACGCGCCCCCCTCAGCTTCTCAAGATTGCCATGAAATTCTCCGTTTCACAAATTTTTCTCTTTTCAAAAATAACTTTTAAGAATCCCCGACGTCGCTGAATTCACGATGGTCCCTCATCCGACCAATGAGAAACACGACAGATACGCTAAAAAGACGGCAAGGAGGACTGGAACTTCCGTCGTTTCTGTACCTAATTTTGAAAGGTGGGATATTGATTCACCTTCATAGGAAATCCCTTTTTTCTGAGCCCATCTTGGAATCAAAAAACCTTCGGGCCTCAAAATTTATCTAACAAGCTACAAAAAATCTTTATAGCTCCTTTTCGACTTGCCTTGCCTGTTTTCTTGAGCTTTTTGGTATTCTTGCCCTTCAGGGATCTAACCAGGGAATGGTCTCCGGTCGCAGTGGGATCTCTCAATGAGACCAATTTTTCCAGATGTAGTTTTTCACGCTGATCTCAAATCTGGTCTTAAAAACTGCCGAAGAGCTCTGTGAAAAAAGTTATAGACCCTCAAAAGTCGAAAATTTCAGTGTCTCCGATTGAGCTCATTTTTGGAGGGTGTGTAGATCTTTGCTCCTTGCTGCCGTTGCTTCGACGGTCGCCGGATCGCAATAGGACACCGCGCTCGCAAGCTCTTGTGTGAGGCGGGGCTTTGAAACATCATATCTGGGCTCCGAAATTTTTTTGTGAAAACTTCGATGGTTTTTCTTGAACAGAGGGACAAGATCTACACACCCTCCAAAAATGAGCTCAATCGGAGACACTGAAATTTTCGACTTTTGAGGGTCTATAACTTTTTTCACAGAGCTCTTCGGCAGTTTTTGAGACCAGATTTGAGATCAGCGTGAAAAACTACATCTGGAAAAATTGGTCTCATTGAGAGATCCCACTGCGACCGGAGATCATTCCCTGGTAAATACCGCCATTTTTAAAACGCTGCAGAAAAGCTTTTTTGAGAAAAGTTGCGAAGGTGGAAAAGATGTTAAAATTTCGATAAAGTACTTTTTGAGACCTTTCAGCGGCCTTTCTACAGCCTCTCCTTTTTTTCTACCATTTTCTAGCCTTTCATAAATAACTGGGAGAATTTTTAGTGGCCCCTATAGGGTTTTGACGTTTTAGTGGCCACTTTAGTAGTCAATATAGTGGCCACTATAGTGGTCTAAGTGCTACTACTATAGTCTGTTCCGATTTCAAATGTCAAGTCCTCGCTGAAGCTCCGCCCCATAATGGCGCGATAAACCAATCAGAGAGCGAGCCATCCACAGAGCGTTTTCGAATGACGTCATTCTACTTGACATTCAAAATCTGAACAGACTATAGACCACTAAAAATATTAGTGGCCACTTTAGGGATCAATGGATCAACATAACTGGTCCAATATGTTTGTTTTAAAATTATCAGAGTTACTAGAAGTATTACTGGATGAAAAACTACTGAAGTGGCCACTAAATAGAGAACCTCTAAAGTGGCCACTCGAGAGGTTGGTTTAGTGGTAACTTTAGTGTCCTCTCCACTTAACGAGTCTCTATAGTGGCCACTGGAAATTTTCTCAGAATTCTTCTGAAATTGGACTTTAGAACTCCACCATCGCGCCGGAAAAACTCGACGGATAGTGTTCTGAGCACAACGATTGGCAATCTGTTCCAAAGACGGCCTACAGGGTATATATTTCAAAATATAAAAAAAATAATGTTTTTTTGAAGAGGGGTTCTGCAACAAAACGGCAAGGAAAGATCGGGTACCGGGGTTGATTACCTGACGCCGGCTTATAATAATCCAACAGTTTTAGTTGAAATCGGTTGGTTTTTCTTCTGAATATTCGCCGAGATTTGAAACTGTCTGCTTTCTTAGGAACGCTAGAGTGGTCCCTAGAGGGGCAACTTCAGGGGAAGTTGAAGGATTCCCTCTAGGGACCACTTTACCTCTCCCATGGCCATTAAAGCTTGAAAAAGTGGCCACTTTAGTGATCTTTTTAAGGACGTTTATTATAGCTCTATGAAAAGGATCAATGCGAAAAAATCAAGTTTCAATTTTCAAAAAAATTAAGACCTCTATAGGGATCACTTAAGATTTAGCGGTTTAGAGACCAGACTCTAGTCTCCTATGGGATCACCTTTACCCCTTTATGGAGATTTCCCTAACCCTTCTAGGGACCACTCTGGCGTTCTTAATTTAACTTACTTGCTCTTGTATGAGAGATAAGAGAGCCCAGAGAAGTCAGACGGTTTCCTATCGTGAATCAATTTTTTTAACAATTAAAATGGATTTTTCAGATGACGATAATCAGAAACGGAACACCGACAACACAAAGAGAGGTTTACTGGCAAATTTCGAAAAAGTTAAAAAAGTTCATTTTAGAAAGCGTGACAAGTTTTGGGAGATCGAAATCTTTCAATCATTCGGCTGAACATCCTGATTATCTGAAGAAATATTGATTTTTCAAAAATGTAAATAAAGTATTCAGTTTAAATTTCGTTGGTTTTTAATTTATTTGGGCTCTTACAGCTTTGTCCTGAATCCCAGAGCGAGCCATTCACAGAGCTTTTTCGAATGACGTCATTTTACTTGGCATTCAAACTCTGAACTGATAAGAGAAGGAGTTTTTGAAATAATTTATGTTGGTATACTCAAAAAAAGGTATCAAAGAGAACTTCAAAATATTTTAATTTAAAAATGATAGCGTTCACGAAATAAGTCAGTAGAAATAAGAGTCAGAGCTTGATCAGTTTTTTTTGTAACTCAATGTTTATTCGAGTGTTTATTTGCAGAAGGAATGCTCGATCTCACTAATCATTTAAAACAAAACTGTTCAAATATTTTCCACGATCTATTTGCTTTGAAACGTCATTGGTGATCAGCTCATGGATATCAGAAAAACAAATCACTTCTTTTATTAATCCCTGTTTCATTAGAAAACTTGAAATAAGAACCAGAGAGAGAAAAAGTGAAAGATTTGATGATCGATGTTAAAATTAAGAAAATGGAAACAAGAAAAAAATTACTTTCTTTATAGTTAGGGACCGCAGACGAATTTTCAAAAAAATTTTTTTCAGCATCGAGTTTGTATGGTTTGATAGCTGTTTCGATTTAAAAACTCAGAACCGTTTAGTTTTTTTCGAAAAAAAGGTTGAGGTTGAAAAAGTTATGACGAAAAATGTGGCGCGCCGCGCACCATTTTTTTAGTACTGAAATTTTTGGTATTATCCATTTTTTTGACATTTTTTTCTCGATTTTTTTCTTCTAGAACAAGTTTTTGATACTGGTTTATTATGATGTAACAAATCATAATAGAGTGCTAAAATAATGAAAATTTGCTAGTTTGCCGAAAAAGTCGGTATTTTCCAGAAAACAAAAAACTGACGCTTGCGGGTATCGAACTCGCGACCTCAAAATGAAAATTCGCAGCGCACGCGCTGCGCCAAGCTGTTAGGTCTGGCGAGGGGAGTTTCCACCCCCCTTACCCTTGAGCCGTTTGGATAGCACAGATTGCCTATTTTAAAAAGAAAAGTTTGAAGTAATTTAGCTATTTTTATCAGAATATGTTCGCAAATCTTTACCTAAACTTTCCGTGGAAAATTCACTTCGAAAAAGCTGTTTTTTAGTGCTTTTTGCCTCGTTTAACGATCGCTGCATTAAAACGGCCCCGTAAATTTTTGGCAAAGACGAATTTTAGGAGAATAATAAAAAACCTATTTTTTCTATATTCACCAATTTGACCTTGAGTTCCCCGCCAAAAAGCCGCGTCGCCAACGCAATGCTTCTCCCTGGCAATCTACCCATCACGCCTTCCAAGTCGGGAAGGACTTGCAAAAATGAAGGCCTTTGGAACGCTGAAAAAACCAATAAAAGAAAATAAGTGAATAATGGTCTGATGATCGATTTATCAACCACGCAAAACTGATGGAATTCACATGAACTTCCGCCAAAAACTGGTGCTGAACTTGTCTGTGCCACCTTTTTGTTTGAACAGCTGATCCGTGAATCATTATGGAAGTATATAAGGGAATCTGGATGAGAATTCATCCAGAAAATAATTTCTATCCCATTAAATTTCACTAAAATGTACGCGATCTCTTTTCTACTTTCAATCGGCTGCGTCGCCGCCTGGCCCTTCTTCAACTCTGAGACGACACCTGACTATGAAGGACAGGTAAGGCTCTTGGGGACGTCAAAGTGGTCCCTAGAGGGGCAACCTTAGGGGCACTAAAAGGTTCTAGTAGTCCAGGGTTCATCTTAATTTTCCCTACAAGGGCACTAAAACTTTCAAAAGTGGCCCCTCTAGAGGTTTTTTGATTCAGCAACTCGAGATTCAAAATCTAAACAAGATATATCGCATCAGTTGGAGCTCGAAAATCGCATAAGAAAAAAATTACACGATTCAAAAACTTTCATTGAAGCTGAAATGTCTGTTATTAGAAAGGAGCTTTCATTTCAAAATGAATAAAAATTTTTTTAGAAAATAAAAAAATTAATTTAGAAGTTTTCAGTTCGATGCAACGGGTCGTCCAATCATCGTTGGCGGAAACTTTGGACCAGTTCGTTTTTCCAGTTGAAGAGAAAAAAACCTCGTTTCTATCTTCTTAAAAATAAGCTTTTTTTATAATGTTAAAAAAAATTAATATTTTTTTCCAGTTCACCGGACAGCCGTTCACTGGACGACCGCCGTTCGGTTTCAGCCGGAGTCCGGTAATTTTTTTCAAACTTTTACAGAAAATTGATTTTTTTGAGAATGAAAGGCTCAAAAAAATGATTGGTTTATAGAATAAAAAAATTATCTAGAAAAAAATTTTTAAATTTCGATTTTTCGTAAAAAATTTTCAGTTCCACGTTGGATTCGGCGGTAATCAAGAGCACAATGTGAGTTTCTCACTTTCTTTATAAAATGAAGGGGGCGGAGCCAAAGCTTCGCCGTTCCCATGTGACGTCATGGAAACAAGCGTAGGGAGTATTAAAGGCGCATGTTCAATGGGTCATAAAACGAACCGAATTCTCCTTTTTTAAAAAACGCAATTTTTCTGTTGTCGTGTTCAAAGCGATTCCGCGAACCTCAAAATAGCCGCCAGAAATTGAAAAATATAACTGAATTTCGGAAATTCAGAGATGATTTTGAATTTTGCGAAAATTATTTTTAACACGGGATGCGCGAGAGCGCCGCAGTGCGTGCAGACAAAACACTTCACGGAAAAACAGGGGCGTTTGAAATTAAATGCAAAAAACGTGAAAAATTCAATAAAGAAAAATTCCGAAAAAAATTAACAATAATAAGATTCAAAATTCAGAAAAATAAATTGTAATAATTATTGAAAAATAAAATAAAATTCCAGCAAGGATTCCCCGGCTTCGGTGGACAACAAGGAAACGGACAGGTATTTTCTACTTTTTGAAATAAAATTATTACAAGGAAAGGAGAAAAATGTGACATTTTAAAGTAAAAAAAAAGAATTATAGTACGAACTTTTTGATCAGAGGAACACTGAAATAGATTTTTTTTCGAAAATTTTTCTGAAATTCAAAAAACTGAATAATCGATTATTTTCAGCGACCAGAAGGATTCCCAGGCTTCGGAGGTCCACGTGAAGGCCAAGGAAACGGACAGGTTCGGGAAATTATTTTTATAAGACTACTCGAACATTGGCAACACGAAATGGAAGTGTCGGAGCATTTCTAGGGACCACTTTAGTAGCGTCAGCACTCTTAAGGGATCCCTAGAATTCCTCAGAAACGTCCGGTCTGAGTAAATTGATTTTTTTTGCTGATTGTCCGTAGAGCGCATGTGTTTCATTAGATAAATCTGGTTACTTTGAAGACTATTTTTTATATTTACAGCAAGGTTTCCCCGGCTTCGGTGGCCAGCAGCAAGGTCAAGGAAATGGTCAGGTTAGTGATATATAAATCCAGATTTTTAAAAAAAATTTGGAATTATCCGAAAAAAGTTTCATATGACAGTAATGAAGTGAATATAACTATTAATTTTTTTTCAGCAAGGATTTCCCGACTTTGGTCACCATGAAGGACAAGGAAACGGACAGGTTTAGAAGTTTTTCAAAAATGGAAATCCTAATACATAGGCAACTACGGAAAAGGTGGAAAGGCTGCAAAGATATGTTTGGAAAAGTGAAAAAAGGGTCCTTTTTTGCTGCCCTTTTGCGCCATTTTCTCGGCCCTTATGCATCATTTTTGCTGCCTTTCCCTCTTTCCACCATTTATTGGACCTTTAAAATCCCAGAAAAATGGAAGGCTCGATAAAGGGACTCTCTTTGCTGCCTTTTTGCAACCTTTTTGCAGCCTTTTTGCTACCTTTTTGCAGCCTTTTTGCTACCTTTTTGGGGCCTTTTTTGAGCCTCTCCCTTTCAGCGGCCATTATCTATCATTCCGACTTTGCCCGAGTACTTTACCCCAAAAAAATCGCGTAATTTTTGTTCATAAAGGAAGTCATTGGCTTTTCTCTACCTTTTTTTTTAAATATTACCTCCGAAGTCATTTTTGATGTTGAAAAATTGGATTCAGGGACCATTCGACGGCGTCCCGACGACAACGGAATCCAGCTGGTTTAGCAACATCTTCGGCAAGAAGTGAACTGATCTAACTTCGAATATTTTGTAAATTGTGAAAAGTTTTTTGCAATGAATTTGCTGCAGTTGTTCCTTCTGATATATAAAGCTCACAGTTCCTTATAAAGAAATGTATACAAATGAAGAAGAATATGAAAAAAATGACCTATTGCATGGGAAATCAAGCTCTTCAAATCATACGAGTTGTATGTAACCGAAAATTTTGTTTGTGAAACCGCTTAGGCAAAGTCGGGAGGGGGCTCAACAGAAATTTTCCTTTTAAGGAGCCTTTTTGCAGCTTTTTTGCTCCGTTTTCTCAGCCCTTATGCACCATTTTTGCTGCCTCTCTCTTTTTCCACCATTTCTCGAGCCTTCAAAATCCCAGAAAAATAGAAGGCTCGATAAAGGGACTCTTTTTGGGGCTTTTTTTGAGCCTCTCCTTTTCATCCAGCATTCCGAATTTGCCCGAGCAACACTTTTCAAAATAAATGAATAAAATTGAAATTCTCATTACGAGAACAGCACTGGCAACGCCGTTTTGATACTAGAATTTTAGGAAAGATAGACATTAATAAAAAATTTTTTCGAGCTTTGAATAAACTTTATTCTCATGAATAAAACCGTGTCTCCGAGGGAAATGGCTCGAAGTATCGCGATTAGATTTCGTTCTACATAAAAAGCAAATTCAGCAGCTTTTCTGAACAAGTGCGCAAGTAGTTTAAGGTCCGGCGGGCCTAGAAGCAACCGCACCGTATTTTTTACGCATTGAGCCATTCTATGTGCGACCATGCCTGTTGAGGGTGAATAGTAGAAAGAGATAAAAGAAACAAAGTGAAAATGAAAATATGAATTAATTCAAATAAACTCTAGGAAACGTCAAACTGATGTACTAGTGTTATTTTACGGTATTTTTAAAAACTATCAAGTTTTAATATTGAAATTACTTCTAAAAAAACTTTTTAGAGTTATTTGGTAAGCAGAATGAAAGCTCCTTTTTTTGTGCACTACTAATTTCTTTGAAAATTTGCAAATAATGCTTGGATATTCAGAAGTGAAACCCCAAAAAAAGTGGAATGAAAAAAATTTACAAACAATAAAAAAAGAAATTTTTTTGAAAACAATCAGATTAAAAAAAAATGTGATTGAGAAAATTCGCTTTTTCGAATATGGCTCAATATGCTACTTTTTTCAGAATGGAAATTTTTAAAAATCAAAAAATTATCTTTTTTTCCTCTTTTCAAGGCATTTAGATGATTTTTTATGTTGCTCACTGATTTCAAAATATTTTTCTCTTGAAAAAGAATTTTCTTCTTTTTTTTTTACTTATAGGCCATTCACGGGTAGCTTGACCCAAAAGGGCGTGGCCTGTCTGCGCTCTCCACCAACCAGATACTATCTCTTTTTTCTGATCGTGTCAGGACCCTTTTTTTGATGGCTCAAACCAACCGTGAGTCGACTATATTTATTGATTGTTCAAGCCATGGTCACATCAAAATGCAAACGATCCAACAAAAAGGACATCTAACAATGGAATTTTGTTCAAAAAATGTTTATCCTGTTTATTTTCCGACAAAAAAACGCCATTTGTGATCAGCTAACTCCACAAAATCCCGAACAACCCAGTAAAAAGCAACAACATTATTCATCAAACGTGGATGACGCCATTCCTTTTATCAAATCGGACCGTTCCGATTCAAAAGCTGGCCCAATAATGCATTTTTTTCATTGTTGATCATGGGAAAGGTATATAAAGCCCTTTGGATCACTTCAAATCCATAAGAATTCTTAATCTTATTCAAATTCGCTGAAAATGTTCGTCGCTGTGCTACTTCTTTCCATTGGATGCGTTGTCGCTTTTCCGTTTTTCAATCCTTCGCCCAATTTTGGTGATCAGGTACATGAAAATCGAAATATTGTAGTTAGAAGACCTTTTGAGATGGTTAGAAAGAGACAAAACTCGAAAAAAACCTCAATTCTTAGTGAATTTTATGAATTTTGATGCCTCCCAATGGAACCATGTCCGCTTAGGACGGCAATAGTTTGAAAAAATTTTCAAAACTCTATTACCTGTTTCAAAAAGGCCTTTATAAGTTTTATATACTTGATTATATTGACTCATAGCTTAATAATAATAATTTACTCATCCACAAAGTGAAAAAGAATAAATAAGGTTAAGAACCGGTTTTTAGGTCACCCTCACGAGTGACTTCACCGGATAGGGAATACATTAGATATCACAGTTGATAAAATACACGTATATGCATATTGAGATTTTTTTGAGATCATAGTAGCCGTCTAGGGATGCTGATGAATAATTCATTGTCGGGGATGTTGTCCAGATGAGATTTGAAAATTTTAGGAGGAACAGAGACGTTGAATCTAGAGCAGATTTTTGTTCCAGATTGGGATCAGTTTTTGAAAAAGAAAGAATCACATAAAGGACCAGCCTGAATTAACCGCAGAGGATGTCGACCCGAATGAGAGATTCTGAAAAACCTGTGAGCGCTTGGAAAATGATCTATCTTGAGGACAATTTTGTGAAGTGTGCAGAGTGCAAGATTGAGTCTCCTTCTGTACAAAGCATTAGTTTCGAGCTTGAGCAATCTTTCAGAATATGAATTGAATCTTAAGTTTCTGCGCATGAAAATTTCTCTAGTGAAATACCTATAAGGTTTTTCGAGTAGATATGCCTGTTCGGAATTTATTGCGGGATAGAAAACGTCACTGCAGTAGTCGAGGTGAGGTTTCACGAATAGGTTGAAAACCATATTATACTGTTGAATTGTGAGACAACGAAAGCTTTTCAGAATTTGTTTACTTTTGAGCAAAGAGGTGTTAACTGCTTTTGAAATGTGAGATTTGAAAAGTAGGGAACTGTCCACCATGACTCCAAGATCTCTGACAACTTCGGAAGAACTAATAAAAGTGCCTTTAATTGTATAAACTGTCCTAGGATTTGATCTGCCTAGATGGAGAGCTACAGTTTTGTTTTCAGCTAATGGGAGTCCCCATGTTTCGGACCACATAGCAAGTTGGTTGATTGCATTTTGTAGAGCAATTGGGTCAGAGGAGAAAATTTTAAGATCATCAGCGAATAGATAACTGGAGACGTCATCACTGAAATTTGCAGCTAGATCATTTATGAAGATTAAAAACAAGAGAGGCCCCGTAACCGTCCCCTGGAGTACACCAGATTTGATACTAAAACTGTCGAAAGAAACCTGTCCATCCAATAAAACCCAAGATTGACGTTCGGAAAGAAAATTTTCGAACCAACCAACTAGTTGAGAGTTGAGACCAAAAGCTCTAAGCTTGTCAAACAAAAGGTTATGAGGGACATTATCGAACGCTTTTTGGAAATCTAAGTAAATAACGTCAATAGATCTACGCTCCTTGAGCAGTGCTTTCCCATTGGAAACACAGTCGAGTAGGGCAAGCTTGATTTGAGCTAAAATATAGATTAGGAAAAATATTCTAGGAAATATTTTTCTTTGTGAATGAAATAAATATTATTATTAACATTATGAAGTTTTTTTGGAATGTTTCTCAAAATTGTAAAATCTACCAAAAAAACCTGAAAATCGTCAAAAAAATCTTCTTTTCAGTTGGGAAACGTTCAGAATCCTGGATTCCAAGACGGGTCAAACACAAACGTGAGTTTTTCGTCTTTTTATATCCATTTGATGCAAAAAAATCAGTTTTATTCGGTGAATTCCAACTGACTTTCTTGGTGTTGAGGTATGTTAGAATGTAAAAAGTGTGGTAGAAGATCATTTGAAATAGTCAAAATGACCCTAAAATCCGAAAAACTAAGCCAATTTCAAATTTTTAGCGGGTTTTCAAAATTTCAATTCTTGCCAATGGACCCATGTCCGTGTAGGATTGCAAAAATTGATACAATTTTTAAAAATTTTGAAAACTGTTTCTGAAGCCCTTTAAAGATTATGTTCCTTATTATATTCACTAATAAAAAAAGTTCAGGGTTAAAAATTCAATTTCAAGAAATTAATCTAGGAAGTTATTGGAATTTTTTTTTTAAAAAACCTAAATATCTTCAAAAATCTTCTTTTTCAGTTGGGAAACGTTCAGAACCCTGGATTCCAAGACGGGTCAAACACAAATGTGAGTTTTTCGTTTTTAAATTTACTTGATGGAAAAGAGCAAGGAAAATAAGTTTTATTTGGAAAAAAAGGGAAATCAAATCCTTAAAATCCTACTAAAAAAAACTAAAATAAAACGTTTTTAGAATGAAATTTCCCTTTTGAATATTTTTTTACGTTTTTCCACTCTTGCTTCATTTTATAAAATAAAGGGATATATGATTTTTTTCAACTTTTTAAAAAAATAAAAAAATGATCAGTTTGGCCTTCCCCTGGATCGTCATTCCTTGGTATGAATGGAGGACCGGTGAGAAAATTTTTTTTCTCACGAATATTCAAAAACCTTTAGACTTTTAAGTTTTGCTGAAGTGAAAAACGTTTTTGTCTCAAATTTCTAGATAAAATTCAATCTTAAAGATTGAAAAAAATTTTTTTTTCGATAAAATTGAGGTCGACGGTTTGATTAAAAGAGGATTTATCAAATTTATCAATATTTTATTTTTTTCAGTTCGAAAGCAACCCAGGTCAATCTGGCTACGTTGATCAAGGACAGGTGAATTTTTAAAAAAAATCGTCAAAATTAATTTTTGTTGGATTGCTAAACGAAGCATGAAAACCTGCCCAGAAAAATTTCATAAATCTTAAAAATGTTTCAAAATCAAAATTTACAGCAAGAAATCAACGGCCAACTGCAAGATCCTCAGGTACAGAAATTTTTTTTTTAAAGTTACTGAAAAGCTTTGAAGTGCTCCCTATAGGGAGTGTAATAGGAACCATTCCATTCATTGTGAAGTGGTCCCTATAGTAGCGTGTGTGAAAACGACACCTAAAGGAACCCCAATAACTTTGAAATGGTCCCTATAGGGAACGAAATAGAGACCGTTTTAGGCACACCTATAGGGACCACTAAAGTTTTATGGCTATAGTGAACCACTCAAAAAGCCCTATAGGGGTCACTAACGTTTCAACCACGATAGGAACCGTGAAACTACCCCCTACAGGGGTCCTTAAAACAACAAAACCCTATAGGGACCCCTTCAAAATTCTCAGTATTATTTTTCAGGGACAGGTCCAAGGAGAAATCCCTCTCAATGATCAACAAGGAGATCTGAGCGCCGCATCTGTGAGTTTTTTTTTTTTGAGTTTTCCTTTCAAATTCAAAATTTTCAGCAGGAAGATTCTGGAAGTTTCGAGACGGATCCTATCGCTCAGGTTACAATTTACCTTTCTATTTATTTATGAAATTTTGATTTCAGGATAAAATCTTCCGCAAGTAAACTGGAGAAATCTGTAACATGTTCTGTACATTGGGAAAACAGTTGGTCAATAAATATCATCATTTTTCTGTTGAAAGAGGCAAATTTGAAATTTATGGGAAACAGCAAAATCTCACTAACTTCTAGTCAAGATTGGAGGTTTAGTTTTGATTTTTTGAGTTTTCTCAAACTCTTAGAAATGCCGGAAAGGTCCCTAGAGAGGCAAACGTAGGCGCTTTAAGGCTCCCCTTCAATGACCACTTGGCCTGCCCCTATAAGAGCCACTAGCAGAAGTGGCCTCTCGGGTTTATTCAGTGGCTCAATACGTTTTTTTTTTTTTCAAATCATAAACAATTATTAAAAAAACCACTGTAGGGGCCACTCAAGCTGTAGAGGCTTATCCCCCTATAGGGGGGGGGGGCACCTGAACTCTAGCCTTCCAGAAAGCGCTTTTTTCACTAATACTCTAAGGTCCACTCTGACGTTTCTGAAAATCCGTGACGTCCAAGGAAAAATCTGGAAAACTTTCAACACCCCAAAAAAAGTCAAAAGATTATGATCAAAATCTAAAAAACAAGGAAGGAAATGGGACGACATGGAAAAGTTTCAAAACAACATTAATCAGGCGGCTCAAACCGTGACGATTATTTGCTCAGCCCGGAAAACAAAACCCATAAAAAAAAGTGATACCGTTGATTTATTATTCTGGTCTTGGTTGTGTCGAGAAAATGTTACAATTTTCGCTGGTTCTGTTACTTCTTTGTACTGTAAATGGCTACCCGAATATTCGGTCAAGGCTTAGCGACGAGGCTTTGGAGAAGTTCTACGTAGATCTACTGGCGGATGTGATTTTTAAATAAAAATTTTTTTAAACTTTAATGTTTATTCTCAGAAATTGGGTCTCGAAAAAAAGACGGTTCAAGTTCATTTGGCAGACGAATTCGCGTTCCTCCAGAAATTAAGTTCAAAGTAAAAAAATTCTATTCGAAAAAATCTTGAGAATGTTGATTTTTTGTTTTTTTCCCTGAAATTTGAGAGAAAACGTCAAAAAAAGTTTTTAATTTTTGATGATAAGAAATTCTGAATAGTTTTTCTATAAAACTTGAGAATTTCAATACTTTCTAAAGGCTCAAACTTCTTTCAAAATAATCTCAAAGTCAAAAAAACTAACTGAGGTCATGTCCCTAGAGCATGAAAGACGCTTCGCTTTGAGCCTTTCTCTTAAAAAAGTTTTTTTCTAAATTTAGTAGCTTCAAAAAGGTTGCCAGAATGATTTTCTAATCTTATTTTGTGGATTTTCAAGGATAATTATTAGAAAATAAACATTTTAGGCAGCAGAACCATTGACGAACTCCGAAGAAGGTCTCGGCCTCTCCTTTTCGGATGTGAGTTTCAAAAATCGCTTTTTTTTTTACTTTAAAACAACTTTGACAGGCCTTGAAGCTGATCGCAGCACTGGAAAAGCTTCCCGATGTTTCGAAAGTCAGTTCATTTATCATCTATCAATCTTAAAATCGTTTTTTCAGTTAGCATCTCCAATTGAAGAACTTGGCGACCTGGTTCCTTCTCTACCTGACGTAAGTAAAGTAAAAAAAAAAAGCAAAAGGCAACTTTGAACAGGTGATAAAGCCGCTTGCGGACATTGGCATCGACTTGGAAAAAGCTGTTCCTAACGTGAAATCCTCTTTTTTCGAAGGATTAAAAACTGAAAAATCATGTTACAGGTGGCTAAACCGATCGGAAACATCGGAGGCAACTTTGCAAAAGCCGTTTCGAGGGTATGTTAGGTTTAAAGGAGCATAGATAGATTTCAGTAAGGTCTTGAAGCGAAAAGGGATTTCAGTGTTAGGAACGCATGAGTGGTTCCTAGAAAAGCTTTTGTAGGTTCCCCTTGAGAAGCCACTTTGCCTCCCCCTACAGGGGGCGCTAAGAAGTCAAAAGTGACCACTTTAGGGTTCCAAATAGGAGTCCTTCTAGGAGAGCATGCTAATTATTTCTATACGCCTTTTCAACTTCCAAACCAAGAAAAAAAAATCAAAAGACCACTGTAGGGACCCCTCAAGCTTTAGGGGCTCAGGACCCTGAACTCCTATAGGGACACCATTTTAGCCGTTTAGGGAGCAATAAAGAAGCTTTTTTCCCGAACCCCTAAAGTGACCACTTTGGCCTTCTTGAGTATATCTGCCCATACAGGTTTTCGCGTAAAAAAATACAAAATAGACCAAATTAAGCGGCTAAAGGGCGGAGTATGATATCAAAAAAAATCCATAAGCAGCTTTTTTTTTTCCGAGTTTTCAAAAATCAAAAAATCATAGAATAAAAATTGTTTACAGTTGGTTCTTCCATTTGGTGGTTTCGTCCCATCAATCCCTCAAATACCTTCTTTACCTGACGTGAGTAAGAAAAAAGAAACTGAACTATATTAAGAAATTACAGGTAAAGCCTCTTGGAAGTTTTGTGCCCTCAGTTCCGAACGTGAGTTGAGCGAGAAAAAAAAAATTAACTGCTGGGAAACTATTTAAAGCCCGTGAAGTCTTTCGGAAACCTCGGCGATTTCGTTCCGTCTGCCCCGAAAATTCCTTCGATTCCCGATGTGAGTTATCATATGTGAAACTTATAGTCAAGTTAAAACTTGGAAAGGATTTTTTTTTAGGTTGGGAACCCTTTCGGAAACTTTGGAGACCTCGTTCCATCGGTACCAAAAATACCGGATGTAAGTAAGATCAATAATAATCTTCGTTCAAACGATAAAATTCACAAGAAAAAGTGGGCGTGACGTCGTCCAAAAAAACGCCATGGCTAGAACAAATGATAAAATTTCCAAGAATAGGTCAAGAAATAATGAACAAGTTGAAAAGTGCAAAGATTTATAAGATACGATTTTTCGTGATGAAGCCCTTGTCCCTTCCCATTGGAAAAAGTAAAGAAAATTAGTCCTTGAAAATGACGGCATTCCAAAATTTTCCAAGGCTGTTAAGTTACTTGGAAGCCTTAAAAATCTTGTTTTTTCACCCACAGAAATTCCTAGTCTGAATCAATGTCAAGTTATCGAATGTTAAAAATAGCAAGATGCTTGATTTCCGACCTACTCTTTGGAAAAAATTTATAGCATTGTTCCGTCAATTTCCAGTGAAAAACATGTTCATTAGGTTCACAAAAATCCCTAAATTTTCTATAGTTGATTTACGGCTAGCTTGGTAAGGGGCATGGCCTGTCTCCGCCCTCCACCAATGAGACACTATCTCTTTTTTTTTTATCGTTCCAGGACCTTTTTCCAACGGCTAAAGCCATCCGTAATCCAGCTATAGTTTGTTCTGATTTTGAAAGTCGATTTTCCGTTCAAGCTCTGCCCCTAATGACGCTAAGCCAATAAGTGAGCTAGCCATTTACAGAGTGCTTTCAAATTACGTCATTGCGCTTGACAGTCGAAATCTGAACAGACTGTACACTTTTTGGTCACAGGCAACATTTTTTTCATTTATAAATAAAGCAAGATTTTTCGAAATGCTTGGAGATCTTGTACCTTCAGTCCCCGAGATTCCTTCGATACCAGATGTATGTCACTTTTTTTAAGTTAAGATTTGAAAATTAAAAAAATAGGTATACTCCAAAAAAAGCCTTTTTTTCCAGGTTATCAAGCCAAACTTGGGCGATCTGGTTCCTTCGGTACCGGAAGTGAGGCTTTTATTTTTTTCTTTGAAAAAAACCCAAGTTTAGAATGAAAAAAATTCATAAAAAAATTATCAAAAAAACTATGGACCATAGTCCATGATTTATATAATATTATTTATTTACAGGCAGAACAAAAATAATATGTACAGAAAAAAAAGAGAAAAAAATTTGGCATTAAGCCTGAAATAAATAAATAAAAAGGCACTTGAGGCCCTCACGAGCCTCTGAGCCAGTAATGAAAAGAATAAGAGGTGAGGATTTCACAAAGGTAAAAAGTAAATAGAAAAGAAAGTATAAGTTATGACACAGTGTAGCACAGGTGAGTGGGGAATTTAATCGTTTGTAATGATATAGACGCGCATAAGATGGATTAGAGTAGGGCTGAAGCACGGGTGCCTGGTTCAACGGAGTCTGCTGGGAATAGATCCAAAAAAAGGAAATTGTTATCGAGGGATAGTAACAAAGACCTGAAACGTTCTGGAGAAACATTGAGGTTTTCCCAATGTAGCCAGTTTATTCCAAAGAGGGATGAACGTCTCAAAGAAATTTTTCGAAACGAATCCCTACTCTGATAAGACGTGATGGAGCACGTACCGAATTCGATCTCCTGAAAACACTGTGAGCAACTGGCAAATGACGCGACTGATTGATAGATGTCGTTGGAAGGCTCGGGCGGTTGAGCAGGCGAATTCGAGTTATAGTGATTGCCACTGGATGAATAAAATTGATGAGAATCAGCATCACGTGGACGTTTGGCCATAGCGCCAGATAACCGACCGCTCGCCGTGAGGAAAGGAGTTTTTTGTTCTCAAACTTGGGTAATTAAGATTTAATTAACACGGTGCCACTGTAATTCTCAAAATCAGTAATCCCAAAAAAATAAAAATTTTTTTATTTTGATGAAATTTCAAATAATGCAATAGCCTATCATCAAAAATGCGGACCCAACTTTTTGAGCCATTCCCTCTTACTGTAGACGGGTTACGGTTGATGGGTGACCACCTGCGTATCTAAGAAATGATGAGCTTTTTATGGGCAAGTTGTATATCAAACGATATGTAATGCAATTTTAGAAACTTTTACAGTACATACAAAATTAGGTTACTGTAGAATTTCTTTGAGATACGGTACTTTTTTTGGGTTTGGGAAGTTCGTTTTTTTGGTCGCCCTGAGCTATTTTTCCGTAAAAGTTACTTCTCTCAAAGATTTTTTTAGTTAAAACTATTAGTTTTTTCAGATAGTGAAACCAATCGGAAATCTTGGCGATCTTGTTCCGAAAGTACCTGAGATTCCTTCAATACCTGATGTAAGTGTTTGAGAAAAAAATAATCTAGAAAAAAAGTTGGGAAGCTTCCAAAAAAATACTATCTTTCCTGATAAGCTGAAAAAAATAATAATAAATTTATCAATTTTTCTGAAAAAAATTCGTAACAGAAAAAGCCAAAAAAATCGAAAAAAAGAAACATTTAAAAAAATTCAACTTTTTCCAGATAGTGAAGCCCCTTGGAAATCTTGTCCCTTCCTTGCCCGATATTCCTATTCCCGCTCTTCCTGATGTGAATTTAACAATTTTTTTCAATATAATTACAAATTTTTCCAGGCAGTCAACCCAATCGGAAATCTTGGTGACAACCTTGTCAAATCCATTCCAAACGTAATTTTCGTGAAAATTAAATTTTTTTCATATTTTTTTCAGCCCGTAAAGTCTGTCGAAGGCCTTGGCGACCTTGTTCCTTCAATCCCAAAGGTGAGTTGGAGTTTTAATTAATTCTAAAAAGGGATTAAAAAAATTAAAGATTTATCAGAAGCTTTGTGAGAAAGATAGATCTTTAAATGTTCCTACAAAAAAATCGCCAAAAAAAGTCCATAAATATGATTTTCAGGCGATCAATCCCATTGAGAGCATTGGAAACTTTGTTCCTTCTATTCCAAAAGTAGGATTTTTCTGGATTTATTTGATTTCATGCTAATTTTTGGTCCATTTTTAAGATAAAGTAAAGTTAAATTTAAAGGTCAACTCCCTTGGAGATCTTGTTCCTTCGATTCCTGAAATCCCGTCACTACCTGACGTGGTTTGTACATGCTTTATTCATAATTACTATTTAACTTAATTAATAAAACTCTAAAGAAGTTAAATAAAAATTTTCCAGGTGGTGAAACCGTTAGGAAACCTGGGAAATATCGTTCCATCCATTCCTGACCTTCCCTCAATACCCGATGTAAGGTTTTGTACCAAAAACGGGCCCTTCAAGGTTTCCCCTCCAGGAGCCACCTTACTAAAAGTTGCAAAAGTGGCCACTATAGTGGTTTAAGTTAGTGGCAATTTTAGGGAAGCTAGTAGTTCCGATACGTCGTTTGAAAACTTAGGAACTTTAGAGCGGTCCCTATAGGGGCCACCTTAGGGGCCTCTAAAGCTTGCAAAAGTGGCCCCTATAGGGGGCATGCTATTTGATTATGGTTATGAACTATTAGTGAAGAATCATATCCATGGGAAAAACTAAATAAATGAGCATTTTTTGAATGAAATTGAAATATCCCTATAGAGACCAATTGAGCTTCAGGGGCTTAGGGGTCAGACACTAAACCCCTATAGGGACCGCCACAATTTTACCTCTATAGGGGCCTGTTTTTATCCCTTAAGGAGCTGTTAACGTAATCCCTAGAGGAACCACTCTGGATATCCTAGAGACGTTTTTTCAACAGTTGAATGAGAAATAAAATTGAAAGAACCCTATAGGGGTCCCTTAAAGCTGTTTTCCCTTATCCTCTCTAGGGGCCACTCTGGTTTTCGAAAAAAAAATTTTTTAATTATGAAAAATTTTTTCAGGTAGTGAAGCCTTTGGGAAACTTGGGCGATCTTGTCCCTTCGATCCCCGAAATTCCTAGTCTTCCTGATGTGAGTTTATTTATAAATCTTTTACAACTCGTAAATCTCAAAATATAAAAATTACTGAAAAGTGATCAAAATAATAAAATAATAACTTTCCAGGTAGTGAAGCCGCTAGGAAACCTAGGCGATCTAGTACCTTCCATCCCCGAAATTCCTTCACTTCCCGACGTGAGTAAAAATTGAAACTCAAAAAAAAAACACGGATAAATTCAGGTAATCAAGCCCCTTGGTGACCTTGGCGGCGACCTCATCAATTCGATTCCAAATGTTAGAAATACTTTCAGAAAAAATTAAATGTTCGATTTTCAGCCCGTCAAAACTATTGGCGACCTCGGTGATCTTGTTCCAGCCATACCTGATGTGAGTTTTGAAAAATTCAAACTTGAAAATTGAAGGTAAAAGCAAATTTTAAACTTTTCGGTTTCAAAAATGTTTAAAATAAGGCGAGAAAATTCATTTATGGTTTGTAAGCTGCAATACTCACATTAAAAAAATTATTGAGTCATTGAAAACCAATAAATTAAAATTTTTCAGCTGGATAAAATCCAGAACATCCTTCCCACCATCCCATCAATGCCTGTGAATTTTTTTGAACCTTTTTAAAGTTTTTTTAAAATTTAATTGAAAGAAATTTCAGGAAATCCCTTCCGGAAAACTGTCAGGAGGAGGTAGTGGAAGCGGCTAAATTTCTACTTGGAGAAAAAAAGATTTATTTTTATTTTTTTAAAGTTGTAAATAACTTGGAAATAAACGATATGAAAGGTTATCAAAGCTTGGATATCACAAGGAAAAAAATATGAAGCCTAAAAAAAATCAAATGCGATTAATTTCATGACTTTGTTCGTCAATAAGAAAAAAAGAAAAAATTTTCTGTAAAAAAATTTCAACATAGACATACAAAATGATCACTCTAATGAACAGAGTTTGAAAAAAAGGCAAAAATATTGGTTTTTCCAAATTTTCAACGAACTAGTCATTGTTTTTCGAGAAACAGAATAATTATGAGTCATAAAAATCGCGGAAAATCCTTCTCATTTTCTCCATTTTTCGCAAAACTAACACGCAAAGTTTGTTCAGGTGTATCGGGAGCATCAAAAACGAACAAACTTCCAATAACCACTCATTTTGGCGAATTATTTCCCTTTATTATTTGGTATTTCTTTGAAATTTTAAAATCGAGTTTTTGAATGTCGAATTTTGACCATTTTCAACTTTTTACTTCTTTCATAAATTGATGATTCTGTTTTGAACGGTCTATGAAAAAATAAACCACCCTCGAGTTACGAATAACTGAGTAATAGAAACGAAGAAGAAATTTTTCGATTTTAGAGTTGGAAGTCATAAAAAGCTAGATGTCAAGTGAGTTCACAGAAAAACTTGATCCGCTCCAAAATTTGCAAATTTTATTCCCTAGATTCTTTTCTTTGATAATAAAGAGTCTAAAACATCCTCAGGGCAATAATTTTCGTCTGTGAACCAATGAAAATGATCATAACAAATTCAGACATGTACAGTTTTATTTTTCTTATTTCAATTGGTGTCGCCGCCGCTCAATTTGGACTAACAGGAAGTCCTGGATTCGGAGGTCGTACCGGTAGTACAAATGGACCGGTAAAATTTAAAATATTATTATTTTCGGCCGCACTTGGAATGGCTCGAAGTGTCGCTGTCGCGTAGCGGTGATTCATTATGACATCTTTGAAATCAAGCAATTCCGAGTGCGACCTTACTAGAGCCAACTTTGTACAATAAGGACCACTTGGAGGGGACACTAATGGGACTGCTACAGCGGCTTCTATATTAGTAACTATTTTGCGTGCTAGTGGCCACTTAAGTAGTTTTTAGTGATCTAATAGTACCATTTGCATTTCTAAAGAGGCTAATAAATTCTCACCTTTTAAGTGGCGACTAATTCGACTAATATACAGCTACTAAAACGTCAATACCCTAAGGTGGCTATTAAAATTTTAACAGAATATTATGGAAGATCTTAAAAACCTAACTAAACTTACTGAATTTTTTTTTCTTCCAGTTTCTCGGAAATAACTTTGATGACGATTTTGGAGGCTTTGGTGTGACTGGACAGCCTAATAATGTAAGTTTCCAGCTTTAAAATTATATTCAAGGCTCTTTTCTTTCAGAAGTTTGGAGATCAGAATGGCATTTTTCGGAGGTTCTGGGCAAGACAACGACGTGAGCTCACTTTTTTGAATCTCTTTATACTTATCAAAAAAATTTTAAGGCTTTTGGAAACGGATTTGACTCGAGCGGACAACAATCGGGGGTGAATAAAACGGACTTCAAACCAAAAACGAACCTTTGAAATTTTCAGCAGTTTGGAGCAAATCCGAATGGCGGCTTCGGAGCAAACACGCAGCAGCCAAACGTGAAGTTTTTTCGAACCTGAAGAGACCTTTAAATCAATTTTTAATCAAGAAGCGGTTGAAAATTGGAAAAGCGGAAAAATTTTGCAAAAACTACAGTTTTGATTTTTAGCCATGGAGCACATTTCAAAGAAACGACGAATTTTTTCCATATTTTTTCCCAATTTTGCTTGCACTTTCTTTCTTATTTTGTTTCCGAGATATCAAATCACATTTCCTTATAGTATGAGACTATTTTAGCAGTTCGGTGACGCCCAAAACGGTGGATTTCCTAACTCTAACGGTCAACAACCTGGCGTGAGTTTTGATTTTGGTTTGAAAATTGGAATTTCTTTTAGGAGTCTCACATAGTTTTCTTTCATTTATTTTTATTTTCGATTGATTTCTGAGTTTTGCAGCAGTTCGGAAACAACCAAAACGGCGGATTCTCTAACCCGAATGGACAACAACCTGGAGTACGTTTTATTATTATTATTTGTCATGGTTCTAATCAAAATTATTCAATTCTTATTCCTGATGTTGAATTAAATTTATGAGTTTTTTTCAGCAGTTTGGAAATAACCAGAATGGCGGCTTTCCTAACAACAACAACAACGGACAACAGCCTGGCGTTAGTAACCATTTAATTTATATAATAAGATTAAAAGTCGAAACTTTTTCAGCAATTTGGAGGTAATCAAAACAATGGAATCCCGAATTCGATCGGACAACCACCTAGTGTAAATTTTGAATATTTTTTTCCTTGAAAAATAATTTTTCACAGTTCTTTGAATTAGAAAAAATGACAAATATTTTTCAGCAGTTTGGAAATAACCCAAATGGACTTCCTAACAACAACGGACAACAACCTAGCGTCAGTTTTCGAAAATAGTCGAAATAAATTTCTTTGTAGGGATTTTCAAAAAATGATAATTTTCAGCAATTTGGAGGCAACCAAAACAACGGATTTGGTACAATTGGACAACAACCTGGGGTATATTAAAATTCTTTCTTGCATGTCTTTTTTTGAAGTTTATTCAAATCAAAGATTTTTTTCTGAAAAAAATTTGGAAAAAAATTTTTTTAAAAAAAGTGGACATATATGTGGATATTTACAATATTAAAGAAGTTATAACATAAGAATATAAAATAATTGTAAAAGTTCAAAAATTTTTTTCCCAATTTTACAAGAGGCTTCTGAAAACTTTGTGAGTATTTTTTTCTAACTAAAATTGAAAATATAAATTTTTTTGAAATATTTAGCTTCAAATCATGATAATTTTTCGGAGGGATCATTGAAAATTTCAGCCTTTTTTTGAAAAATTATTTGTAAGATTACAAGAATTTTTTTGAAATTTACAGGGTCTAAAATGGATATTTCTTCTGGAAAAAGTTTAAAAAATTTTTTTTAGCAGTTTGGAGCAAACCAGAACACTGGATTTGGCACAAATGGACAACAGCCAGGAGTTAGTTATTTCTCCCATTTTACTGTTTCAAACATGATTTTTGAATGTTTCATAGCTCTTTGTGATAGTGGAATAACGTCAATATGCAGAATACAACTTTAATATAATTAATATTTCTTTTCAGCAGTTGGGCAACACCCAAAACAGTGGAAACCTTGGTTTCGGAGGACAACCTTTGAATGTGAGATGAGATTTCAATCAATATTCAAAAATAAAATACTGATTTTTTTTCAGAACGGTCTCGTAGGTCAACCTGGACTGAACACTGGAAATCAGGTTTGGAAAAAAAAATTCCCGCGTTTTGAAAATTTTTTTTCTGTGGGCCCTCCTTCTCTCTCGGCGACTCTCTTATTTTGGCTCGATATTTTCATGTTTCTCTGACCTCGCCGGTGAGAGAACAGAGAGACGCAGACACTGGAAAAGTTTCAAGTCTATGAAAAATGAAGGGAAACTAGACGGAAATCATGATTTTTTTTGAAGCAAACCGGCTTCCGACAACCTGGTCAAGGAGGTCAACAAGGCTACTACGGACAGTTTGGGGTAAAATTTGAATAATTTGGAATATTGCCCTTTTTCGGGACTTAAAAGGGTGGGGCTTTTCTCTGCCCTCCTCTCGGGAACTCTCTCATTTTGACGTGCCGGGATGCCAAAGGGCGTGGCCTGTCTGCGCTCTCCACTAACCAGACACTGTCTCTTTTTTCTTATCGTGTCAGGACCCTTTTTTTCGTTGGCTCGAGCCACCCGTGAATCAGCTATACTGTATTTTTTTTGATAGTTCAAGCCATGGTAACATCAAAAAGCTAGTAATCCAACAAAAAGGGCAGTTTATTGACCAAAAAATGGAATTTTTCTAAAAAATGATCATCCTGTTCATTTCCAGCAACTCCAACCAACTCAGCCGGTCGCCGTCGACATCTCCAAGCCGATTTTCGGAAGAAAAAGAAAATAAACCCTCCTCGTTACTATTTTAATAAATATCTGTTAATAAACATGCTGCGAAGCCGTGAAACCGGGTCATTCCCACAATTACTTGGCCCGAAAATGGCCGGGAACAACTACGAAGCGGTGGACACTTCGTCGACAACTTCCAAGGGACTTTTCGTGCCGCCCGTTTTGGCGCCGCTCAATGTACAGGCCAAGGCTTTTGAACTCGTCGCCAAGCATGATCCCGTCACTAAAGCGTGAGTGGGTCCCATTAATTGCTGGTTTGGGTCAAAAAATGTGCAACAAATGTTTAGAAAAATCCCCTCTTTTCGTGAGAAAGTCTTTACAAACTATTCCACCGATGTTTTTTTAAAGCTCGGGCAAAGTCGGAATGATGGATAATGGCCGCTAAATGGGATAGGCTCCAAAAATGCCGCAGAAAGGCCGCAAAAAGGCAGCAAAGGAAGACCCTTTATCGAGCCTTCCATTTTTCTGAGATTTTAAAGGCTCAAGAAATGGTGGAAAAAGGGAGAGGCAGCAAAAATGGTGCATAAAAGCCGATAAAATATCGCAAAAAGCAAAAAAGAACCTTTGTCGCCCTAAAAGGAACATTTTTGGAGCCCTTTTCGACCCTTTCCGACTTCTTTTTAGAATTTTGACATTTGAAAGTTTTAGAGCTTTTTGGGAAGGCCTGAATCCCTTAAAAGGACGTTATTATCTAATTTTTAATGATTCTTCCTTAAAAATCAATAGAAAATGGAAAAGCCACTTTTCAGAACTCAATATACCTACCGTCTCATTTGGAACATTCCGACGGACTCAGTTCCAGAAATAGGCGAACGACTCAAAAACACGCCGCTGAAACTCGTCAGCCCCAGTGCGGGTTCATTTATTAAACTGAAAATAAGAAGGAAAGAACATTTTGAGAAAACGCAGAAATGTTGCGATCCCAATGCGACGGGCCGTGTCGCGCCATGCATTACGCCAAAGATCTGAACGTTTTGGGAAGGTTTTTTTTTCCGTTTTCTAGGCTCATGAGCAGGGAAAAAGGCGGCTTTTCGGTGTGGAGTTTTGTCTTATAGTCTTTTCTTTTGAATGTCAAGTACAAAATGAAATTATTGGAAAACACTCTGTGGATGGCTCGCTCTCTGATTGGTTTTTCGCGTCATTAGGGGCGGAGCTTGAGCGAAGAATTGACCTACAAAATCCAAAAAAACGTTCTTCGTAAAAGCCTTCCACTATTCGTATTTTTCCGAATTTTTTCTAAAAATAAGAAAAATTCAGATGCAATCATTTACTCTGTGCGGCTTGTTACGGCCTCGTCGTGAATGAAGATGGTTTTTTATTTTGCTTTTTCTGATTACGGGCGAAATCCAAGCGGCCTTTTAAAGGCCCTGAAAGAAGGAAAAGCTTTTTTTTTTCTAAATGGTTCAACTAATTTGTTTTTCTAGGCTTCATATTCTCACCTTTCAAAGAATAAGGACCTTTTCGTTTTTTAATTTTTTTTTTTTAGAACTTCTCATTTTTAAAGCCTTTTTTGTTTTGCATAAGAAGGTCCTTCCAACAAAAACTAATGAAAAGCTGTAAATTTTTTTTCTTAACCTCATTTCTAGTGATTTTTCTCCTTCTGAATATGCTCTGAATTTTTTTCTCTAGGCACTCCCGGCTGTAGCTCGTACCGTTGCTATTGGAAGTATAACATATCGAAAAAAAGAGGTTTTTCAATTTTTTTCCCCCAAATAATGTTTTTTTCCAGGTTTGCCGAAAACAGCGCGAAAAAAAGCGAGAGATTTGAAGATTAATGGAGTGAATGACGTCAAGGTATAAAAATTATCGAAAAATTGTAACATTGATTGATTAAGGAAGCCTCGCTGGCCGAATCGAAAACTAGCCTCACCAACGAGTCAAAGTCTCAATCGTTCGTTTTTTTTTTCTCCTGTAGCCCGATTTGGTCACTTTTTGAACATGCCAAAAAGAAATTACCGCAAACGGATTTTTCAAATTTTAGCTATACAAAACTGCAGAAAAAGCGATGCTAAAAAGCTTTTTTTAAAAGGCTTTGCAGCGAAAATTGAAAAATTGGTCCATTTCGGTATACCATTTTTTATGCAGAAAATAGGGACAAGAAGGGCAAAGGCTGGTAAAAAAAAAGCGAAAATCTGAATTGAAAGTTAAAAAACAATTAAGTATGCCTCATCAATCGATATTCTGTAAATGATGAGTTCAATAAATAAAAAAATAGAATCAAACTATTTTTCTTTCTATGTTTTTCCATTTATTAATTAGTTTTGCATTCCAACGGCAACTGTTTTATCGGTGGAGCGCAGAATCTCATAAAAAACGGTTCCAGAAGTGATACGATCTCCCGCTTCATCGAATCAAAGTCCCAAATCTCTGACATCCGGTGCTCTCCACTGAATACCTCGCTGAAGCCGATTCCCTCAGTTCTCAACGACATTTCCAAGGCCGGGGCAGATGGCGAAGTCAGTTTTTGAAAGAGTTTCATTTCAAAGAAAAAAGGCGAAAAATAAAAATAGTTAAAACTTATCTAAGTAACCTATCGTTCAACAAAAAGTTGAAAAAAAAGAAAAATGAATATTTTCTGTTTTTTGGTTCACAGTTTATTCACCTTGACTTTAAACGCGGGGGTAATATTGTAGTTCAAAAAGACCGTTTTTTTCGCTTGTTCTGATGTTTTCTTTCTCTGTTAAAGAACAAGTCGTTTTCGGGTCGGTTGCGCCAAAAAAAACAGCCGCTCACGCCTCGAGCCATTCCAAATGCGGCCATGGTCTTTAAATTAAAAAAGCTCACTTATAATTCAACTTTAAAAAAATAGACGCCGAAAAAAAATCAAAAAGGTTCAGATTAAATTTCAGGAGTTGACCCAAAAAGTTCAAATTTTGATTTTTTGTTTTTTCCAGCTCAGCTTTCCCAACATGACTGAAATGATTTTGCTGCGCGTGATAATTCTGGAGAATGGGCCATACGACACTGTTCAGAGGTATGCTCAAGTGGTCACTTGATCGTTTCGCGTTTGAATTGTCCTTTTGGTCACTCTAGGGAACACTCAAGTTACCACTAGCTTTTCATTTTTTTAAGGTGGCCTAGGTCCACTTCTACAAGATTTAGTGCCCCTATAAGGGGAGGTGTGATGGTCCCTAGAGGGAAACCTTCCAGTGCCCCTAAGGATGCCCCTCTAGAGTCCAATCTGTCGTTCTCAAGTAATAGGGACTAGGGGAGCCGTTTTCAAAGTTGTCTCTTAAGTGGCTGCTTGGATCACTCAGACCGCCCTTTTAAGGAGCCACTTGATATTTCCTCCGTTTTTGTACATTACTTATGAAGCCGAAGAACTTGGTCTCTTAAGGGCTCACTTGGCTCGTGAAGTTCCGGCGTGGCAAACCCTCGCCGCCTCTTTGGACGAGATTGTCGCCAGCCGAGGAATGTAAGTTTATAGTTTCGTGTCGTGAATTGTAAATGAGAATTCATAGAATTGATAATTATGAGGCATAAGATTATAAAAAGAAAATTGTAGAAGCTGATAAAAAAAATCAGGTATTTTTTTTTTTTTTTCTCGCTAGGCGCTTTTAAACCTTTCGGTCTGTTTGGCAATGTTTTATGTAGTTTTTATGGGACAAATGATCGGACTTAAAAGTCGCCGACTTGAAACAAGTTGCGCCCAAAGATTCCGTAAAAAAACCCAAGTTTTTATTCACTTTTTGGAGGCAACAGCGTTTCCTTTTGCAGCGGAAAATTTAGGAAAAAATTATTTTAAAAGGCTCGAATAGGGATTTTTCAGTCGGACAAGAGGAAAACAGAATCCAGACGTCTATTTTGTGACCCAAAAGAAAGGGGTCCGATATCTGCAGAGCATCCGAGGCGAAAAGTTGAAAAAGAAGATTTATCATTTCCCACTCAAGTACCACCTTTCCGTTCCGTTTTCAACTCAAAAACGAATTTTTTAGACAAGGAACTCTGATTTTTGTCCTCGACGCGATCGGCCAAATCCAAAAACGCCAGCGGGAATCTGCTTGAATCATTCCCCGGCTATACTTTCCTTTTTTGCTTTTTTTTCCATTCCGAGACGTTTTCTTTCTTCGAATCTCAATGAAGAAAACTGCTGAATAAGTCTCGAAACTTTTGAATTTTGGCTCAATTTGGGGAATCGCCCAAGGTTTTATATTTCAGTTCTAGAAACTACTGAAAAAGGAGAAAATTTATTTACAGGTGTATGAACAATAAGTAGTAAACTTCATTTTTTTTTTTCTCACGCATTTTTTCCTTCTTTTTCTTTTTTCTCTTTTTTCTTTTTCTCCTCCGCTTGGACGGCGCAAGGATCGCGTAACCCGTGCCCCGCCCAAACCCTTCTCGCGATATCGTGACAATCAAGCGGCACGATATCGTAGACGCTCTGAACCCTTTCGACAACAGCCTCTAGAAGCTTTTTCTCGAAGGTCGGCTCCAATCGCGACGAATTTATCGGCTTCCCAAGGCCTCCGACGCCGAAAATTCGCTTTTTCGTGTTGCGATAGTGCCTGGAAACGTAATTAATCATCATAGAAGAATTGTAGGTTAGTTGGAAACTTTTTTGGATTAATTATTGTGTTTTTGTACAGATTCGAAGTTAAGAAGATCAAACTGCTTTTAACTAACTTTATAGAAATTGTATTTTGCTCTGCCTCTGACCGAAGATCCATATTTTCCTTCCGATCTTGCATCAACCAGTATCTTTCATCTCTTTTTTTTTCCTATTTTTCTACTTTTCTATTTGAAAATTTTTTTCACTTTTTCTGAATGTATTATTCCTCGTTGAAGATCTAAAAATTGCATTTTCTCTTGATCTTTTCATTTCATTGAAGTTGAAGATATCAAACTACTCATTTTTTGATAAGGGCAAAAAATGAATCTATCCTTTACTCTACACACGTTTGTAGCCATCCAAGGAATATGCACCTGATAATTCCGTCTCGAGCTTCCATGGGAGCGGACTTTATTCCTGGATACATTGAACTCGGTCTGTGGATCCACATGGAGCCAATCTGAACCCTCTATCTTTATAAAGTAATCTCGAATTCTTACCAATTCCGGTCGGATTATACATTTTTGCCGAACACCAGGCCCTTGCTCCTCCATCGTTTCTTGATATTTCATGAAAATCAGTTCCGATAGCAGCTGTAATAATTTAGAACTATTATTAAAAAGGATTGTTTAAAAGAACCTGAGATTTATTGACGTATTTGGCAGGAGAATCTCCCGTTTTGAGCACGTTTTGTACACGCCATTCGATATTGCCGACTTTTGGATCAGTAACTTTTCTGGAGATTCGAGATTCAAGAATAATTGAAGTGATAGTTACTGTAATTGATTCGCTACAGTATTCCCAACTTTCTTCATGACCATCCGCTCATCGATATCGATAAAAGCCGACCATTTCGAGTGATGTTTGCTGCGTTGGAGGCAGTCCTGAGGAAAGATAAGAAGATTAAATCGACTAGAGAACATTTTAATAAAGTTTTTGGAGTTCCAGGAACTTCGAGAAAGTCATTTTTCCCACCATTCTCGGAAAATAAGAAAAAAAAGCAGGCGGTAGAAGTTGACAAAAAGAAAAAGTTCAAAAGAAAGTAGGCTATAACATAGAAAAGTCGCAAGAAGGGCACAATAATTGAACTTTTTTTTTCTATTTTTCAATAATCTTTCTTCCTACTTTCAATTCCTGAAAGGTTTCAATGTAGAGGAAAAGTTTTCCGACCCTGTACATTTTTGAGGCCTTCAAAACTCACAAAAACCTCGACCATGTGGACCAACCAGTCTGGTCTTTCGAAACGGTCATGCAAAACTATCAAATCGATCTCTCCTGTCCTGGAAACATGAAATATTGGACATGCTGAAAAGTTTTTTTATTACCTAACATAGTCATCCAATATAACACGATCGTTTGGATTCACTTCGAATAAATAAACATAGAAGTGATCGGCTCCCTAAGTGATTTTATGAATGAAGACTGGCTAGAAATCAACTTGAAGCTTGTAATGTTCGATGAACTCGACGATTTGCATCCATTTCGGCTCGTCGCCGTAGAGAGGCGCCAGGCAGATCGAGAAGAAATGCTCGGGTTCTCAATTATTCAGATTTAGTTCTGAAGACTGTATTCCAACTTATCAATTGCTATTTATTGATAAAGAACCGTTTTGTAAACTTCAGAGGGGTCCTAACCTTAAGGTCCTTCCGAGAGTCGCCTTTAGGGACCACTTTACCAACCCCTATAATAAAGGTCACTGGAGCTTGCAGAATCGGTCTCTCTCTCTATAGGGGGACCATTGTGGAATTTCGAAGTATCTGATTTTTTGGTCTTTTCCGAGATTAAATAAAGGTTATCAATTACTATCTATTGGAGAAGCTCCATAATTTTTTAACCTCTCTGAAACTTGAATTAGAAGTCAAGAAACCTGGCTGAGTCCTGTCCAAAATCGGAACTGGAGGCTGAGGTTTGTCCTCCAGCTTCTCAGTCAGGGACATGAACTTGGCGCCAGCCCTCCGGCCACAGTAAACTGTTGATTCCGGAAAAACTACCGATTTAAACGGATTCTCGATTTCTTTCCGATGACAGTCGAAGTAACGGCAAAAAACAGTAGTACTGGAAAAAATCAATTCTGAAGGGATTTTTGGAAAAAAAGACAGACTTGTACAAATTTTGCGACGTTATGGTCACAGCAATGTACTTTGAATAGACGTAGGCACCTAAAACCGATAGATTCGCTCGTAAATTACCCTGAAAATGAAGTTTTGTTCGATTTTTAATATTTCCAACCTCTCTGGAAACTCCTTTCTGACGCCATTCTTCGTGTATCTCATGGTTAGGGATTCGATCAGTCGTGATATTATTCCAATCCTCGAATTTGCAGCCATTTGGTGTCCTTAAATGGAACTTAAGTTATTGATTGAAATAGTAAGTTCACTTTTCCTTCTAGAGAAAATGGCCAGAATACTCCTTGATTAACCAAAAAAAGATTCTGAAAGTCTCAACCTGCCCAATTTCCTCGTTTTTGAGAAAAGACGCTTCAAATTCTAAGAAAACCCTCAAAATCCATTTAAAAAAAAGCTATTTTGAGGCTATAGGCAATTATTTCTCGAAAACTAGGAAGCTGTGCAGGTTGAGACTTTCAGGATCTTTATCTGGTACATCAAGGAGCGTTCTGGTCAATTTTCAGAAAATCCCCACCCGCAAAGTAAAATGACCTCCCCTGGGAGAAAGTCTGAAAAAACCTCAAAACTTTTGACGATGTCGTTAGTTTCAATGAAGTTTTTTTTGATCCCGAGGACTTTTTTGAGTTTTGTGAATCGCTGACAATTATCCCAGAGAATTGTGTGTGATTGTTCTCTGAAAAATGAAGATTTCAAGAGATTTGAAATCTGAACTCACGTCCTGAATTATATACGAAAAGAAAGTAGAATATGATGAAGGAGACGATGAGAAGAGCGACCAGAGAAAACCCGTTACTTTGCATCCAGCTGGAAAAAAGCTTTTTTTTTTGTATAGTCTGTGTACCACGACTTGAAATTTCACGCAACGACATTCCGCTGCGCGCCTTTGCGAACCTTGGTAGCGCTTTTATTTATTTATTTATTTTATTAAGTTACTCTACTTTTCTGTGCTCTCACAGCAATAACAATCAATTGAAAGCGTGACCTAGATACGGATGACGCTTCGCGTACGCACGCAGCGGAACAGCGGAATGTCGTTCCGTGAAATTTCAAGTCGTGGCACATAGACTGTAGAATCTCATCAGAAATACTAATATTTTTTTATAGCTCGTTCATATTTTGAATGAAAAATACAATGATGTCATTCGAGAAAGCTCTGTGGATGGCTCGTTCTCTGATTGGTTTATCTTAGGGGAGGAGCTTGAGTGACTAATGGAAATTGAGAAACTGGGCAGACTATAATGTTACATTTGAATTGTGAAATCTGTTGAACTATGGCTTTTTTAAGCATTAAGAGTTTCAAAACGAAAATTTGTTTTCACAGTACTTCATTATATCGAAAATTCCGCACCTCTAAAAACCCAGAAATTTTTTCCAAATAACTATATAATGTTATATTTTGCTAGACAACGTAGTTGTTGAAGTAAAATATTTATTATATCCTAATACGTAGAAACGATCACATAGCTTATAGCTGTTTGCCCTTATGGTCTGAACTTTAAATTCGGCGTATACGTGATCTATCAGATCGCGTGAGCCGATCTCACGAGCTTTGCGTAGTGAGACTCATTCCCAGCTGTTCAAAGCTCTTCGTTCCTTACGCGTACTCTTTTACCAGATATACTTAATGAACTAGCCGGGTTCCCGTCACCTTGGTAAACCATTGCGGTTTTGCCTGTCTAGCGCAAAGGAGATGTTTTCAAACTTTTTCTCAGTTATGAGAATTTATGAAAGTGCGCCTGCCCACTTTTTTTCTCTCGTGGTGTGACCGGTACTGTATCCCTTTTCCTTGAACCTTGAGCCTTTGTTCCTGGCGTTCAAACTCTTGGAACCCATTTCGAACGATTTCAATGGCAATTTAATGCCTGCTCCAAGCCGATGTATGGCTGAGGATCGCTCGAGCTGACCCACTTCTAAGCCTCAATGTCCGGGCGGGATCAAGTGAACCTTTTTAAGCTGTATCTTTCGAAGGTCACTGGGTGGGATATCTGATCGTTTCTACGTATTAGGATATAATAAATATTTTTACTTCAACAACTACGTTGTCTAGCAAAATATAACATTATATTCCAAATACTACGAAACGATCACATAGCTAGTTTAAAGCAACATTGAGGCTGTGGCTCTTAAAGCTTCGACAGATGTGCTCGCGAGCATCGATCGGACCGAGGATTTATCCACCATTGAAGATCTTGTTTAGAAAACCCTTCCTTGTCGCGATTCTCATCTCCATGGTTCGGAGATCATCCGTCAGTACTAGCTATCGACGTGTATAAAGCCTTTTACTGGCTTATCCGCTTATACCCTCTGCCTCGAGCAACGTACATGTGTATTTGTTGATGAGTCCTGTCTTTGGACTCGTTGGGTATGAACTGCGGAAATTTTTCCTTCTCCATGAGAACTGCTCCTGGTTAAGCAGAAATTGTACGTTTTCGAGACCAGTGATTTTTAGGTAAAAGCTTTTTTTCTCTTCTTTGAACCTTTTCGTTCGGAGATTGCCTTCAGTTGTATACCTCCAACTTTTACCTAACTTCCATTTCTGAAGCTGGCAGCGACTCAACCCTCTTCTTTGGTCATGAGGTGGTCTAGCTTCCTTGGAATGGCTCCCACGATCCTTCACGCCTTTCTAGCGTATACAGCATCATCGCTCCTTTTCCTGGAAGCTGCTGATTTCGATACCTCATTCAACCCATGAACCACACCATGGTTCGGATTCCGGGGAATATACAATTTGATGCAAATTGTTGGGTTTCGAAAGATCTTTGGAACTTTTAACACTGTCTCTCTGCCAGAGTGGACTACGACCCGCTCTCTCCGCATGTATTATGCCACGTCGCGATGATCATTACTTATTCATCGTGGAGAGCTGGTGATCCGAATCAGATCCGAGCGTAAGTTTGCGCATTTTGACTCTTTCTACCTAATGAGTAGATCCTCATTATTTTAGGTAGGCAAACTTGTTTCTCAAGGCATCTTCATACTGTCTGTCAGTTTTCTGGCCTGTGCACTCTCGGAACTCTGATTGTTCTCTGCTAACCTCTTCTTGTCCAGATCGCTGATACGTCAGCTATACTTGTGAGCTCAAGCTTTCCTGGCTCATGTAGATGAGGCTGAGGCTGTCTCCTTCCGTTGACTAAACTTCAACATTTGCGGAGAAAAGGGACATACCAAACCATCATTTACTCTTGTAATGCAGTAACCGGTTGGTCTAGCCATCTATGAGTGATTGAGATCGATCTCCTGGCTTTATCCCTGGACGTCTCTATGAGCGTCTGTGTCACCTTGTCAGTGATGAGGTAACTTTGGCATGCTAGATCTATTCCGACTTGACGTCTTTGAATCTTGCCGAAGGATCAAGTTCCAACTTTGCTAGTTGTTCTTTGATTCAGATCCACGAAGCCTCCATTTTTAGTCGGCTGAGTGGAACAGCTCTGTGTACAACTCTTTTTTTCCCTCTCATTTTTCTTTCCTTGAGTTTCGGGTTCTTGCTTGCTCGCATACAGAGTTGAGCCACAGTTCCTTTCTCATAGCCTGGTTTCCAGATTTTTCTGGAGCTGAGAGTCCAATACCTCTCGTTCCTGAGGGCGATTGTCGATCATTGACAGATTGAGCCTCATCATTAACCGGGTGAATTCGCTTTGTAGGAACTGGAATGGACTGCGGCTTAGATCCTTCATATGAAAGTGATAATTTTCTTCGCTGTGTAGCGGCCTCTCGAATCGGTTTTTCCGTCTACCTCTCCGATGCCAAGCATCGAATCAGGCTTGAATGACGGTGATCTGAGGTATCACTATCGATCTGATGCCATCGCCGGGAAGGTGTACATCCGCCAGATATTCGAGGCTTTCCAGCTTTCTGTATTGGAATTTTCTCGAACAGGTATTCGCTGTTTCTGGTCCTTCTGATGTCTTCTCAGCTATTTCTGAGCTATCTCGCCTTGGATTTTCTCCTGTCGCATTTTTCTAGCTTTCGGAGCTTGCGAAACTGGCAAGATGTCGAACTGTTGACTAGCCATGGACGAGAATCACTTCTCTACTGGCGGTCGGCTTTCGAGGCCTTTAATCATTGATCTCAATGATTGTCTATGAAATCCACCGTTCTGTGATCCAGAACCATTATAGCTCGGATTTCTTTACAGTTCGTCGACATGAGCTCATGGAGGAGGTCGAAAGCAACTCGACTCTTCTATGTTTGAACCCTCACTCGTTTGGTGAAACAGGTTCTTTTTTCCCGATGATCTCCCAGCATGAGGTTGTGAACACTCGTGATAATCGAGAAACCATCAGGGTTCGTGCTCGGATCAAATAGTTGACCAGGACGGAGGGTAACTCGTTCTTCCTCTAATGGCTCGGGAGCTTTAGTCTTTGCGTTTGCCCGGCCTCGTGAATAGGCGTTCACGATGCTGAACTTTGGGAGTCCTTTGCTTTGGGACGTTTCATCTGTCCCAAAGGATAATGGATCTCCTTCTGGCCAGGAGTTCCTTGTATTGCCAATTTAATTGATAGAAGACTGGAATCGACAGCGATTTCGTTGACTATTCAATTGGAACTAACTTGTTCCCTATCGAGACGTTTGAGGTCTGTCAGTGGTGATGTACCGACTGACGTTCAGGGAAAAGGTCTTTTCCTCCGTCCTGAACTTCAATATCTCGGAATAGTTCGATTCAATCTATTCTATGTTGGCTTTATTTCCACAATTAGGAAAATTTTTTCCTCTTGGCGAGGTCGAGTGCTCGAAGCTTTCTCGTGCGTCGCGACTCTGCTTTAGTGATTTCCTGTCAACACGCTCCGTTTCTCTTGTTCGAGAAAAATCCTTTCTTATGGATCGTATTGAAATGATTGACTTCTCTGAGGTATTTCGCTCCTATCTTCTAATGAAGAACGTTTAGAAAAACAAACGGAGCTTTCAGAAATTCGATAGATATCGTATCTTCCTCCTGCTCTAGGAACTGGCAAAGTAGCTTCTCTTTCCGCTACTGTGTTCGCCAGGTTCAAGGAATCTATCGTCTTTGACGACGAACCGCGTCGTGATTCTCTCGGTTATAGAGCTTATGCCATACTCTCCTCTATGTCTCATTTTGGATTATCTCCAAATCGACTAAAATCAGTCGGCATCATCCTTCTGTTCAGGAACTGGAGATACCGCTCTCTTTGTTGCGAGCGCGTATGTATCTCCTGGAGTTGGCAGCCCAGTTATGAACCTGGCTTATCATCAGCATATTTTACTGCTTTCCAGCATACCTCTGTGCTTCATTGCGGATACTTCTGCCTTGTATGTTATCCTCTTTCCTCATGGAATGTGGGTTCTGATGACCGCTTCTCACTCAGCGAGGATCGCAATGAAACTCCTCTGACGCCTTCTCTTCTCCGAGAAGTACTACACCGTCAGACAGAATCATGTTTCCAGAAATTTCAGCTTCTGGGGCACTATGATCAAAGTGCGTAGAATCCTTGCGGATTTATGGATTGAATAATCTGCATTCTTTCATAGGATTCTAGTCGAACCCTGGTTTCTCAAGGTGACATGCATCTGGCTAGTTCAGGATTGCACTTCCTGTTCGCCAATCGCCTCGTGTCTGATATAGGCATAACCAACGGCTTCAGTTTGTTACTGGAAACCTCAACTGGTTTTCCTCAGGTTGACAAACTTCTTTGTCCTTGCCTGATTCGTTCCCGAGGACCCGGATCTCGACGAAATTTACTTCGGAGTTCCAGGATTGGTCCTATTTGGGATCAACAGTTTCTTGTTGCTCTGGTCCGGGTAGTGACTCTGACTGTCAGTGAGACCCCGGGCCTTGGTTCCTTCACGGATCCACTTTCGCTTAATTTACGGATATCAGTCTCCGTTGGTTTAAGCGCGATCCCTGTGGGTTGTGTATCACAGGGCCTCTGACCTCGGTTCCATGTTGGATCCGATTTTTTGGTTCGAACCAGGTGAACGAGATCTCCTGGTTCTCACCAGGATCCTGTCTGACTCCGACAGGACCCCGACCGATCTGTAGCACAGGGCCTCAGACCTCGGTTCCATGTTGGATCCGATTTTCGGTTCGAACCAGGTGAACGAGATCTCCTGGTTCTCACCAGGATCCTGTCTGACTCCGACAGGACCCCGACCGATCTGATGATCAGTCGCGTCGACCGAAGAGCTTTGAACAGCTGGGAATGAGTCTCACTACGCAAAGCTCGTGAGATCGGCTCACGCGATCTGATAGATCACGTATACGCCGAATTTAAAGTTCAGACCATAAGGGCAAACAGCTATAAGCTATGTGATCGTTTCGTAGTATTTGGAATATAATGCATAAAAAAATGACAAGAAAATTGTTAAGTAGAAAAAAAGATGAAAACTCGTAATTTTTAAAGTTGTTCACAAGCAACGGACTTTTCGAAAAAAAAATGAAGAAGGGCAGTGTTTTTCTACAGAGAAGAAGCTCAAACTCGAAAAATATTTTTGAGAAAGAAGAAACTTTGGAAAATAAATTTTGAATGGAAAACGAGGGGCGGTTTCCATGCGCGACGGTCTCTAAAAACTTTTTTTCTGACTTTTTCCAGTTTTTTTCAGTTTTTTTCAGATTTTTTTGGATTTGTAAAAAAAGAGCTATGAATTTGAACGAACTTTAAAATTTGTCTGAGTAAAAAAATAAAAAGTTATAATCAGTTCCCGCACCACACCCTTTTCTTATCTAATTCACAACTGAACTGATAATTAGCCATATCAAATAATTTATTGCGTCCGAAGATAAAACACAAAATTCGATCAATCTTATCATTTCTTTGATCATACTGAAAATGATTTACAATAGGCAAAGTCGGAAAGGGTGAAAAAAGGCTCCATAGAAAAGTTCCTTTTGGGTGACGAAGGCTCCTTTTTTGGTGCCTTTTTGCGCCATTTTCTCGGCCCTATTGCACCATTTTTGCTGCCTCTTCCTTTTTCGACCCTTTCTTGAGCCTCTTAAAATCAAGAAAAATGAAAGGCTCGATAAAGGGACTCTCTTTGCTGCCTTTGTGAGACCTTTATGGAGCCTCTACCTTTTAGCGGCCATTACCCACCATTTCGACTCTGCCCGAGTTGTCTGGAGATATTAATATAAAGATCAAAATTCACAAAAAAAGGTCTTGAAACGATCAAAAATAGGAGAGATTTGCAACTTTTATAACATTATGATCATTTGACGTCAAGCTAATGATGGTTAATAATCTAAAAATCGCTGAAATTCATGTTGCATAGTACAAAAGTCATACAAAGACGTAAATTCAACAAACAAAACTCGCAAAAAGACAATAAAATCTTTAAAAGTGGTCTGGATTTGTTGTATGTAATTGAGGGATATTTTACTTTTTCCTTTTTTTGTTTCAACGTATAAAATGCGGAAAAATGTTTTTTGCTACAAAAAATGACACATTTTTGAGCGATGTGGGCGTGGCCCTGCGGTCCTTGATTTAACTGTTTTTGAATGTTTCGAAAAGTTGAGAAAAATCAAAAGCTTTTTTCTTATCATACAAACAAGAATTCCATTTTAGGAGTTCCTCCGTTGATTCATAAAATATCAAAATACGCCACGTTCCCTCTTTGATAAGATGGGTTTTCTTTAGGAGGTAATAAAACATGTTCCATTGATTTTAACAGGAAAAGTATCAAAAAAGAAGAGAATATTTTTTTCGTTCCAAAGCATTCTCTTTTTTTATTGCTAGAGTTGAAAAAAATTTAAATATAAAAAAAAATTTTTTTATTCATCTCAATAAAAAAACATACATATAAATAAAGGTAAGATCTTATGATTTTTCCAATCGTTAGCTAACGTTTTTTTGCTTTTTCTCCGCTTCAACGACGCAAGGATCCCGCAGACCATGTCCCGCCCAGACTCTGTGCGCGATATCGCGACAGTTCAGCGGCACGATGTCGTAGACGCTGCGGACTCTTTGGAAAACGGCGTCAAGGAGATCCTTCTCGAAAGTTGGTTCTAATCGCGTTGAATGCGTCGGTTTCCTGAGGTTTCCGGCTCCGAAAACGCGGAGTTTTGTGTTGCGATAATGTCTGAAAATAAATGTTTGAATATTAATTAATCTCACGGAAAAGAATAAATCAGTGAAATTTTTTGAATATTCAATTTCATTTGTGTATCCAAATTTGAAAAAAAGCGATGTCGCTGGCGGTACCTTAGCGATATCGCAAAAGTTCCGCACTGGTCTCCCATTTTCCTTGGCGCGATATCGAATTTCTCTTGCCGCGAACTCGTACCTTGGATAATTTCAAAGTTTTTCTAGTGCATGAAAAGCGACGTCGGGTCAAGGAAAATGCGAGTCCGACGCGGTTCTTTCGCGATGTCGTCAACGTACCGCAGCTCGCTTTTTTTCTCGCGCCGAACTTTCATTCTCTATGCGGTTTTAGCGGGATAAAATTAAGTCCAAGAAAGCCAAAATATTGACCTGACAACTCCATTCTCGGCTTTCATCGAAACTTCTTTCGTCCCTGGATACATTGCACTTGGACTATGGATAGCCATGGCGCCGATCTATAAACTTCAGTTCATTTTTTTCGAGAACCTTTTTTCACCATTTCCGGGCGGACTATGCATTTCTGTCGAACCCCGGGGTTCTCTACCGGCATCGTGTCCAGATATTTCATGAAAATCAACTCGGAAAATAACTGAAATCATTATAAATCATACTTCATTCAGTTTTATAATCTGTATGCCACGGCTTGAAATTTCACGGAACGACATTCCGCTGTTCCGCTGCGTGCGTACGCGAAGCGTCTTTCGAATCTAGGTCACGCTTTCTATTGATTGTTATTGCTGTGAAAGCACATGAAAGTAGAGTACCTTAATGAAAGAAAACAAAAAATTAAAGCGTGACCAAGGTTCGCAAAAGCGCGCAGCGGCACTGCGGAATGTAATTTGGTAAAATTCCAAATCGCGGAACATAGGCTAACCTTGGGAAAAAAGTCAAAACAGATATGTCCCTTTTTTTGCACATTTTGCTAATTGCACTATATATCGCCCCAAAGTAGCGACGAATAGACTATTGAAAAACCTGAGAATCATTTTCATATTTTGCCGGAGAATCGTCAGTTTTCAATACAGTTTGAACGCGCCATTTGACATTCCCGACTTTTGGATCCGTTATGTTGCTGAAACATTTTTTTTTGTTAGAAAAATGGGTGCTACGACAACAACAAGTTTTTCTTTTCGAAAAGTACTGTATGTGAAGAGCCGCAAATGTGCACCATGCGTGTACATTTGCGGCCCTTCACATACAGTACTTTGTTTGCACATTTTGTCGCACCTCCAGTTTTGTTCGAAAATTTTTATCGAAATGACTAACTACTAGCAGACAGTTGGATTACGTCAACTTCATTTTGAATTATTGTAAAACAAAAAATAAACGAACAGAAAAAAAAATGAGACCACTTGAAATGTGCAAACACGCCAACTGCGGACTTTAACTTACAGTACCCTTCGAAAAAGGGAAAATCACTCTTGCCGAAGTTTCGAATGAAAATTGTGGAAAAACTTACTGTAAATAGTTAGCTACAGTATTCCCAGCTGTGTTCATGACCATCCTCTCATCGATATCGATAAAAGCGGACCATTTTGAATGATATTTGCTTCTTTGAAGGCAGTCCTAAACAGATGAACATTTTTTTTTCCATATTATTAATAATTTTTATAAAATTCTCTGCAATCCTAACTTAAAAATAAAATAAGTAGACTGCAAAAGTTTACGAAAACTCTTCAAAGACACATTAGTGACCTTTGCCATTCACTTAAAAAAATTTTTTTACAAAAGAACTTTTGAAAAATCAAAAATGTCGCCATATAATTTTAAAAGTCCTTGTTTTAGACCTCCGAAACTCACGAAAACCTCGACCATGTGAAACAACCAATCTGGCCTTTCAAATCGATCGTGCAGGATGATCAGATCGATCTCACCTGTCCTGAAATAACCAAAATACCTTGATTTATAAAAATTTCTTTGAATCACCTCACATAGTCATCCAATATAATGCGATCATATGGGCTAACTTCGATAAGATAAATGTAGAAATGGTCGGCTCCCTGAATGATATAATGAATGAAGACTGGCTAGAAATCAACTTGAAGCTTGTAATGTTCGATGAACTCGACGATTTGCATCCATTTCGGCTCGTCGCCGTAGAGAGGCGCCAGGCAGATCGAGAAGAAATGCTCGGGTTCTCAATTATTCTGGCTGACTTTTGGAGAAATCGATCAAACTTATTCATCACTGTTATTGGCAAAAGTGGTTTACGAACCTTTCTGTACTTAGAAACTTCAGAGTAGTCCCTATAGCGGAAATATCGAAGGCTTTTTGGAGGGAGGGGGTGATCACTACTAACAACTACTTTACCAACTCCTATAGGGCCCACTAAAGCTTGCAAAAGTGGTCCTTTTAGGTGCCACCCCAAGCCGTAAGCACCAATTTTTGGCCACTGTTTTTTCCCTTAACCCCTATAGAGACCACTCTGTGATTTTTAAGTATCTGATTTCATTGACCGTGTACCTTGTTCGGGATTAACTATCAACTACTATCTATTGTAGTAGCTCCCTGATTTTCTAACCTCTCTGTAACTTGAATTAGAAGTCAAGAAACCTGGCTGAGTCCTGTCCAAAATCGGAACTGGAGGCTGAGGTTTCTCCTCCAGCTTCTCAGTCAGGGACATGAACTTGGCGCCAGCCCTCCGGCCACAGTAAACTGTTGATTCCGGGAAAACTCTCGACTCAAATGCCATCTCGATTTCTCTCCGATGGCAGTCGAAATAGCGACAGTAGACTTTCTTACTGAAATCTGTGGTCATTCAAAATTTTCAGAGATCAAAACTAAAACGGACTTGAATAAATTCTGTGAAGTGATGGTAACAGAAATATGCTTCGGATAGACGTAGGCGCCTAAAAGCGACAAATTTGCCCGTAGATTGTTCTAAAAAAAGGTTTATAGTTTGATCATCTCAGTCATTCTAACCTCTCTGGACACTCCATTATGACGCCATCTATCGTGTAAATCTTGATTTGGTATTCGATCCGTCACAATATTATTCCAATCCTCGATTTGGCAACCATTTATTGTTCTCAAATGTAATCAGTTAGCATATCAAGAAAACTTTCCCGTGGTTTGAAACCGTCTGGCTTGTCTGCGCTCTCTTTTCTATCAAAAATCAAGAATGACTTGTTGAAACAACAACGCAAAAAAGCTAGAAGTCTTCAGTCATTGAGGAGAAAAATTTTATGGAAGTGATTATGGAAGTGTTAAAAGAACCTCAAAATTTTCGGCGCCTCTGTAGAAGTACTGGTAATGTTTTCCAAAGGCGGAAAATCCACCGATGAAGCTTTTAATGAATCTTGCAATTTTCTCACCATAACTTCTGACACTTCTGTGAGTTGGACCCCTAAAATTGTTTTTTATTGTCATTCACAGGCAAATGTGAAAGGTTCCTTTATGAATCTACAATGGCTGCGAAATGAAATCTTAAAGATTTTTACAGAAAAAACGGATTCGGACGGATCTTTTCTGTAGTTTATCTCGATTTTCGTAGGCTCTTCTACCGTTTCCATGTAATTTAGGTCTACAGCCCGCGCATGTTCAAGGCGGCCGGACGTATTACGGTAGTCAAATTAGATTTTTCAGTAATAAAATGAAAACTTGTGCACTTTTTGTAATGTAATTTATTTCGTAACCTCGAGAAATAGGTCCTCCAAAAATGGCAAAAAAAAAAAAGAAAAAAAAATTTGAAAAATTTCATGGCTCCAAAACTGACGGCCCAATTCTGACCGCCCACCGGCCACCGTAGAACTATCTTAAACATTCGTGAGCAGTCCGGTTGTTAGAAACTTTTTCGAAAATATTGCAAAAAGGCTCCAAAATGAGTCCAAAATTAACGAAAAAAGAGATCAATTGACAGATTGGATCCATCCGCATTTACCACGGTTTACCACGGTTTTCCAAGTTTTTTTTATTTTTAAAAGTTCAACCCACGTCTCGGATTATGTATAACAACAACGTAGAACATGGTGAAAGAAAAAATAGTTAGAAGAATCAAGAAAAAACCGCGATTATACATCCTTCCTGAAAAAATGTTTGTTAGACTTTTTTTCAAATTAAAGAAGGGCAATTTTTCTTTGAGTTTTTGAATTTTTTTCAAGTTAACCATAGTGTGTTGCCATAGATATTTACCATAGAAATACCATAGAAACCATAGAAAGAAGAGTTAACCAATAAAATTTCGGTTAAAAATCTTCACTTAGCGACCGCAAAGCCCTGCCCCTTTTCCCGATGGAAAAAAGGCCATTTTTTTGGTATTCAGGTTTTGATTGTTTCATACAACGGATAGAAATAATGTAAAATGATAAAAAATTTCAGCATATTCCCTTTTTTGGAGTGTAGCCGAAGTTAATTGACGTTTTAGAAATAAAGAATTAGTTTTATATACACAATCAACTTTTGAAAATCGAAAAAAAATCTTGAAAAGAAAAAGCTTCAAATTTGCTCAGAAATAAGGAAACAGCGGACGTCTTTCACGCAGATTTCCGTTTTGAATAATTTACTCGTAGTTATGGAAAAAATGTTTCTTTAGTTTGAAAAAAGCCTAGAATGAAGTCAAGATTATGTTCTTCCAATGTGACGAAATACGAGTAAAATTTTAAATTATTTTAAGAACGCCCTAAAAAAATGCTACCGTTTAAAAATATAAACTCATAAATCATCCTTCATAATAAAATAAAATATCACAAAAAAATTGGTCTCTGAACGAGGAAAATATAGGGGATTTGAGATGAAAACGAAATTGAACGATCCGAAGGGATTGAAAATGTTTCACACCAGGGCGGATAACAACTGGTCAAACACTTCTGACCGTTTTTAGTCGGCTGCACAATTAGCCCCTTTTGGAATCTTTTTCTTTTTTAGTTGCTTTAAAAGTTCAACAAGTGAAGCTCGGCTTTTCGAGTTTGAAAGAAAAGAAGCTTCCAAAGCATGGTTCAAAAGGTAGTTTTTTGAAATTTTGATCTGAGAAGTTATATTTATAATTTGAAGTTCAATTTTTCCTCTTTCGAGCTAGAGGACCTTTCTTCGATGCTTCTGAGCTGTCCCTGTGGCTTTAATATAACGCAAGTTTCGAGGCTAAATTGAAGGCGCATGCACAGAGACAGGCCATGCGCTTCGAAGGGAAGGGTTTTGCAGCTTGGAGGGAGGAATAATTGAACTTCGAAGACTATCAAAAAAGATTGTTTCTCTGAAGCAAACGCCCTCCACAGCTAATCAACAATCGGGACGTATATTTGAAACAAGAGATTCAGTTTTATTGCAGTTACCAAGAAATTCAGGAATAAACTGGCGGTGGCGCCATTATATGCGGTCCACAAATACAGACACCGTCTTCGCATTTCGCCCATCGAGTTCCCTTAAATAGAAATTCATCGAAGAGGAATAATACTGACGGTAGGGGGTTTAGAATTTCCATATGAGTAAATCAACTAAAAAGAGTGGAAATGATGGAAAAAGGAAGGAAGAAGAAATTCCAAATTTAGCCCTAAAAAATGCCAAGGAAAAAAAATTGTTTTTCTATTACCAGAAGGACAAGATCCACATACCATTCGATCAATCGGTTTCATTGAAGACTTTCGAAAGTCTCTAACTTTTTTTTACGGGCATTCTCTGCAGTTCTCGAGACCATATTTGGAATCAGCGTGAAAAACTTCATCTAGTAAATTTGGTCTCATTCACAAGTCCCACTGCGACCCTGCACCATTTTCTAGTGAGTTTGAGAACTTTAAACCGTAACTCCTAGAAAATTATTCCCAGAAATTTTTCAGAAAAAAGACCTCTTTCAGAGAAAAAAAATGATGTTTTTCGAGACACTCACATGACAGTAAATTTTGCAGGCAACTTCAATTATGCACAATACATCTGCTGAGGCGACGTGGAAAATAACAAAAAGTAATAAAAGAAACGGTTTCATTCTGAAAAAAAAAATAATGATTTTTTTAAAAGTCTACTTCAACCAACTTTGGCCTGAATAAAGAATGGAAATGAATTTTTGAAACAAATTTTCACGTTTTTCAAAGAATTATCCGCTTCAAAAAAAGTTCAGAAAAATTTTTTTGAAGATATACTAATTATAATAAGCTATGAGAGTTTGAACAAATGGAGTTTGAAATTTTTTTTTTTTTTTTTTTTAAACCCTTTTTTTCTTTCACCTGAAGTTTCTCGTATTTGGAATCTGAATAGGATTGTCAAATATTTGATGAAAAAAACTCCTTCCTTTCTGATGTTGATGTTTTTTTCGTGGCTGTGATTTGAAAAATAAGGATGTTTTTATTTTTATTTTTTTATCATCATTGAGTGATTTTTTTATACGTTCAAGTTATGTTTCAAACAACAACAAAAAAAACTCTAATTTGAAATTTATTCACGAAGGTAATCAGAGAAGTCGCAAGTTTACTGTGCTTTCAATAGAAAATAATATAATTTTTGTAAATCTGGCTCGCGATTTTTTGAGTTTCTTTTTTTTCATAGCCTTTCCCGGAAGTAGAAAACCAAAAAAAAAGAAGAACCTTTTGGCGGAAACCATGAGAACAGCGCTTCAGAATTTTAATTTGAAACAAATATATTTCTGGCCGAAGCGGAAAAAATACACTTTAGCTCGCTTCCTTTTTCTTTTCGCTTACTGACAGCGAAGGTAATTTTATTTTTTGGTTTGAACATTTTTGAAAATTGGCCGAACACTTCTTGAAGTACCAGATGAAAATCCTGAAAGTCTGAGCCTGTAAAAAGTTCTAATTCTAAAAAAGAACTCCTCAATAAAAAAACCTTGAAAATTCCTTTAAAAAAAAGGTCATTTTTGGCTTTCAGACCCTCATTTCTTGAGAAAAAAAGGTGGATGAGTAGGTTGAGAGTTTTAAAATCTTGATTTGGTACATTCTGAAACGACTTCCTTTGTGGGATAAATCTCGATAAATTCGCTTTATTTCAATATTAAGATTCAAAAAGATATCAGTTATATTGTCTTCTCCGAACAAAAAAATCTTCAAAGATCCATTACTTTAAAATTAACTTCTATATCACCTCTTATCACTTATTTGTGTCACCTCAAATCCGAAAATCAAATGAACCAAAATTTGCCTCGACTGATGATGATAAACCTGATTAAGACTTTTATCAGTTATCGATACAAACGAGGAAACTGATGAAGCACGCCTTCTCAGTACAGACTTTCCCTATTGAACTTTTTCACGTTGGAAGAAAAAACCACATTCGCGAAAATTTTACGAGTTTTGCATGAGAATAAATATTTGGTTTCCTCTTGATATAGGCTCTAGACCTTGGGAAAATCACTTTTTTCACAGTTTGTTCTGAATTTTTAGCCGAAAATGCTGAAGATTTACTATTTTTCCAGAGATTCTATGCATAAAACTTTCGTGACATGTTTATTTCTCACCCTGTTGTGCACGTTCTACGTCGCTGTTCTGTACAATCCTAGGGGTGGGTTTCTTTTTTCGAGTTATAGTCAATTTTCCTGGCTTAAAAGGCGAGAGGGGTGGATTGGTAAGAGTAAAGCGTTGCGTACGCGTCGCGGTTTTTGAAGGAGAACTCGAGGTGCCGCCATTTTTTCAATTTTTTTTGACAATTTTTGAAAAACTTCCTATTTTCATTGTTTTGGATAGCCTTTTTGGTTTCGGCGCGAAAAAGGTTTCTGAGAAGGGGCTGGAATTTTTTTCAAGTGTTGGTTGATGAAAAATGGTTCTCTCATTTCAGAATTGAAAGAAAAACGCAGAATATGATAATTTACTATTGAAATATAGTCTGCGTAATACTACTTGGGATTTCACCAAACGACACTCCGCTGTCCCCCTGCCAATCTACCCATCAATCGGGAAAAATCGTCAATATTTTCATTTATTTAAGGTTCAGCTTCAATAGAAGAGGAAAGCTTTGAAATTCCCACGTCAAATATTTCAAGAGCGAGTCGAAATTTGAACGGTTGCAAAATCGAGAAAGGGAACGATGTTTTCACGGATCGCATTCCACATGCAAGAGAGCACGAGGCATGGCTGGCCCGAGGTGTTTCCAAGGAGGTTTGGGCTTTTTTTTCGAAATTTTCTTTTCCAGTGCGTTTTCTAACAAGGCAGGTCGTTTCATTTTTTGGTTGGGATTTTCTAAAAATTTGTCTAGAACTCTCCTTGATGTATCAGATGAAGATCCTGAAAGTCCAGTTTTCAAAAAAAGGCACCTCGACCTTAAAAAAAACCCTCGAAATCCGGGAAAACTAGCCGTTTTGGAATTTGAGCTCGTTTTTCTTGAGAACTATAAAGTTTTACAGGTTGAAATTTTCAGAATATTCTTTTGGTATATCAAGGAGTTTTCTGGTCAATTTTCAGAAAATTATCAACCGCAAAGCTTCCTTGTAGAGCCTATTTCTGATTTTTCGAAAAAAAAAAAATCGCTTTCCAGGGAAACCTCGCAGCAAATCTCTCACTTCTCGGAGCCTACGTCTACAAGGATTACATTGCCGTCACAATTACTTCGCAGAATCTTTACAGGTTGGAAATAATCGTAAAAAATATTTCCAACCAAACAATCGTGATAAAATGTCAACGTTATGAAGAACACGTCGAGAGGAACGAAAAAATGATGATTTTTTAGCCGAAAAGTGTTCTGCCGTTATTATGACTGCACTCGGAGTGAAATCGGGCCAGCATTCCTGTCCAAAGTATTCCCGGAATCGACGATTTATTGCGGAAGACGGCCTGGGGCCAAGTTCATCTCCTTAACTCATGAGTTGGACGAGGAACCTTTGACGCCGATTCCAATCATGGACAGGACTTTTGACGGTTTCTTATTTTAGTTTAATTTTGAAAAATAGTCAATTATTCCTGACTTGAAAAATGGTGGACGCAATGTGAATAGCTTCGCGCGGTGCTAACAAAATGCGCCCGACCATAAAACGACTTTCGCGCGGCGTTCTTTGCCAACTTTCAACTCCTCATTTTAACCGCAAGAAGTTGAACCATTCTCCTTGAAGAATAGAGACTTTTCGATTTTCAAGCAGGCATTCAAAAGAAAATTTTACTGGAAAAAATTCTAAATTTGATTTATTAGTTCATACGATTTCACTTTTTTTATGTGTAAAAATAATTTAGTTGGGCCGATTGTAGTTTGAAAATTCATTTTTTTATCTTCGAAATTTGTAAATTCCACGCGTTTCGAATCGGCAGAGATCTTTCTTTTTCCGAGATTTAATCTCGATTCAAGTTTTTAGACGATTTCAATTTGAAAAAAAGATTTCAAACTTTGCAAAAAAAGGAAAAAAAATTACAATGTAAAAAAATTGAGCGCTTATTGAAAACATTTCAAAAGCTAAAAAAATTTTTCTTTTTTTTTCAGAACCTCCCCACTTTTTCTCGGTATGCCTGGCGCCCTTATACGGAGACGAGCCGAAATGGCTCCAATTGGTCGAATTTATCGAACACTACAAGCTTCAGGTATTCACCTTTCAAAGCTGCGGTCGCATTTGGAATGGCTCTAGTAATTGATTAAAATTATTTGATGCCTTCGCGCGCAACTCGTTTTTGGTCGGATGCGCGGGCCGTCCCAAGAGCGACCAAAGCCTTTTGTTATAGCTAGTCCGTTTAAAAACTTATTTCGTAATTTCAGGGTGCGACTCAATTCTACATTTATCTGATCGATGTTGATCCGTACACAAGGCTGCTCATTGATGACTATGTGAGGTTGAAAGTTGTTTTTATATAATCTAGCATAAAGCAAGGATTTAGAACAGGCGAGATCGAACTCGTGATAATGCACGATCGATATGAGAGGCCTCAATGGCTTTTTCACATGGTTGAAATTTTCGTGAGTTTTTTTTTCCGCTTTTAGAGTCTGTGTGCCACGAGTTGAAATTTCACGGAACGACATTCCGCTGTTCCGCTGCGTGCGTACGCGAAGCGTCTTTCGAATCTAGGTCACGCTTTCAATTGATTGTTATTGCTCTGGGAGCTCATGAAAGTAGAGTACCTTAATGAAAGAAAAAAAAAAATTAAAAGCGCAACCAAGGTTCGCGAACGCACGCAGCGGAATAGCGGAATGTCGTTCCGTGAAATTCCAAGTCGTGGTACACAGGCTATAGTTAATTTTACTAGTTGAAAAATGGTTTCTGTTGATTTTTAGGAGTAAAAAAAAACCAAAAACGTCAGTTTTATTGTAAAAAAGTCCAAATTTTACTTGGAAAAACTTTTCGTTTTTTGGCCGTTTTTGTTGAGGCCTCGGGCCGACTAGGGCTCAAAAATGGCCAGAGGATGACGGGTCAGCCCTCGCACAAGTCTGCCCTTCTTTCGTTATTTTAAAAAATTTCAGCTCCCTGAAGTTCTTTTGAAGCTTTTTTCTTTCAAAGGTATATTCTAGGACTGTCTCCAACGGAGCAAACATCACTCAAAATGGACGGCATTTGTGGATATTGACGAAAGAATGAACGTGACTGGATATTCTGGGACCATCGCTGATTATTTGAGGTTATCACCATTTGTTAAATCTAAGTTTCGAGATTTTTCTAGGGGCATAAAGGATCCGAAAGTCGCAAGTTTGGAATGGCGAAGCCAATGGGTTCTGAAAACTGGCGATTCTCCGGCCAAATATATCAATGAGAAACAGGTTGGTTTTTGTAAGAAATTTTCATTTTCCCGAAGTTTCGACCTTAAGTTTATGACATTGAATTTTCAAAAAAAGCGAGGTTTAAGATTCAAAAATTGGAAATCTCTAAAAAAGGGGATGAAATTCCTCATTTTAAATTTTCAAAAATTCCTATCCACTTCTAGAAAAAAGACAGCTATCAAACATTCGTACCATAGAGGGGGGATGTACCGTTTATTGATTACGTAACATTTATTGATTAGTTTTTTGAATAACTTTTTCAGCTTCGGGATGAACTAACATTCGTAAAATATACAAATACAACGGCTGTCGGACCAGTTGGCCACACTCAAAAATGCATTATAAGATCAGAAATGGTCAGTTTTTCAGTCCAAAGACTCTTCCAAAAACAATTTTGAAGGTTGGAGCGATGTCGATCCATTGGCCACACCTTTATGCTGGGGGCCGTGGCATGGGAATGCCGGCAAACCATGGCGTTACGAGGTAGATTTTCAAGTTCCTACACAAAATTCTAGCTTATCTGCGCTCTTTTTTCCCTCAATCATAGAAAAGGTTACTAGAAAACTTCTCGGACCCACCAACTAGGCGCTTTTTTTTAAAATCGTGTCAGGACCTTTTTTTCGATGGCTCAAGCCAGCCGTGGATCAGCTATACTAAATTTTAATCGAGTTTGTGGAGGGCCAGCCCCAGGCTCGACCCAATCTGGCCCGGCCTTATTTTCAATTTTAAATTATTCAGTCTTCAGAATAAGATGAATACCTGGCCCTAGCGAGGCCCCAAATAAAAAAGCCCAGAGAACGAAAATTTCCTAAGACATATAAATCAGCCTTTTTCAAGATAAAATTCTGGTTTTTGTTCTTTTTTCACCTAAAATTCAACAGAACTTCTGGTGAAAATTTTGACTTTTAGATAAAAAATTTTTTGACGGAATTCCAAAATTTTGTTTGAAACCGAGCTTGGCCCAAGCCCGCGCAGGCTTCTTCGCAAAAACTTAGCCCGGGCATGCCCAGACCTCCCAGCCTCATGCACAAGCCTTCATTAAATATATCGTTATTTTTTCAAGTTACCTTCGTTTGGCTATCTTTTTTCCCTTAATAAGAAATGATACAGCGACAATCAAGAACTGAAAAAACCTTACAGACACTACCGCAACGTCAAATTCCGCGTGTTCGGCAAAAATTGGGTGGATGGCGTTCTTGGCTTCGGCAAGTTGACGACGACGCATTTGGACCCGACGTATGCTGAAAAATTGTCGAAAGCCGTCGTTTCTCGTGTCAAAACAGTCTACGATATAATTCCCCTCGATTGCAAGAAAGTCTTGTCTTGGATCTGGCAGTCGCATGGCACTACCGACCCTTGCAAGAAGATGAACTGATTATTTTTTCCCAACTTCTCGAATCCCCTTTTACCGGTGTTAAACTGTTTTTAATGATATCTACGGGTGACTTTGTTAAGGGATATAATATGTTTTGAGAATTTTCCAATAAATAACTTCAAATGTTTCTGGCTTGACTGCTTCAAAAAGTCGGTTGGTTTCGCTTCATTCACCGCAATTCGAAAAGTCTGGCTTCTCTGCGCTCTCTCGTTTCTCCTGTTTTTCTGTTTCTATGCTGTGTATAGAGAAGAGAGCACAGAGAAGTTAGACTGTTTTGATAAAATCATCTCAAATGACCTGAATAAAAAAAATTGCTTGGAAAAAAAAGTAGAGTTTTGACCGAACAGCAAGACTAGGAATAAACGATTTTGGAGAGATTCTTTGAGATGAAAAGCCCGAAAAATACTCAAAAAACCAGCAAAATTATCTCCGAAACGGCGTTCCGAAGCGGGAAGCTGCCAGGCGCTTTAGAAAGTTTTTTTTTGAGTTTTTGTAGTTTGGGATTTTCATCAGAATGAATTGCTCTCAAAGGCAAAGTCGGAAGGACCCTCCGAGGGTCATAAAGGCTGCTGGAAGGCTCCATAGACATTTTCCTTTTAGGGTGACAAAACTCCCTTTTTGCTGCCGTTTTGCTCCATTGGCTCATCCCTTATGCACCATTTTTGCTGCCACTCTTTTTTTTCGACCATTTCTTGAGCCTTTAAATTCCTAGAAAAAATGGAAGGCTCGATAAAGGGACTCTTCTTGCTGCCTTTTTGGGGTTTTTTTTTTTGGGCCTTTTTGGGGCATTTTTGTTGCCCTTCTACGGCCTTTTTCGAGCCTCTCCCTTTTAGCGGCCATTATCCCCCATTCAGACTTTGCCCGAGCTATAGGTCCTTAAATATTACCCGAATAAAAAATATTTCCGTATAACTTTACAGGAAAATCTTCCGACGATAAAATCAAAATATTTGCACAGTTGGTCTGAAAACCGCCGGAGGGCCTATGGAACGACAAAGTACGGGTAAATATGAAGAGTCCGTTGTTATCGTTGTTTTGACGGTCCATCGCATTTTTCCCTGCAAGGAGGAACAGGAAGGCGAAACTTCATTTCTCCTTTGCTTTACAACAGCCAGGCGGCCTTTCCTACAAATCCGCCGCCCATTTTCCACTTTCTTTTGCCGTCCAAAACCGCCTAATTCGGTGCGGTTTTGGCATTGTACAGCTGATCAACATGTTCAGTTTATCACATATCTTCTAGGCTTCTTCTTGCTTTTTTCTCATTTTTCCAAGCTTTATATGAAAAAAACTGAATGAGCTATACTCTATAGTTGAATTTGAAAAATTGAAAATGTTTTTATTCAACTTCAAAAATTTATAGTTGTAAGCCATTCCAAATGCGATCATGATGCTTCAAAGTGTTCTGCATATAAATTTTGCCAAGCCTCAAAAATTTACGATTTTTACGAACCATGTCGCACTGCTAATTATATTCATTAAATTTTGATTTTCCGTTTTTTTTCCTCTTCTTTCCCATGCATAAAAGGCAGTATTGGGAGCTTTTGTTGAAAATGTTGACCTCCTGTATAGAATTATTTTTTTTTCAATCAACAACGATCAAAAATATTTTTTGATGTGCTTTTTGAAAACATCCCATACTTCATAAACATTCCTTTTATTTTCTCAATAATCGAAAACTTTCGCTTTTTAGAAAAACTTGATAATAAAAATTGAAAAAAATCTCAGTAACCGGGGAGATCAAAATATTGGTTGAGCCAGGCCTATAAATCCAAATTCCACTTTCTTGGACCAATAAAAAGAGACCCAATTTGAAAGGAAACTCATAAAGAGTGCTTAAGTAGCCACTTAACTCTAACCCAGTAATCTTCACACCTCATCAAAAGGCACGCCTTGACCTAGAACGACGCCACAACTTCTACCGGCCTACGCCCGCTTTTTTTTCATTTTTTTTTTCGCTTTTTCTCGCATTTTTTCCCGTATCAACTCGCTTTTTACAGATGGAACGAGATCAATTCAGCATTTCTGGCAATTCTCACTTTTATTTTGTTGGAATTAGTTTGGCCGTGTTCAAAATCTTCACAAACGTTGTGAATGTGAGTGAGGCATTCAGCCTCCATTTTCGTGTAGGTGAGGTTTTTTTTTTGCATTGTTCTTTTTAACAGAGGCTTCAGTAATAGAATAATTGTTGGAAAAAGCTCTAGTGGCCACTTAAGAGGTTCCTCCAGGACTACTTGGAGAAGACTCTGAGCTCACCTCTATAGAAACCACTATTTTGGATCTTAGTGGTCCCTATAGTAGTTTTTAGGACTCTAGTAGTTTCATTCAGATTTCTAAAGTGGCCACTAAATATTTTCCTAGTGTTTCGACAACTTTTTGTGTATCAAAAAATCCTTTCTGCAGATTTCTCCACAATTTTGATGTTTCTGATGCTTCTGGCCGTTCCTTTCTCAGTTTGGAACCCCGCCATCTGGTTTTCGATATTTTCCACGGCTTTGGCGGTCATGTTCTATGCGAATAGTACGTTTATACTTTTATGTGTTGTTTTCCAAATATATTTTCCATTTCTATTGCCTCAACTGACACTAATCTTCAGAGGACAAAAAAATAATACTTAATATTGTTATGAAGGTTCAAAAAAACTTCAAGGATTAGGGAGAAAAAAGGTTCAAATGGGAAAACATGATAACGAAAAGTTTAAAAATAACGGTCTTCGACTGAAATTAACTATGTTTTAGTGTTGTTTTATTTTAATGAAGCGGTTTTTATTTTAAATATCATGGTTACACTGCGTTCAAAAATGAAGTCTCCAACGACTTTTTTTGTTATAGTTTTCGATGTCTACCCGCGCAAGTAGGTTAGGGTCAGACGCGCTTCGAAAAAAACCTCATTTTAAATGCTACGTCGAGCCATTCCAAATGCGACTTCATCAATTAAGTTGAAGCGAAGAAAAAAATGAATCTAATATTACCAATAGGTTGAAAATGAAAGTTATAATTTAACAATTTTTAAGATTTCACTTTACTGAAAGAAATTTTTTTGAAAAATTGCAATAGAAAAATTAATGTCTCTCGGTTCGAAGTTGTTATTTTTTTCAATTCTGTGTGTTTCTCTCTAATCTTTTCAAAACTCAATGTACACATAAATTATGTAAATTGGCAATATCGCAAAAGTCCTGCTTTTTAGCCGTGTTTGTCTTGCTTTCGCCTTGGAGCGATATCGCATTTTTTCCGACGCGATTTCGAACTTTATAAGTTTTCAAATTTTTCTTTGGATGCGTGAGAAAAGCGAAAAAAAAAACTCATCATCGAGTCGAAAAAAATGCGAGTCCGGCGCGGCGACAACGCGGTTAGTTTGCGATGTCGCCAATGTACTGCAGCCGGACTAGACTTTCATCTTTAATGTATATATTTTTTCAGATTACCCCAACGTTTCGCTATTCACCTTGATCGTTATGTTCCTCACCCTTTACGGACACGAATATGTCCAGTGGCGAATTTGCCAACAAAGACGAGTCTATGAAGAGGAACGAGCCCCGATCTTCACAGTCCGATCAGATGGAAAATTGAAAAGCGTCGAGTATATTTGATTGATTTCCAAATTTTGGAACATAATCAATATATCGATTCAATGTTTCCATCAAATTATTATCATTATTTATTCCCCAATTGTTTCTGTATATGTTGTGTTTGTGTGTGCGAAGAATAAATTCCGATAGAAGTTCCCGCATTTTTTTCACAAATGTAAAGAAATGATTGAAAACAGAAGAATCATGTCGGGAAATCGGCGCCACAATGGCTGTTGAAATTAACCAAAAAAAGCAGGGCGAAATTGAGTCTTTTTCTGAATTTTTTTAATTTTTTTGAATGGATGTTTTACAGATTTTTTTCTAATAGCGTAAAAAGTCAGGATTAACTTAGAATAGCTTAGGAATGGTTCCTACAAAGGTCTCCCTTGAGGAGCCATCACACCTCCCCTTAATAAGCATTTAAAACTGCAAAAGTGGTCACTCTAGGGGAGCTTGCTAGTGGTCTCTACACGTTTAAAATAACAAAAAAGGATCAAAAACCACTATAGGGGCCCCTTGAGCTTGAGAGGCTTAAAAACCGGGCCCTAAACCCCTCTAGGGACTTTTGAAGAGCACTTTTTGTCTCCTACTGGAAAACTTTTAGTGGCCACCATAGGGTTTTGACGTTTTAGTGGCCACTATAGTAGTCTAATTAGTGGCCACTTAAGGGGTTAAAAATTAGTGGTCACTATAGAGGTGTAAGTGCTACTACTAGACAACTAATAATTCTAGTAGCCACTTTAGGGGTCAATGGATCAACGTAACTGGTCCAATTTGTTTTTTTTTTAAATTATCAGAGCTACTGGAAGGAAAACTGGATGAAAAACTACTGAAGTGGCCACTAAAACGGAAAATAGTGGCCACTATAAAGGTGGGTTTAGTGGCCACTTTAGTGTCCTCTCCAAATAGTCTATAGTGCCCACTAAAAATTTTCCCAGTACGAAGGATTTTTTCCTGAACCCTCTAGTGAACTTTCTGGCGTTCCTAAAGACATTAAAAAAATTTTCTTTTTGAGACCTTTAAGAATTTCGTCTATACTCCTTTAAAAAAAACCCAGATTTTTGAAGGAGATGTTGAAAACTTGCTTTTTTGCTGGACTACTGACTATTCTTCGGCGTTATTTCATTAGAGTTCTGTTTGTCAGTAGAGTTCTGTTGTTTCTCATCCTGGGAATCAGTAATTTGAAAAAAAGTAAAAATCAAGCTCACAAACTCCTTTGATCTCTTGTCGAAAATGTTCCCGCCACGCTGAAATTTGTTCTTTTTATTTTGGAAGATCTGAATTTATTCAGCTTCTCGAAGCAGATGCAATCAATAGATTATTATTTCAAATATTAAAAAAAAAAATGAAATTACCACTGGTGACAATGGCGCTAACGTTGTACTCCTCTGAAAAGAAAAAAAATAGACTTTTTTGAAAAAAATAATTAAATTACCAAAACACGATCTTCCGGCAACACACTGCGATTCATACGGAAAAAAAGTTCTGGAAGAAAAAAATACTTTAAAAAAATCCGTTTTTCAGAGTGTAAATTTATTCTTTCAAAGCAAGGGTCATAAAAAAATGAAAAAAAGATTAATTTGAAAAATTGAGGCAGATTATCAATGGAGCGTAATCAACTTCACAAAATTTTTGCGCTTAAAAAAATCAATTTTTTTGTTTTTATAACTATTTTTTTGAAATTTTTTTCCGTCGTCCTTATTTATATTTACACTTCTTCATTCTGAAAGGGAGCATTCTAAAAAAATGCTAAAATAAGTTTCCAAAAGTTTTTTTCAAACTTAAGGCCCTTCTAGACGTTTCCTACGTATTTCTCATGAAGAAAAAGATTTTTTGCGCCCTTGAATTTTTCAGTTCAGCTCATTTTACATTGAAACTTTCAGTCTCTTTTCATTTCTTGAAACCTTATTTCTAAAATAAGAAAATAACGGACAGCTTTGCTCTTGGTCGTCCTGGACATGGTGCTGCTTATCGGCATGCTCATGGAAGACGGTCTTCCGCCTCCATTTCCGCTGGAACGGACCGCGTCGAAAAGAGGATTTCTCGCCTGTCGCTGCTTCATCCCCAGAAGCTCGTTCCATTTCAACTTAACAGTTTCTTCGAACCAAATGTTTCAGAAAAAAACGCAACAAAATTATTTTTAACCTGTGAGAGTAGTGAATTTATTTTTGAATGACTCGGAAGGAAAGGTACCTTTGAAATGGACTTGAAAGAGAAACTTTTTGATCCACCCAAGAAAAAAATTCAGAGATTAAGGTTAAGGAGAAAAAAAATCTTTATAGAACAACCGTCGGCGTTGGTTTGGAAAATGATTAGATAATCAAAAAAAAAAGAAATTTTTGAGACAAAAGGGACAAGTCTGACAAGATTAGTGTAATAATTTGATATATTTGTATTGAAAAAAGAGAAAAGATAAGATTACTGTAGAGGCTCTGCCCATGATGAAGTTTTTTTCAAGATTCTAACTTCAATTTTTTTGAAATTTTGGTTTTTGAATTTTTAAGGAACTTTTTTTCAGAGAAGGTCAAAAAAATCAACAAATTATAGCTTTTTCAAAATTAAACATCACGAACTTCTTATCAAAATTTTTCCAATAATGTATTGCACTAAAGAAAAAAAGCTGATTTTCAATAATCTTCCCGTTTTCTCAAAATTCTTCACTGTTTCCATTTCTTTGCGAATAAAAGTCCAAAAAATGAAAAAAATCATTTATTCAAAACTTTTTCGATCTCGTGAACCAAGTTAAAAATAGTGCGATTTGTTGAATAGAAAAAAATGTAAGAAATCAGTGAAGAATCCTGAAAAAGGGACAAAAATAATCTGTTCTTGTTCTGAATTGGTCATACCATTGATAAAAGTACGATCCAAAGTTCAAATCGAAATATTCAACGTTTATTCTTCTTATTGCGATTACTGGCGCCCGGGGCTTGCCCTTGGCCTTTCTTCACTTTCACATTCACAGCAAGTTTTTCTCGGCTGTATTTCCCCGTCAGAAGCTTAATCACACAGTTTCAGACAAGTCGAATTTTCAGTTTTTGTTTTCAGAAAAATAATCAATTTCTGACATTCTCTCTTATTGATGAAAAAAAAAACGAACCTTGCGACGATTCGGATTTTGCTGGTTGCTCGACGGTTGCAGGTTCCTACTTCCCGAATTCGGAGACAATGGATTCATATTTGTGGATTCCTAGATTTTTCCGGTTATTCTCAAGAAAAAAAAACAGAAATCTTACCTGAGGACCCCTGCCGCCATCACCCGACTTTTCATTTTTCGAAGTCCTGCCCACCGCCGACTTCTTTTCGTCAATGTTTTTCGGTAGATTTTTCAATATTTTCTGCATTTGCTTGTCGACGTCGCTCATGGACGGACGGTCTTGTGGATTGGTAAGCCAGCATTTTCGCTGTAAATAGAACTTTGAAAACAGAAAAAAATGAAAAAAATTTCGCGATTTTTCAAATAAAATTTGCCGGCCTCTAAAAAAAGTCGTCAGATATGCTGTTTGTTGTGCAAAAAAACCTGACAGAAATTTACATACTGTCTAAAATTTATTTTTTTAATTTTCATCAAAATTAACAAGAACTCTTTTTGAGTTCTATTGATAATTTTTATCAAGACGAGAGAGCCTGATGGGAAAAAAAATGAGAAATTTGGAACATTCCATATTTTTCTACATTTATTCCGTCGATTGTGCGTGAGAAATAAAAGTCTTATTTTGATTTGATTTCCCAACGTAAAATATCTCACAATCAACATAGCGATTTCGTAAGGAATATAAGGAGCGATGTCCATGCGATAGCCTTCCTTGACGCGGCAATGAACCTCGGCCACGGTCATGTTGGGATATGGCTCCAAGCCGTCTTCGAAAATCTCCCAGCACAAAATGCCTGAGAAACATGGAGTTGATCCTATATCAAGTTGAAAATCTCCAAACCAAACGCAAAGACGTCCGTTTTCTGCGAATAGACCGATAATCTCAGTGTTTCTGGCGCGAGCCAACGAATGGGAACTCGGTTTTGGGGATCCATTTGGTAGATAGTGCCTTGTCTCGACAATCCAAAATCGGATATCTTCACCTGATAAAGAAGGGATATTGTTAGGTTTCTAGTGAGTTTGAATTAACCACTCCATCGCCAATTAGACAATTCCTTGCTGCAATGTCTCTGTGAAGGATCGTTACCGAATGGAGATAATCCAGACCTTTTGCCGCCTGTGATTTGAGATATTTTATTATTTTAATATCAACATATTTAATTTAATTCTGGAAAATTTTTCGAGATGAAAAAAAATTCAAAGTTGCTGGAACAGCTTTTTGTTCGCAAAAATCCTCATTTTCCCTAGATTTTACTCACCAGGAAGGCCAATTTTCTATGAGGATGAGACTTTTTCTCAAATCTGGCCAGATTTTTTTCTCGACATGGTAAATAAATATTCCAAAATTCACAACATTTAAACTTTCTATTTTTCGAAAAAAATGATACCTCAAAGCTAAAATAGGCAATTTTTCAAAGTTTAGTCCGTAATTTCCGGGTCTTTCGCATTTTCAGAAACTTCATCTAGTACATCAAGAAGCATACTGGTTAATTTTGAAGAAATTATCAATTTCTTTCTGAGATTTCTCTTCGAATTCACACTTCAAAATAAATTTTGTTTCCTAAAAATAAAATTTCTCACGATACCTGCCAGACAAAATCACACTTGGTCGACGTAGGCGTGTTCTTTTTCTTCAGAAAACTGTCCAAACTACCGCCAGTGGCCTGGAAATAGTAAAATCCTCCAGGATTCTAAAATCTCTTTTCACCAGCTCCATGACCACCATCAAAGGTTCTTGTCCGGCGGCGACCCCGTAAAACTTGACAATGTTCTTGTGATTGAAGTCCCGCATCAGCCGCGCTTCCCGCATTATTTCCTTGATCTGTTCTTTCGTCAACGTCTCCAGCTTTGCCTGGAGCAATCAAAGAGATAAAAATCAATTTCGATGTAAGAATATCTCACCACTTTAACAGCCACATCGACCTGCTCGCCGCTCTTCAGTTTCAGTGTACCTTTCCGTACCTGGAAATGATTGATTAATTATAATATTTCAAAAAGAGCTTTTTGTGCGTTTATTCCAAAAGTCCGCCTTTAGAGTCTAGAGACTCCCTCCAGATACAATTCTAAAGGTTGGCGTATTGGACCTTCCTGTTTGGGATGTCAGCTGCTTGACACAGGGAAATACAGGCAGGCAGGAGTTAAGGAGAGATAGAGGGGACACGCGGAACCAGCAACCCACCAACTGAGGAACCTTCGCCCACGCGGGGCGTGGTCGAAGGTTCTCCTATCGCTGGGCTGGTACATCTCCCCCTATTTTTTTCCTGTTTTTTTAATCACTCCTGTGATTTTTTTTAAAAAAAATTAAACAGACAATTTTTTTGACAAAAAAACATGATTCTTAACTAGCGAAAGCATTTTGTTAAAGCAAAAAAATAAGGCTAAAAAGGGAGATCTTAACAGCGAGAAAAAAATTTAAAAAAATTCCTGAAAAGGGAGGTTAGATTATTGCTTTCGCTTAAAAAAATTTCTTAGCTAAAAATAGTGGCACTCAAACAAACAAAAAAATACAGAAAAATAATAGCACACACACAAAAATAAAATACAACAAGTACAAAATATAAAAAAACAAACTTATAGGTTACTGTCTTAGAGACTATAGTCGTCCAAATCGCGGTTCCACTTCGAGCTGCAAGGATCGTCATCCTCCGGGGTGGCTCTTCGAAGGCGGTCTTCATCGATGGCGGCTGGATTCGCACTCTTCTCAATGCTTGGTCCACGATGACGTCCGGCATCACGAGTAGTCGACCTCTGCGGCGTCGGCGTGGCTGCTCCTCGGCGGGTTCTCGGCTTTGTAGTTGATGGCTGAGCTGCTGCTCGGCGTGTAGTCGAACGGGCTGGAGGGCGGCTGGCTGGCGACGATTGGCGACTGCTGGCCGGACTGTTAGTCGACGGGAGTGTCGAACTGGCGGTGCGGTCCTTTGTAGATACGGGCGACGGCGGCGAAGGAGAAGCGGAAAAATTCGGCGACTGTCGCTTGGCCGTCGAGCTGCGAGTCTTTCGAATCGGCGGCTTTTTGGCGGCTGGATTCGTGGTTGAAGACTGCGGCAACGACAACGGTGAAGCTGTGTTCGGGTGGTTTTCGGCTTCTTCTAATATATTTTCTTCTTCTTCGACGTCCTCGTCGATGATCTCTTTGCGTTGGCGGCTTCGATTTCAGCTGACGAACGTCCTTTTTGTGAGCCACGAATGTTTTTCCGATGTTTCGTGGAGTTTTCGGCTGGCTCGGATGACGTCTCGTGAGGTTTTGTTTCTCCTTTGGCAGAGAATGCAATGACTCACGAAGAATTGACGTCTTTTTGGAGGTTCGTCTAGCTGAAACGGCGACGGGACGTGGAGAACGGCATTTTCGAGGGTGTAGCGCTTCCTGATGTTGATGGCTTTCTTGTCGTCTTCGGCACTCTTTTGAAGAATCTTCACTGCTTCTCGGCGATATTCGGCGCGTTCTTGAGCGACTCTGATTTTGTCGAGGCCGATTTCGACTTGAAGCGCAGGATCTTCGACTTCCAAAGCTGCAACTGAAGTATCATTGTTGCTTTCAATTTCGGATGCTTCATCTTCATCGGCATGAAGCAGATCGAACGAGGTGAAGAAGCGGCTTCCGTGTGTCAAGTCGATGATTTTTGCGATAATTCGCGGTGAAGCAGAAGCTGTGACAGTTGAGATTCCCATTGAGCTTCTAGTGGAACGTATTCTTCAATCGTTGACATCTTCGATCTTCGTCGGAGAGAACCAGCGTATTGCAGAGGAAGATTGTTGGATCTGTTCTGTCTACAGATTTTCCGATATTGAAGTTCTGTCTGATCTCGATTCGAACTTTTCCGATGAGAAAGAACGTAGATCCATTTTCTGGCGCTTTGATGGGTTTGAGAGCTTCAAATGACCGCAGGGAGAAAGAAAAAGATTGGTTTTGATGATTTTTGATTTCGGCCGAAAGAATTCTATTACGCGTATTAATTTGAAAGTTTTGAATATAAATTAAAGTTTTGAAGTTAATTTTAAAGATTTGATATTTTGAAGAATTTTTGGTTTGATAGTTAGAAGTTTTTTTGAGATTAAAAGTTAAATAGAAAAAATGAAATGAAATGAAAAGGATTTCCCAGCTGAGAAGCTTGGGTTGGCCTTTTTGAAAACGCGTCAGGATTTCTTTTGGTCCAACTTGAGATTGAAGAGCCTTTTGTGAGAAGAAGAAAAAAATACAAAAAGATAAAAAGAAGTTGAAAAACTGTACACATCAAATAATGAAAACAAGAGTTGGGAGTGTGTGACTAAAGTACCAGGGGGTGGGACAGTAAGCTCCGGTCAGAAAAGGTGTGGGAATTAATTAAAAGATAAATAGTTGCTAAGGGTCTGGCGTCCTAAGTCGGCGTCTTGCGCTTCAAGCAAGCGTCTGGTGAGCTTACCTAGGAGATTAGGGTGATTGTAATACTTGAGTACGGTATGAGACACGAACATGTGGCGTGGGACGCTTGGTAGCGTGACCCAAAAACAATCTTGAAAGAAACTTAGCGCCTAATAAATGATATGAGCAAACGATTTACGATACAGTACCTGGGAAAGATTAGATATGTTGTTTTACAGTATAAATGGTGAAAAATTGAACGATTTGATTTAGAAGAAAAAAAATTAATTGAAGTTGAGAAATAAGCTAGAAAACATTTGAAAAATTTGAGTGACAAAAGAGAAAAAAAAATATATATATACGCGATAGCAGAGAAAAAAAAAACAGAAAAATGTAAAGAATTTTGGTTGAAAGATTGTGAAAAAGCAGAGAAGAATATTTTCTCAGGAAAAAAAGTATTGTGAAAAAAACGAGTGAAAATTTTGTAAGAAACAGTGAAAAAAATGTTGTGAGACTCTATGGGGAAATTTGGTTGTGTAGTGGAATTTTTAAGTGATAAAAAAATAAACGAAATTGAAGAAATGCCAGTTTGATTTGAAGATTAAAAAGTTGAAAAATAAAAAAAGTTTTTTTGAGAATTTGAACAATTTCATGAGAAAAAGGGTTTTGAAAATTTGAACAAAAATTGTGTGGAATGGGTTTTTGAAAATTTGAAAGAAAGTTGTGAGAAAAAGAAGCTTGTGAATTTGAACTAAAAGGATGAAAATGAACCAAACTAATACAGAAATACACGAAAATACACGAAAATGAAATAATTAAAATAAAATGGGCTGACCGGAGGGGGGAATGAGTTGGTGGGCTCGCGACGTCTCCTCTACAATCCTGAGCCGTATTGGACGGTGAGCGGCCGTTCATAAAAGGACAGCGTCGAGAAGGTACGAGCAGGATCGCAACTTCTACACGTGGAATGGGCCCTGGGACATTGAGCGACCGCGGATCCACGTGATGCGTCTCCTCGTTAATGAAAGCGTCCGGAGATGGTCGGCACCTTGATCAGGGGTGCTTCACAAACCGTAGTCGATCCTGGCGAGAAAGAGGCACTTTCGGCTTCCATACAAAAATAGGCGCGAAGGGCTGTATGATTTAATCCACCTCTCTTCCAGAGGACGCCATGGCGACGCCAACTGTGTTTAGCTCCAGAGACAGAAGAAATATGTCCACAGCGGATGGGAAGTAGCGTTTAGCTAGACTTCCGAACGGCACGTCCACGACTCACCTGCTTATGTGGCACTGGACTGCTCGGAAAGAAAACCCAAGAATCGAGTCTCAAGTGGGACCTCCATATTCCAAATGTCCGCCTTTAGAGTCTAGAGACTCCCTCCAGATACAATTCTAAAGGTTGGCGTATTGGACCTTCCTGTTTGGGATGTCAGCTGCTTGACACAGGGAAATACAGGCAGGCAGGAGTTAAGGAGAGATAGAGGGGACACGCGGAACCAGCAACCCACCAACTGAGGAACCTTCGCCCACGCGGGGGCGTGGTCGAAGGTTCTCCTATCGCTGGGCTGGTACACGTTTCAAGATGTTAACGGTTCGAAATTACAGATTTATTTAGGGACCGCAGAGCCGCGCCCACTTTGCAGTTCAAAAAACTTTGTCATTTTCGCTGCATTTTGGTTCTTTTTATATTTTAAAACAATTTTCTTGCACCGATTTAGGAAAAAATTGAGGGAAACATACAATCGTCTATGCTTAACAATCCTACATAAAAGAAAATACTGAGAAATGAGAAATAAGAATGTATGACGACAGTTTTTAAAACGCATTTGTGGCCGAAAACGGATAAAAATCCCGTTTTTTCTTGAAAGTTTCTGGGCAACTTTTTTTTATTTTTGAATATCATAAAGCAACTAATAACGCATCTCCTGGCAAAAAATAAAAAATTCATTTATTCAAAAAAGGATTCGTTTCAAAATCTTTAAGAAATTTTCTTTTTTGTCTTATATTTTTTATGTTTCACCAGAAAATGATCATACATCTCGTAGTCATATGCGCTTTGAAGAAATGAATAATTTTAGTTCAAAACTACTCGGACATTGGTAACACGAAACGGACGTGCTCCGGACGTTTCTGGGCGATTCTAGGGACCACTTAAAAGTTCTGAGGCTACTAAAGTGGTCACTAGAAATGCCCCGGCACGTCCGAGTACTTCGGTAACTTCGAAACTTGCCATAATGAGAAACCGTCTAAGACTCTAAACCCTTTCAACAGACCTCTCCAAAAGCGCCTTCGCCAAGTTTTTTTGTCAGCTCAATGTCATCGTGGTAGAGTTCCCAAGGCATTCTGGGCACCGGCTTCAGAAGACGCAGATTTTCGTTCTGAAGATTCTTTTGAAGTGAGATTTGGAAAATTATCTAACTTAGGATAGCGATACAGGTCATTATAAGAGTAAGGATCTAATCCCTAAGCTCTTAAAGCTCAAGTGACGCCTGTAGGGTCCACTTTTGCTGTTTATTGAGTTTTTCGCATAAGAATGCTTAGAGTTCGTAACTATAATCGACTGGTATGTCACTCTAGGGGCCACTTCTGCAAGCTTTCGTAGCCTTATAGGAGGAGCTGAAGTGATCCCTAGAGAAGAAGCTTCAAAGTCCCTAAGGGACCACTTTAGAGGCTCCTAGAAATATTCACCACTTGTAAGCTGCCTTTGGTTGAATAGTGGTCAATCAGTTCCTGCATGGAATTGAAATCGATGTCCCTCAGCGTGAATTTGTTGTTACTCTCGCGGATCACATAGTGGCGGGTCTGAATTTGCTTCTTCCTCAAATAAAATAAATATTTTCAAACTCCTTCTTCGAGCTCTTCGTGATGCATTACGGAAAGGATGATTTGTCGTTGTTCGCCGGCGTTTGGTTCAGAGGTCCTGACGAGGTAGTCGCCATTTTTGCGAAGCATCACCTGAAAGTTTCTTTAAAAGTCTGGAAGTCCTTTTATGGCCCTTTATCAGAATTTCTCAAGAAAAATGATTTTTATGAGTTTTTTTTTAGCTCTTGACCTTAATAAGGCATTCTTCTCTTTTTTTTCTAGCTCATCTACAAGTCAAACTGAGAGGAGGTCATTTTAATTTGCGGTTCAATTTTTTTTTTAGAACACTCCTTGATATACCAGATAAAGATCCCGGACGTCTCAATCTGCGAAATATGGAATTCTTTGAAAAAGGGCACCTCAACGTCAAAAAAAGCTCTCAGAATCCGTTAAAATAGGCTCTTAGGGACTTCGAGCCCTTAATTCTCGTAGACGAGGAAATTTTGTAGATTGTGGCTTTCAGAATCTTCTTCTGGTCTATCAAGGAATATTCTGGTCAAGGAAATTCCCTACCACACAATAAAATTATCTTCCTTGTAAGCACCTTTTTCTCACCTTTTTGAAACTTCAGTTTTATACCTTGATATGTCATTTTTCTTTTCCACACCTTTTTATCCCAAAATAGGAATGAAAATCCCGTTTCTCGTTGCTTGGTTAAAACTGCGGTTCTTCATTTCGAAATTTGAAAGAAATTGATTTTTCTGCACCATTATAGTCAATGTTCAACCGCCATCGACTCTTTGAAAAGCCCGTTTTTCGCTTTTTTTCATTCCTTTTTCAATTATTTATTGATTATGTTCATGTGTGCATCAAAAAATAGTAGAAAACATTGAAAAAGAGCGGCTGCCGAGGTTTGTAAATAGTCGGCGGCAATTGAATTGGACTCGTGCCAAGAACCGCGTACGCACACGCTACGCGTCCCGCCCCTTGCCCCGCCTCCTTCGCCTTTTAAGTCGGGAAACATTCACTATACAAGTTGAGAACCGACCCGAACGTCTTCTCTTGGGAGCAGCCCATGGTACCAGATCTCTTTGAGCATTGAGGTCGGTACAGACGACATCGCGTCGCCCTGCTTTCGATACGAAATACGATCTCCTCACTTTGATCTTATCTCACTTTTCACGCTCTTTTCATAACCCCTTGACAAAAAAACTCGGAAGTTGAAAGGTGCCTATTTGGACAAGGTAATTGTAGCTTTTGCTTCAGATCTGGTGAGGAATGTCGAGAAATTTCCACATAACTTGGAATGTTGCGATGGTTTTGGATTGCCCTTCTCGTTTTTTATTGGAATGGATTTTTGGTGGTTCGAAGCGAAACGGGTTGGTCTTTGTATCAATTTATTCATTTTTAAAGAAAAAATTTTTACTCCTTAGAAATCTTACAACTTTTAGCGTCCTCTATATAGGCTGTGTACCACGAATTTGAACTTCACGGAACGACATTCCGCTGTGCCGCTGCGCTTATTTGCGAACCTTGGTCGCGCTTTTAATTTTTTAATTTCTTTTTTATTAAGGTACTCTACTTTCAGGTGCTTCTACAGCAATAATCAATTGAAAGCGTGACCTAGATTCGAGAGACGCTTCACGAACGCACGCAGTGGAACAGCGGAATGTCGTTCCGTGAAATTCCAAGTCGCGGCACACGGGTCATGACACGATTTGCAAAAGAGAGAGTGCTTGATTTGTGGAGAGCGCAGACAGGCCACGCCCATTTACGTTTCAAGCTGGTCGTGAATCGGCTTTAGACTGTATGAGTCAAGATTCAACAAAAACGGGAGGTAAAGTGGCCCCTTGAGGGGATCCTACAAGCGTCCTCTAGTCACCGCTGGTGTTCCGAGCACTCAAGAAAAAGTTTCAAGACCTATTCTTCTTTTGAAACAACCCAATTTTCATCAAATTCACATTTTTTCAGTATGTCAGGTCAAGAACTACACGACGGATTCCCTACCAGAAAACTGCACGAAAGTGGTCGGATTGGTTCAAATTATCGGGTCGGCCAATCCCGCGGTCAGAATGTACCTTTTCAACAATTTTTTCAAAGAACTTTCCAGAAATTGGAAAAAATCCTGAGTACTGTTGAAGTCATCGAAGGCTGTGTCTTCATCAGCAGTACAAACTTGAAAAATCTCAATTTTCTGCGCAATTTGAAGGTCGTCAATTGCACTTTCATCACCGTCATACAACGTAAGGAGTTTTTTTCTCATGTGAGAAAGCCGGGACAAAGTACATTTTTTTTTAAAATAATGGGCTTGCAGCTCGAGGCAACCTTATCATTAAGGACGAGTTCGAAAAAGAGTTCGTTAGAACCAAAAAATATTAGAAACACACTAATTTTGAAATTCTTTGCTTGAATCCTTATCAACTAACTCCATATGACTCATACAGTCCGAAAGTAAGATGAGAACAGTCTATAAAGGGGCGTGGCCTGTCTGCGCTCTCCACCAATCAAGCACTCTCTCTTTTCTTATCGTGTCAGGACCCTTTTTTCGATAATTCAAGCCAGCCGTACATGTGTAGATTTTCTAAGTCTCCTGTGATCCAAAAAAAAACTTCCATTCAACCAAAGACAACCGAAATCTGCCTTTCAGCAGGTCCAATTCCCGCGATCTTCATAGAAGGAAACGAAAAACTGTTGAATTTTGGGATTCCGAATCTGAAAAACGTGACGATGACGCCGCCGCCGGACACAGATTTGAAAGAATCCACAGTTTCTTCGATTTTCATGTCGATAAACCCGCTATTGTGTCTGACCTACGACGAATTCAATTCTTTATCATATCTTCCATTTATCAGTATTACCGAAATTCCAATGTGTCCTACTCCAAAACCGCCTTGTGAGTTTATAACTTTTTTTTTGAGAAAATTGGAAAATGGATCGTTACTTCAAAACTCAAGTTTTTTTTTTCTGGTCTGTGATTCATTTTCTTGCTTTTTGAAAACTTTTTGAATAAGTTAAGCTTTTCATAACTTCTGTTAATGCTCAAAAAGCTCTAGGATGTTGGTGTTTTGCGTCATTTCAAACTCTAGAACGTGATAAAAATCACAGATTAACCTTTTTCAGTGCCTTTTTGTCTTCTACTGCCACCTAATAACGACTTCGCTGAAACATGCGAAATTTTTATTGGAACCATCTTTGCAAGTTTTTTGATTATCTTTATTCAAAATACAGTTAAGAAGAAATTCTCAAGACATACTTTAAGATTCAGAAAAAAAAGAGCTTGTCTGCTTTTGTTGAGCTTCCAAAAACGGATTTTAAAAAAATTCGCATTTTTACAGATCAGTGAAACGTCAAAGCCCAAAGACGTTTCGAAACTGTCAAAGTTGAAGCAACTTTTCGGCCAAATCGCGATTCGAGATTCAACTTTAGAAGAAATCATTCTACCAAGTTTAACCCTGTTAGCAAATACCAACTCCGCTGGTGAACTTTTCAACTTCAAACTTGAAACTCATGAAATTGAGTTCAGAGCTGCCAGCGATTGTTCTCGTCAGGAACGTCGAACTGAAAACTATCCGTTTTCCTAAGCTAACGGTTATTTTTCTATGAAGTGCAATGGGTCGAGACCAATTTAAATTTAGGAAACCCGAGGAGAAAGTCCATATTTCGACATGTTGCTCTCCAAAAATCCGTCTTTGAACTTTTCCTGTGAAGCTGTGTTCCCATTGGACAAAACGGCTGTGGTGATCGATGAAAGCGGATTTCTTTGTTCCAACGAAACAAGCTCAATTTCTTCAAACAATGGTAATCAAACTTTTCACTTTGCTTTTTTTCAAAGTCCAATGTGTTTGCGTCTTTTTTCTTCATGTGAAAAATCAAAGAAACTTGAAAGTAAAATGAAAATCTAGTCTGTTCACGCTGACAAGTGTATAGGGGTTACTAACTAAAACCTCCCTGGAACCCTAAAGGGGAACCTTTGAGGGCCCCTAGAAGGACCACTCTGAAGTCCCAAAGACGTCTTTCTCTTTCAAATCGCAAAAAACGGAGTATAAGTTGTTAGAGATAAGAGAAGACAGACAAACCAGTTTCAAGCCGGAAAGTATATAAAATATAGTCTGTGTGCCACGACTTGAACTTTCACCGAACGACATTCCGCTGTTCCGCTGCGTGCGTTCGCGAAGCGTCTTTCGAATTTTGGTCACGCTTTCAATTTATTGTTATTCTTGTGGGAGCACAAGAAAGTAGGGAACCTTAATGAAAGAAAAAAAAATTAAAAGCACGGCCAAGGTTCGCAAAGGCGTGCAGCGGCACCGCGGAATGTCGTTTGATGAAATTCCAAGTCGTGGTACCAGGCTATAACTTATAATTTAAAAAAAGTATATGAAATAATTTATAATAAAGATAATAATTTTTAACAGGGTACAACCATCCTACACTGATGATGATAGCACTGTTTGGAGCGAATCGACTTATTTGATAACTATGAAACCAGTTTTCATGTAATTCATTTGGAAATAAATGATATAATTCGTGTTCAGACTTATGCAAAATCCGAAATTTATACATTATCAAGGATTACGAAACGACTGAAATTCAAAGGGTTTCTGAGTTTGAAAAAATCCTAGCGTACTTTTTTGCCAATTTTTCGCAAGTATTACGTTGGAGTGTGACTGACAGGAAACTACTTGCGCTCGACCGCATCTCTCATTAAAAAAATTGGAAGCTTCTGCTTTCGGTTCCTTGGAAGGTGTTTGGAAGCTTTCCAGCAGGTAGTCAAGCACCTTTTAAATGACTTTCAAAACCTTCTTCTTATCTTCCAGAAGCCTACCGGAAGGTTTTTAGTAGGTATTTCCAATTTTTTTACCTTCCAATTATTTTCTGAGCTCCTTACCAAGGCCTTCTCAAGACCATCTAGCTTTAATTTTCTTTCCCAACACCTTCCCAGGGTTTTCCTGAGCCTGGCACATACAGAAAAGTCAGCCAAGGTCGGGTGCAACTATAAAGGATATTCTAAATTTGGAGCCACAATTTCCACCGTCATCAAGCATCGCCACCTCTACATTCTCTCTAAAGATTTTTTTTCCAAAACTATTCCATTATGGAATAAACTTACCTCTAGAATAAATTTTAACGTCTCTACGGATGCGCTACGGGTTAAACTTAATGATCTCCCTAACTCTGCCTTTTTCGAATCCATTCCTTCCCGTTTGCTCTGACTTCCTTTCTATCCCCGGGTCATAGTCTACTCGTTAGGGTGGACTAATTCCCGTTTTGGTTATTCTGCTGCTTTCGTATTCTGAACTATTTTATTTATTATTTTCCAACAGTATGCAGTGAATAAACCTATTATTATTCTCGGTATTTACCTCGTGGATTTTTTTTTTAAGTTGTGGGAAATTGAGTAAGTCTCGTGTTATCGATTCGCCATTTAAAGTCGACTCAAACGTGCTTATTTGAGATGGAAATTGTAGCTTTTGTTTCATTTGAAACCGAGACATATCACAAACTCATAACGTACCTCGGAATGTTACATTGGTGTTGGCTGGCTCTACTTGTTTTCCACTGGAATGGATTTTTGGTTCGAAGCGAAACGGGTTGGTTTTTGTTCCAGTACCCTGAAATCACGCTCGTTTTCCAATTTTCAAAAGGTTCTGAGGCTCTTTCCTTGACGTGAATTATTCAGAAATATTTTTCTTCAACTTCACTCACTAGAGTCTGACCCCTCAGCCCCTTTAAAGTGGCCCCCATAGTGATATTTACTTTTTTTTCTGACTTGAAGTTGAAAAAGACGTACAGCAGCATACTTCCATTGAGTGGCCACTTCGGCAAGATTCACTATAAAAGGAGGTAAATTGATCCCTCTAGGGGATCGCACGAGAGTCTCTAAGTTTGCCCCTATAGTATCCACTCTAGATCCTAAACAGAGCTTTCAATTCGAGTAACCCAAAAAATTTCAAAAAAAGCTTTTAAAAGAGCAATTTTCTTCACCTACACACATTTTTCAGCATGCGAAATCAAAAACGGTACGACGGAGTCTCTTCCAGAAAACTGCACGAAAGTTATCGGCTTGGTAAAAATTGTTGGACCGACCAACCCTGTAGTCAGAATTTTCTTTCTTATTAAACACATGTTTTGAAATATTTCCAGAAATTGGAAAATCTTCTGAAGACGGTCGAGGTCATCGAAGGATGTGTGATGATTAGCAATACAACTCTGGTAAACCTCAACTTCCTACGAAATTTGAAGGCTGTTAACTGCACGTCTGTCTTCGTCCAACAGCGTAAGACTCAAAATAATTTTTTTAAGTATAAAAATACAGAATCATTTTTCAGCAGAGATAGTCGCGGCAATACTGGTAGAAGGAAACCCGCTACTGATGACTTTTGGGATTCCGAGCCTAAAAAACGTGACGATGACGCCGCCCGCGGGCGTGAACTTGGATGAAGCTTTGGTTGGAACAGTTGTCTTCTCGGAGAATCCCAAAATCTGTCTGACATACAACGAATTCAACCTGGTGACTAGTCTACCAATGATCAGTCTCCGAGCTGTTCGGATGTGTCCTACACCGGCCCCGCCCCGTGAGTTTTTATATTTCTTATCAGGGAATGGTCTCTGGTCGCAGTGGGACTTCTGAATGAGACCGAGTTTTTTAGATGTAGTTTTTACGCTGATTCCGAATCTGGTTTCAAAAACTGTCGAGAAGGTCTATGAAAATGTTAGGGGCTCTCAAAACTGTATATGCCCTCCAATAATAAGCTCACTCGGAGACACTGAAGCTTTCGACTTTGAGAGTCCATAACTTTTTTCACAGATATCCTTGGCAGTTATTGAGACCAGATCTGGAATCGGCGTGAAAAAAACGACATTAACTTGGTCCTGGCTTTATTCAGAAGACCCACGGCGACTAGAGACAATTCATCAGATAAGTTATTTCCACCCATCCAGAAGGTGAAAAAGGATAAATAAATGCAGTTTTGAGCCGCCCTAATGAATTACTGGACACTATTCCTAAAGAAACGATCAAATGATCTTTTAAAATTTTGTTCTTTCAGTGCCTTTTTGCCATTTTCCTTCTCCCCATGGCGTAGATGAAGCTTGCGAACTCTTTATTGGTATCGTCTATGTGAGTTATTTTTTTAAATTTTCGTTTAAAGTTAGCTAGTCCGTTTCTCGCGACTTGAAATGAGACTTCTCTGCGCCCTCTTTATCTCTCGCCGACCCTCTCATGCTCACGTGCTATTTCCATGTTTCTCTGATCTCGCCGGTGAGAGAACAGAGAGACGCAGACACGCGAAAACTGTCAAGTCGCGGCGGACGGACTATGTCCATAAATAGAATTTCAAAGAAAACTTATAAGCCTTGTTTTTTTTCAATTTCCAAACACAGATTGAACTATAGTTTGTTCAGATTTTGAATGTCAAGTCGTCGCTCAAGCTCCGCCCCTAATGGCGCGATAAACCAATCAGAGAGCGAGCCATCCACAGAGTGTTTTTGAATGACGTCATTGCACTTGACATTCAAAATATGAACAGACTATACGGTTGTAACTGAGAAGCATTCGAAAAGAGGCAAAATTCTTAGAAAATACATTTTGTTTCAGATAGATGCGTCGATGAAGACTGAACACGTTGCGAAACTCACAAAGATGAAACAATTATACGGTCAAATCACGATCTCAAACTCTTCGATTCAAGAATTCATCCTCCCTAATTTAACGCAACTCGTGAACATCAATTCCGCTCGTAACCCTCTCATTCCCAATTCATAACTTTGAAATTATATTCCAGAACTGCCGTCGATGCTCATCTACAGAAACAACGCCTTGAAAACTGTCAGTTTTCCAAAGCTAACGGTTTTTCGCGGATGAAGAGAGTTTTTACGAAAAAGGAGATTTAGGATATCCGAGGAGGAGGTCAATCGTATGATTTGTTGGTCGCTCAGAATCCGTCGCTGAACTTTTCCTGTTCGACAGTGTTCCCTCAGAACAAAAAGGCGATAGTTTTGGATGAAACCGGAATAATTTGTTCCGAAAAGGGTACTCGGCCTTTACTCGGACCTTGGTAACGCAAACCGGACATTCCTGAGCACTTCTTTTTCACTTTAACAATCTCATTTTTCTTAAGTGATCCCTAGAACGCTCAGAAACATGGGGAGACGTCCAGTTTGCGTTACCCAGTTCCGATTTGGAATATAATAACTTTAATTTAAACTCTTATAGTGCCCATCCAACCGGTGGCTCTGACGATCGCAATATTTTTCAGCGATTCGACTACTTCTATAATAAAATATATATTTATTATATATTTTTCTTTGATGGAAAAAAACCGTCGCGTTGTGCATTATAGTTGAAATAGTTCATTGAAAAAAATCTCGAATATTCCCGTCTAATAAAGTTTTTTTCTGTTGATTTTTTTCTTCGATGAAATTCATTTGCAGTCTCACCAGTGCAACCGACAAGATACTACTTGCGCACGACGATATAGTCTGTTCCGATTATGGATCCTTGTCCAAGCTCCGCCCCCTAATAAACCAATCAGAGGGCAAGCCATCTACAGAGAATTTTCGAATGACGTCATTCTACTTGACACTTAAAATCTGAACAAACTGTAAGCTAAGAAAAAAAGAAGTTTATAGTTTGCAACCAAAAAACCGTTCGTCACATTATTCCTACAGTTTCACAAATTTTCAAGCCATAGTGAATAAAGTTTTTCTCGTCGCCCTATACGGGGAAATTGTTCCAAAGGTACTCATTAGAGGGTAATTGTAGGTTTTTTTCGCATGAAAAAATCGCAAACTTCTATCTCTCAACAAAAAAATGCCGCCCGGGTTTTTGGGTTTTTTTGCTTTTGTTTTTTTCACTACAATGGATTCGAGGCTAAAAGGCGAGACAGGTTGGTTTTAAGGAAAATTATTTAAAAATTTTTTTTTGATATTTTTTTCTGTTGTCCAGCGAGTCTCAAAAAAATACAAAAAGTTGAGATGCAGATATTTTTTTCATATAAATTATCTGCCTAGAAAACCATTCAACTGTGCTTCCAAGTTCAGAAAAGCGTGTAAATCGTAAGTCGTGGTTGGGGGTCGAGGCGGGGGTCGAACTTGTGACCCTGTGGACCGTAGACAGGAACACAACCTGTTGCGCTACGGTGCGCCCCTTTCAGTAGACAACTATTCTCTTCAGAAAGACTTTTTTTTCTTGTAAACGGCCCTTTTTTCAGTATGCGAAGTCAAGAACTCAGCGACGGAGGCTCTCCCAACAAACTGTACAAAAATTATCGGACTGGTTAGAATCCTTGGAGCGGCCAATCCTAAAGTCAGAGTTGACAGAACGATCCGCCTTAAACCATTTTCCAGAAGTTGGAGAATATTCTGAGCACTGTGGAGGTCATTGAAGGCTGTGTTCTCATAAGCAATACAAGTCTGAAGAATCTCAACTTCCTGCGAAATTTGAAGACTGTCAACTGCACGTTTCTTAGCGCCCAAGACAGTAAGATTTGGCTACCTTTGAACTTTTATTTAACAAACTTTCTCCGAGAAAAGCGATGAACCGATGGTACTAGAATTTAAAGTTTTGTTTTGAGAGTCGAAATTATTATCACAGTTACTAGACATAATTTGTAAACTTCTAGGCTAGTTACTGTGAGGCTCCGCCACCTCACTGGCTCCGCCCCTCACCCCTCACAAAATTAAAATTTTATTACTCTCAAAACTACTCTAAAGACTGGTCAATTCAGAATATTGGCTATTAAATTTATTTAACCACTTTAAAGCTCAAAAATGTCCAAATTCAGCAAGTTCAATATCGGCGGTTTCGATAAAAGGTAACAATCAACTATTGAGTTTTGGGATTCCGAATCTCAAAAACGTGACAATGACGCCACCTCCCTGGGTCAATTTGCGAGAATCGATAGTTGCATCAGTTACCTTCTTGGGAAATCCGAAGTTTTGTCTGACCTACGACGAATTCAATTCTCTATCTTATCTTCCACTAATCAGTATTAACGAAGTTCCCATGTGTCCTACTCCAAAACCGCCTCGTGAGTCTTATTGTTGAATATTTTTGACGTGTTGGATTCATATAATCAATCCTTCGCGACTTGAAAGGCGAGATGCCATTTTTTTTTATCCCGCTTTTTTGATAGCTTCTTAACAACCTTTCTTTTATTAGGTTTTAAAAAATTTAGTTGAACGAATAAAAGAAGAAACGTAAACTTATGTTTTCTTTAAAAACTGTTCAACTGCAAACTACCTGCAAGCAAGTCATTCGCAACTTGTAAAGTAATCCCTTACAGGAGCTGCAAACTAGAGCGTTTTTAATTGCAAAGCTCTTCCAAATTGTACCGAGTACATTCTCTAGTGATTGCTGCTGATCTCGAGGTCTTCGCCAAGTAGCCGCGTCGCGTACGCAACGCATCACTTTTGCCAATACTGGGAAATTTTTAGTGGCCACTATAGAGGCTCGACAAGGACTACTTGGAGAAGACACTAAAGTGGCCACTAAACCCACCTCTATAGTGGCCTCTATTTCCCGTTTTAGGGGCCACTATAGAGGTTTCATTAAGTGGCAACTTTAGTAGTTTTTCATCCAATATTTCTTACAGTAACTCTGATAATTTTTAAACAAAAAGATTGGACCAGTTATGTTGATCCATTGACCCCTAAAGTGGCCACAAGAATTTTTGGTGGTCTAGTAATAGCTCTTAGACCTCTATAGTGGCCACTATTTTTAACTCCTTAAGTGGCCATTAATTTTACTACTATAGTGGTCACTAAAAAGTTTTTCCCAGCATCCATCTCGTCCTTATTTTTGGTCGGCAGAAATTGACTATAATTCATTTATTCTGATTTTTTCAGTTCCTTTTTGCTTTGTACCGACCGATTACAGCTTCGACTTTGATGAAAAATGCGAACTTTTCGTCGGCACCATTTATGTTAGTTCATTTTTTTAAATATAGAAAAGAGGGGTCATCAAAAATCTCGAAAATCCTCTCTTAGAACTTTTCTTACAGTTTCGAGACACGGCGAAGCCTGAAACCGTTTCGAAATTGTTAAACATGAAGCAACTTTACGGTCAAATCGTGATCCGAAGCACTTCTTTCGAAGAATTCGTCCTACCAAACTTAACGTTCATTGTGAACACTGATAGCGCCCGTAACTTTATCCATTTCCAACCTTGAATTTTTTCTATTTTTCAGATGTGCCAGCTTTTTTTTTCATCGGCAATGACTTATTGAAAACTATCGGTTTCCCAAAGTTAACAGTTCGCTTTTTATTGGATTAAAAAAGTTTAAAAAAAAAACTTCAGGGAGTTCGAGGAAGAACCGATGAGTTCGACATGTTTCTTCTAGATAATCCGTCTTTGGAAGTTTCCTGCGAAGCTGATTTCCCTCTAGGGGAAACTATTATAGTGCGGAATGAAAGTGTCCTTATGGGTCAAGATGGAAATATTTGTCCTAACGGAGCTGATTCTCTCCTCACCGAAAACGGTTACTGCTCTCGTTGGATAATTTAAGAAACATTTTTTCAGGGTACATAAATCTCATAATTCTGATGACACTAGTACATGGGACGAATCGACTATTTCGATGAAAAAGAAAAAGTTTTCTATAAGATATTGTGAATTTTGAAATAAAGGTGTTTCTTTCGCATGTCCAATCTGACAGTTATAAAAGTTAGGAAGGCAGTTTTTGGAAAATTAGGCCGTTTGTTCCATTTGTGAATTACGACCTTCACGACAATTAGGACAGTAATTTTTTTTACCGTCCAAACTTTGGTTTTGCCTTCCAAGTTCACAATTCGAAGGATAAAATGCCCGTATAGGTCCTTGAAAAATATCGCTTCAAGCTGAATCAAAAAAGAAGAAATTTCGGTTTTCAAGAAGCCGTGAAGCCGTGAAATTAAGGGCCATACTTCGTTTGACATGGTTTTCTATTTTTCTTTAAGATTTAGGATGAACGCTAGAAAAAAAAAATTAAATAAAATGAACTATCTTCATTCGTCGGAAATAAACCTCATGGTTATATTTCGAAACATCGAGACACTTTGCTGTAAATTTAGTATGTCTTTTGCTATCGACTTTCCAAAGAAGGCGCTTATTAAAAATGATAAACACAGCCTTGGTTTCTCACAAATCGCAAAAGTATCAAAAGCTTCTTCATAACTTAAAATGTCGCAGAGGTCTTGGCTGGTTCTTTTCGTTTTTTATTCGACTGGATTCGAAGTTCGAAGTGAAACAGGTAGCTTTGATTTTAATCTTATTTTCAATCTAATACCATTTTTGGTCCAGTCGCAACGATTTTGGAAGCTTTCATAGTGATCAGATTTGTTTTCCAGAAATTATTTTTTCTTGTACTTTGTTACATTTTTTTCAGTTTGCGAGATGAAAAACTCTACGATAGAGGCCCTTCTAATCAACTGTACGAAAATAATCGGACTAGTTCAAATTCTTGGCACGGCAGATCCAGTGGTCAGATCGAACTAAAAAAATTCATAAAAAAATTTTTCAGAAGTTGGATAATCTTCTGAGCACAGTTGAATTTATCGAAGGCTGTCTTTTTATCAGTAATACTAATCTGAAAAATCTCAACTTCCTACGAAATTTGAAGGAAGTCAATTGCACTTCTGCGACCGTCCAACAACGTCAGATATTTTTTTAATAAAAAAAAGCTTGTGGTACATTGACGACATCGCGAAAGTTCCGCTATGAATCCACGGTCTTGCATTTTGCATTTCAATAACGCATATTTCTCGGCGCGACATCGCATTTGGACAAAGTTTTGAGTGCGAAAGAGAAAGGACAGAAATGAGAGTATGGTGCAACGAAAACGCGATATCGCGAATGTACCGCGTCAATGTTTTGCTCGGAAAAAAGTATCAAAGTCTTAATTTTTGCAAAAAACGGCTAGGCTTAATATAGCAGACATCATTCGGGAAGTATTTCTCAAAAACTTGAGATAAAAAGATAAGTTTTTTTTTTTTTTGAGCCAAGCAATCGGGTTTTTTGGATTCAATTACCCATATATTTTTGATCCCATCTTCATCCCTGGTTTTTTTCAGGGTGAAGTAAATGAATAATATGAATTATTGACAGTAGTACCCTTTAAAATTACTCACATAATTTTTCTTCCAGCTGGGGTGATCGCCGCGATTTTCATAGACCGCAATGAAGATTTATTGAGCTTCGGAATCGGAAATCTGAAAAATGTAACGATGACGCCGCCGCCGGACATGGATTTAGATGAAACGATTGTTGGATCAGTTATATTTCTAGGAAATACTCATCTCTGCCTGACCTACGACGAGTTCAATTCTTTATCTTATCTACCATTAATCAGCCTCACCGAGATCCCAATGTGCCCCACTCCGAAACCGCCTCGTGAGTTACAATTTTTTTTAAACTTAAAAAACTTCAGAAGATTGAATTTCAGTACCTGCATGTTATGTGACGCCTGATCTCGACGTTGATAAATCTTGCGAACTTTTCGTCGGCATCGTTTTTGTGAGTTGCTCCTTTTCGGATATTGCAAACCTGAAATAAGGCACGGCGTTTTTGTTAAAATGCAAAAGCAAAAATTAAGGGGGTTTGGTCAAAACCTCGTTCCCATATGAGGTCATGGAAAAAACGCGTAAAAATAGGAAATATTGAAGGCGCATAAGTGGATCATGAGACGAATCTATTTCTCATTTTAAAAAAATAATTTCGCAAAATCCAAAATAGCCACCAGAGAGTGAAAAATATAAGGGAACTTCAGAAATTGGAATAAAAATTATTATTCCGCGAAAAATATTTTGAGCGTGGCATGTGCCAGAGCGACGAGGTGCATGCACACAGCACACTAAAATTTACGGAAAAAATAGGGGCGTGGTGTCACCAAACGAACGCCGTGAAGGAAGAATTTGTTGTATAGTGTGTTCAGAAAATAATCAGTATGTGCTTAAAAAAGCATAGAAAATCTCAATAAAGGTCTCTCAGCGAAGAAAAATTTTCAAGTTTATTTTATTTATTCACTTTTAACACGTTAGTATTGACACCTTTCAGTGACTTTTCTGATGGCAAAAGACGAATTTTCACGCTTATTACAGGTATCCTTGAAATAATCACTTCGAAAAAAATTATTTTTTTGAGAAATATTCGAAAAACGTTTTTCTCTATTATCATTTTGACGCATAAACTTTTTCTGAGCAAAAAAACATATTTAAAAAAAAAAAACTCTATAAAATTGCGATGATTTCGTACTTCTGGTATAGATTTGAAACATTCTGCAAACATAACAAACTGAAAAAAAACGGGGAAAAAGTTGAAAAAACAAGGAAAAATATGAAAATCAGACCAAGAGACGGAAAAGAATTGAGCCAGCCAAAAAAGGTCTGTAAAGCGAAATTTTTTTGGATGAGTTGATTTCATTTTAATAATTTTTCGTGATGAAATACTTATTTGAAAGCTAAAATATCGCCTTTTTATGAATTTTAAGCTCTTCTGGGAAGGATTTGATAGGACTGGAAATTTTTTTGGCCCAGCGAAAAAATGATTAAATGGTTTTTTGCTCCTTCTGCACGGCGTTCCACGCAGTGAAAGCAAATGTAAAAAGATTGCCGCCGACCGATGGAGCGCACTTTGTGCAGGCCCCCGCGAAATTCAAATTTTTTTCGGTTTTTATGTCATTTTTCGGTGGTTTTTCAAATTATTCTCTGTCTATTCATGTTTGGGTTTTGCGAGATGTCCATATTGTGAAATAGTAGCATATTACACGTCTATTGAAAGCGGTTCCATGGAATTTCGTTCAAAACTGAGGGAGGAGTTAGTTTTTGAAAATTCGTCAATTTCTTTGTTCACAGTTTTCGCTGATTTTGCTCGTTTCTTTTTATATAACTCTTTGGTTTTAATATGGATATCCATTATTTGTTTTTCTGAAGCTAGGTTTTCAAGGTATATAAAATGTTTCTTTTTTTCATTTGCTCCTCGAATTTCGCTCATTTCAATATTTTTCGTATTTACAATTGCTTATTCAATGAGAGCTGATTCACCTTCATAATATTTTTTGTTTTCATTTTGTAATCAGTAATATAGAGTTTTCCCCTCTTAAAATGGTTCCTGAATGCTTTTTTAACGTAAGTGAATGTTTTTCACATCATTTTCTTTAAACTGACAAGACTTCGAACATTTCAGGAACTATTATCCAAAAAATGCAAATTCTAAAATTGGAAAAAGAAATTTCGAGTATGCGATAGTGCGTCTCGGTGTGCTTACACCCTAAACATCATAATTTACGAGAAGTCTTGACCTTGCGTAATAAAAAAAACGCTGTGTCTGAAGAAACTTCTAATTTAGAGTTGGAGTTAGATATTCTGATAAGATCAAAGTTGTGTCAAGTAACAAGAAAAAACACTCGGTCAACTTTTCAGATCGATGAAACGACAGAACCCGAAGACGTCGCCAAAATTTCGAAGATGAAGCAACTTTACGGCCAATTTTCCGTTCGAGACTCTCTAATCGAAGAACTTATCCTCCCAAATTTAACACTCATAGTCAATACTGCCACCGCCGGTTATCTCTATGAAATTTCGGCTTTCAATTCAAAAATTTCAGAAATGCCAGCGATTCTCGTTCTCCAGAACAGCGCCTTGAAAACTCTCAGTTTCCCCAAGCTGACGGTTATCTTCATTTATTAAAATTGAAGGCAGAATTGTTCAGGAATTTCGAGGGGACAGTCCATTTTTCGACTTGTTACTCTCTGATAATCCTTCTTTGAACTTTTCCTGTGAAGCTGTGTTTCCCGCGGACAAAACGGCTGTCGTTTTGGATGAGAGCGGATTTCTCTGTTCCAACGGAACGAGCTCTCTTCTTTTAAACAATGGTACTTGCACTTCCTGGAAGGAAAATTTGAATAAAATAAGAATTTTTACAGAATTCAGTCGCCCAAGAAGATTGATGACACTGATAGCAATGATCGGAGTGATGACATTTCTTTATTAAATAAAAATAAAATGTTTTTATCAAGGATAAAACAGACAATTTTTAGTGTTCCGATAGAAAGTTGCAGAAAGATACATTTTGAGAAATTTATAGAAATTTGGGAGATGCTCTCTAGAACCACTTGTGAAACCGATTCATGGCTGGCTAGATCCCTCGAAAAAATGGTCCTGACACGATAAAAAAGAGAGAGCGTCTGACTGGTGGAGAGCGCAGACAGGCCACGCCCTTTGCGTCACAAGCGGGCCTTGAATCGTCTTTACAGTCAAAAATTTTAAAAATATATGGATTTATTCAGTAAATCGCTCCGCAAACATTGCAGCGGTAATATCGACGAACGCAGAAAATGAGGTAACAAAGAGGGAAAAAGAAAAATCCGCCGATGAGGGCCAGCATCACCATTAACATGTCCACTTCTTGCACCAAAACTCCGTAACCCTGAACGTTGGCTGGTCAACTTTTTGTTATCTTTTGAAATGCGAAAGGACAGGGCCAATGCCGGATTCGGAGTACTATAGCCTGTGTATAGTCTGTGTGCCACAACTTGAAATTTCACGGAACGATATTCCGCTGTTCCGCTGCGTGCGTTCGCGAAGCGTCTTTTGAATATAGAACACGCTTTCAATTGATTGTTATTTTTGTGGGAGCACATGAAAATAGAGTACCTTAATAATAGAAAAAAAAATTAAAAGCGCGACCACGCAGCGGAACAGCGGAATGTCGTCCGGTGAAATTTCAAGTCGAGGCACACAGACTATAGAACGGATGTTTTTTTGAGGTTCACTGTATGAATCTTATGGTTATTACTCAAAAAAAACTCACGCAAAGGCCGCAAACCATGACGGCGCCGGCATCCGCTCGTGGTACTTCCGCCGGCGTCGACTTCACCTCGGAAACATCTTCCGTTTTTCCTTGAGGTCAAAAGTAATCCAACGATTTCTTTTTTGAGAAAAACCGGCCGGTTCCATGTCGATGGCTACGACCATTTTTTCGATTGGTTCGTTACGGAACCTTGAATAGGAATGATTAGATTGAGCACGTCATTTTGTTTTTTGAAAATTTTTTCCCAGTTCATTTACTACAAGTTTGATTCGAGTTCAAGGAGCTCTGCAGTAACCGAAGGTTCGGCTAATTTTTCCAAAGTAGGCCGCATTTGGAATGGCTTGAAGCGATGCGGTCGAGAAAAGTTCTAAGGCGGGCTGACATTTATTTCTCTACTTTACGATATTTCTCACTAGCCACGCATTTGAACAGTCGGGCCTTCCATAATTTCTTGAAAATAAAAAACTGCGGACGCTTTTCAAATGGCTTGGAGCTACGCGGTCGCGTTGCGGTTGGGATGAGATCTAAGGCAGTTTGTCATTTATTTTTCCCGATATTTTCCATTCACCACGACTTTGAACAGTCTGTCCTTTCTGCGTCTCTCTTCTCTCTTCGGTAAGGCATAGAAACATAGAAATAGCACACAAAGGCGAGAGCGTCGCCGAGGAGATGCGCGGTGAAATTATTCGGCGGAGAGTCATACCTCCGCGCGCAAACCGTTTTTGGTCCGGCGCGACCGAAATTCAGTCCTTAAACCTCAAGGTATTCCACATACGGTTTTGAAACTTTTCAGCAAGACATTTTTAAAGTTTCTCGCTTTTTTGAAGCCGATTCCAGAGAATTTCTCTCTTTCTTGACGGAATTTTAAAATTCTTCTGCTTTTCTTTTTTTGTGGAAATAAGTTCTGATTCACTTGTCCGATGGATTTATCCATAACACGTCCGTTGCTCACTTTATCGAAGGAATTCAGACTTTTTTGGTGACCGGACAGACCGTCGGAGGAGCCTTTGTCGGTTTCCTGTCGGTGACCAAGACTTGCTTCTGTTTTTTCGAAGCATCTGTAAAAATAGACTTTTTTTCTGTTCATTTAGGAATCTCTGACCAATCGCCTTCATTCCGCAGAGGTAGCCGTAGACGCCCTTGTTTCCTCGCTCCTTCAGGCCTTGTCTGGTATCACAGCTGAAAAATTATTCTTTACTAAAAAAAATATGGAGAGATGCTTTTGATGCTATTTCCTTCTACCTCACCGTCGAGAGAAAAGAGACCCAGACAGGTCAGAATGTCATATTCGCCATGATCCAAGGAGATTAAATCTGATGTAGTCTGTTTTTCACGACTTGCAAGTGCGGGACTTCTCTGCGCCCTCCTCGTCTCTCGGCGACTCTCTACTGTTTACCTGCTATTTTCACGTTTCTCTGACCTCGCCGGTGAGGGAACAGAAAGACGCAGACACGCAAAAACTTTCAAGTCGCGGCGAATGGACTATAAAACCGCAAAAAAGGTTCCGAGAGACGTAAAGCAACCGCCCGAGAGTAAAAAAAAAATAAATAACTATTGGAGGGACAGGGACAAATTCTATATTACTCTACCAAAAAAAGAATAAGCTCAAGATAAGCCTATTTATTTATTTTTTTGCTTTTTTGAAAGTGGCGTCAGTTCCAGTGTCGCGTACGCAAACAGCGACATTGACGTAACAGCTCCAAAATAATGAACTTTCACCAAAAATCAAGCTAAAACAATGAAATACTTGAAGACTCACGCCGTGTCGCGGAATTTCGCGTCCTTCAGGTCATTGGTCAGGACCAGGCAATTTTCTCGTTCTTGTCTGGAAATTTCCTTTTCTTTTTGGACTTTTATCAAATGTTCTATCTTGATAATTGTTTTTTAAACTCACGTCCAGCGATCGAAGTTGTTATCCGGCTCTCCGGTGGCCCATTTACTCGGGAATGCAAAGGAATTGTTCGATTTGTCGGTGAAGGCGAAAGACTCAACATCCAGAATTTCAAAAATATTTATTGGCGTTTTTTCTAGAAAAACAGGTAAGTTCCTTCTAGGACCTTCAAAAAGAGCTGAAAAGGTACCGCTGAAAGTACCGAAAACGATAAGAAAAAGGTATTTTGAGCTCCTTTTTCATACAAAAAACTTTTCTTCTTTAACGGTTGTTAATTGAAAATTAACTGAATTTTGGAATTTTAGTACAGGCTGGCAAGTGTCCTCAAATCTTCCTTTCTTTGAATATTCTCAGAATTAGCTATAACTCTTCACCTTCCCTGAGATATCGCAATTGGCCTTCGTGGAAAGAGATCCGAGACAATTTTCCTTTCTTTTTCCACCGACCCAAATTGAAAGGCCTTCCGAGAGTCCGAGATCTGCGGCCATCATGCCGGTGTAAACTGGAAAAATATATTTTTCCATTATTTTTTGAAGTTAAAACTCTTGAAGAGGTCCAATTCATCCTTGTTATCGATTCCAGAAAGAGCTGCGCCCAACTTTTCGCACTGTGTCTGGGCGGTCGCTTGAGAAATGATTCCAGGAAACAGCTGAACCTTTTTTTTGAGGAAAATTCAATTTTTTATTTGAAAACTTTCATACACCAAGTTTGGTTTTTCGCTCTTATGAAGCCTAACCAATTCTCGTGCGGGCAGATGAGACCTATAAATTATATTTCTCAGAAGTTTGTTTTAAAAAAATCATTTAAACATGCTTTGTTAGACAGCCCTTCCAATAGAAACTTGATTTCAAAAATCGAGAAATCGAAACAAAAAAGTTCGCTGTTGGTTTGTAAGTCGCTGGTTCAATTCCAGCAAGCGTTCATTTTTTTGCATCTACTGATATCAAAAAACCACAAGTTTAGTACAAAAAAAACGGAAAAACTGAATTTTGAGGCCTAGGCCCTAGGGTAAGAAAAAATGAATGAATAAACAAATATTCTGAACTGTCAGCGTTTAAAGAACGGGCTTTTCCGTTTTTTTTTTCAGGTTAGTCTTCTCTTTTTCATATATAGCTGATTCAGGGCTGGCTTCAACCCTCGGAAAAAGGTCCTGACACGATGAAAAAGGAGATAGTGCCTGGTTGGTGGAGAGCGCAGACAAGCCACGCCCCTTAAGCTAGCCTTGAGTTGGCTATTTTAAATATTTTTGAAAACTCCCGACTCACTACTATCCGCACACATCGACAGCTGCAAACATGCCAGAACGAAGAGCAAAATGGACGGATTCATTTCCAGACGCCTTTCCACCAAGGCCAACCATCCGTTTTATACAAATCCCAGCTATTAAATTTACTATGTAGTTTTTCACACGAATAAAGGAAATTTTATTGTTATTTTCGAGGCTATGTTTTATGCTTTTTATTTTATGGCATCAAAAAAAAACGGCAGACATTCTCACGGATAAAATTTATGAGTTTGAAAGTTCTTCTTTTGATCGAAGTGATAAATTTTGATAGACAGGGAACTGTTTTATACACGGACTTTTTTTATCTTTTTAAAACTGAAAAATAAAACCTTTTTAATAAGATCTGAGTAATACTTTATTAGCAAAAAGAAAGATGAAAAAAAGAGTTAAAATTTAAAGAATTTTTGCTTACTAGGGGATGGTCTCCGGTCGAAGTGGGGCTTCTGAATGGGACCAGGTCTTCTAGATGTGTTTTTTCACGCTGATTTGATTTCAGAAACTGACCTGAAACGCTTTGAAAAAATTGACGGCTCTCAAAAGTCTTACATTTCAACGTCAACGATTTGCTAGGATCCCCTTCTCATAAACTAAGCTTTGAAAAGCTTGGGCTTTAAAATTTGTCTGAAAAAATTAATTTTTTTCACTGACCGAAATAACAAGGACTATATACCCTCCAAAAATGTGCCTTCTTCGAATTTTTTCACACGCATTGAGAGCCGTTTTTAAGGCCATATTTAGGATCAATTTGAATAAAATATATCTAGTGAACCTAGTCTCCTTTAGAAGTCCCACTGCGACTAGAGGCACTTAAAAACTCTAAAGGAATCAAAAAAAAAAAACTATCTTCAACTTTTTATTAGAGCTCAAAAACGCCTCAAATTCTCTTTTCTCCACTGCGGTAATGAAGTTCAAACTACATAGGCAAAGTCTTTCTTTTTCTATTCACGGACCCTTTACTTTTTACACGCAAAAATTTTTTCTTCACAGGTGGGGTTAGTTAATCCACCTAGTGGTCTTTTTCCCTCCCTGCAACATCACCATACCATCCCGATGTTGCGAAAAATAAATTGATTGAATTGAAAAAGTCGGAAAGGGTGGGAAAAATAAATGTTCCTTTTAAGGAGACAAAGGTTACTTTTTTCTGCCTTTTTGCGCCATTCCATCGGCCCTTATGCACCATGTTTGCTACCTCCCCCTTTTTCCACCATTTTTTGAGCCTTAAAAAACCCAGAAAAATGGAAAGCTCGATGAAGGGACTCTTTTTGCTCCCTTTCTGCAGCCTTTTTTGAGCCTCTGCCTTTTAGGGGCCATTATCCATCATTCCGACTTCGCCCGAGTCTCTTGCTTCTTGGGCGAAGAAATAAAATTATTAAAATATGCTATTTTTTCTTGAGCCTTTTTTCTTCAAAGTGTCTTTTGATCTTGTTGGAAACTCTTTATAAAAAGTCTTGTAATTCTGAAAAGAATTCGAGGAGATAATTCGGATCTGTTTCATTTTTTTTGAGTCATTATCGATTCCTAACTATTCAATATTTTGATAAGATCAAATTACATTGAAAAATCGACCTAGGAATTACAGACAAGAGCTCGAAAACTTTTTTTCTCGAAGAAAAATAAAAAGCTCAAACGTCATCAAGTCTCGATCGATTCAAGACTAAAGTTTTCACCTTTTGCGTCCATTTTTCATAACTTTTCCCATTCTTACAGTGGACGACTCTTCCAAATTCAAATATTCTTCTTGAAGAGCGAACAAAACAATTCATCAATGATTTATTCAACATCAAAAAGTGGATTTTTTCAAACGTCGACAGTGAGGGGTGTGGTTGTTGTTTTCACTTTCTTCTTTTTGGTAGTCGGAGACTCTGAAGCGGTCGTTGAATCGTGAGCCGTCGTGGGGGTCGTGGATTCAGAAGACTCCTCTGCCGAAGTTGTTGGATCAGAAGCCGTCGTTTGAGCCGCTGAAGTCGTAGATCCAGAAGACGTTGCTGAGGCAGTAGTCGAATCGGAAGCCTTCGTCGGAGCCGTTGGAGTCGTGGATTCGGAAGACGCCGTCGTCGTGGAGCCAGAAGACGCCGAAGAAGTCGTCACACCAGGAGACGTTATTGCAACCGTTGAGCCACCGGCACAGACCGCCAATTGCTCTTCCGCCTGTTTCTCGATTATTTGCCCCTCCTCTTTCAGGTCTTCGAGGAGTTTCGTGCCTTCTGAAACTCTTTCGAAACTTGATATAAACTCAAGAAGGCCAAACCGATTCCAGGCATGCCGCAAGCAAAACCAACGACCAGGCCCAAGTTTTCGATGGTGTTACGTTTCGTCACGTCTTTTGTTGGGTCACATCTTGAAAAGCGCAAATTTAAAGCTTCCCTTATTATTGGGGAAGCTTTGAAAGTTCTTACTACTTAGGAACGCCAGAATAGTCTCTATAAACTAGACCTTAGGGGCCCTCGAAGGTCCCCTTTAGGGGTCACTTTACCGTCCGTTAAAAGGGCTACTACATCTTGAAAAAGTAGCCCCTACAGTGGAGCCAGCAAGTCATTTATTTTTTTATGAACTCTATGAAAAGGATTATTTTTCATGAAATACTCAACTAATTTACCCTGTTTCAATGAAAAAAATATCAAAAAGAGGATTAATGATCACTTATTAAATACGCCTTTATTAATCGACTTTATTATTTTGCTCGCTTACGTAGAAGAAGCGACCAAAGCGGATCGACTCCTGGTATCGTTATAAATGAAGTTTTTGATCACCAGACAATCTCTGGGCGAACCGCTGGAAAAGAAGATTTTTTGAACAGTATTTTTCTGAACACGAACTCTACTGGATCAGGAGCGCTGCTCGGCTCTCCCTCGGCCCATTGATAATTGAAATCAGTGGTGAACGCGACCGAGGATCCGTCGGTGAAAGTGAAGGACTATAAATGCATTTTCCTTCAACTTTTGAACTGCGAAAACAGCGACAAAATTGGCTAAAATTGAGTTTTTTTTTTGGCACTTTTCTTTACATCGTATTCAAAGTGATTTTTCAAAATTCAAAAGAACTGTTATAGAGTGAAAAAGACAACTTAATTTTTGGCGAGTCAGAGATAATTTTTGATTTTTCGCAAAATGACTTTTTTTCTACTTTTAATGATCTGTTTTTTTCAAAAATTTTTTTAACACGATTCCACCTTTGAATATTTTTTTGCCCTGATTTCAGACTTTAAAAAAACCTTGAAGACGAGAGAAAATTGGGAAAAAATAAAAAAAAAATAATTACGGCTTTTCCTGAGAATTTTTATAAATATATTGTGTAGTTCTCTATAAAAGTTCCTCTCGAAAAAACATTTTTTCACAACTTTTTGAAAAAATAATAATTTCTTGTAATTATTATGTATTGACTTTGATTTTAGGAAAAGTAAAGGAAATAGGAGAAACTAGAAAAATCAAATTCCGACTAGTCTTCAGAATTTTTTATTTTTATTTCGATTCCAAACTCACCTTCCGAGGCTCGCAGGCGTTGTTCTTTTTGCATTCTTCCTTTCTTTTGGCTCCGATCCAGAAACCTGCGCCGTTGGGTAGCGTCAGTTGGCGCCATCTTTGACCGGCAGTGTCTGGAAAACTATTTTTTTTGTTAGCGACTCTCCTTTTTTCGAATTATGAGTACGGCTGAGTCATATGTGACTTAAGACAAAGGGTCCTGGCACGAAAAAAAATAATGCTGGTTTGGTGGAGAGCGTAGACAGGCCACGCCCCTTTTGAGTTAGTTGTGAATCAGCTTTAAAACTCAACTATTTCAAGATCAAGGTTCTCAAGAGCGTGACAAGGAAAAAAAAAGGCCCTAAGGAAAATCTTTAAAATTTTTTAAATTTTAATTGGTCCTTTTTGGTAGATCCAAGAAAAATTCGATCAAAATTGCTATGAGAGGACCCTTTTTCTCAAACTCACCTTTCAAAAAGACGATTTCAGCGGTAGTCTCTAATCCGGAAAGCTTCGCTCCGACTTTTGCGCAAGCCTGTTCAGCCTCGTCCCGCGTGTTCATTCCTTCGAAGTACTAGAAAAAATAAAAACTTTTCAAAATTCAAGAAAGGGTAATTTGAACATTTTGAAGCTTGAAATTTGAAAAGTAGTGAAAAAATTATCCTGAATGAGACAGAAAATGAATGAAATCAAGCTCATTTCTAGTCGAAATCGTACTTTGAAATTGAACAAAACCATCAAGCAACGTTTTTACCTTGACACACCAGACTTTTCCGCCTTCTCTTTCGCTTCGGTACCAATTGTAGTCGGGGCAAACCACTGAAAACGGATTTTTCCAGAAATAGAGTTAAAAAAGCAAAAATTATTCAAAAAAGTTGACCCAAAGTCTTCAAAAAACATAAAGCTTGACTTACATCTAGCAATGCTCAGTCTCAAACAAACTAGGGCTACCAAAAGCCCCAAATAGTTCATTTCGAACGGAATGGAGGAAAAATGCCTACCGCAATGGCCATGAATTGACCTTTTATACAAATCACAGCTATTAAAATTAATACCCTTGCTTTTCACATAGACAATATTTTTTTTATAATCGCCGTTTTATTTAAACGAGGTTTTTACTATCATTTTATCATTTAATTCACACGGTCCGTTTTTGATGTTTTTTTTTCGAAAAAAAAAACCTTTCACAAGGGGTTTTAACTCACCGAATCATCCGCAGATACTCGAGTTTTTGCCCTCATGCAAGACGCAAAAGGCTAGCAGTTGATGATCAAAAAGTAGTTTTACCAACAAAAAAAAATCCAATGAAAAAGAACTTTCTAGAGGGGCCACTTGAAATGTTCTTTTGCGTTGGAGCACATTTGGAAGATTTTTTGGTCGATTTACTTTTTCTCTTTTTTTTTCAATGGCATTTTCATCGGACAAAACTTAAATTGCTTTGAAACGCAAAAAATTGCTCCAAAACAAAAATTAGTACTGTTTTGAAGCAACTTTGGCGCGCCGATGGACACGATTTTTCGTTTTGAAGCATGTTCCTTTTCTCCGATGAACACGCCATAAAGATCAGTTTTACATGTTTTATCTATGAATTCGTCGTTTTCCTTTCCAATTTATAACTTCTGGATAGAGAAATATTTTAAACCTGTGCCTTTATTGTTGAGATTGCCCATTTTTCAAAATTCAATCTAATCAAGCTTCAGAAAAATGGACGCGCGTGCGTACGCACAAATTAAAGAAGACTTGGACACGAAAGATTGCCATTTGAATGCAAATATCGATGAGAAACAACTAAGAAGCAAAGTAGAGGATCAATTCTCAGAGGATTTAAAAGAAGTCGCGGAAGATATTCCGCTTGTACTTCTTCCAAAGAAAAAGGTATTTTTCATCTTCTTCTATACAAAAAAATTCTTATTATTTTTACAGCACTTCATTTCTGCAGAATGTGTCTTCAGTTTTGGGCGATGAATTTCTGGAATATTCTCTTCCTGAAAATAGTGGTACGACACCCGAGTTTCAGTTTTCGGAAACTTGTAAGTTTTTATTATCATTTCATCTTTTTTTTCAATTTCCTTGTTTGATTTTCACTTTGGTTTAATTTTCAGCGACGCTGGCCTCAGCTTTCGGATATGAAAAGAAGAAAAATATGTTGGAGCCGATGGATTCAGGGGCTACAAAGATGAAGGATATGATGAAAAAACGTCGGCCGGTGTAATTTTTTCACGTTTAAAGAAGAATTCGAAAAAATAAGAACCTTAAAGTTTTTTGGGTATACTTTGCCGTGGTTATGCACTATATTTAAGTTTCTTTATTATTATTTTTCAGGAAATCCCCTGAACGGATTCCCGACCCAGAACCAGTGCCTGATGAGCCCAAAATAGAAGTTGTTACGATTGAAGAGGTGCTTTTTTTGATAAATTTAAGCTAATTTTTATTAAAATTCAGGAATCGGATCTAGAAATCGATGAGCAAGGCATTCCGTTGAAACCAGAAATGCAGTTTCCTGTTGTAAATTATTTATTCTTTGATTGTAGTTTTTTTAAAAGATTTTTTTAGAGCCAATATATAGTCTTTGGAATAAGAATGTTAGATATTTTCAATTTTCATTGATTATTCAGTACAATCCACTCCAAGCCGCGACGCGACGCGAGAAATCCAAAAATGGTCGCAGGCGAAAATGGCAAACGCTAGAAACCGAATTGTTTTACAGTAGGTTCTTTTCAAATTCTTTTTTTTTTCAGTCATCACAGTATCTTTTTTTCGCTGCGAAATTATATATTTCTGATTTATGTGTTGAAGTTATTGTATAGGTGTGTATCTTTAATTCTAACTCGTCAAATTACCTGGTGCTTGCATTATTGAGGTGAAAAGTTCCAGTTCTCATTCAAAACCTTATAAATGCGCGGTTTTTGGAGACCTTACCCTCAAACTACACTTAACCACCCGTCGCAAGTAGTTTCTGGTCGGGCGAGCTCAAAAATGATTTTAGAAAATCAAAACAGTTCGAGGCTTCACGAAGAAAAAAATAGAGGTCATTTTAGATTAGAAGTCTTTCTGTTCGATAATTTTAAGCAATATTAATTTTTTTTTTCGCGTTTTTTTTCGATTTTTACATTTTCTTTTGGTTCAGTGAGAAGCTGAAAGCGAATGCTTCATCCACGTTTTTCAGAGTTGATCAAAGTAACTGGGGTCAATTTCGACATGATGAGCGAGTTCATGCCGTCAAGAACTGCAGATGAACATCGAGCCAAGTATAAAAAAGAGTACAAAGTTGATTTTGAGCGAATGAGTCAAGTTTGAAAGTGAGGATAATTTTTGATTCAAAATGATTTTTTCTAGACTTTGAGTTCACCTGGCGTTTTGGACTCTGAAGTCTTGGAAGAAATCAAAAAACAAGACGTCGAGAATGAAAAAAATCGGAATTTGCCGTTGAAAATGAAACAAGCAGTGAGTTGAAATGATGAAAAATTGAAAAAGAGAATAAAATCATTCTGAAAGTTTAGCAAAAACGAGAAGAGGCAAAGCAAAGGACTTTGAAGGCGAGAACTGAGAGAAAAGCGGCGTGAGTTCCATTTATTTTTGGGGAGTCACAGATAAATTTGCATTTCGTGGAAATTGCTTTGAACACATTTGCAATATCATCGAGCGATGAAAAGTTTTTAACTCTAAAATTTTATGACTTGTCTGTGCCCTCTCAGTCCCTCGTCGATATTTTTTTTTCAAATGATCTTTAGGGAAAAGAGAGTCCAGACAGGTTAGACTGCTTCAAGTCGTATCTGAACAGGCGTAAAAGAAAAATTTTCAATTCAAGCCATCATTTTCAATTTTTTTTTTCTATACCTTTTCAACCCTGAAAAGCGTGGTAATCTCTGCGTTCTCCATCAACTAGACAGTCTCTCATTTTTTCCGTGTCGAGACCCGTTTTTCGATGGCTCAAGTCATCCTTGAATCGGCTAAAATTAGTTCTCACATACTTTGATAGAAATCATTAGGCGTTAGAAAAACACTTTTTGCGTTCATTTTTCAGAAAATTCACTAAATTTGGAAGCTTTTACCACGCAGAACTTGTGCTCAAACGCCAAAAAAATGGAAAAAAAAATGAGAAAAAAAGACAATGCATTGTTTCTACGTTCCAGGTGAAAATTTTTTTTGGATTTCAATCAAAATTAAAGCTGCAAATATATTTTTCTTCAAAAAAATTACAGATTTTAGATCTCTGAAACATAAACAGGTTGAAATACGTAAATATTCCTTTCGAACTCCATTTCGGTCTGTTCATATGCTTTTTTCAACACCGCGAAAATTCCTTCCAGAAAAGCGGAAGCGGCTCTGAAACAAAACGTGGAGAAGAAACAACAACGCGCCGCGGTCAAAGCTCAGCTTCTGGCCAGAAAAGTTGGAAAAACGGAAGAATCTCAAAAGTACGACACGATTTTATGTCAAAAAGATGTCTCAGAAACCAAGTTTGATTATTCGCCGAAGAGGAAGACCGCTAGACTAGAAAATACTCAAGAAAAATTGGCTCTTGAATAAGTCTCGAAATTTTTATTTCAAAAAGAGTCCAATACTGTGTTACGTTTGAAAATTGTTTTATCGCTTTGTAAAATATTAAAAAATAAATTTACGATATGTTCATGGAAAGGGCTTATTTTCTGAATGGGGTGACGGTAACAAAGAGCTGCTTTGCCTTTTTTGCTTTTAGTAAACATCAGGATAAACTAAATATTTATGTGGAAAACCATGTTATCCAGCAAAATGTAAAAGTCCAAGAGAAAAGAATGAGGAAAAATGATATATTATAAATGATGTGTGTAAATGAATATAACATGAAAAAAAGTACTGGCAGAAATTTAAGTGGCCACTTTAGGGTTTCGACTTTTTAGATGCCTCTTTAGAAGTCTAAGAAGCCGTAAGTTATACTGGACCACTAAAATTTAGAAAAAGAGGAAATTTATGAGCAAAAACCGTAATGGCAAGTTCAGCAGGATTTTCTACGATTAATAATAATCAAAATCGCAAGGATGGAATATGGCAAGTAACATTGAATATTTAAAGCTTGATTGGAAGGATATTAAAAAGTTTTGCTCTTTCAGCTTCAAATCGGATTGAAGAGGTGCCAACTTTCATCCTAGTAGGTCTGTAAAATTGAATTTTCCAAATAATAAAGAGCTGATAAGGCTGACCATTATCCGAGCGAAGCTGCCGTTCGATTGGACGGCTTCATGAGTCATAACAAGAAGCTCGGCGTAATCGCCAAAAATAACTTTTGTTTGATCGATTTCATTCTCCAACATAGGGACTTTGCTTGCTTGATATTCATGGAACTGTAAAAACAAGAGAAAGAAAATGTTGAAAACCATTTTAGTTACGCGAAAATCATCCAGTGATTGTATTACGCAGCGCAGTTTTCCATCACAAGCCTCTTCCCATTTCTGAAAAGAAATTTCGGCGAACTATTGTTCAAGACAGGTCTGAAAAACCTTAATATTCTCATAAACATTGTTTCTGATGAGAAACGCGATGGATTCGTCGCATTGTAGATAAAAAGGCGTCTCCGTTTGATGTACAAATAGGAATTTGCACATCTGAAACCAAAGTTTTCTGTTTTTCGAAAAAGTTTAGTGAACGGAATGGAAACGCTCTCACAAGTGTAGACTACCGAAATCTTCAATAAATGACAAAAATCACCCTTTCCACGCAATCCGCAGGATCGCCTCTCGCAATCTGAAACTTGATTTTGATGAAAGTTCGAGCAAAAAGGGTTCCTCACAGATTGGAAGAGTTCAACGCGGTTATTATCTAAACCCTCTTGGAAATGTTGGACATCCCACAGGTGCGCTGTGAGGGAGTTGCTCACCCGAAATCGCATTTCCATCGAAACTTGCGCTAATCTGAAAGTTTGTAGTGACCTTTCATTCCAAGAAGAAAACAAAAGTCGATTTTTTGATCTTTTTCTACAAAATAGCAAACATTTAAACACTGCCTCCCTCTCTTTCAATTTTTTTCAAGAAAAAAGTCAGAAAAGTTGAAAAAAGCCCCATAGAAATGTCCCTTCTCTGCGCCATTTTATAGGCTCTTATGCACCAATTTTGCTACCTTTTTCCACCATTTCTGAAGCCTTTAAATTTCTAGGAAAATAATGGAAGGCTCGATAGAGAGACTCTTTTTGCTGCCTTTCTGAGGCCTATTTTGAGTCTTTTAGCGGCTGTTATCCATTATTCCGAATTTGCCCGAGATCGCTTTTATGAGTCAAGTTTATTATTCTAATTTTATCCGAGTTCAAAAAAAATTGTCTTTTTTTGTTTCAAACAAAATTAATCTTTTTTTAATGAGGCGAAGCTTCTTGCTTTTCAAAATTTGCTCCATATATGCTCCAAAACTGTTAAAACTTCCAAATAGCAAGATTTATTTATCCCAGAAGCCGCTCACAAGTATGAATCATTCTCTACGGCTTGACACCTGTCTGCCTTCTCTGCGCTCTCTTTTCTCTCTTAGACTGCAGTGTAGTGACTACACTCCGACTTTTACGTTCTTTTTTCACGTTTCCATCGCTTTTCTTGTGGGAGAAAAGACGTCGCAGATAAATATATTTTAAGTATTGAATAATAAAATATAGCTAACTGATATTTTTTTTTGAAGCCTCAATTCTAACTCACTTTTGACTCGAAACGAGATGACGAAGCTGACTTTTGTGCGTTTCTTCTGTTTTCAACCGTTCCAATTCTCTCCTCAGACTTTCTTTTTGATTACGACTTTTCTCCTCGACTATCTTGTGTTCGAGAACACGGATCTGTTCTTGATAGGCTTTTTCCACATCTCTTTTTTGCTTCTCCTCGAGATAACTTGCCAAGAAGGCATCTTTTGGAAGCAATGAAGTTTTTGAACTTTCTGGTTGCTCCGAAAACATCGAAGCTCTCGAACTTGTCGGTTCAGTGAGATCTGGAGAATGTGGCTCCTGGAAAGGATACGTTCAGTGAGGTAGAATAATTTATATTTTTTTGTAATCACGCGAGATTTTCGGAGGTTTTTTTTCGCCTTTTTTTGAACTTGAAATGCTCATCTCTTGTAAAATCACCATCTTAAACATCCAAACTTTAAATTTCCGAACGAAATAACCAAAATGTCATTATCTGAAGCTTCGAAAATTTTTGCACACACGTTCATTTATTTAATTTAAACTTAATCGCCGGAAATCATCAAAAAATCAAAAAAAAGGAATTCAAAAAAGTTCGCAAGTCACATTTCAGACAAAAAAAAACGAAAGAGAATCTTTGAATGAATAAAGACTCACTGATGTTGTTCGCTGTGAATCTTCAGGAGCGTCGATCTGAAAATAAAAAAATCATATTGAAAAAAAAAATGTTTGATCACCGAGATCCCGAATTCCTCAAAAAGGGGAACGAGGTCTACCGAAGGCGCCTAAAATGGTCACGAGGGATTAGAAAAGTATTGCTGATCTTACAATCCCCAAACAAAGATGGATGGCCTCGGTCAAGTTTTTGAGGTCCGTTCATTCCGTCTAAAAAAAATAAATTATTTCTTGATTTCAAAATTACGCTTAAAAAAATTGATTAACAAGAAATTGAGAAGGATCAAGAATGCGATAAAAACAGAAAGAAATCAAAAATGAACGTTTTATTGGAAATTGAGTGGACAGGGAAAAATAAGTTTATCAGAGCGGCGATTTCTCATACTAGCCATTTCTCTCTCCTTTCAGTATTGATTTTTGCGCTTTCCAACGACAAATGTACCCAAATTGAAGTTTTTGAGGTGTTGAGATCATTGAAAAAGAACAAAACAGGGAAAGAAGGCCGAAGAATCGATTGAAAGAAAAGTTTGCGTGTCGCTTACCTTTTTTTCCGATCGTTATCAGGGAAAAACGTTTCAATGAGCACACTACACACACTTATTGAATGATACATGATATTCAAGAAAAGTTGGACAGCTTATGAGGGGAAATATATTAGAGAAAAAAAGTTAGGAAAAAGAAATATTTTGAACTGATTTTTCCAATACTTTTTTTTTTCAGTACTAAGTTCTTTGTAAGTTTTTTTTTTATTTCCCCGTTTATTCGGTCATTTTTCCAGAATCATGTCTTGAAAATTGAATTTTTTGTTTGCCAAAGAATGATTTTTTTGTAATTTTTTTCGAATGAGACCACCTCTGCTTAATTTTTTTACCAGCTTGGTTAGTTTTTACCTTAGAAAATTATATTTCTAAATATTTTCGCTCACAATTTTTTTCAATCATTCTTTTTTGAAAAAAATATTTTAGATACAATTATTTTTTTCAAAAAACCCCGAATCGGTTTTACCATCGAAAAACTTCCCGTGGTCAAAAAAAGCCCAAACATTCCATCAAAGTTTGAAGAAGGAAAAATTTCAAATCCTCACGGGAACATTATTTTTCGAAATTCCACAGGAAACACCAGCTTTGAAAAGTTCCTCGTTTTATTTTTCGTTCCTTCTCTTTGGGAAATTCTCCCTGAAAATTTGGTTCCGAAAACACGTGTTTTTTGTTGAGTTTTTGTTGTTGACCTCTGGTCCAAATCAAACAGAGAAAGGTAAAGAGCAAGGTAAGTGTCACGTGCTGGAGATTTGAACTGTTTGTGAACGAAAGTAGATAAAATGATAAGAAGAGATAAACTCTTTGATAAAAAGATCGGGAAAAGTCGAAGAAGCTTGGAATAAAGAGCGAAAAATTTTTCCGTCGAAAAGAAATTTTTTTCAGAATAATCTTGAGCTTTTCTTTCAATCATTTTCATTTTTTACAAAAATGATTTTTTTCAACTTTGTAGCATCTTTTTTTCCGTGTGTAGCGTAGCTGGGAGTTTATATCTATGGTCCTGTTGATTTCTAATTTCTTATCTTTCGAAAATACGCAATGTTTCCATGACAGGACGTGACAGAGAATTGTCAGAGCAAAAAAATGCGTGGAAATCTATTTGAATTTCCCGGAGAAAAGTTATGGAAAAGTGTAGATTGAACTGTTTTTTCAGCTTTTTTTTAATCCTTTTCGAGCAATTTCAGTACTCCTTTCTTTGAAACTCGTCTGATAATTTTAAAATCTGATGTGAGAGAATGGCCGTAAATTATGTAAAAGTGTCGCTCCTTTTACAAGGAAGGTTAATAAAATGCTGAAAATCGGCCAGTACACTCTTTGACGTACCAAATAAACATTTTGAAAGTCTCGATCTGCACAAATTTCTATTTTTTGTGGTAGGGCACTTCAAAGTCAAAGAAAACCCTCGAAAATCGACCATTTTGGGGTTTTGAGCCCTAATTTCTGAAAAACCAGAAAATTGTGTGGGTAGAGACTTTCAGGAACGTTTTTCGGTACATCCAGGAGTGCTCTCGCCAGTTTATAAAAGATTTCAAACCGTAAAGTGAAATGACCTCCCTTCTGAGAAACGTAACTCTCCGAAGTTCATTCTTTCTTACTCCGGCCCAAAATACAAAGATCTCTTTTAAAAAATTGTCCCGGAAGACCACCTTTCTCTCTCTTTTTCCCCTCTATGACGTCAATCATCAACTGAAGGAGACTCACGAAAAAAAGGCCCAAACGAGCCTCGGAACGCAATTTCCAGTGTAAATAAGTGTGCACAAATTTGTGCTCCGGACTTTGTTATGTAGAAAAAAAACGGCGTTTTTTCGAAGTTTCAGGGTCCAAAGTTTGGCTTTCCGTCTCGAAAATGTTTGGTCGTGGAATTATTCAAATTTTGTTCGTTTTCATAAATTTTATTGAATTTTGAACTCTAGGGAGTTAAGGGATGTTTTAGGTGGAAAATTCGAGGAATTTCCAGGATTTTTTTCCACGAGATAATAAAAAAATATTATTTATTTTTTTAAAATTCAAAGTTTATAGAGAGTTTCTGAAAACTTCTGAAAATAAAAAAATTTTTAAAAATTCTGGCGAGCTTGGCTCTGTTTTTCAATGGAAAAAAACAGCTGTTGATAGCCAATTTTCCAATCATTTCTGATACCGAGATCACTCCTTATCAGTTGGAGAACTACACGGTGTATCGGGATTTTTGACGCATCCTATTCAGACTTGACGTCATTTTCAGACCAACCTTTGAAAGATAAGAAAATGAATATTTATTTCCATTTATTTCAATTCCGTCTTTTGGAACCTGAAAAAGAAACTTTTGCGATTTTAAAGCTTGACTTTGAATCTTCAAAAAGCTTTTGGGTGTTCAGAAAATTATCCAATTTTACCTGGTTCGAATAAATTCGAATAATATTTTTTTAATCACTCTACGAGCTTAAATTTCGAGTTACAACACAAATTAGTAGGTTTTTTTCCGATTAAGTTCCAGAAAAATTTTTTTATTAAAAAAACTTAGAATGATTGATATGCTATTTAAAAAAAGTTTTTCTGGATTGGTTTAAACATGAGAAATAAATCGAAACGTTTGTTTGAGCTTAAATTTTGAGTCACAACTCAAAAAAAAAAATTTCCGGTTTAGTCTCACCCGATTTCTAGAAAAGCTTTGGATTCTCAAATTTTTTAAATTTCGGGAATAAACCCACAACTTTTCTTCTGTACGCTTCAATTTTAAGTTACAATTCTAAAAAAAATATGTATTTTTGGTTTCCTCGCCTATTTCCAGAAATCTTTTGGATGATGAGAAATTTTTTTAATATCTTTCGAAACAAAAGCCCAGAATTTCACTTTTGTAAGCTTCATTTTCGAGTCACAACTCAAAAATTACTTTTTTTTTCCGGCCGTGACCCCATCGCAACAACTGTCGAATTACTTTGTATCGTCAACCACGTGGGGACCTCCCTTTACACTTTTTTCTTCAAAATCAACGTCATTCCAATAGATTTGAACCTTGACGTGTGTCTGTGATTTGGACCCTTTTTCGTCTATTTCTGATTGAGAAGACGTCATTGTTGTCCTAAGTTGGGAGAAGTTCCTTGTTTTTTGATTCAAAACAAGATTTTAATGTTTTTTTTCGAGAAATTTTCTGATTCCATACAATATTTAGTAGGAAGTGGATTTCAAAATTTCAAGAAGAGGAAGTTTTTTTTGGAATACTATAAATACTCACTCATTATGTGACGTTTTCATTTTATTTTCATGATTTTTTTGTTCTGAATTGAAGTTTTTTCGACTATTTAAAAAACTTTCAATTCAAATTGGGCTTCCACTTTTTCCTCATTTATAAACCTCTCACAGCAAATTTAAATTCCTGGGAAAGTTTTAGTGGCTACTTTAGGGTTCAAGTCACCACTATAGTATTCTAATCAGTGGCCACGTAAAGGACTAAAATTTAGTGGCCTCTTTAGGAGTCTCAGTGGTACTACCACAAAAAACTACTTTAGTGGTCACTAAGACACAAAATAGTGACTTCTAAAGAGGTGGTTTCAGTGGCCACTTTAGAGTCCTTGTTCTTGAGGAACCTATTAAGGGGCCACTAGAGATTTTTCCGGTCAGAAGAAATCAAAGCAATTTTTTTTTGGAATGAAAAATGTTTTGACCTTTTATCAAGATTAAACGTCATGAAGCAAGTTTCTTTTCTATTCAAAAAGTCTTTCCTAGAAACCTAAATTTTTCTGAAGTGAATTTTGTGAAAAGGAAAAAGTCATATTGGACTAAGCACCAACTTCCCAACTACTGGGAAAATTTTTAGTGGCCACTATAGAGGCTCGCCAAGGACTACTTATAGGACACTAAAGTGGCCACTAATTTCCGTTTTAGTGGTCACTATAGAGGTTCTCTATTTAGTGGCCACTTCAGTAGTTTTTCATTCAGTATTCCTTCCAGTAACTCTAATAGTTTTAAAACAAACGAGTTACGTTGATCCATTGACCCCTAAAGTGGCCACTAAAGTTTTTAGTGGTCTAGTAGTAGGACTTAGACCTCTATAGTGGCCACTAATTTTCAACCCTTTAAGTGCCCATTAATTTGACTACTATAGTGGCCTCTAAAACGTCAAACCCCTATAGTGGCTACTGAAATTGTTCCCAACTAGTTTCGAAAATATTGTTATTTCCCACTGATGTCAACTTTAATCAAGAAAATGAAAAAAGCCAAGAAGTCAAAGTACTCGGATCTCTACGGAAGCCATGCTTTCATGTTTTCTTGTTTGTTTGTTTGCTTTTTTTTCTCAATGGAGCGCGATGTTTTGCGCCGTGTTTATTTCGTTTCCCGCCAAGCTCCGCCCACTTCTCGTGCTGACTCCGCCTCTTCGGCTCTCCAGAAATGTCAATTCGTTTTGAGCTTTGGCAGTTCTTCGTTTTTTCTTGAATTTCTTCTAGAGTATCAAGTTTTAACTGATTTTCTTATTTAATAAAATCGAGGTTTGAAAAAAATCTCTGAAGAAGGGATGACTAAAAAAGCAGGAGAAATGAATTTTTTTCAATTTTTTTTTTCAAAATTTTGTCTAATAGTATTTTTTCTTGTCTTGATGTTTCATATCCCGTTTATTAACAACTTTGAAGCGTCTGACTTCTCTGGGCTCTCTTTTCTCTCTGAGGGATTGAGAGAGCGCAGGAAGGGCAGAAGTGATGCCGAAATGAAGCCTGAAAATTATTTTCGCTGGTTTTTAATGATTTTTCGAATTTTCCTGATTTTTTCAACGTAAAAACCCATTTTTGAGATCTATTGGTCACTTTCTGGTTCACATAGATTTTTAAATTTTTTTTTAAATTTTTTTTTTCAAATGCCAGTTTATTATGAAGCTTGAAAACCGGATTTTCATTCCTTTTTTTTTGCAAGTCCTCTTTCAAGCTTTGAATTTTTTATACCCTACTTTGAATAAAATGTCCATCCAGTTATCCAATTTTCCTCCAGATTCAAAGTATGAGATCGACAATGATCCCAGTCGGATTCGTCTATTTTCTGCTCGTCGCCAATTTCTACAACGAATCGGCCGGATTTGACAAAGACCACACGCCTTACTACTCATTATGGTAATTTTTGAAAGAATCTATTTTTTGGAAAAAAATTCTTCTCAGGAAAGTGACGCCGATCGCTTCTCTGGCCGGTTTTTCCTTGTTCCACGGTGCCGGATTATCAGATAAAGATCGGCTTTTGGCCGGATTGGGCCTGATTTTTGGAGGAATCGGTGATTATGTGATTGGTCAGTTTCATTGGAAGTTAAAACTTTTAAAATTGAAAAAAAATTTATTGCGACTTTTTCTTACGCATTATTTTAACCGATAATATTTTTTTCCTCGAGTTTTTCAATTTTTTTTTGATCGCCAATATGATTTTTCCAGTTCCAAAAAATGTTGCACACAGGCCTCAAATTTGTAGTTAGCTTCATCGGATTCCTAGAAATCTAACTTTTTTGTTTTCTGATTTTTACAAGCTGCTGAATTATCTCACTTCCTCCTTTGATAAATTTTAATAAATTGAAAAATTGCAGGCAGTTCAAACGAAGGAATCGTCGCAGGAGCCATCGCTTTCGGTATCGGACACGTTTTTTACCTGGTCAGTTAAAAAAAGATTCAAACGATTATCGAAAAGTATTTTCTCTGTTTAGGATAAATCTTTAAATAAATATCCGAATGCTTTAAAAGTATTGGTTTCTTTCAAACTTGATAATTTCCAATAACTCAGGCTTTTATAAAAAAATAAATTGAGTTCAAAAATTAATCCTTGGTCATTCATCCTTGCAATTGTTTTGCTCTAAGAAACTCGATCCTCGCCTTTTTTTTTTCCCCGGCAACTTTATGGCAAAACATCGCCTCGGGGCGTGAACATGACACTCTGTCGGTGAAAACAAAAAACAACGGCTCCCGTGGAAATTGCCTTCTTTTGTTGGTCTCTCGTTTTGGGATGAAGTAGATGATGAGGAATTCCAGAGGCGTTCTGTTTTATTAGGTTGGCCGGTTAGAAATGAGCGTTGGGTTGTCGTCGGTTTTTTTTTTCAAAGGCAAAGGTTCGAGAAGGAAATTCAATCTACGCAAAGAAATAGTTACAAGTCACAGGTAAAAATCGAAAACAACTTTTTGTATCGATTTTTTTATTATAATACTCTATAGTGATATGAACTACCAACAGAAAACCTAATAGGATATTTAGAATAGTTGAAACTTTTAAAAAAAGAGTGGCCACTAAACCCACCTCTATAGTGGCCACTTTAGAGGTTCTCTATTTAGTGGCCACTTCAGTAGTTTTTCATCCAGTATTCCTTCCAGTAACTCTAATAATTTTAAAACAAACGAGTTATGTTGATCCATTGACCCCTTTTTAACCCCTCAAGTGGTCACTAGTTTGACCACTTTAGTGGCCACTAAAAGTTTTCCCAGTAAACCAGATAAAATTCGAATTTCTGTCCGGATATGCGAATCCTGTAGACTACATGTGTTGAATAAGAGTAAAGATGAAAATACTTTTTGTAAAAATTTATTTGCGCCATCGTATTTACCTTTTTTGTGGATATCACCTCAAAAGAACTGAAATAGAAAAAGAAAAAATTGAAAGAAACTTGAAGAAGCTTTTAAAAAATTAAGGAATGTCAAATTTTACTAATTGTTTTTCTTCTCATATCACATGGAAAATCTAATTTTTTAATCTAGAAGATTTCCATCATTTTCCAGATGCTCTTCATGAACTACCAGACGAAAGTCCATCAGCCACTGGTGGCGGCGATGATCTTCTGGGGAGCCGTCATCAGCAAGGTGTGTTTCCTGCCGCTCCTCGAGGAACATCCTATCGCCATGCTCATCATGGCTTCTTATGCGGTTCTTCTGACGTCGTGCTTCGTCATTGCCGCTTCGCAGTATCTCAATGGCACCGCAACGCAAAATGAGAAGGTTTGTGGGCTTTTTGGAGCATTTCGAAACAAATTAAGAAATTTAGCCCTGTAAAATACAAAAAAGGAAACGTTGCATTCAAATCTTTCTAGCTACTTTTTGTTTTGAAAATTTCAGTTTGCCGTTAGAATTTTGAAAAGTTTTTTGAGAAGTGATACTGAAATTTTTTTATGAATTGAAAAAAACTAAGTCTTTTTAGTGAAATAAATAAAAAGCTCCAAACTCAAGGAAAAAAAGCAGAGCTTATTTTTTTGTAATTCATCTTTTGAAAAAAAGGTTTTTTTGTTTTTCTTCAAAATATTTACACGTCTCCATGGAAATATTTAGTATTTGGTCTCCGATTTTTCTTGCATTTCCTTTCAAACTTCCGTTGTTTTTTTCGAAGAAGAACCTTCAGAAAAAAATTAGCCGAACGAAAATCACAAAAAAAGTGAGAAAGAAATAAAGAATTTTCATAGTAAAAAAAGATTAATATTTTTTTATTCGAGGCTTTTTTTATTTCTAAGTTTTTTTCAGGGAGTTTGGATTCGCGCCCTTGGATTCCTGTCGTTTTTTTCTTCTCCGACTCGGTCCTTATCCTGTCCCACATGGACATCAGAACGCCGTATTGTGATTTCCTGGTCCTCGGAAGCTACTACCTCGCCCAGTACCTCATTCTCTACGGAAACATCGTCGCGAAAGTTACACCGACGCACAAAAAAGTCGCCAATCTCAAACCGTACCAACCCCGATCTCTTGTTTCCGCAAATTGATACAATTATTTTACAAATATCTCATTTCGTGTTGTGATTTCTAGTCGGAGAACAAGAGCTTTAATTGCAGATTTTTTACTTACTAATAAGAAGGTCATGATGACTTTTAATGTTGTAAATATATGTACATAACTTCAATAAATCTTTTTTTCTTTTTGATAGTGAGGATATATCGCAAGAAATAAAGAAGAAAACTTGAAATTTTCGGGAAAGAGAAAGATGCGAAAAAAATTAAAAAAATTACTGTGCACAAAGAATACGCAGTTCGCCGTGTATGCCAAAACATCAAACTTGACGCCAATTTCTAATTTCTCGCCACCAAATAATTTTTATTTTTATTCAAAAAAATAATTGTTTCATTCAGAGCTGTTTGATTTTATAGTATTTTTCCGGCTTCATACTTCACCGACTTATTTAATTTCAGAAATGTCCGAAAATACTTTATTAATCTTCTTTGTTTTGATTTTTCGGTGTTTTGGATGAAGAGATTGTCTTCCTTTCAACGTTTGATGATCCTGCATGTTGAAGGTGCGTTTTTTTCTTTATTAATCAATTTTTTTCTTTTTTTCAAAATTATAAATTCCTAGCCAAATTGTAAAAATATTTTTGATATATTTGAGGAAAAAAAATTTAAGAATTTGACGGATTATACGGCTGTTGCGATAACTTGGAGCGAGACGGTTGAATGTGAAAAAGCCTGTTTTTGTCGAATTTGCTCGGAAGAAATTTCGATAAATGTTTGATCAATTCTCGATGTCGTAGAGTGTATATGAAGAAGTTGGCGATCATCTGAATATTCCATTATTTGAAATTGTTTTTCAAACTGCTTACTTTGAGAAGGAAAAAGGCGAAATAAAGGACATGTGAAATTTGGAAGCCAAAGGGCTGGAAATGATAAACGATGTCTGGTATCAGAATCAGGAAACAAGACGCGGTTGTTGACATTCCTGAAGATATTTTTTTTTTTTTGAAGTCTTGGGATATTTTTTCTACCGATAGTTATTGTCAAATTCTTCATTCCACTGTCTTTCGATGATCTTCTCACTGTTTGTTTCTTCTGTAATCATCTTTAAGTTTCTGATTTCAATATCTTTGCCGGTTAAAAGCAATTGTTTTTCGCGAAATCTTAGGAAATAATTCTTAGAAGTGGTCTTGAAATGTTTTCGGAAAAACCTTGCGCATGGAGAAATAAATGTAAGCGTAGATGATTGAGCCGACGGCGACGCAAAATATCCGCTCGCCGGCCAGGTAAAGCCGGAACTCATTTCGCATTGTCTGTAAATTTCGGACTTTGGTTTCGGAAAAGGTTTCTGAGAAGGCGCTGGACTTCTTTTCAAGTATTGGCTAATGAAAAATGGTTTTCATATTGCAGAATTGAAAAAAAAACGGATAAATTGAAAATTTCGTATTGAAATATTTCAGAGTGCTAATGATTCTTGAGGCGGTTTTCAAAGTGATTTTCGCGAAATTTTCTCTGGCTCTCCGAAAATGCGTTATCTTTTTCCACTCTCTGACGGATTTTCTGATGTTGGCTTTTGAAGTATAGAGAATCTTTTTTTGGGCTTTGATTGAGCTTTTCTAAATTTTCTGATGAAAATTTTGAAGAAAACTTACATTATACAGCGGACAGAGGTGGTCGAATAAAGTTGGAGGCTCGAAATGTATCGAAATAATATTCATAATGCATCCAATGAGCGACCCGAGGAATGGCACTGAAAAAAAATTATTTTCCGAAAATTTGTTCCGATTTTTTTCGAAGAAAAAAAAGTTGAAGAATGAAGTTTGTGATATCTTCAAAACATTCAGAAAAATGAAACTGTAAAGATTAAATCTCTTTTTTTAATGATCTCGAAACATTTTAATGATAAAATAAATGAAATTATCGTTTTTTTAAGATTTTTAAAAAAATTGGCAAAAAAATGCTCACTACAAATGAGCGTGGCCGTGTACCGAAATCCCATCCCGGCGTATTTCAAAGGGCTCAAAACTGCGAAAAATCGGTCGAGAGCCACCACAAACATGAACATGTTATCCAACTGAAAATATACTGTATACAGATTTTTTTTTCTTGACATGACCTAGCTCAAGACCGACGCGGACGCTTTTAGTTTACGACCGATTGTATTTTTGCTCGTTTGCGGCTTTTTTGATTTATGATTTTCGGCTTTTTTTTTGAAGTCTCGAATGTTTGAAATTTCAATTTTCAAGTTTCAAACAAGTCATCGGTTCCGATTAGAAGTAATATTTTCAGAAGGATTTTTCTTGTAATCAGTTTTTAAACTGCAAAAATAATTTCGATGCGAAAATAATTTAGTTTGGTCAAAAGTGGAGCCGCTTTTTCGAGGTCTTTTATTTTATAAAAATCACCTTTTTTCACACCTATCTTACCTAGTTACTCGGAGATCATAGAAAAATGTCTTCCCAAAGGCCGAACAAGGCCAATATTTGCTCAATAGAAAAGGTGCTAATTACAGGTGTGAAAAATTCGATTTTCATATCAGGTGTGAAAGTTCAAGATAGACAGAACAAAGACTTCAAAGGGGTTGCCGCATCTGTCATATGGCTTAGATTCCTGTTAATCTTTTTTTAAAAGAGAATTTGAAAATGTTAAAACATTCTTTCATTAAGAATCTAGAGAACTCATCTATAAGGAGGTTAGAAAATTTCACCTGAATTGAAAAGGTAACCATCATGGTAACGGGTCTCAAGGCGCATTCCATTCGTAATACGTTGTGAGATTCTGGAAATTATTTTGATCGAAAAAGCTCCAAATGAAAAGTGGGGTTTGTAATTATTCAAAAGTTCAGCATTTTGAATATACTCATCAAGTAGAAAAAAATAATGGTCTCTTAAAAAAATCTAACAATACTTGGAGTTCAACTTCACAACTTCACCTTCAAGTTAAAAAGAAGATTGAGATAGAAAAAAACTCATATTTTTTTGTTGGAAAAAAATTTTTAAGTTGGTTTTTTTCAGTTTAAATAATTTTTTTAGGTTATTTTTTTACTCATTTTTCTGCATTTTTCTCTGCTATTCTGAACCCAAAAAAATCTGTTCATTTTGAAACGAACCATGATCCAAAGCGAAAAAAAGTGTAGGAAACGGAGGCGATCCCCTCGGTGGCCAACGCGATGTCGCACATGGACAGGATAATCATCATGAAAAGTTCTTTCTTTTCTCGAGTCACCGTCGTGATCAAGTAGATCGTCAGGGGCGCATTCAGAGCGATCACTATTGGCCCTGAAAAAAATGAACGATTTTTTGTTCTAGTTCCAGTTTAATAACCTTTTTCGTCATTTTTTGTGCATCAGCTAGATTTTCGATTTCGAAGAGAGGCTTTTGGAAAATGAGAACTCCTTGATTTGAAGTTCAGAAAAAAAATCATCTAGTTTTGAGAATATTTTCTCAACTTTATTTTATTCAAAAATGGAATTGTTGAAAGTCGATACTCGAATTTAGATCAGAGGCCGATGAGGAAAAATAAGGGAACGAATAATAAAATTGCGTGAGAAATTCTCCAAAATTTGATTTAGTTTTTATCCCATTCTGTTCGAGTTCTTTTTTCTTTGCTGTTTTGAAAACTTCTAATGACTTCCAAAAAAAATTAACCCGTATGGAAAACTTGTAGTTTCATGAAACCTACCCAAAACGAGATAAACTAGAATAACGTCCAGTGTGATCAAAACTGGCTTTTGGAAATGCAAATCCGTCGCAACCGTCGAATATAACTCCATTATAGAACAAGATAACTTGTAACTTCAAAAATCAAGAAACTGAAGAAAAAAGTGTTGTCTATCACGTTTTCGGCAAGGTTTTTCGGCTTCCCTGGAAATATTTGATCTAATTTAGTCTTTAACTGAAAATTACGCGCATTTGATTGCTTTAAGCTTGTGGGCGTTCCGACGAGGAAACAATTGAACTTTTTGGAATCGAGCCAAAATTGGAAATGAGAAAAAAACTAGAAAATGCTTAGAGAATCTTTTTCAAATATTTGGAACAAGCTTCTTTTTCATAGGACTAGTAATTTATAATATAATACTCTTTATAGAAAGGGTTAAAAAAATTCTGCTTTAAACTTTTGTGACAGACAAATTTTAGCGGATGAATTAAGAAAAATAAAATTGCACCCAGTATAACTCGATTTTTGCTTCATCTCCTTCTTTCTCCTTCCGATTAAGTTCCTGATAAACCATTTTTTTCAGACAATCTCATCCATATTTTTTGAATGTATGTTGTTCTCGCACATATCCAGCCATGGTCTACGAGATGATGAGGTGTGACCCAACCTGCCATGTCGCTAGGTCAAGGAAAAGAGCGCGTCTGAGCAAGACGCAGACTGCGATGCGCTCGGGCCACAGGCACGCAGTAGAGGCGTCGCTTGGGAGAGGTCAACCAACGCACCGCCCATTTTGTGTATATATAGCCGCTGACCTCGCCAGATAGAACCATTTGATCGCCTTCTGCTCCTGCATTCGCTTCTTTCCTCCTGCTATAGCTGTTCATCGATTTTCTTGGTCCAAGGGTCTATCCAGATCTGGTATGAAACTGTTAAGCTTTCACCGGGTGTAGATTGACGCTTGGCCCTCGAGCCATTTTTCTTCTTCATCTTTCTCAACTCTCTTGGTCCGACCGTCTATCCAGATCTGGTATGAAACTGTTAAGCTTTCACCGGGTATAGATTGACGCTTGGCCCTCGAGCCATTTTTCTTCTTCATCTTTCTCAACTCTCTTGGTCCGACCGTCTATCCAGATCTGGTATGAAACTGTTAAGCTTTCACCGGGTATAGATTGACGCTTGGCCCTCGAGCCATTTTTTTCTTCTTCATCTTTCTCAACTCTCTTGGTCCGACCGTCTATCCAGATCTGGTATGAAACTGTTAAGCTTTCACCGGGTGTAGATTGACGCTTGGCCCTCGAGCCATTTTTTTCTTCTTCATCTTTCTCAACTCTCTTGGTCCGACCGTCTATCCAGATCTGGTATGAAACTGTTAAGCTTTCACCGGGTGTAGATTGACGCTTGGCCCTCGAGCCATTTTTTTCTTCTTCATCTTTCTCAACTCTCTTGGTCCGACCGTCTATCCAGATCTGGTATGAAACTGTTAAGCTTTCACCGGGTATAGATTGACGCTTGGCCCTCGAGCCATTTTTTTCTTCTTCATCTTTCTCAACTCTCTTGGTCCGACCGTCTATCCAGATCTGGTATGAAACTGTTAAGCTTTCACCGGGTGTAGATTGACGCTTGGCCCTCGAGCCATTTTTTTCTTCTTCATCTTTCTCAACTCTCTTGGTCCGACCGTCTATCCAGATCTGGTATGAAACTGTTAAGCTTTCACCGGGTATAGATTGACGCTTGGCCCCTCGAGCCATTTTTTTCTTCTTCATCTTTCTCAACTCTCTTGGTCCGACCGTCTATCCAGATCTGGTATGAAACTGTTAAGCTTTCACCGGGTGTAGATTGACGCTTGGCCCTCGAGCCATTTTTTTCTTCTTCATCTTTCTCAACTCTCTTGGTCCGACCGTCTATCCAGATCTGGTATGAAACTGTTAAGCTTTCACCGGGTATAGATTGACGCTTGGCCCTCGAGCCATTTTTTTCTTCTTCATCTTTCTCAACTCTCTTGGTCCGACCGTCTATCCAGATCTGGTATGAAACTGTTAAGCTTTCACCGGGTATAGATTGACGCTTGGCCCTCGAGCCATTTTTTTCTTCTTCATCTTTCTCAACTCTCTTGGTCCGACCGTCTATCCAGATCTGGTATGAAACTGTTAAGCTTTCACCGGGTGTAGATTGACGCTTGGCCCTCGAGCCATTTTTTTCTTCTTCATCTTTCTCAACTCTCTTGGTCCGACCGTCTATCCAGATCTGGTATGAAACTGTTAAGCTTTCACCGGGTATAGATTGACGCTTGGCCCTCGAGCCATTTTTTTCTTCTTCATCTTTCTCAACTCTCTTGGTCCGACCGTCTATCCAGATCTGGTATGAAACTGTTAAGCTTTCACCGGGTATAGATTGACGCTTGGCCCTCGAGCCATTTTTTTCTTCTTCATCTTTCTCAACTCTCTTGGTCCGACCGTCTATCCAGATCTGGTATGAAACTGTTAAGCTTTCACCGGGTATAGATTGACGCTTGGCCCCTCGAGCCATTTTTTTCTTCTTCATCTTTTCTCAACTCTCTTGGTCCGACCGTCTATCCAGATCTGGTATGAAACTGTTAAGCTTTCACCGGGTATAGATTGACGCTTGGCCCTCGAGCCATTTTTTTCTTCTTCATCTTTTCTCAACTCTCTTGGTCCGACCGTCTATCCAGATCTGGTATGAAACTGTTAAGCTTTCACCGGGTATAGATTGACGCTTGGCCCTCGAGCCATTTTTTTCTTCTTCATCTTTCTCAACTCTCTTGGTCCGACCGTCTATCCAGATCTGGTATGAAACTGTTAAGCTTTTCACCGGGTGTAGATTGACGCTTGGCCCTCGAGCCATTTTTTTCTTCTTCATCTTTCTCAACTCTCTTGGTCCGACCGTCTATCCAGATCTGGTATGAAACTGTTAAGCTTTCACCGGGTGTAGATTGACGCTTGGCCCTCGAGCCATTTTTTTCTTCTTCATCTTTCTCAACTCTCTTGGTCCGACCGTCTATCCAGATCTGGTATGAAACTGTTAAGCTTTCACCGGGTGTAGATTGACGCTTGGCCCTCGAGCCATTTTTTTCTTCTTCATCTTTCTCAACTCTCTTGGTCCGACCGTCTATCCAGATCTGGTATGAAACTGTTAAGCTTTCACCGGGTATAGATTGACGCTTGGCCCTCGAGCCATTTTTTTCTTCTTCATCTTTCTCAACTCTCTTGGTCCGACCGTCTATCCAGATCTGGTATGAAACTGTTAAGCTTTCACCGGGTGTAGATTGACGCTTGGCCCTCGAGCCATTTTTCTTCTTCATCTTTTCTCAACTCTCTTGGTCCGACCGTCTATCCAGATCTGGTATGAAACTGTTAAGCTTTTCACCGGGTGTAGATTGACGCTTGGCCCTCGAGCCATTTTTTTCTTCTTCATCTTTTCTCAACTCTCTTGGTCCGACCGTCTATCCAGATCTGGTATGAAACTGTTAAGCTTTTCACCGGGTGTAGATTGACGCTTGGCCCTCGAGCCATTTTTTTCTTCTTCATCTTTCTCAACTCTCTTGGTCCGACCGTCTATCCAGATCTGGTATGAAACTGTTAAGCTTTCACCGGGTATAGATTGACGCTTGGCCCTCGAGCCATTTTTTTCTTCTTCATCTTTTCTCAACTCTCTTGGTCCGACCGTCTATCCAGATCTGGTATGAAACTGTTAAGCTTTCACCGGGTGTAGATTGACGCTTGGCCCCTCGAGCCATTTTTTTCTTCTTCATCTTTCTCAACTCTCTTGGTCCGACCGTCTATCCAGATCTGGTATGAAACTGTTAAGCTTTCACCGGGTGTAGATTGACGCTTGGCCCTCGAGCCATTTTTTTCTTCTTCATCTTTCTCAACTCTCTTGGTCCGACCGTCTATCCAGATCTGGTATGAAACTGTTAAGCTTTCACCGGGTGTAGATTGACGCTTGGCCCTCGAGCCATTTTTTTCTTCTTCATCTTTCTCAACTCTCTTGGTCCGACCGTCTATCCAGATCTGGTATGAAACTGTTAAGCTTTTCACCGGGTGTAGATTGACGCTTGGCCCCTCGAGCCATTTTTTTCTTCTTCATCTTTCTCAACTCTCTTGGTCCGACCGTCTATCCAGATCTGGTATGAAACTGTTAAGCTTTCACCGGGTATAGATTGACGCTTGGCCCTCGAGCCATTTTTCTTCTTCATCTTTTCTCAACTCTCTTGGTCCGACCGTCTATCCAGATCTGGTATGAAACTGTTAAGCTTTCACCGGGTGTAGATTGACGCTTGGCCCCTCGAGCCATTTTTTTCTTCTTCATCTTTCTCAACTCTCTTGGTCCGACCGTCTATCCAGATCTGGTATGAAACTGTTAAGCTTTCACCGGGTGTAGATTGACGCTTGGCCCTCGAGCCATTTTTTTCTTCTTCATCTTTCTCAACTCTCTTGGTCCGACCGTCTATCCAGATCTGGTATGAAACTGTTAAGCTTTCACCGGGTGTAGATTGACGCTTGGCCCTCGAGCCATTTTTTTCTTCTTCATCTTTCTCAACTCTCTTGGTCCGACCGTCTATCCAGATCTGGTATGAAACTGTTAAGCTTTCACCGGGTGTAGATTGACGCTTGGCCCCTCGAGCCATTTTTCTTCTTCATCTTTCTCAACTCTCTTGGTCCGACCGTCTATCCAGATCTGGTATGAAACTGTTAAGCTTTCACCGGGTGTAGATTGACGCTTGGCCCTCGAGCCATTTTTTTCTTCTTCATCTTTCTCAACTCTCTTGGTCCGACCGTCTATCCAGATCTGGTATGAAACTGTTAAGCTTTCACCGGGTATAGATTGACGCTTGGCCCCTCGAGCCATTTTTTTCTTCTTCATCTTTCTCAACTCTCTTGGTCCGACCGTCTATCCAGATCTGGTATGAAACTGTTAAGCTTTCACCGGGTATAGATTGACGCTTGGCCCTCGAGCCATTTTTCTTCTTCATCTTTCTCAACTCTCTTGGTCCGACCGTCTATCCAGATCTGGTATGAAACTGTTAAGCTTTCACCGGGTATAGATTGACGCTTGGCCCTCGAGCCATTTTTCTTCTTCATCTTTCTCAACTCTCTTGGTCCGACCGTCTATCCAGATCTGGTATGAAACTGTTAAGCTTTCACCGGGTATAGATTGACGCTTGGCCCTCGAGCCATTTTTTTCTTCTTCATCTTTTCTCAACTCTCTTGGTCCGACCGTCTATCCAGATCTGGTATGAAACTGTTAAGCTTTCACCGGGTGTAGATTGACGCTTGGCCCTCGAGCCATTTTTCTTCTTCATCTTTCTCAACTCTCTTGGTCCGACCGTCTATCCAGATCTGGTATGAAACTGTTAAGCTTTCACCGGGTGTAGATTGACGCTTGGCCCCTCGAGCCATTTTTTCTTCTTCATCTTTCTCAACTCTCTTGGTCCGACCGTCTATCCAGATCTGGTATGAAACTGTTAAGCTTTCACCGGGTGTAGATTGACGCTTGGCCCCTCGAGCCATTTTTTTCTTCTTCATCTTTCTCAACTCTCTTGGTCCGACCGTCTATCCAGATCTGGTATGAAACTGTTAAGCTTTCACCGGGTGTAGATTGACGCTTGGCCCTCGAGCCATTTTTTTCTTCTTCATCTTTCTCAACTCTCTTGGTCCGACCGTCTATCCAGATCTGGTATGAAACTGTTAAGCTTTCACCGGGTATAGATTGACGCTTGGCCCTCGAGCCATTTTTTTCTTCTTCATCTTTCTCAACTCTCTTGGTCCGACCGTCTATCCAGATCTGGTATGAAACTGTTAAGCTTTTCACCGGGTGTAGATTGACGCTTGGCCCTCGAGCCATTTTTTTCTTCTTCATCTTTCTCAACTCTCTTGGTCCGACCGTCTATCCAGATCTGGTATGAAACTGTTAAGCTTTCACCGGGTATAGATTGACGCTTGGCCCTCGAGCCATTTTTCTTCTTCATCTTTTCTCAACTCTCTTGGTCCGACCGTCTATCCAGATCTGGTATGAAACTGTTAAGCTTTCACCGGGTATAGATTGACGCTTGGCCCTCGAGCCATTTTTTTCTTCTTCATCTTTCTCAACTCTCTTGGTCCGACCGTCTATCCAGATCTGGTATGAAACTGTTAAGCTTTCACCGGGTATAGATTGACGCTTGGCCCCTCGAGCCATTTTTTTCTTCTTCATCTTTCTCAACTCTCTTGGTCCGACCGTCTATCCAGATCTGGTATGAAACTGTTAAGCTTTTCACCGGGTATAGATTGACGCTTGGCCCTCGAGCCATTTTTTTCTTCTTCATCTTTCTCAACTCTCTTGGTCCGACCGTCTATCCAGATCTGGTATGAAACTGTTAAGCTTTCACCGGGTATAGATTGACGCTTGGCCCTCGAGCCATTTTTTCTTCTTCATCTTTCTCAACTCTCTTGGTCCGACCGTCTATCCAGATCTGGTATGAAACTGTTAAGCTTTCACCGGGTATAGATTGACGCTTGGCCCCTCGAGCCATTTTTTTCTTCTTCATCTTTCTCAACTCTCTTGGTCCGACCGTCTATCCAGATCTGGTATGAAACTGTTAAGCTTTTCACCGGGTGTAGATTGACGCTTGGCCCTCGAGCCATTTTTTTCATCTTCATCTTTCTCAACTCTCTTGGTCCGACCGTCTATCCAGATCTGGTATGAAACTGTTAAGCTTTCACCGGGTATAGATTGACGCTTGGCCCTCGAGCCATTTTTTTCTTCTTCATCTTTCTCAACTCTCTTGGTCCGACCGTCTATCCAGATCTGGTATGAAACTGTTAAGCTTTCACCGGGTATAGATTGACGCTTGGCCCTCGAGCCATTTTTTTCTTCTTCATCTTTCTCAACTCTCTTGGTCCGACCGTCTATCCAGATCTGGTATGAAACTGTTAAGCTTTCACCGGGTATAGATTGACGCTTGGCCCTCGAGCCATTTTTTTCTTCTTCATCTTTCTCAACTCTCTTGGTCCGACCGTCTATCCAGATCTGGTATGAAACTGTTAAGCTTTCACCGGGTGTAGATTGACGCTTGGCCCTCGAGCCATTTTTTTCTTCTTCATCTTTCTCAACTCTCTTGGTCCGACCGTCTATCCAGATCTGGTATGAAACTGTTAAGCTTTCACCGGGTGTAGATTGACGCTTGGCCCTCGAGCCATTTTTTTCTTCTTCATCTTTCTCAACTCTCTTGGTCCGACCGTCTATCCAGATCTGGTATGAAACTGTTAAGCTTTTCACCGGGTATAGATTGACGCTTGGCCCTCGAGCCATTTTTTTCTTCTTCATCTTTCTCAACTCTCTTGGTCCGACCGTCTATCCAGATCTGGTATGAAACTGTTAAGCTTTCACCGGGTATAGATTGACGCTTGGCCCTCGAGCCATTTTTCTTCTTCATCTTTCTCAACTCTCTTGGTCCGACCGTCTATCCAGATCTGGTATGAAACTGTTAAGCTTTCACCGGGTATAGATTGACGCTTGGCCCTCGAGCCATTTTTCTTCTTCATCTTTCTCAACTCTCTTGGTCCGACCGTCTATCCAGATCTGGTATGAAACTGTTAAGCTTTCACCGGGTATAGATTGACGCTTGGCCCTCGAGCCATTTTTCTTCTTCATCTTTCTCAACTCTCTTGGTCCGACCGTCTATCCAGATCTGGTATGAAACTGTTAAGCTTTCACCGGGTATAGATTGACGCTTGGCCCTCGAGCCATTTTTTTCTTCTTCATCTTTCTCAACTCTCTTGGTCCGACCGTCTATCCAGATCTGGTATGAAACTGTTAAGCTTTCACCGGGTATAGATTGACGCTTGGCCCTCGAGCCATTTTTTCTTCTTCATCTTTCTCAACTCTCTTGGTCCGACCGTCTATCCAGATCTGGTATGAAACTGTTAAGCTTTCACCGGGTGTAGATTGACGCTTGGCCCTCGAGCCATTTTTTTCTTCTTCATCTTTCTCAACTCTCTTGGTCCGACCGTCTATCCAGATCTGGTATGAAACTGTTAAGCTTTCACCGGGTATAGATTGACGCTTGGCCCCTCGAGCCATTTTTTTCTTCTTCATCTTTCTCAACTCTCTTGGTCCGACCGTCTATCCAGATCTGGTATGAAACTGTTAAGCTTTCACCGGGTATAGATTGACGCTTGGCCCTCGAGCCATTTTTTTCTTCTTCATCTTTTCTCAACTCTCTTGGTCCGACCGTCTATCCAGATCTGGTATGAAACTGTTAAGCTTTCACCGGGTATAGATTGACGCTTGGCCCTCGAGCCATTTTTTTCTTCTTCATCTTTCTCAACTCTCTTGGTCCGACCGTCTATCCAGATCTGGTATGAAACTGTTAAGCTTTTCACCGGGTGTAGATTGACGCTTGGCCCTCGAGCCATTTTTTTCATCTTCATCTTTCTCAACTCTCTTGGTCCGACCGTCTATCCAGATCTGGTATGAAACTGTTAAGCTTTCACCGGGTATAGATTGACGCTTGGCCCTCGAGCCATTTTTTTCTTCTTCATCTTTCTCAACTCTCTTGGTCCGACCGTCTATCCAGATCTGGTATGAAACTGTTAAGCTTTTCACCGGGTATAGATTGACGCTTGGCCCTCGAGCCATTTTTTCATCTTCATCTTTCTCAACTCTCTTGGTCCGACCGTCTATCCAGATCTGGTATGAAACTGTTAAGCTTTCACCGGGTATAGATTGACGCTTGGCCCTCGAGCCATTTTTTTCTTCTTCATCTTTCTCAACTCTCTTGGTCCGACCGTCTATCCAGATCTGGTATGAAACTGTTAAGCTTTCACCGGGTGTAGATTGACGCTTGGCCCTCGAGCCATTTTTTCATCTTCATCTTTCTCAACTCTCTTGGTCCGACCGTCTATCCAGATCTGGTATGAAACTGTTAAGCTTTCACCGGGTATAGATTGACGCTTGGCCCTCGAGCCATTTTTTTCTTCTTCATCTTTCTCAACTCTCTTGGTCCGACCGTCTATCCAGATCTGGTATGAAACTGTTAAGCTTTCACCGGGTATAGATTGACGCTTGGCCCTCGAGCCATTTTTTTCATCTTCATCTTTCTCAACTCTCTTGGTCCGACCGTCTATCCAGATCTGGTATGAAACTGTTAAGCTTTTCACCGGGTGTAGATTGACGCTTGGCCCCTCGAGCCATTTTTTTCATCTTCATCTTTCTCAACTCTCTTGGTCCGACCGTCTATCCAGATCTGGTATGAAACTGTTAAGCTTTCACCGGGTATAGATTGACGCTTGGCCCCTCGAGCCATTTTTTTCTTCTTCATCTTTCTCAACTCTCTTGGTCCGACCGTCTATCCAGATCTGGTATGAAACTGTTAAGCTTTTCACCGGGTATAGATTGACGCTTGGCCCTCGAGCCATTTTTTTCTTCTTCATCTTTCTCAACTCTCTTGGTCCGACCGTCTATCCAGATCTGGTATGAAACTGTTAAGCTTTTCACCGGGTGTAGATTGACGCTTGGCCCTCGAGCCATTTTTTTCATCTTCATCTTTCTCAACTCTCTTGGTCCGACCGTCTATCCAGATCTGGTATGAAACTGTTAAGCTTTCACCGGGTATAGATTGACGCTTGGCCCTCGAGGCCATTTTTTTCATCTTCATCTTTCTCAACTCTCTTGGTCCGACCGTCTATCCAGATCTGGTATGAAACTGTTAAGCTTTCACCGGGTGTAGATTGACGCTTGGCCCTCGAGCCATTTTTTTCATCTTCATCTTTCTCAACTCTCTTGGTCCGACCGTCTATCCAGATCTGGTATGAAAACTGTTAAGCTTTCACCGGGTATAGATTGACGCTTGGCCCCTCGAGCCATTTTTTTCATCTTCATCTTTCTCAACTCTCTTGGTCCGACCGTCTATCCAGATCTGGTATGAAACTGTTAAGCTTTCACCGGGTGTAGATTGACGCTTGGCCCTCGAGGCCATTTTTTTCATCTTCATCTTTCTCAACTCTCTTGGTCCGACCGTCTATCCAGATCTGGTATGAAACTGTTAAGCTTTCACCGGGTATAGATTGACGCTTGGCCCTCGAGCCATTTTTCATCTTCATCTTTCTCAACTCTCTTGGTCCGACCGTCTATCCAGATCTGGTATGAAACTGTTAAGCTTTCACCGGGTGTAGATTGACGCTTGGCCCTCGAGCCATTTTTCATCTTCATCTTTCTCAACTCTCTTGGTCCGACCGTCTATCCAGATCTGGTATGAAACTGTTAAGCTTTCACCGGGTATAGATTGACGCTTGGCCCTCGAGGCCATTTTTCATCTTCATCTTTCTCAACTCTCTTGGTCCGACCGTCTATCCAGATCTGGTATGAAACTGTTAAGCTTTCACCGGGTATAGATTGACGCTTGGCCCTCGAGGCCATTTTTTTCATCTTCATCTTTCTCAACTCTCTTGGTCCGACCGTCTATCCAGATCTGGTATGAAACTGTTAAGCTTTCACCGGGTATAGATTGACGCTTGGCCCTCGGGCCATTTTTCATCTTCATCTTTCTCAACTCTCTTGGTCCGACCGTCTATCCAGATCTGGTATGAAACTGTTAAGCTTTCACCGGGTATAGATTGACGCTTGGCCCCTCGAGGCCATTTTTTTCATCTTCATCTTTCTCAACTCTCTTGGTCCGACCGTCTATCCAGATCTGGTATGAAACTGTTAAGCTTTCACCGGGTATAGATTGACGCTTGGCCCTCGAGCCATTTTTTTCATCTTCATCTTTCTCAACTCTCTTGGTCCGACCGTCTATCCAGATCTGGTATGAAACTGTTAAGCTTTCACCGGGTATAGATTGACGCTTGGCCCTCGAGGCCATTTTTTTCATCTTCATCTTTCTCAACTCTCTTGGTCCGACCGTCTATCCAGATCTGGTATGAAACTGTTAAGCTTTTCACCGGGTATAGATTGACGCTTGGCCCTCGAGGCCATTTTTTTCATCTTCATCTTTCTCAACTCTCTTGGTCCGACCGTCTATCCAGATCTGGTATGAAACTGTTAAGCTTTCACCGGGTGTAGATTGACGCTTGGCCCTCGAGGCCATTTTTTTCATCTTCATCTTTCTCAACTCTCTTGGTCCGACCGTCTATCCAGATCTGGTATGAAACTGTTAAGCTTTCACCGGGTATAGATTGACGCTTGGCCCCTCGAGCCATTTTTTTCATCTTCATCTTTCATAACTCTCTTGGTCCGACCGTCTATCCAGATCTGGTATGAAACTGTTAAGCTTTCACCGGGTATAGATTGACGCTTGGCCCTCGAGCCATTTTTCATCTTCATCTTTCTCAACTCTCTTGGTCCGACCGTCTATCCAGATCTGGTATGAAACTGTTAAGCTTTCACCGGGTGTAGATTGACGCTTGGCCCTCGAGCCATTTTTCATCTTCATCTTTCTCAACTCTCTTGGTCCGACCGTCTATCCAGATCTGGTATGAAACTGTTAAGCTTTCACCGGGTATAGATTGACGCTTGGCCCTCGAGCCATTTTTCATCTTCATCTTTCTCAACTCTCTTGGTCCGACCGTCTATCCAGATCTGGTATGAAACTGTTAAGCTTTCACCGGGTATAGATTGACGCTTGGCCCTCGGGCCATTTTTCATCTTCATCTTTCTCAATTCTCTTGGTCCGACCGTCTATCCAGATCTGGTATGAAACTGTTAAGCTTTCACCGGGTGTAGATTGACGCTTGGCCCCTCGAGCCATTTTTTTCATCTTCATCTTTCTCAACTCTCTTGGTCCGACCGTCTATCCAGATCTGGTATGAAACTGTTAAGCTTTCACCGGGTATAGATTGACGCTTGGCCCTCGGGCCATTTTTCATCTTCATCTTTCTCAACTCTCTTGGTCCGACCGTCTATCCAGATCTGGTATGAAACTGTTAAGCTTTCACCGGGTATAGATTGACGCTTGGCCCTCGGGCCATTTTTCATCTTCATCTTTCTCAACTCTCTTGGTCCGACCGTCTATCCAGATCTGGTATGAAACTGTTAAGCTTTCACCGGGTGTAGATTGACGCTTGGCCCTCGAGGCCATTTTTTTCATCTTCATCTTTCTCAACTCTCTTGGTCCGACCGTCTATCCAGATCTGGTATGAAACTGTTAAGCTTTTCACCGGGTGTAGATTGACGCTTGGCCCTCGAGCCATTTTTTTCTTCTTCATCTTTCTCAACTCTCTTGGTCCGACCGTCTATCCAGATCTGGTATGAAACTGTTAAGCTTTCACCGGGTATAGATTGACGCTTGGCCCCTCGAGCCATTTTTTTCATCTTCATCTTTCTCAACTCTCTTGGTCCGACCGTCTATCCAGATCTGGTATGAAACTGTTAAGCTTTTCACCGGGTGTAGATTGACGCTTGGCCCTCGAGCCATTTTTTTCATCTTCATCTTTCTCAACTCTCTTGGTCCGACCGTCTATCCAGATCTGGTATGAAACTGTTAAGCTTTCACCGGGTATAGATTGACGCTTGGCCCTCGAGCCATTTTTTTCATCTTCATCTTTCTCAACTCTCTTGGTCCGACCGTCTATCCAGATCTGGTATGAAACTGTTAAGCTTTCACCGGGTATAGATTGACGCTTGGCCCCTCGAGGCCATTTTTTTCATCTTCATCTTTCTCAACTCTCTTGGTCCGACCGTCTATCCAGATCTGGTATGAAACTGTTAAGCTTTCACCGGGTATAGATTGACGCTTGGCCCTCGAGCCATTTTTTTCATCTTCATCTTTCTCAACTCTCTTGGTCCGACCGTCTATCCAGATCTGGTATGAAACTGTTAAGCTTTCACCGGGTATAGATTGACGCTTGGCCCTCGAGGCCATTTTTTTCATCTTCATCTTTCTCAACTCTCTTGGTCCGACCGTCTATCCAGATCTGGTATGAAACTGTTAAGCTTTTCACCGGGTATAGATTGACGCTTGGCCCTCGAGCCATTTTTTTCATCTTCATCTTTCTCAACTCTCTTGGTCCGACCGTCTATCCAGATCTGGTATGAAACTGTTAAGCTTTTCACCGGGTATAGATTGACGCTTGGCCCTCGAGCCATTTTTCTTCTTCATCTTTCTCAACTCTCTTGGTCCGACCGTCTATCCAGATCTGGTATGAAACTGTTAAGCTTTTCACCGGGTGTAGATTGACGCTTGGCCCCTCGAGCCATTTTTTTCATCTTCATCTTTCTCAACTCTCTTGGTCCGACCGTCTATCCAGATCTGGTATGAAACTGTTAAGCTTTTCACCGGGTATAGATTGACGCTTGGCCCTCGGGCCATTTTTCATCTTCATCTTTCTCAACTCTCTTGGTCCGACCGTCTATCCAGATCTGGTATGAAACTGTTAAGCTTTCACCGGGTGTAGATTGACGCTTGGCCCCTCGAGCCATTTTTCATCTTCATCTTTCTCAACTCTCTTGGTCCGACCGTCTATCCAGATCTGGTATGAAACTGTTAAGCTTTCACCGGGTATAGATTGACGCTTGGCCCTCGAGCCATTTTTCATCTTCATCTTTCTCAACTCTCTTGGTCCGACCGTCTATCCAGATCTGGTATGAAACTGTTAAGCTTTCACCGGGTATAGATTGACGCTTGGCCCTCGGGCCATTTTTCTTCTTCATCTTTTCTCAACTCTCTTGGTCCGACCGTCTATCCAGATCTGGTATGAAACTGTTAAGCTTTTCACCGGGTGTAGATTGACGCTTGGCCCTCGAGCCATTTTTTTCATCTTCATCTTTCTCAACTCTCTTGGTCCGACCGTCTATCCAGATCTGGTATGAAACTGTTAAGCTTTCACCGGGTATAGATTGACGCTTGGCCCTCGAGCCATTTTTTTCTTCTTCATCTTTCTCAACTCTCTTGGTCCGACCGTCTATCCAGATCTGGTATGAAACTGTTAAGCTTTTCACCGGGTGTAGATTGACGCTTGGCCCTCGAGCCATTTTTTTCATCTTCATCTTTCTCAACTCTCTTGGTCCGACCGTCTATCCAGATCTGGTATGAAACTGTTAAGCTTTCACCGGGTGTAGATTGACGCTTGGCCCCTCGAGCCATTTTTTTCTTCTTCATCTTTCTCAACTCTCTTGGTCCGACCGTCTATCCAGATCTGGTATGAAACTGTTAAGCTTTCACCGGGTATAGATTGACGCTTGGCCCTCGAGCCATTTTTTTCTTCTTCATCTTTCTCAACTCTCTTGGTCCGACCGTCTATCCAGATCTGGTATGAAACTGTTAAGCTTTCACCGGGTATAGATTGACGCTTGGCCCTCGAGCCATTTTTTTCTTCTTCATCTTTCTCAACTCTCTTGGTCCGACCGTCTATCCAGATCTGGTATGAAACTGTTAAGCTTTCACCGGGTGTAGATTGACGCTTGGCCCTCGAGCCATTTTTCTTCTTCATCTTTCTCAACTCTCTTGGTCCGACCGTCTATCCAGATCTGGTATGAAACTGTTAAGCTTTCACCGGGTGTAGATTGACGCTTGGCCCTCGAGCCATTTTTTTCTTCTTCATCTTTCTCAACTCTCTTGGTCCGACCGTCTATCCAGATCTGGTATGAAACTGTTAAGCTTTCACCGGGTGTAGATTGACGCTTGGCCCTCGAGCCATTTTTTTCTTCTTCATCTTTCTCAACTCTCTTGGTCCGACCGTCTATCCAGATCTGGTATGAAACTGTTAAGCTTTCACCGGGTGTAGATTGACGCTTGGCCCTCGAGCCATTTTTCTTCTTCATCTTTTCTCAACTCTCTTGGTCCGACCGTCTATCCAGATCTGGTATGAAACTGTTAAGCTTTTCACCGGGTGTAGATTGACGCTTGGCCCTCGAGCCATTTTTTCTTCTTCATCTTTCTCAACTCTCTTGGTCCGACCGTCTATCCAGATCTGGTATGAAACTGTTAAGCTTTCACCGGGTATAGATTGACGCTTGGCCCTCGAGCCATTTTTTTCTTCTTCATCTTTCTCAACTCTCTTGGTCCGACCGTCTATCCAGATCTGGTATGAAACTGTTAAGCTTTCACCGGGTGTAGATTGACGCTTGGCCCTCGAGCCATTTTTTTCTTCTTCATCTTTCTCAACTCTCTTGGTCCGACCGTCTATCCAGATCTGGTATGAAACTGTTAAGCTTTCACCGGGTATAGATTGACGCTTGGCCCTCGAGCCATTTTTTTCTTCTTCATCTTTCTCAACTCTCTTGGTCCGACCGTCTATCCAGATCTGGTATGAAACTGTTAAGCTTTTCACCGGGTGTAGATTGACGCTTGGCCCTCGAGCCATTTTTTTCTTCTTCATCTTTCTCAACTCTCTTGGTCCGACCGTCTATCCAGATCTGGTATGAAACTGTTAAGCTTTCACCGGGTATAGATTGACGCTTGGCCCCTCGAGCCATTTTTTTCTTCTTCATCTTTCTCAACTCTCTTGGTCCGACCGTCTATCCAGATCTGGTATGAAACTGTTAAGCTTTCACCGGGTGTAGATTGACGCTTGGCCCTCGAGCCATTTTTTTCTTCTTCATCTTTCTCAACTCTCTTGGTCCGACCGTCTATCCAGATCTGGTATGAAACTGTTAAGCTTTTCACCGGGTGTAGATTGACGCTTGGCCCCTCGAGCCATTTTTTTCTTCTTCATCTTTCTCAACTCTCTTGGTCCGACCGTCTATCCAGATCTGGTATGAAACTGTTAAGCTTTCACCGGGTGTAGATTGACGCTTGGCCCTCGAGCCATTTTTTTCTTCTTCATCTTTCTCAACTCTCTTGGTCCGACCGTCTATCCAGATCTGGTATGAAACTGTTAAGCTTTCACCGGGTGTAGATTGACGCTTGGCCCCTCGAGCCATTTTTTTCTTCTTCATCTTTCTCAACTCTCTTGGTCCGACCGTCTATCCAGATCTGGTATGAAACTGTTAAGCTTTCACCGGGTGTAGATTGACGCTTGGCCCTCGAGCCATTTTTCTTCTTCATCTTTCTCAACTCTCTTGGTCCGACCGTCTATCCAGATCTGGTATGAAACTGTTAAGCTTTCACCGGGTATAGATTGACGCTTGGCCCTCGAGCCATTTTTTTCTTCTTCATCTTTCTCAACTCTCTTGGTCCGACCGTCTATCCAGATCTGGTATGAAACTGTTAAGCTTTCACCGGGTATAGATTGACGCTTGGCCCCTCGAGCCATTTTTTTCTTCTTCATCTTTCTCAACTCTCTTGGTCCGACCGTCTATCCAGATCTGGTATGAAACTGTTAAGCTTTCACCGGGTGTAGATTGACGCTTGGCCCTCGAGCCATTTTTTTCTTCTTCATCTTTCTCAACTCTCTTGGTCCGACCGTCTATCCAGATCTGGTATGAAACTGTTAAGCTTTCACCGGGTGTAGATTGACGCTTGGCCCTCGAGCCATTTTTTTCTTCTTCATCTTTCTCAACTCTCTTGGTCCGACCGTCTATCCAGATCTGGTATGAAACTGTTAAGCTTTCACCGGGTGTAGATTGACGCTTGGCCCTCGAGCCATTTTTTTCTTCTTCATCTTTCTCAACTCTCTTGGTCCGACCGTCTATCCAGATCTGGTATGAAACTGTTAAGCTTTCACCGGGTGTAGATTGACGCTTGGCCCTCGAGCCATTTTTTTCTTCTTCATCTTTCTCAACTCTCTTGGTCCGACCGTCTATCCAGATCTGGTATGAAACTGTTAAGCTTTCACCGGGTGTAGATTGACGCTTGGCCCTCGAGCCATTTTTCTTCTTCATCTTTCTCAACTCTCTTGGTCCGACCGTCTATCCAGATCTGGTATGAAACTGTTAAGCTTTCACCGGGTGTAGATTGACGCTTGGCCCTCGAGCCATTTTTCTTCTTCATCTTTCTCAACTCTCTTGGTCCGACCGTCTATCCAGATCTGGTATGAAACTGTTAAGCTTTCACCGGGTATAGATTGACGCTTGGCCCTCGAGCCATTTTTCTTCTTCATCTTTCTCAACTCTCTTGGTCCGACCGTCTATCCAGATCTGGTATGAAACTGTTAAGCTTTCACCGGGTGTAGATTGACGCTTGGCCCTCGAGCCATTTTTCTTCTTCATCTTTCTCAACTCTCTTGGTCCGACCGTCTATCCAGATCTGGTATGAAACTGTTAAGCTTTCACCGGGTGTAGATTGACGCTTGGCCCTCGAGCCATTTTTCTTCTTCATCTTTCTCAACTCTCTTGGTCCGACCGTCTATCCAGATCTGGTATGAAACTGTTAAGCTTTCACCGGGTGTAGATTGACGCTTGGCCCTCGAGCCATTTTTTTCTTCTTCATCTTTCTCAACTCTCTTGGTCCGACCGTCTATCCAGATCTGGTATGAAACTGTTAAGCTTTCACCGGGTGTAGATTGACGCTTGGCCCTCGAGCCATTTTTTCTTCTTCATCTTTCTCAACTCTCTTGGTCCGACCGTCTATCCAGATCTGGTATGAAACTGTTAAGCTTTCACCGGGTGTAGATTGACGCTTGGCCCTCGAGCCATTTTTTCTTCTTCATCTTTCTCAACTCTCTTGGTCCGACCGTCTATCCAGATCTGGTATGAAACTGTTAAGCTTTCACCGGGTGTAGATTGACGCTTGGCCCTCGAGCCATTTTTTTCTTCTTCATCTTTCTCAACTCTCTTGGTCCGACCGTCTATCCAGATCTGGTATGAAACTGTTAAGCTTTTCACCGGGTGTAGATTGACGCTTGGCCCTCGAGCCATTTTTCTTCTTCATCTTTCTCAACTCTCTTGGTCCGACCGTCTATCCAGATCTGGTATGAAACTGTTAAGCTTTCACCGGGTGTAGATTGACGCTTGGCCCCTCGAGCCATTTTTTTCTTCTTCATCTTTCTCAACTCTCTTGGTCCGACCGTCTATCCAGATCTGGTATGAAACTGTTAAGCTTTCACCGGGTATAGATTGACGCTTGGCCCCTCGAGCCATTTTTTCTTCTTCATCTTTTCTCAACTCTCTTGGTCCGACCGTCTATCCAGATCTGGTATGAAACTGTTAAGCTTTCACCGGGTGTAGATTGACGCTTGGCCCTCGAGCCATTTTTTCTTCTTCATCTTTCTCAACTCTCTTGGTCCGACCGTCTATCCAGATCTGGTATGAAACTGTTAAGCTTTCACCGGGTATAGATTGACGCTTGGCCCTCGAGCCATTTTTTCTTCTTCATCTTTCTCAACTCTCTTGGTCCGACCGTCTATCCAGATCTGGTATGAAACTGTTAGCTTTCACCGGGTGTAGATTGACGCTTGGCCCTCGAGCCATTTTTTTCTTCTTCATCTTTCTCAACTCTCTTGGTCCGACCGTCTATCCAGATCTGGTATGAAACTGTTAAGCTTTCACCGGGTGTAGATTGACGCTTGGCCCTCGAGCCATTTTTCTTCTTCATCTTTCTCAACTCTCTTGGTCCGACCGTCTATCCAGATCTGGTATGAAACTGTTAAGCTTTCACCGGGTGTAGATTGACGCTTGGCCCTCGAGCCATTTTTTTCTTCTTCATCTTTCTCAACTCTCTTGGTCCGACCGTCTATCCAGATCTGGTATGAAACTGTTAAGCTTTCACCGGGTGTAGATTGACGCTTGGCCCTCGAGCCATTTTTTTCTTCTTCATCTTTCTCAACTCTCTTGGTCCGACCGTCTATCCAGATCTGGTATGAAACTGTTAAGCTTTCACCGGGTATAGATTGACGCTTGGCCCTCGAGCCATTTTTTTCTTCTTCATCTTTCTCAACTCTCTTGGTCCGACCGTCTATCCAGATCTGGTATGAAACTGTTAAGCTTTCACCGGGTGTAGATTGACGCTTGGCCCTCGAGCCATTTTTCTTCTTCATCTTTCTCAACTCTCTTGGTCCGACCGTCTATCCAGATCTGGTATGAAACTGTTAAGCTTTCACCGGGTGTAGATTGACGCTTGGCCCTCGAGCCATTTTTTTCTTCTTCATCTTTCTCAACTCTCTTGGTCCGACCGTCTATCCAGATCTGGTATGAAACTGTTAAGCTTTCACCGGGTGTAGATTGACGCTTGGCCCTCGAGCCATTTTTTTCTTCTTCATCTTTCTCAACTCTCTTGGTCCGACCGTCTATCCAGATCTGGTATGAAACTGTTAAGCTTTCACCGGGTGTAGATTGACGCTTGGCCCTCGAGCCATTTTTCTTCTTCATCTTTCTCAACTCTCTTGGTCCGACCGTCTATCCAGATCTGGTATGAAACTGTTAAGCTTTCACCGGGTATAGATTGACGCTTGGCCCTCGAGCCATTTTTCTTCTTCATCTTTCTCAACTCTCTTGGTCCGACCGTCTATCCAGATCTGGTATGAAACTGTTAAGCTTTCACCGGGTATAGATTGACGCTTGGCCCTCGAGCCATTTTTTTCTTCTTCATCTTTCTCAACTCTCTTGGTCCGACCGTCTATCCAGATCTGGTATGAAACTGTTAAGCTTTCACCGGGTGTAGATTGACGCTTGGCCCTCGAGCCATTTTTTTCTTCTTCATCTTTTCTCAACTCTCTTGGTCCGACCGTCTATCCAGATCTGGTATGAAACTGTTAAGCTTTCACCGGGTGTAGATTGACGCTTGGCCCTCGAGCCATTTTTTTCTTCTTCATCTTTCTCAACTCTCTTGGTCCGACCGTCTATCCAGATCTGGTATGAAACTGTTAAGCTTTCACCGGGTGTAGATTGACGCTTGGCCCTCGAGCCATTTTTTTCTTCTTCATCTTTCTCAACTCTCTTGGTCCGACCGTCTATCCAGATCTGGTATGAAACTGTTAAGCTTTCACCGGGTGTAGATTGACGCTTGGCCCTCGAGCCATTTTTTTCTTCTTCATCTTTCTCAACTCTCTTGGTCCGACCGTCTATCCAGATCTGGTATGAAACTGTTAAGCTTTTCACCGGGTGTAGATTGACGCTTGGCCCTCGAGCCATTTTTTTCATCTTCATCTTTCTCAACTCTCTTGGTCCGACCGTCTATCCAGATCTGGTATGAAACTGTTAAGCTTTTCACCGGGTATAGATTGACGCTTGGCCCTCGAGCCATTTTTTTCTTCTTCATCTTTCTCAACTCTCTTGGTCCGACCGTCTATCCAGATCTGGTATGAAACTGTTAAGCTTTCACCGGGTGTAGATTGACGCTTGGCCCTCGAGCCATTTTTTTCATCTTCATCTTTCTCAACTCTCTTGGTCCGACCGTCTATCCAGATCTGGTATGAAACTGTTAAGCTTTCACCGGGTATAGATTGACGCTTGGCCCTCGAGCCATTTTTTTCTTCTTCATCTTTCTCAACTCTCTTGGTCCGACCGTCTATCCAGATCTGGTATGAAACTGTTAAGCTTTCACCGGGTGTAGATTGACGCTTGGCCCTCGAGCCATTTTTTTCATCTTCATCTTTCTCAACTCTCTTGGTCCGACCGTCTATCCAGATCTGGTATGAAACTGTTAAGCTTTCACCGGGTATAGATTGACGCTTGGCCCTCGAGCCATTTTTTTCATCTTCATCTTTCTCAACTCTCTTGGTCCGACCGTCTATCCAGATCTGGTATGAAACTGTTAAGCTTTCACCGGGTATAGATTGACGCTTGGCCCTCGAGCCATTTTTTTCATCTTCATCTTTTCTCAACTCTCTTGGTCCGACCGTCTATCCAGATCTGGTATGAAACTGTTAAGCTTTCACCGGGTGTAGATTGACGCTTGGCCCTCGAGCCATTTTTTTCATCTTCATCTTTCTCAACTCTCTTGGTCCGACCGTCTATCCAGATCTGGTATGAAACTGTTAAGCTTTTCACCGGGTATAGATTGACGCTTGGCCCTCGAGCCATTTTTTTCTTCTTCATCTTTTCTCAACTCTCTTGGTCCGACCGTCTATCCAGATCTGGTATGAAACTGTTAAGCTTTCACCGGGTATAGATTGACGCTTGGCCCTCGAGCCATTTTTTTCTTCTTCATCTTTCTCAACTCTCTTGGTCCGACCGTCTATCCAGATCTGGTATGAAACTGTTAAGCTTTCACCGGGTATAGATTGACGCTTGGCCCTCGAGCCATTTTTTTCATCTTCATCTTTCTCAACTCTCTTGGTCCGACCGTCTATCCAGATCTGGTATGAAACTGTTAAGCTTTTCACCGGGTGTAGATTGACGCTTGGCCCTCGAGCCATTTTTTTCATCTTCATCTTTCTCAACTCTCTTGGTCCGACCGTCTATCCAGATCTGGTATGAAACTGTTAAGCTTTCACCGGGTGTAGATTGACGCTTGGCCCTCGAGCCATTTTTTTCATCTTCATCTTTCTCAACTCTCTTGGTCCGACCGTCTATCCAGATCTGGTATGAAACTGTTAAGCTTTTCACCGGGTGTAGATTGACGCTTGGCCCTCGAGCCATTTTTTTCATCTTCATCTTTCTCAACTCTCTTGGTCCGACCGTCTATCCAGATCTGGTATGAAACTGTTAAGCTTTTCACCGGGTGTAGATTGACGCTTGGCCCTCGAGCCATTTTTTTCATCTTCATCTTTTCTCAACTCTCTTGGTCCGACCGTCTATCCAGATCTGGTATGAAACTGTTAAGCTTTCACCGGGTGTAGATTGACGCTTGGCCCTCGAGCCATTTTTTTCATCTTCATCTTTCTCAACTCTCTTGGTCCGACCGTCTATCCAGATCTGGTATGAAACTGTTAAGCTTTCACCGGGTATAGATTGACGCTTGGCCCTCGAGCCATTTTTTTCATCTTCATCTTTTCTCAACTCTCTTGGTCCGACTGTCTATCCAGATCTGGTATGAAACTGTTAAGCTTTTCACCGGGTATAGATTGACGCTTGGCCCTCGAGCCATTTTTTTCATCTTCATCTTTCTCAACTCTCTTGGTCCGACTGTCTATCCAGATCTGGTATGAAACTGTTAAGCTTTTCACCGGGTGTAGATTGACGCTTGGCCCTCGAGCCATTTTTTTCATCTTCATCTTTCTCAACTCTCTTGGTCCGACTGTCTATCCAGATCTGGTATGAAACTGTTAAGCTTTTCACCGGGTAGATTGACGCTTGGCCCTCGAGCCATTTTTTTCATCTTCATCTTTTCTCAACTCTCTTGGTCCGACTGTCTATCCAGATCTGGTATGAAACTGTTAAGCTTTCACCGGGTGTAGATTGACGCTTGGCCCTCGAGCCATTTTTTTCTTCTTCATCTTTCTCAACTCTCTTGGTCCGACTGTCTATCCAGATCTGGTATGAAACTGTTAAGCTTTTCACCGGGTGTAGATTGACGCTTGGCCCTCGAGCCATTTTTTTCATCTTCATCTTTTCTCAACTCTCTTGGTCCGACTGTCTATCCAGATCTGGTATGAAACTGTTAAGCTTTTCACCGGGTATAGATTGACGCTTGGCCCTCGAGCCATTTTTTTCATCTTCATCTTTCTCAACTCTCTTGGTCCGACTGTCTATCCAGATCTGGTATGAAACTGTTAGCTTTTCACCGGGTGTAGATTGACGCTTGGCCCTCGAGCCATTTTTTTCATCTTCATCTTTTCTCAACTCTCTTGGTCCGACTGTCTATCCAGATCTGGTATGAAACTGTTAAGCTTTCACCGGGTGTAGATTGACGCTTGGCCCTCGAGCCATTTTTTTCATCTTCATCTTTTCTCAACTCTCTTGGTCCGACTGTCTATCCAGATCTGGTATGAAACTGTTAGCTTTTCACCGGGTATAGATTGACGCTTGGCCCTCGAGCCATTTTTTTTCATCTTCATCTTTCTCAACTCTCTTGGTCCGACTGTCTATCCAGATCTGGTATGAAACTGTTAGCTTTTCACCGGGTGTAGATTGACGCTTGGCCCTCGAGCCATTTTTTTCTTCTTCATCTTTTCTCAACTCTCTTGGTCCGACTGTCTATCCAGATCTGGTATGAAACTGTTAAGCTTTTCACCGGTATAGATTGACGCTTGGCCCTCGAGCCATTTTTTTCATCTTCATCTTTTCTCAACTCTCTTGGTCCGACTGTCTATCCAGATCTGGTATGAAACTGTTAAGCTTTTCACCGGTATAGATTGACGCTTGGCCCTCGAGCCATTTTTTTCATCTTCATCTTTTCTCAACTCTCTTGGTCCGACTGTCTATCCAGATCTGGTATGAAACTGTTGCTTTTCACCGGGTATAGATTGACGCTTGGCCCTCGAGCCATTTTTTTCATCTTCATCTTTTCTCAACTCTCTTGGTCCGACTGTCTATCCAGATCTGGTATGAAACTGTTAGCTTTTCACCGGGTGTAGATTGACGCTTGGCCCTCGAGCCATTTTTTTCTTCTTCATCTTTTCTCAACTCTCTTGGTCCGACTGTCTATCCAGATCTGGTATGAAACTGTTAAGCTTTTCACCGGGTAGATTGACGCTTGGCTCTCGAGCCATTTTTTTCATCTTCATCTTTTCTCAACTCTCTTGGTCCGACTGTCTATCCAGATCTGGTATGAAACTGTTAAGCTTTTCACCGGGTATAGATTGACGCTTGGCCCTCGAGCCATTTTTTTCATCTTCATCTTTTCTCAACTCTCTTGGTCCGACTGTCTATCCAGATCTGGTATGAAACTGTTAAGCTTTTCACCGGTATAGATTGACGCTTGGCCCTCGAGCCATTTTTTTCTTCTTCATCTTTTCTCAACTCTCTTGGTCCGACTGTCTATCCAGATCTGGTATGAAACTGTTGCTTTTCACCGGTATAGATTGACGCTTGGCCCTCGAGCCATTTTTTTCATCTTCATCTTTTCTCAACTCTCTTGGTCCGACTGTCTATCCAGATCTGGTATGAAACTGTTAAGCTTTCACCGGGTAGATTGACGCTTGGCCCTCGAGCCATTTTTTTCTTCTTCATCTTTTCTCAACTCTCTTGGTCCGACTGTCTATCCAGATCTGGTATGAAACTGTTAGCTTTTCACTGGTAGATTGACGCTTGGCCCTCGAGCCATTTTTTTCTTCTTTCATCTTTTCTCAACTCTCTTGGTCCGACTGTCTATCCAGATCTGGTATGAAACTGTTAGCTTTTCACCGGTGTAGATTGACGCTTGGCCCTCGAGCCATTTTTTTCATCTTCATCTTTCTCAACTCTCTTGGTCCGACTGTCTCATCCAGATCTGGTATGAAACTGTTAGCTTTTCACCGGTATAGATTGACGCTTGGCCCTCGAGCCATTTTTTTCTTCTTCATCTTTTCTCAACTCTCTTGGTCCGACTGTCTATCCAGATCTGGTATGAAACTGTTAGCTTTTCACCGGTGTAGATTGACGCTTGGTCCCTCGAGCCATTTTTTTCATCTTCATCTTTTCTCAACTCTCTTGGTCCGACTGTCTATCCAGATCTGGTATGAAACTGTTAAGCTTTTCACCGGGTGTAGATTGACGCTTGGCCCTCGAGCCATTTTTTTCTTCTTCATCTTTCTCAACTCTCTTGGTCCGACTGTCTATCCAGATCTGGTATGAAACTGTTAAGCTTTTCACCGGGTGTAGATTGACGCTTGGCCCTCGAGCCATTTTTTTCATCTTCATCTTTCTCAACTCTCTTGGTCCGACCGTCTATCCAGATCTGGTATGAAACTGTTAGCTTTCACCGGGTATAGATTGACGCTTGGCCCTCGAGCCATTTTTTTCATCTTCATCTTTCTCAACTCTCTTGGTCCGACTGTCTATCCAGATCTGGTATGAAACTGTTAAGCTTTTCACCGGGTATAGATTGACGCTTGGCCCTCGAGCCATTTTTTTCATCTTCATCTTTCTCAACTCTCTTGGTCCGACCGTCTATCCAGATCTGGTATGAAACTGTTAAGCTTTTCACCGGGTCTAGATTGACGCTTGGCCCTCGAGCCATTTTTTTCATCTTCATCTTTCTCAACTCTCTTGGTCCGACCGTCTATCCAGATCTGGTATGAAACTGTTAAGCTTTCACCGGGTATAGATTGACGCTTGGCCCTCGAGCCATTTTTTTCTTCTTCATCTTTCTCAACTCTCTTGGTCCGACCGTCTATCCAGATCTGGTATGAAACTGTCAAGCTTTCACCGGGTGTAGATTGACGCTTGGCCCTCGAGCCATTTTTTTCTTCTTCATCTTTCTCAACTCTCTTGGTCCGACCGTCTATCCAGATCTGGTATGAAACTGTTAAGCTTTCACCGGGTATAGATCGACGCTAGGCCCTCGGGCCATTTTTCATCTTCATCTTTCTCAACTCTCTTGGTCCGACCGTCTATCCAGATCTGGTATGAAACTGTTAAGCTTTCACCGGGTGTAGATTGACGCTTGGCCCTCGAGCCATTTTTCATCTTCATCTTTCTCAACTCTCTTGGTCCGACCGTCTATCCAGATCTGGTATGAAACTGTTAAGCTTTCACCGGGTATAGATTGACGCTTGGCCCTCGAGCCATTTTTCATCTTCATCTTTCTCAACTCTCTTGGTCCGACCGTCTATCCAGATCTGGTATGAAAGCGTTGCTTTTCACTGGGTGTAGATTGACGCTTGGCCCCTCGGCCATTTTCATCTTCATCTTTTCTCAACTCTTGGTCCGACCGTCTCGTCCAGATCTGGTCTGGAAACTGTTGAAACTTTCACCCGGCATGAATTGACGCTTGGCCCTCGATGTGCCATTTTTCTTCTTCTATCTTTCTCAGCTCTCTTGGTCCGACCGTCCATCCAGATCTGGTATGAAACTGTGCCGCTTTCAACACCGGTATGGCAGCCCTCGGGCCATTCAGTCTTCATCTTGTCGACTCTCT